CAAGCACTTTTGGCCAGAACCCCCTCAGCCCCATCAACATTTGCCAACATGACGCCAAAGCGCCGTCAGGTCCCCATCAGTTTTTTCTCCCGCCCACGTCTGACGGCGTGTGAAACTGGGCAGAGGCGGGCAGGACCAACAATGCACTTATGCCGTGTGCCATGACCATAGTGACTTGACTCTGGACCAGAGTGACTTGGTTACTTGGTGACTTGAGAGTGGGAAAAAGCAAGAACATGGCAACATTCAGCCCGGGGCTAAAAGCCTTGTGGGAACCCAGGCAACCAGTAGAAACCAGTTGATGTGAAAAACTAGCATGGATGTACCGTAGTGGAAATCCGCCCTGTCGATCACTCCTCACGCTACGCTGTCATGGCTTGCCTCTAGGTACGAATCCTCCCTTTCCGACTGGCCGGCAGAAACTGTTGGCCCTGCGGATGACCCGCTTACGGTCCCGCGCCGAGTCATCCAGCTGCGTGGCGTTTGGTTCCTTCGTCGTTTTGTCTGCGGGCTTTTCTTCCCTTTTCTTCTGCGTTGTTCCCGTCTGGCGGTACGCTGTACCTGCATCTGCCGTCAGCCCAAGGTGAGGGCCACAATGGCACATCACCCGCCAGCAGATAACTCCCGTGCCGTCCGACCACGAGCCGTAGCCCCCGCTTTGCCGCCCCCTTGGGATCCCCTCGGCCCCTTGGCCGCCCTTTCACAAGAGTCGAAAGTACGTTTGGTTCCTGGCGGTTCCTGTTACTAAGCTATATTCGGCCAGGTTCAGGGACCCATGAGCGATTTTCGATCCCTGACAGCGCGCATCCTCTTTGCCTCGTTGGGCCTTGGCCATGCTTTTTTCATGGTTCCTTTGCCCGAAATGTTCAATTCTGGCCCCCCCCCAAGGTACATTTTTCTGGCATGTACTCCTGGCTTAGTCTGACGGTTTTCCACCCCCTCCTTTAGGGCTCCGGAAACTTTGTTTGGTCACCTTGTTTCTTGATGGATTAACCTCAGTATCGGGGATGTTTCTAATGGTTCCATTGGTTCCACAACCGACTTGTCAGATTCCTGGCAGCCTTTGATTGACCAGCGAGCCCGACTCACGTATGCGGGTCCCACAGCCTCGACCCTCTGACTCTCTCAATCTCACATCCCGAAAGGGGCCCAGAAGCCCTTGTTCCAGCACGGTCACACCGCGGAGAGTGCCTCGTCTGTGGGTTCGTTGAAGCCTGCTACGTGGGCCTTCACAGATGGCTTGGGCGAGCTGGTTCGTTGCGTGTGGGTGACATCTCATCTCCGGAGGGTACAACGCTGCTGCTCCACGTTGCCATCCGTTCTTGTGTAAGATAGGATTTTGTATAAAGCTCCCCCAGTTTCATCTCATCCAGGATGGTCTTGAACGGATCACCAACCAACTCTCTCTTTCCATTCTCCAGTCATTCCCTCGGCCGGACCCGACAGCTCGCAGATCAGGCATCGCTCCTTTGATACGCGCAACCAATACAGTAGCAGCTTCACTCCTTTGCAAGCCTACCTCATCCAATCTTTCTGAGAAAGAATCACCAAGCCTCCAATCTTAGAGAGCTACTCAAACACCGGCAATCCTTCGTTTCGGAAAAAGAGACTCAGTCCTTACAAACACACTTCAACCAACAAAATGTTCGCTTCCACTTTGACCACCTTCCTTGCTGCTTCGGCCAGCTTGGTCTCGGCCGCTTCCATCCCTATCCGGTCCGCCGGCCAGTCCGGCACCGCAAGCGTTACTCCCCATGACGTCTACTCGTCCTCCATTGGTGTCCTCGGTTGCAAGATCGACATCAACCGCGTCGCCTACTGGCCCAACCCCGTCAGCTGCAAGGACATTTGCGTTAAGGTCTCTTACGGGGGACGCAGCCTCAAGCTTCTCCGCATCGACCAGTCCGGCGGCGCTTATGACATTTCTTACGACGCCTGGAACTACCTCAGCACCGGCCAGAGTGCTACCGAGAACCCCACCCAGGGCGGTGGTATCCAGATGGAGTGGGAGGCTCTCGACGCTGAGGAGTGCAAGCCTCTCCTCAAGGATGGCAGGCTGCCCCTCTCTGCTGCCAACAGCATGAACTACCTGTCTTCTTGCCTTGCCGATCCCGATAGCTTCGTTGCCAAGAACCACGCCCTGTACAACATCCAGAACTCCGCCTGCACCTGGGGCGTCGATGAGGAGTGCAACCTTGACTTGACCGTCAGCAACCAGGCCTCTTGCCCCAGCGGTCTCGGCTCTGTCAAGGCCTTGAAGGATCTTCCTGTTGACAACATTGCCTACGGAACCGGAGTTTCCACCACTGCCCTCCAGTAAGCGAGCGCACTTGCACGGGATGCAACACCAGGATACCACCAAATGATGCATACGATATTATGATATTTGTACATAGTTTTATAGAAGAGACCCAAAAGCAGTCCAATCCTTTTGAAAATCTAGCTCCCTTCCTGATCAGAATATTGTGACGACTATGATTCAGTAGAAATCGATGGCCACGAATGAGATCCTCGGCGATCCGCATGGTGGTTTTCGGCATCAGATTGACCTTATAATCGTCCTAATGAAACATGAAATTGTGTGCGAGACAAGCTTGATGACTTTATCGAAGATCTGAGCCTGTTGGTTGGGTCTGAATGTTGAAAGCTTGGCACAAGGTCTTAGTAACAAAGACTGCACCGCGGATTAAAGCGGGATAATACTTTTGTCTCAGTGCTGAATAATGACCTTCGCACATGCTGTTGGCTTTTGATGGCCCCAGTCGCGGGTCTTTTAGTGACAGCCCCCATGTCTCAGTGTTGCATAACCGCCCGATGCCCCCAACCATTCAATTTTGACCTTATGGTTTCTGTGAATAGCAAGAATGTAGATTGTACTTCGCTTTGAGCTTATGGGAGTTTGTGAGCTCGTTATCTGAAGTACACATTAGACTCCAACTTTAGTATCAGTACGACATGGAATTCCTGCGTCAGGGTCTCAAACAACAGTTTCTCTGGCGGTTAAGTAATCTCCACTTTCTCACATCTGTGATGAGGCTCTAGAGAAGAAATGAAAACTTTCTTTTTGAACCTTGCTTATCAAGGCGCGCTGGTGCGGTTCAAGACATGTACGTCACCTCCAGCAGAGCTCGTTCAGGGAACACTCAGCCACGACCCTAATGACATGGCTTGCCTACTGAGAACTTCAAACATTTTATTTGCCAGAGACTTTTATGGCGCCCAACTAGGCCGGCGGTGATTTAATCGTGCTAGCCGCGCCATAATGTTGGTGTATCTCACAGTTGCTCAGTCATACTGACAACTTTATCACAAAAGCCTTATTACATACTCGTGATACTTGCTTACACTGGGGTCGGTACGCTTTAAGAACAAGTGGCTGACTTGTTATCGCTTCAGCATTCCTCCAGTCATGGAAAAAAGCAAAGCAAGCCTTTGGCGTTACAATGACAGTACCAAGATTGCCGTACGAAAAGCAAGTTACTTACTTATCCGTTTCTCTTGGGCATTGAGTAGAGACATCAACAACCAGAACGTTTGTTAGTCCTTTCCCGGAGATTTGATGTTCAAAAAAATGTAAATGTTTGTCCTCCAAGTGTAATGAAACGTTGAATGAGACTCTGTCTATCCAATATTGCGCGGCCATCATACAATTCCCTGGACCAGTCGAATGCTCAGTATTTGGGAACTAACTAGCCATATTCAATTTGCCAGCTGTCGTGGTCGAGGAGCTTTTGTTGCTTTCCAGTCTTATTTTCCATCAAAATGATAACGCTACGATTGGACCCAAACTCGCAACATATTTTTGATTAAGTTGCTGTTTATCCTTCAGTTATCTTTCTTCACAATGCTTCTCTTCGCTTGTGTTCAGTAGTGGCGGAGATGCCTTCCCATTATGTCAATGGAGATGTTGGTCTAACATTCAGCCAGGGCAAACAAGATGCTCGTCCTGAAAATGAATTCCCAACTGTATTCATATCAGGAAGTGATGATTGTCACCATAGCCCCATGTGGTCAGGTTTCATCGTCAGATTCAAAGTGATCCGTCAGTCGAATGATCACGTTAATAGTGACTGCGAGGGATACGACCCCGGTTGCTATGAGATCGTAAACTGTCTGTCTTGTCGGGGACAAGAATTTAGGCTAGATTTTCACATCCAAGCATAAACTTAAACTCAAATGGCTGTACCAGGTCAATCGTCCCAACTTCACCTAGATGTATATTGGCATACGTTGTCGTTTACTACACATCTATGGGATAGCTGCAGATACATTAAGAGCAGCTTATGGACATCAAGGTTCTAAAGAGCAGCAAGAAAAGGTTTGTTAGAATGCATATCTCATGCCGTTTGGTTAGGGTCGGCTATCCTGTATGTTCTGTGCAAGTGGCAAACTGCACACCCTGGCTTTTATGAAGTTGCTCGCTTGTGCTAGCTACCAGTAACCTATGGATGGCCTCCGAAGATAAAGGCTCGTATTCAACCTACTTAAGCCAATGAATTTCAAAATCATGCACGGAGATTACAGCTTGCATGATTGTTTGTGTCTATTTGCAAGTGATACGGTGAAGCAACGGTACAACATCGTCTCCGCAAACAACTCCATTTCGACTGATAGACGCGCCTTTGAAAGAGATTTCAGGAGCTGTACGATAAATTGAAGCTTACTGAAACAAATATAATGGGCAAATGAGTTACTCAAATTTGTTTAACCTCAAGACAGAGCGTCAACCAAGGAGTTCACGGCAGGAGTGCTGAGAGTGATGACAGAGTCATCCCTTAGTGAGTAGTTGAACACTTCTCCCGTGTATTGAATTGTATGCACGTCTTTTCGGTAAACTTAAACCGAGTAATTATCGAGATTTAAGCGTGAGAATTAGAATTTCACAGAGTGAAAATACCAACCGGTTGTGGTCTTCGATGGAGCCTTGGCCAACACGTTTGAAACGGATTTTATTAAGAGTCAGCGCATATTCCGAAGCAAAAACTCACCAAGGAAATTCAAACTAGCACAAAAGAAGGAATGCTTATTTACGATGAAGCCAAGGGTCGGCGCTGGGTCTCGAGAATATAGCGCTGAAGTGAGGCTTAACGAGCGCAGTCAAGCTACGAATAGCACGCACTTGGACAGAAGTTGTCACAGCAACAGAGAACTGGCAGGTCAATTTGGAAACTTGCTTTCTGTTGTCCTATTGCTTTTCTTGGCTGCCTGAGTTCTGGTTTGAGACGGATCACGGATTGGTTTGGTAACTCGAAAGTAGACCACAATCACAGCAGCAAACCTTTCTAAACTGCAACTCTTCAGGAATTAGTAACTGGCTAGAAGCGAAAACCTGTGCTTATTTCGGACCAAAACTATGTTGAGGCTCTTTCATTCTACAGCGTTCCTATGCCGTCCAGGATTGACATCGCCAGCCAGGGAGTTGCGCCTTTTAAAGTAGCCAAAAGTTAAACAAATTCGAGAAGCTACCCTCCGACAAGGTTACACGTTGTCCCCTGGCTAAACTTTCCAGTCACTCACTTCACAGACTGACCTCGATGTCAACCAATACCCGGGTTCATTGCGTAGCTCGTGTTCCGCAGGAAAATTCAATGTCACCTTGTCCATTTTTTAGGTAATTCGACCGCTTAAAAATCGCGTCAATCCCACCATAACTTGCCCCTCCCCAACATCTCATTGGCGCAATTCGACGATCACTGGTGGGGGATGATCAGATAAGATTATCGCATCCATCTCCCTGCATAAGGTATCCCGAGTTATAACAAGCTTTCGGCGCCCGTCCAGCAGCGTTCATCCCATTGAATTCCGAGTCGGGGAGGCAAATGGGGCATGGCTCCCCGCAACGCCGAACAGGGAACGGGTGTGGGTTGAACCAATACGCTATCTGACGCTATCGGTCTCTCTTATGTATGGAAAGGCTCGTCCCGCCATTCTTCAGCGCTTCTTTCCGCCCCCCTTGCACATCCAAATTCCAAAAGATCACCCAGAAAAACATGGATGGCACTCGTCTTCCCGAACTGCCGGTCTTGGCTCTTCAAGAAGGAGTCGACCGGACACAGATCGACGCCGGAAAGATTTCCGCCGACTGGCTCGCAACGCTAGAGCGCCGCTTCACCGAAAAGTCATTCGGTGATCTTTCAGATCTGTTCATTGACAACTGCTGGTGGAGAGACATCGTCGGTCTGTCATGGGATTTCACCTGCAAACAGGGGCAAGAATCAATCAGCAAGTACCTTAATTCAGCAGAGCATGGGCTCTCAGATATTCAAACCAGCAAATTCGGTGGGCTGCAACCGTTGTTGATTGACTTTGGCGGACAGATTTGGATCCAGACGGGCTTCACATTCAAAACTCCGCATGGAGAGGGCAAAGGTCTATTGAAGTTGGTGAATGTTGGGTTGACAGAATGGAAGGCATGGACGATATTCACCCAGCTAGAGAAGCTCGATTTTCAAAAGGAGCTAGAGGCAGAGAGAGACGCTCAATTGCCGGGAACAGAAGCGCCCGCTACTAGTGGTGTTAATGGCCATCAGACTTCTGAGGTAGAAGATGTGCAAGTCTTAATCGTAGGCGCTGGTCAGTTGTCCCAACTCTCGTCTATGTTTATTACTAACGCATCTCGTAGCCCAAGCTGGGCTTATGCTCGGAGCGCGGCTCAAGCATATGGGAATCAAGACACTCCTTGTGGAGAGAAACGCCAGGCTTGGCGACTCATGGCGGCAGCGATACCAGAGCGTCACGCTCCACACGCCAACTTACACGGATCATTGGGCATTCCTCAAGTTCCCGGAGACCTGGCCTAAGTTTCTGGTAGGAGACAAAGTCGCCGAATGGATGGAGCACTACGGACAACTCATGGGCCTCGATATCCTGTACAATACCGAGGTCACAAAGGTCACATACGACGGAGCTGCCAAGAAGTATACCGTTCAAACTCAAACACCGGAGGGGTTACAGACTATCTCAGCACGCCATGTAGTCTTAGCCACTGGTGTCTTCGGAGACCAACCAATTGTCCCTAGTTTCCCTGGTCAGGACTCTTTCAAGGGCCAGATATACCACTCCAAACAACACAAGTCTGCCGCCGAGATCCCAGACGTGGGCAAAAAAAAGGTGGTGGTTATCGGAGCCGCGACCAGTGGCCACGACATCTCTGCGGATTTCGTCACGCACGGGGCCAAGGAGGTGACCATGGTCCAGCGAAACGCGATCTTCTCCATTTCTAGAGAGTCTTGGGAGACCTTCATTCTCTCGTTGTGGAAGATTGACGGACTCAGCACCGAGGAGGCGGACATCGTGGGCAACGCCATTCCTTTGGCGGTCATCAGGACCATGAGCATCGGTCTCACGAAGATGATGGCCGAGCGTGACAAAGAAGTGCACGACGGGCTGAAGAAGGCTGGTCTAGAAATCAAGGAGGGCGAGGACGGTTACGGCCTAGCGGACTTCCAGCTTATCAAAGGAGGGCAGTACTACATTGACCAAGGCGCGAACAAGATGATCATTGACGGCCGAATCAAAATCAGACGATGCGAACAGGGCGTGAAGGAGTTTCAGGAAGATGGGCTCGTTCTCGCTGACGGGAGAAAGATTGAGGCGGATGTTGTGGTTTTCGCGACTGGGTTTCAGAAGGAGACAACCACCATTGAGAAGTTGATGGGCCCGGAAGTTACAAAGAGACTGCGGAAGTTTGGACAGCTGGACGAGGAGCAAGAGAGATCTGGGGTAAGTTGATAAACCTAGTTTTTGTTGGAGAGTACTGACAAGAATCCAGTGGTGGCGATCGACTGGAGTGCCAGGGTTCTGGTACATGACTGGCAGCTTCATGTACTGTCGACAGTTCTCCTTGCCATTGGCTCTGCAGATTGCGGCAGTTGAGAAGGGCCTCAACAAGTCTCATTACGACGAAGTCTGAAGCCAGAAAAGGAGGAATATCTGAACAGGCGCATGGCCAACTAAGCAATGCTGTGCTGTCTTGTTTAGATTTTTAATTTTTCCTATTCCGGTTGTTCATGCTGGCCTACGCGGTTTAGACTTGCCTAATTACAGGCCACAACAACTACCACCATTTTGGAGGTGAATAGCAAGTAAGGAAGCCTGAATTTAGCACGTTGGACCCATTTAGAAGTAGGTTTGTAGTATAAGCCTAGTACCTTAGGTGTAGATTACAGCCACGCTTACTCCTTACAACCAAGGGAGTTTACGTACCTAAGTTTGCAATGTGGATTGGCTTCAGGCAATCCTGACAATCTCACAATTTGCCGCCAAGTATTGATAAATCGTCACAAAGATCCTGAGTAAAGGTGAGTTTGCAACTTAGACAGCAATCGTGCAAGACAGGGTAGCTCCAGATGTCACTCGTCCCGGAGTGTTGAAGAAATCAGCTCTGGAATGTTGTTTGTGCACCCCATATGATGGCTGTAATCAGAAAAAAATACCGAGCATACCGGTAGGTATTCATTCATCGAATGCACTTCGTGGAACAGGTGCAAGACATGTCAAAGTGAGACGTAGGGTAGTGATCACTACCAACGTGGCCAACGATGACAAGAGAGACATCTGCTGGCGATCTTGAAGCAGAGTGAGCAGCGGCATCCCAAACAAGAACCACATGGAAAAGTACAAAAACACCAACGAGGAATGTGAGTCTCTACGGTTTACCCGAAGCCTCGTGGTCATTGGAACGCGAGGTCTCAGTCAGTCATTATCAAAAAGTATCTCAGAGAAGTAAAGCTGTGGAACCCACAACCACGCTATCAGCACGTGACTTCACATGCGCCCAGGCCCGATAAGCATTAACGTTCAGAGAAGTGTCCTCTACCCATGTCCCAAATGGGGGTCCGACTCGGGACGGACCAGCTGGCAACAACCTCACAACCACCAAACCACGATCCCACGTCCTGACGACTCTGCGGTCCGACTTCACCACCTCACGACAAAAAGATACCCGAAGACGACCACACACATACACACACACACACACACCCTACCCTTCTTTTCAAAAGAAAGATCCATAATCCGCAACAAGTAACGCCAAAGGGAAAAATAAAATCAAAGACATCGCCAAAATGTCTGAACTCACTCACTTCGACCTTCTCCCCCTCCAAATAGATCCCCAGTCCAAGGCGATCACGGCTCCGTCATCCTCCTCCCGCGCCTTGGCCAACGAGCTCGCTCAACTAAACGCCCTCCACCGCTCCCTCGTCACCTCCGACACCACAACCCAGCACGGCGTGCCGCCGCCGCCGATGCCCGTCAACCCCAAACGCTCCGCCAACGTCTCCAAGCTCCGCGACAGCGGCAACGCCGAGTTCCACAAGAAGAAGTACGCCGAGGCCGTCAAGTTCTACACCCTGGGTCTCCAGATGGCCCTCACCAGGCCCCTGTGGGAGCCCTCCCAGCTCGTCCGCGAGGAGGTCGCGAGCCTGTACGCCAACCGCGCGCAGGCGCACATGGCGCTGCAGCAGTGGGCGGAGGGCTCCGTGGATGCCGAGGCGAGCGTCGAGGCGCGCAAGGTCGGAAATGCCAAGGCCTGGTGGCGCAGAGGACGCTGCCTCATGGAGATGGGCCGGCTCGAGGAGGCGCGGGAGTGGGTTGGCAAGGCGCTCGAGTACGAGGGCGAGGAGGGTGAGCTTGTTGCGCAGCTCAAGGAGATCGAGGCCAAGATTGAGCAGAAGGAGAACGCTTGAGTTGACAAGACACATGCGAGGCTACGAGAAGACTATCACGGTGAAAAGGATATTAGCAGGTGTCGTCGGCGTCACAACAGCAAAACATGCCTCCGAAGCCAGATACTGAGCACGGTTGACACGGTTGAATATAGAGGAGATAGCGGACAGCGGAGGATTAGCCGTACAGGGAGTGGGAGTACTCGGCTGGCGGAGTCAGCACCATGGATCGGAGGTGGATAGACGAGAGCCATTTGCATGGCAGGGCTCACAGGAGAGCCTGCCATTTTTCTCTGGTAAAAACTCCCAGTCTCACTTCACGGGCGGCGAACCAAGTCTACAGCATACGCGGAATCGGGTCATTCAGCATTTCTAGTATACCACATGTACCAATACCTATGACTATGAACCCCAATTCGTGAGAGGACGTGTACCATGACTCAAGTCGTATCTTGAAAGTAGTGCCTTCAAAGAAAAAGGGAAAAGGTATGTAACACGGCCCGAGCATCGTAGTAAACCATTTAAACACTATGCATGGGATGCCATCATTGCGTACTCGCTCCAACATCCTCTGGATATCCCAACAGACCAAATAGAAAGAAAGCCCATGCGTGAGGGTGCTTGTCTTCGCAGCCGCCCATTTCCATTATCCTCCCATCTCACCGTTTGCAAGCACGTAGACTGTTGATACTCAGATCGGTACCGTTTCGCATGGCCGAACTAGCTGTTGTTCGGAGCGCCCAAGTCAATCATCCAGTGCTCTGGGCCATAAATTCGTCGCTTGCTCTCCATTCAGTTCATCTGCGTCGCTAGTCGGCGGTGTGTAATTCTTTCCCGCCCATCGACAAGTTCGTGTCGTGATTGAGTCTGGCCTCAAGCGGCCATTGTTTGCGTGAAGTGGCGATTAAGAAGGCGGTCCTTAGGCAGCGGTGGTCTTCTCGGTCAAAGTCTTGCCGCGCGGGCGCATGACGGCGTCCTGACTGCTCATTCTGCGATCCAACGCACGCTCCAGCTTGGCACCGAGGGCCAACTTGCTCATGTTTGCAGTCTTCTCCTCGCTCAATGTGACTCTCTGGGAGCTAAGGGCCTTGTTCTCCATGCGGTCGAGTCCGGTCGCGATATCGACAATTTCTGCGTGAGCAGAGTCGGTGGTCTGGACGGTATTGGCGAATGAGGGTGCCATGCTGAATGTACTGTATCGCACAGAGGCTCGCACCTGTGAAGGGGGGGTTTCAGTCAGAACGGTGCTCATACTTGGGTAGTTAGGCGTGTGGGAGTATGTTAAGGAGACAAGAGGATAACGAGAAAGAGGGAAATCGCACGGGAGGAGTAGGTATTAAGGCACAAACAAGATGCAGGGAGCAAGGTAGTGCGTGTCGTGAGGGGCGTTGGGTGGGAGGTGAGTTGTCGAGAGTTGCGGCGTCAAAGAGGCAAAAGGGTTCGAAAAATGAGGCGTGGCACGAGGAGACGGAACCAAACACCAGGTAAAGGAAGCACGGAAAGGCTAGAGCAAAAAAGCCAATATCAGGAGACAAGACAACGTACTGAGGGAGCCATGATGGGACGAGAGGAGTCGAGTGAGGTGGGCATGGTGATTTTTGGGTTTGGCGAGATCCCTGCGGGAAAAAAAGGTTTTGCAGAAAGTGGCCGTCCAGTGTCTTGTCGAGAATGGTTCGAGTTTCCACAGCCCGGGGCTTGCTTCACGACTGTCGGACCAAGCACAAGAGGTACAGGGCAGCTGGGACGACAGGCGAGGATCTAGCAGCTCCTGTAGAGGTACTGTTTTTTCCCTTGCGGCGAACGGCGTGGGTACAGGCGGCAGCGGCAACGGCAGCGATTGACAAGTAACGGTAGCGGCTCCCGGGGGGGCACGCGAGAGCAAGGCAGAGAAGCGGATTGATTTCGTTTATTCGTTTCCTCGTTCTGGGGTGAGGTCACAGGGGACTTTCGATGAGGGTAGGTTGCAGGACCGTTGACGGGGGAGTTGGAAGTGGATTGTTGTAAAGTGGAATGAGATGGATGAGGACACAGGCGAGATTGAGGTTCGGGGAGGGGACGATCGATGGGTCCGAACTGGGGATTGGGTCGTATCGCGCAAAAAGTTCGAAGTGGGCGAGTCCAAGAAAAGGAGGTTCGAGGGCGGAAGAGGGATTGAAATGGAAATAGAGGGAGAGGGAGAGAGAGAGAGAGAGGAGACAAGACGGAGGAGAACTGGAGACTGGAGACAGATGGAGATGGACAGACCAGGGTTCAGGTTCAGGTACAAGAGTGGGTTTCTGGATTTCTCGGGCGGAAGCGAGGCGAGGGAAGAGAGCGAGAAAAAGAGAGAGAGCGGAAAGAGCAATTATCAATTAATCAGGCACCGGTAAGTACGGGTACCTGACGTGGTTGCAAAGGCAGGAACGGAACGGGTGGGTGACAGCTGGCGCAGGCACAGGTACAGGCACTGGTACAGGCACTGGTACAGGTAGGCACAACACAAAGATAAGCAGGAGTATGCAGAGGAAGGAATTACCCAGGTGGGAACACAAGGCAGTGAGGCAGTCAGTCAGACAGTCAGGTGGTAAGGCTAGCGCATCGCGCCTACGTCTGTTCCTTCCTAAATTACCCCCGTAAATGGCGAGTCCCATGTCCCATTTGGAGGCAAGCGTGGCAGGCACAGGTCGGAACGGCATACGGGTTAGAAACAGAGCTATCTCGCAGGAAGGAAAGGGAGTGAGTGCCTGTCTAGGGAAGGCGGCCTTAATCTCAAACAGATCAGGAGAAGGAGTACCTGAGTGGATGAGGATGGGCAGAGCGGGGCCAGGAGAGAGAACCTATCCTGCGTAACGAACGGGCTTGGGAAGGTGCCAAGTGTATTGTGTGGAAAGAGCGACCTGCACCGGCCATCCACTGCCACTGGGCTAAACGGAAAGCAGGTCGCAGGCAAGAGCCATGTGCAGAGCAGGGATGCTGGCGGTAGGGGCTAGACCGGCAGCTCAGGGTCGACCCATGTCGGCCGTTTTTTTCCCTTCCAGCTCCTCTTCACCCACTTTCAAGCCACCACGGAAGTTTGCAAATGCACTGTACTAGAAGCGTAGGGTGCCGTGGATACATGCCTCGTACCAACCATAGTGCGTGAGAGATGGTGACTTGCATGAGCTGGTCTGTCTCACTGAGCTCTATTAGCGCCGTGCCAGCAGCCCAACTACTAGATTAGATTTCCCCGCTAAGACATTACCAGCCTGATTGACTGACCAACTAATAAGCTGACTGCTTGCTTTCCAGCCTATTTCTTTTCTCCTGAGAATGGTAAAATAGGAGGATAAAAAGTCTATCATTGACTCGGGAGTAAAAAACAGCTAGAATTATCTGTAACGATGGCCTGGAATTACTAAATACCTCGTCCCAGCGACCAGTGCTCCAGACTCGGCATCTAGGGGTTCCCCCCCTCCATCCACTGTAGTCGTTCTGCCTTGCCTGCCCTTGCCTGCCTCCTTGTTCGGACATTTCCAGTGGGTGGCATGCGTGTGAGGGTGGTAGGTCCGTTCCTCCCACAGAAAACTTGAAAGGCAGGGCAACTACCTGGACGGCAGCAGTGTACATATGTAGGTAGGTACAGTGCAGTGCAGTGCAGTGCAGTGCAGTGCAGTAAGGCCTCCTTCCCCTACTTCCGCAGTAGTCAGATCCAAACCATGGCAAGAACCGCATTATAAAAACATCAGCAGCGATGGCGGCGGCGGCGGCGGTGTTAGGAGAGAACCGACCCGGAAGGCCAAGCCCAGCCTCCCGGCACCTTCCCTACCATGACACGAAGTCACCAACCTAAATTCTCCCTTCTGGCATGCCCGAACCGGATGCTACCTGCCTTTACAGAGTAGCAACACTCTTTCCAAATTCACAATTGCTTCTTTTCGGCTCGCTCCTTGTGAAAAGCTCCCACATTGTCTCCCTCTCCCGGGTTTCACGCCCAGTTCCCAGTACCGTGGATGTCATGTTTCTCAAATACCCCGGCCGCATGTTCCATGTTTCTTCTACTACAACAATAATACCTAATCCTTTGTTTTTTGCTGCCCCCCTCCCCTTCCCCCCGTCCCATGTCGCATGTCCGCGATCGTCGGGGTCCCATTGAAATGCCCCGACCCCATCCTCAGCCCGCCTGCATCTGGATACCCTCGTCATTGTTACTGCTCCGTCCTCGGCCGGATGCGTCAGCTTGCTAGCAAAGCCAACTAGACACCAAAGAGACTTAGAGACACATGGCGAAAGGTTATGAATGCCCTTTCAACTGCCGAATCGCAATCTTCGCCCGTCGACGTTTTCTCACACCCCTCGCTTATTCACTTATTCTTTGCCTTCCACCGGTAGATCCGTTCTATTCCATCATCTTCGACAACCCTGTCGGCCTCTCCCTCGTCCTGAATCCTCATATCCATGACATGATATGACATGACCATGGCAGCAGCGGCAGCAGCAGCAGCAGGTTACGGCAAATACGATGCACTACCCACAAGGGGCTACCGCTCAGACGCAAAGATCATCTGTGGGAAAGGGGGCACAAGGACCACCATTTCGAAAGAGGAATCAAACGAAGGAATGCCCGCCCACATGGGCCGATCATCTATCCAGCCAGCCATTCATTCATCCATCCATCCACTACCAGTCCATCTCAGCCGTGTTTACCATATCAACTCCAACAGTTTTCGACGCATCCAAGAGGTCCGGGAGCCACTCCAGTAAATCACAACAGCACAACGGAGCAGCTTGCGAAGGCCACTCACACCTCCTCATAAACTCCTTTTCGGGAACACATCTCCGAATCCACGTGTCGCGTGCTTCAATTGAGTTCGGGCCCCTCCCCTCCCTACTCTGGCTTATTCTGCTCTCTCCCTAATTCGGTCAGAACCATTTGTTACCCTCAACTTGGTTCCCAATGAGTGGCTTTTCCTTCCGCCCACCGATCGGATCTACACAGCCAAGGCCGCCGGATCCTGCGCAATGAACCAGATTGTCAGACCTCCTCAATGTCCGTACGGAAACAAGCCGATTGACACTGACACCGCTGAACGCGCCTGGTAGTTGTAGTCAGACAGGGTCTCGGCCACTGTCAAACATCCGGTGGCTGTCATTCTGGCCTGAACCTCGTCCGCAATGTGTTTTAGCCCATTGTCGATCATTTTGGCCAAGCAAGCCCCAGAGACCCTGACACTCAGGCCGTAACGGACCCAAGTTCCACCACATTCCTTCTTCGTCGGGTGAGTCTCGTCTATCGCGGCAAACAAGACTTTGAGTACGTCCGAAGGGCCGTTAACGTCAACCCACCTGTCGCTCAGTGAAAGCCACTATGGGCAGTGTCCGTCTGGCTTAACTCTATCGGCCAGAATGACGCCCCTGAAATAAGAGTCCAGCTTCGCCGCTTTGAAAACGGCCCAGTAATGACGACTACCCATCGTAGACGATGAGCTTGTCGATCAGCATATGACGAGACCAGCCACCTACCGGCAATTGTCGAGTCTGTCGAGCACCTCCACCACTTTATCTCGCTAAGGATAGCACGTATTGTATTCCAAGCTATCTGTACACATGGCCCGTCTCAGATCATCGGCGTCTGTCTTTGTGTCTTCCGCTCACACCATCGAGACCACCAGTTGGCCCTCCTCAGACCACTTTCGATGTTACTCTGGCCTGACAGGTACGCCAATGGTTGCTTCCCCTCACTTGCGTCTAGTCCTTTCTAAGCAGTGCGTTCATTGCTGCATGCTTCGCACGTGGCAAACGCACCCATTCCCCAGCCGCTAGGCACTGCTCTGTACTACAAAGTACATGGCCTCGTGGAACCACATAGGGTTTTCAGCGGATGGCACATTCTTATCCTTGGCAGAGACCATCATTATTAGCATTGCCTTTCTGTCGTTGTGCCTGCCGCTTGGTCAAGCTTTGCTATATCTGAACCTCAAACTTAGCATGACGTTGGCTTCCTTTTGAACGAATCGCTGAAGTTGGCTAATTACTATCTCATGATTCACGCTTTAACCTGCTGGAAGGGATGTTCAGCTCAACAGGCAAAACCAATCAATCCCCATCCCGCATCTGCTTTCGTCGCCCCAAAAAGCTGCGGGTACTACCATTCGGCCGCATGTTGCCACCCTGTTGCGCACGAAACTAGTTCTTCAGGTTTCATTGCGGATGTTGACCTGAATAGCCCCGTGTCTCCAGACCTGTACATGTGCAAATGCCTCGGCTTTCATTTGACTTCTTCCGCAATTGTTACGTTGGTATTTCAAAGGCAAGGGACGCTATATTCCGCGACAGCACAAGATTACCACCCTCGAGTCATGCCCCAGTTCGGCTCGGACACGTCCCAGAGCTCATTGGGACAAACGGTTACCCACTCACTCTGGCGCGGCCCAAGTTCAACAGGTCCCACCTCTTCCACGTGGTTTCCCGCATTCTCAAGAAACAGATTCCTGGGAGCCCCATGAGAAATCAACGCTCAGGTCGAGCGAAGTGTTCCAAAAGAACAGCTTGATTCGCTGCAGAGCAACGTATTTTGTAACTGTGCGGTTCTGGCTATTACTGGCACCGTAAATTGCAGATAGCTAGATGCTTCGGACGCGATTTGTGTTTGCCAAGAATCCGCCCCATCCCCAAATCCGGTTGACTGTTCTTCAATGACTTGCTGACCTGAATAGCCAAGCCGTCCCGACTACATGCCCTCGGCATTCGCCTGCAACCCTAGGTTATCATCCTGTGGGCCATGTATACAGTTCAAAACCAATACCACCTGCCGCCGTTGCTCAACTTTGGCCTCATCCAATGTGCTGTCAATCATACATTGACTGCGGCGGTGAATGTTACTATTGCGGACCCAGTACCCCTCGCTTTGATAGATCTTCCATACACGATGGTTAGCAAGAGAACTTGTGCGCTGCCTACGAATCTTGGCAATATGGACGACTGCGTCAGTATATCTCTCCTGATTCAACAACCATGCTGTCAAGCGTCCGAGTTATCCGAGCTTTGGAGGTCTTAGGGTAAACCGCCTCGTGGCCCGCCATCAAGGCCCGCTTGGGCTGGTCACTTGCTGTGGGCTGACGCCAACTGCGCTGTGCAAGTTGTCAAGCTTTGTCAAAACGTCGAACACGTGCACTACCGCGGAGAAACGAAGCAAGGTCGACGCAAATGTAGCCAAGGCTTTTTCGAGGGAGCGGTAAGACCGGAAGTCAAGACAGGCTGCTGCTTCTGATAAGTTTGCCTTCTCCTGATGTGTTCCTTGATGGTGGGGAATGCAGGCAGCTTCTGGACCTCTTCCAGGGTCGTGCTCAAGACAACTAACGAAACAATTTACCTTGACAGCTGCATTGAGACGGCAGTGGCTTTGGGCAGTTAAGCCCAGCAAGTATCAATAGTTTTCAAGTTTGACAAATAACCGTTCGTATTTGGTTGTCTGGGTTGAATTAATGGTACGGGGCTGGGGCTGGCTTCCAAAAGGTTGAGAATACAGCTCACTTGGTGAGAAGATAAATCAACAAATCATAAACAACTCTAATTAAGAGCAGCAGGATGTTTTTTGTTTGTCTGATGCATCCCACAACTATAGACCTTTGAGAACCGCGAGGGTTATTCCCGCATCTATCAATATTCCTGTCCCATTGACATAATTGGACGCAGGACTGCACAAGAAGACCACCACGTCGCCTACCTCGTCCGCCTCAGCCGGACGTCCTTCCGGCGAAACGGCCTGGACAAACTCACGCATTCCGGGTGCACGCGAGGTTTCGTCCTCGTACATGGCCGTGTTGACCCACCCCGGTGCGACCGCGTTGACCCGGATGTGCTTCTCTCTCACATCCTTTGCTGCAAACCTGTCAGATTCATCCCCCTCATCGCCAATGGTACGGCAACGACAGAATTGGCTTACCTGTAGCCCTTGTTATTCCCAACGATGCGTGTTTTGAGGCAGAGTACGCGACCTTGTGCTGCACGGATCCATACGCCAACGCAGAGAGCACGTTGACAATAGACCCCCGCGACAGCTCTCTTTCCGCGCCCAGAACCGTCTTGTACCTGGTTCTCTCCTGCTTCTCCATGATCTTCACAGCAGCCCTCGTGACGACCAACAGTCCTCGAGTATTCACGTTCCAGGTCTCGTCAAAGATGGCCATGTCATTATCCGGCACCTTGGGGTCTCCCAGCCCGCCGACACCGGCGCTGTTGACGAGGTAATCCAGTCTTTCAAAATCTTCGGCGACCTTTTGCAATAAGGTTGTGACGGCCGCCTCGTCCCTGACGTCGAGCTTGTATCCCCGCGCTTGGTAGTCGGGGTTGGTGGCGTACTCTTTGCTCTTGGCAGCAGCGGCTACGGCGCTGTCCTCGTCGATGTCGGCGAAGATGACGGCGCGGGCGCCCGATGCAGCGAAAGTGAAACCCGTCGCGCGGCCGACACCGCTGCCGGCCTTGTTATGTCAGACGAGATTTGACCTGGGCGCTGAAAGCGGAACTTACTCCGGTGATGAAGGCTACGCCTTCGGTCTTGTAAGAGGCTGCCATATTGTGAGGGAGTTTCTGTCGAGGTTCCTTGGGGTCTTGATGGATGCAGGACGCGAGGTGTGAGTGCTTCTTATGTGTCCCTCCCTTTCCTCCCCCCCAATCCCTCTTTCTCTCTCCGGACTGCGTCGGATGTAGAACTGTCCCAATGCTCAGTGACATGCCGATGTAACCAGAAGAGCGATCCATCCAAGCATGCCATCGGCCGCCAGGCATGTGCGTTGACGTGATTCGCCGAACAGTAGTTGCTGACGGCGCAGCATGTAGCATGCAATCTACGCCTCTCGGGTAGCACAGCAGGAAGCTGGTGGAAGAGGGAAATATACCCGATCTGGAATCTTGGCGAGAGTGATTGGCGAGAGCTCACATTTCACGCCGACGGCGATGTGGAGAAAGATTGCTTGCTTTTAGCGTAGGATAGTCGTAGTCCTGCAGATAAGAAAATAGTTGCCTAATTTTGGACGCGCGGGGTTGTCGGCGTGGTTATACGAAGATACAGGGTGATTTGGCAACTTGGGAAAATGGGGAATAGAGGATTACAGGACATATTTCGGATTTTCTTGAATGAGCGCGGATTGAAAGTAGATATCTGGCCGTGGCCCAGACTATCTGAATTTGGGTCTCAACTGTCATCCGAGTTGTACGAAAGATACGTCGTGTCGGTCATGATGATATATAAATGTGCGATGTTACTTGCATAATTTGCTAGATATTTACTCTTCGCAGACCCCGTCGTTTGGATCGGCTCTATGAGGTACGTAGATTAGCATGTTAACCTCACACCCAAAGGAAGCATCCACATGGAGGATCTAAAGGAGCAATCCAGAGGAAACATTCAAAGGAAGATAGCAGCTTACGTGTATTCCCAATTCCAATACGCCGTTCTCCCCCCATACTCGCATGAAATTTCCCTCTGCATACCACACCAGCATTCGAGAGGATGCATGTGACGACTCTGGTGAAAACGGAGTAACTGCACAAAAAAAAAGAATTACTTCCAGACTGGGAAGAAAAGACGTAAGGCGGGGAAGATGGTTGCACTAACCCTGACTTCAAAATCCCATCTTTTGCCCTCGTCGTCGAGAATACAGCGGCGTCTGCTCTCGCGCGGAGCGTAGCCGCCCGAGAAGAAATCTCTACAGAGCGCCGATGCGTGGTTTGCGACGCTTTGGAAAGAACTTTTTCTTCCGGTGGTGTAACAATCTGCTAGACCACCCGAGACGTAGATGAGGGCGGTGACGAGGAGGCTTGAGAGGTGCATTTTGGGGGGTTCTGAATGGATTCTTTCGGGCTGGTTGATTAGTGATTAACATCAATCATAGACATAAACAACAACGAGAGGACTTTGAGCATATGTACTCTGCGGTCTTTCCATTTGAATCAACACCATTCGAAAGCCTGGATTCCAAAACGAAAAGTTTGCGTATCGACTGACACCCTCGTCACTTCGTTATTACGCCGAGGTTTGCTGCTGGATATTTAAAGAAACAAACTGAAAGTCGAGATTGCGTGGTGGGGAGCCTGGGCGAGAGAAATTGTGTGACCAATCCTCAAGTTCCAAGTGAGAAAGCATAGATACTGTGTCTGAATCACCCAAGACCAAGACCTGCTATAATTTTGTTTATGCCGGTAAATCGAAGTGTACCACAGCTAAACTGGTCACAGCAGGGAAACATCCAGGTCTTTTCAAGCAAACAGCCTCTCGGCTGAAATCGTGCTCATACCTGCCACACGGCGGAAGGGTACAAACTTGTGATGATAGACGGGCATCTTTGCGTTAAGTTGCCGTGTTCGTTTAAGCGGTGTTTGCCTACAAACGCGGTATATGATCAAAGCTTCTGTTAGAGCGCCATCTTCTACTTGCTGAGGAAGCAATGTACACATAAGGGAGCCAAAAAAAAAAAAAAAAAAGCTGGCTTAGAATGCAAATTCGCTTGAAAACAAGTAAAGACAACGACCTGACGTCGATATCTACGCCCTAAAGAGTTACAATGCCTTTCTCTATGCAAGTGAGTCAATCATATATTCATGCGTTGTTTTGATGACTGATTACCAGAAGTCTAATTGCTATCGCAGTATTTGATCCAAAGAAAAGGCTCTGTCTACAATTTATATAACTTCAATGTTACAAGTCTCAATATACATCGCGTCACAATGTTCTTCAAGGCTACATCATTTGAAGAGGTCCAAACAGCTTATTTCATATCACTTGGTACAATTCGTTCATGGCGAATTTGGAACAGGCATGTCAAGGTTGGGTGTTCACTCGCTTCACGCTCGGCCTAGGTATGTTGCTACACTCATGATACTGGGATAAAGATATATTCTTCTCGGCTGTATGTACAGTTTGCCAAGATAACGTCAACTATATACATGAAGAAATGACGACGGCATCTATATTTGTTTCAGTCGACGCAGAGCCAATATTGGACCAAGAATACCTCCACTTAGAAAGCAGGGTTGGCGTTCTTGAGCAGCTGCTCAAAGTAGGCCTGGAACCAAGTTCCGGCCTCAGGAGCGGGCTTGAGGGCGTCGTTCTTTCCGCAGTTGTGGTCGTAGCGGGCCGCGGTGGTGTCCGAGGTACCGTCACTCTCACCGCCGGGCTTGACCCAGACGAAGGCGTCGACGAGCGAGGAGCCCGTGTTGGTGGAGGGGCGGAGACCGAAACCGGTGCCGATGGCGTTGCACCAGTCACCCCACTGCTCCTGGCCGGTGGGCTGCTTGCCGGAGCGGCCCTGGTCAACGATGAACTGGGCGTCCCAGCCCTGGGCTCTGAGAGCAGGTCCGAGGGCCTCGATGTAGTGCTTCTCATCGTAGTTGGGGTTGCCTTTACGAATGTTAGATGTCATGTAACAGATGTGGGCGGCTAAAAAGAAGACTTACTCTGAGTGTAGGGGGCAGGAGAGCTGGCGCTCCAGGCGTTGTACTTGGTGATGTCAGTCTTGTGGAGTGAGAGTTGTTGGGGGAGAAGATACATACGTTTGCCACGTTGGTCACAAGACCGCGGAGAGCCTTGGGGCTTCCGGCGTCCTTGAACACCTTGGCGTACATCTGAGCAGCGGGAGGGAGGTTGGCGGGCCAGCCGAGCCAGCCAGCGTGGCCACCGTCGAGGTACATGGCGACGTGGGGAAGGTTGAGCTGTCTGATGGCGTAGTCGGTGCACTCGAGGTAAGCCGCTTGGGCGCCAGCGCACTTGGGGACGTTCAAGTTGGTGACGAGGTTGGCAAGGGAGTCGGGCTCTGAAAGTGCGAGTTAGAGGGAAGTGATCACAAAGGAATTTGCGGAAGGGGGGGACACCGACCAATAACGAGCAGGGTGCGGATGTCAGAGTACTTGAGAAGCATGGTGCGGATGGCGTCGATGTACTCCTTGTACTTGGCAACACCACCGTTGGCGATGGCGAACTCTCCGTTGGAGGCAGCGGCAGCACAGTCACGGTCGGGAAGATCATAGACGACAAACTGTCCAGCGTAGTTGCCGCCAGCTTGGTTGGCGCGGCGGATGTCGGCCAGAGTGGACTCAACCAAGGGGACCTTGGCACGAGTGTCCCTAGAGAGGAGGTTTAAGTAACTCAAGGCTCAACACCGTTCGAAAAGGCTAGTTAGACTTACATCCACATGAAGGTGGGAACCTTGGCAACCTTGGCGGCAGCGGTAGCCAGGGCGGGGCTCAGAGACGGAATGGCGAGGGTCGAAATCTCGGAGGCGTAGTAGGAGTTGGCCCAGAGGTCAACACCAGCGAAGGGGTTGCCGGTGTAGGTAGCGCCGCCAGTAGGGCCGGGGGTGGTGCCGGAGCTGGCGCGGCTAGTGGTGGTGACGACGCCGGCGGTGGAAGAGGTCCGGGAAGGGGTGACGACCGCCGCGGACGAGCTGCTGCGAGCAGTCGTGGTAGCAGCAGTGGAAGTGCCAGCAGGAGGGGCAGCGCCGGGAATGCACTGGCTGTACCATTCATTGTTGACGACACAGCTGCTGCCGGAGACACAGCACGTAGGGCCGCTCCAGTTGTTGCCACCGCATTGAGTCCTAAGGGGTACGTTAGTCCATGAACGTAATGCTCATCGCGCGTTCAGTCTTACCAAGCGGCTCCGCAAGACTGTCTCTCCTCGATGGGGACAGCAAAGACAGCGGTACCCAAAAGGGCAGCGGCGAGAAGCGATCGTGAAGCCATTGTTGATGGTTTGATTCCGAGTTTGGTCGGCTTCTTGTCTACTGAAGTTGTCCGTGAGTTGTAGGCCCAAAACCTCAGAGGAACAGCTCGGGCATGAGCCCTTTTATCATGCCCTGAGCCATCAGCAATGGCCAGCTTCCCGCGGTTTCTGGTCTACCCTTTCGGATCGACGGGATGGGTTATTTCTGGGCTTTGGCTAGTGACGAAGGTTTTCGCCCCACGATCTCGGAGCTACATTTCGGCATTCTTAGCTCTTTTACTCCATTTAGAAAAGCGTAGAGGAGACGGACGAAGCCGCTCGGGGTATCCTACTATATTACCCATGGGTTATGGAAAGGACATCCGGAGCTGGGGGTAATTTCTCATAGGACAGCCTAGAGAAAATGGGCATGTCGAGACTGGGAGGACTCTGGGCATTGAGATGGGCTCAGTTGGCGGCACAGTATGCTAAGAAGCATGATATTTGACAACCTTAGTGGGAAAAGACCGCCAACCAAAGTGTGGCCGAGAGCCAGGGTGGATGTAACGCAATCGAAGTCATCTCGGAGGTCACGCTCCATAATAGCCTTGAACGGAAGAGCGTCGTGGTCATGGGGGCGCGTTGGATGTGGGGAACCGCGAGAAGGGTACCAAGAAGGGTCGGAAAGGACATCAACTCATTCCGGTCGAGTCACATTTTGGAGCAAACTTTGGTCGTGAAAACCGGCTGACTCGCCCGACATAAGTTGGAATTCGGGTGGCGTGCTGGGCATGTTTAATCAATAATCGGAGGTTCGCTCCATGAAGGCGTCGCGAGTACGTTGGGCGGAGAATCAGGGCCAGTCAAAGAGGTGGCACGATCGGGTTGGAGAAGCAAAAGCCGTAGCGAAAGCGGTATGGCTCCAGGTACCATCAGAGAGGAGAGAGAGACATAATGCTCTGGTTCCTGTATCGACCTTTTTTTGATGCTGAGCCGCACGCAAGGGACGGGAGGGGGGGAGGACAAGCGAGTTGGAGAAATTTGGGGTTGATGGTGGTAAAGAACCAGGTTTTGGTGGTGCATTTGCACATCGGCCCTGTCTGGAATTGATGAAAACCAGAAAACAAGTAATCAATGCTAATTGCTTGTATAATAAGCATTGATCAACAATCTAGGCACCCAGGTTTGTGGGAGAAACCGATATTGATGTCGCCGCCGACTTTAAGCTTAACGACTTCATGTCATTGTTGCGATATCATGGCTGACAATGGAATGGACAACCTTGCGCAACACATCGATTATAAGAAATTATTTTGCATTCCGAAGCTCTCGTAGGCTGTAGGATTCTAAACAATGACAGCTGTGAGGAGAAAAAGGTGTGTCAGGTAGCATGAGAACTGGATCCATGGGGCGAGGGTCAGATGTGAAGGGTTGGATGTCCGCAAAAGTTATGTACCACGGACTTGTGAGATTGGACGTACAACTTGAAAGAACAATACAATTGTGAATGAGATGGTCGCAAATTTGATCGTTTAAAAGTGCATCCTCATAACAATGTTGCTTGGGTAAAGAGGAGAGACGCTGCCATATACATTGAAAGATCAAGAGATGCTAACACCCACTCTCTGGTAAAGGTAGAGTAAGCTTATGTAATATCGAAGCCGGACGTCGCTAGAAGGTTATTCCGTGGCCTCACCCTGCAGCACGGACCACATAGACTTATTATGTAACCGAGAGACCCACATTGACGCTTAGAGCAACCCCAGCTCCTGTCATGCTTCACCGCCCGAACCCTCGTCCCGGCAGAATTCCCACTAGGCCCGAGCCCGAAACTCTCCCACGATCGTCGAGGCGAAGCTCCCGCTCCCCTGACGGTTGACCGAGATCCCGTCGCGACCGAATCCACCCCGCCCACCCCCCGACGTCCTCCGCCGTGTGACGACCTGTTCAAGGCTCCTCCTGACATCGTGGAGTAGCTTCAACTCCCGCTCAGCGCTTCAATCTCTATCCGCTTCCCCCTCGAGTCGCAGGCCGCCGTCCGTGGGCGCCGACACCCCCGAAATGTTGTCCGGCATCCTTATTTTCAACCAGAAAGGCGAGAACCTCATCTTCCGTGCCTTTCGTAACGACTGCAGACCCCGCCTTGCCGACGTCTTCCGGATTCAAGTGATCTCGAATGCGCAGGTCCGGTCTCCCATCTTGACTCTGGGAAGCACCACCTTCAGCCATGTCAAGCACGAGAATATCTACCTGGTCGCCATTACCAAGAGCAACGCCAATGCAGCTCTAGTATTTGAATTCCTGTACCGTCTGATCGGTCTGGGTAGAGGCTACTTTGGCAAATTTGATGAGGAAGCTGTTAAGAACAACTTCGTCCTTGTCTATGAGCTACTTGACGGTATGCTAGATTCCCTCCCACTGCTTACAAACTGCCCCTGACCCTCTGCTCTCATTAGAAATTATCGACTTCGGCTACCCTCAAAACACCGAGACCGACACTCTTAAAATGTACATCACTACCGAAGGTGTCAAGTCAGAACGTGCTGCCGAGGACTCGGCCAAGATCACAATGCAGGCGACTGGAGCTCTCTCATGGCGCAAGGCCGATGTTAAGTACAGGAAGAACGAGGCGTTTGTCGACGTCATTGAAGATGTCAACCTCCTCATGTCCGCCACCGGAGCCGTCCTGCGCGCCGACGTAACGGGCCAGATTATTATGCGTGCATACCTCTCCGGTACCCCCGAGTGCAAGTTTGGCCTCAACGACCGGCTCCTCCTTGACAACGATGGACTCCTAAGCCTGCCTAGTGGGAACAGGATGGGCACCAAGGCGACCAAGGCGGCGGCGGGCAGCGTCACACTCGAGGACTGCCAGTTCCACCAGTGCGTCAAGCTCGGCAAGTTCGACAGCGACCGCATCATCTCGTTCGTGCCCCCCGACGGTGAGTTCGAGCTCATGCGCTACCGTGCCACTGAGAACGTCAACTTGCCCTTCAAGGTACACGCCATTGTCAACGAGGTTGGCCGGACCAAGGTCGAGTACAGCATTGGCATCAAGGCCAACTTTGGATCCAAGCTTTTCGCCACCAATGTTGTTGTCCGCATCCCGACACCGCTCAACACTGCTAAGATCACGGAGCGTTGCACCCAGGGCAAGGCCAAGTACGAGCCCAGTGAAAACAACATCGTGTGGAAGATTGGCCGCTTCACCGGCCAGAGCGAGTTTGTGCTTAGTGCCGAGGCACTTCTCACCAGCATGACAAACCAACGTGCCTGGTCGCGGCCGCCACTCAGCCTTAACTTCAGCTTGTTGATGTTCACGAGTTCGGGACTGCTGGTGAGGTATCTGAAGGTGTTTGAGAAGAGCAACTATTCGAGCGTCAAGTGGGTGCGGTACATGACGAGGGCGGGTTCCTATGAGATACGGTAAGATTCCTAGTCTTTGCGAACATTTACGAACGACGCTAACATTTGCTTAGATTCTAGCGGGGGTAATTCTATGTGGTTTCAGCTTGTGTGGTATATGCATAGTATGGCGTCAAAAGGTATTCCCAGTCCATAACTGAAGGGCTTCAGCACGTTTTGTCGTTTATTACGGTGGCCACATTGTTATCCGCCTCTTTTTGAGGCTATCTTTAATACAAGGTGTCCCAGACATTCCCAAACCAATGCCTGCGCTTCCTACTGAATGAACTTTGCCAACTCACGTCAGCACAAAAGGTCACGAGAGTGTTGTAAGCTTACACGCTCCCTCTTTCTCTCTCTCTCCCTTTCCAGGACCACCAGCTGCTCACCCCTGCCCGCCCTAGCTCGACCATCGCAAGCTCATCTCCCATACCCTGTCCCTATTTGAGATGTTTTCTGGATTGCAGTCCATCAACGTGGTCGTGTCTAATCCATCCACGTTCTCGTCTTCCACGACCAAGACCCTCACACCCTGGAAAACTTCCGCCTTTGCATCGGCCTGCTGGCTTCTGATCGTCTCTTCCATGGCCCTAGCGAAAACATAACTGGGATGGGCGTCAGACCAGCCGAGACCCTCAAAGTCGAACACCTCGCGATAGGTCTTGCCCACCCCCCATATCACATCCGGTTCTCTCGTCATTGCCTCCTCGGCGGCTGTACTGTGTAGTCGTCGGTACAGATCCCCACGGGACTGAAGCTGCGCCGTTCTTTTATCCTGCCGGTTACAACGCGTACAACGACCGGGACAATGGTCGACCAAGTACAACACCCGCAAATCATGCTGCAGACAGCATCCTAAATATGCCACTTCTTCAAGCATCACAGCTCCAACAGTAGCGGTGGTCCAAGTCTCGGCAACATCAAGCGCAATGTGTTTTGCACCGTGTAATGTCGAAGCCATCTCGGCGCACCAAGGGCCTTCGAGTATCTGACTGAGATTGCTCGGCCCGACGGTATCATATTCCCCAAAGAGTACACCTTGGGTCAACTCTGATAACGCGCCCCCATCCCTAAACCTCAAAAACAACACGTCCTTGTCATTGTCGTATACCACCTTCTCGTCCCGGCCAGGCAGGTAGACGGTATTGGTATTCGGCTGCCGCCGTCTCGCGGGCCCCGCCACAGCTGCCGCCGCCTCTACAGACGTCGAACGCTGCGCCTGACGGAGCCTATATACGCTTGGATCGTGTGCATGCCTGGCGACCTGCGTGCTGCGCGCCAGCTCTGTAGCCCCCGCCTCAAGAGTGTCAAGGAAAGCGCATTGATCGTACTTTTTCCACCGGCTCTGCTTAGGTTCTGGAATGTTGCCATTGGAGTCTTGAAACGCGCGCTTGCTTCGATCACTGCCGCGCCAGGAGTAGAAACAAACGTCAAAGACATGCATCGAGGGACCCGCTAACGCCTCGTTCCAGATCTTTAATCGGAGCTCGGCGGGGAGGTCGGCGAACCTTTCGAAAGTTGGAGGTGCCATGGTCGTTGAGGTTTGAGCGGCGTCTCTACTGGCAGTGTGAAAGTCGAAACTTGACAGGAGTCGTTGAAGACGCCATGGTGTGATTGAGAGTAATATACTTCTTGGAAAGTCATGTTTACTCGACGACTGGACGAGCCATTCGTAATAGTTAGCTGCTATATCGCACAGCTCATCCATATGTGCCTATTTGCGCGCCTAGGAGGGGGGGGGGCACTTTTTCACTTGCTCAAACCGGAACAGGAAATCAATCGACAAGAAAATCCTCTGGAAATCACCACATCCTTGTATAATCCGAGAGTGCGGCTCAGCACTAATACAAAACGTCATCTCACTTACAGGCCTGCATGCACAGAGAGACAACCACCCACCCCCCTGGGACATTTCCCAGAAGAGCTACGCGTAGTGGTCCAGCGGCTGACGGGCGACCGCCAAGGCTTACGCCCCGGTGGGCGGTCTGGCCATCAGATTGGTCTTTGATAAGCCCCATCCCAAATTGGTGTTGATCCAGCAGCCACGTTCAGCTTACTGTGTCATGAGTTCATTGGTTACAAAAGGAGGTGAAGGAAGCAGTCGGATAATGCGGGTTTGACAGCCCGGCCTGGCCGCAGCTGAGCTGAGGAGCATTGTATGTGGGAAATTAGGCTGGTCGCTTCATTTCAGCCGTATGTTCTAACCGCCACCGTTAAAACTCCGGACTGAACTCCGGCTGCCCCGCCCCGTTTGCGGAACGGCAAGGACAGTGATTGACCGGAGGTACGGAGGTCATTGCTGTCAAAAAAAAGTGGTAGTCACCTGTACCAGGAGAGGGATGGAGGTCAGGTGACTAGATTCTCTGCCAGCCCAACACAACTGTACTCGTTATGAGAACCAGATCAGAGCAGTAAAATGGCTATTCGTGATGCGATATATCACTTTCATTCTCGTTTGGGCCACCATCGTCATCTTCTTACTTACCTTGGACGCTTTGGCTGCACACTCATTTCATCCACTCCACTGTAGTTCCAGTAGTTGAACCCGTCAGGCTGTCCAATCCCGTGATTATCCTACTCTTCTTGGCAGTTGTATCGCGAGATTAAAAGCGTCACGATTCAATGGGGGTCATGAACCGTTCGTTTGTGGTGCTAGATATTTCGCAAAGAATCATTGTTTCTATTAACCCTCGTATGAACCGGACTCATCTAATTTCCTTTGCAGGTGATGTACATAACCCCGCTGTGGTAATACTACATTATTGTCTTCAATTGTTCGTCTCGCCATGCCAATAACGAGGTTTTGCGCTTTTCCAACTTCGAAACCTATAGGTAAAGGAGGTGTAGCTTTTGATGTGCGTTTTGGTTGAGGACCTACAGACACCCAGACTAGTCTAACGATAGCATCGATCTCAGCCCATGAATGGAGTCAGTCTCCTGGTAACTGATCTATTCCATGGCTGTATATGAGCTGGTTGGTGCTGTCGTCGATGTTACCAAAGTATCCGTCGACTACGCGACCCTAATAAACGTTAGACCAAGACGGGATCATGGGATTTGCGAAACGGCAGCCATGGCATGGCTATGAACCATACGATACGTACCGGAGCTGGATTTTACAGGAGCTGACGGCTCACTCGACAGAACTCCGAGTGTGGAGGAAGGCATTTGTTCCTTGAGTGTGGAAGTACCCTTGGAGTCTGTTTCGGGCGTAAACTTGCTCCCATCGCAAGTGATCTTTAACACTTTCTCGGGGTTTATAGGTGGACTTTGAATTTTCATGAATCATAGGTTAGCTGACATCATTATCATACCTAGCTTGTGATGCCAGTAGGAATGACTAACCCAACACAGATCAAATCTGATCGTAAGCTTCCCATGTCATTGCACCTGATGAGAATCATATGATTCCATTCCATCAGTTCCTGTTTTGTTATGTCGTACTTAATGTTGAGCGAATCACATGAGTCTCCAGAGCTGACCATGTGAGTTTTGCATCGTCGAGGTATGCATAAATCTTGGCCAACCTGCAAGCCACGACAGTCACGGCCAAGATCCTCATTTGCCTCGGTGAGGCCGATTGTCGAAACATTTTGAGCAATCGTAATACTCTCACACGTGTCTCCTTCTTTGACGTGATATGTATAATCACAATGCGAGGACATTCGTTGGGCGGACCAATCACGAACAGCGACGGTAGCTTCTAATGTTGGGGCAGATGCCGAGCTGCAAGCAGAAGGTCGAGGGTATGTGTAGTCCGGCTTGCCACAGCTCGAAACAAGTGACTGAAATTCGATAGTCCGGTTTTCGGTGTGCCCGATATTCGAGTTTACCTCGATTTCCATAGGTCCGAGTACGCAATCATCGCATTCATGAGCATCGCCGTTGGACTGGTTTCTCCACCCGCTCAGAACCTCGTCGCAAAACTCCCCAGTCTCCCTATGGCGTGTTAGAGCGTCTATCTTTTGACAAGAGGTAGGGAGCCAAACCTGTTCTTATAACAAGAAATGTTGTAGGTATAGATAAAGTGGTCAAGGATGTATGTGGCTGTCTTGGATTAGAATAACATTTCAAATCATCAGACCTTTTCAAAGAAATTTCAAACCAGGATGTAGCTCCAGATTATGATCCACAAGATCCTTTTCCGCGTCACAGCTCTGGATGATTTTAGATCGGAGTTTGTTCATCGATTCTTTACAATTGTCATTGCAAACAACTGGAATCAGGTCCGGTCGGAGAACGTTAACTTCCGGCGGCCTAAGCCAAGGTCAACATAACTGTAACAGAAACTTTAGGGGCCCAGAATACGGACTGAAATGTCGTAAGCCTTGCCAGTACCGCCGAACAGTCCAACATCGTATTGATAGCCTGAAGACATGGCGAACTTATGTTGAGAGACTCGTAGTCAAATAGAGCGCCTGGAAATTGTTGTGCTGAAGTGTTATGCAACAAAAGGGCGAAGCCGAATGTGCTGAAAACGTTGAAAATTCTTGCCATTATGAAAGTAAACAATGGCGATTGAATGGTCAACTTCCAGACCGAGGCTCAATGAGAAAGCAAAGAGGCTCATACAACCAACCACCTTGAGACTAGGAACCTTCTAAGATATTCACTGCCGTTGTAAATCAAAAGAGAAGTTGGATGGATCCATTCACGGTGAACACGGAAAACCCATACTGTTGCTGGTTGGTGCGGATTTATGGTTTTCTTGCTGTGCCGCCCACTAGCTAGGAAACCTCGTATAACCGGAGAAGACAGGGGTTTTGATTGCAATTTGTTTAATTGTGTTGGAACTAGGGTCTGTTGGAAGTTGTAGAAACAAAATGCTGGCCTAGCTACGGGGTCCATGCTAGCCAAATTGATCTATGGGAACCATGGGCCGTGCCTTTTTTTTTTTTTCTTCTTCTCTTTTTTCCAATGGCACTGCTTAAGGACACAACTGCTTCAGGCTTAGTGCCTCCGCAGACTACCATGCAACTCTTAAGTATTTGGATGTGCTTGGCATGAAATCGTACCATTTGTCGTTGGTGAAATATTTGACTCGTCTGTGGAGGGGCGTATTGTGCAAGACCCACCTGTAATGCTCGACAATTATAATTCAGAAAGAAGAAAGAAAATGAAAATTTGGAGTGGAGGGACAGCTCAACTAGTGCCTCACTTAGTAAATGCGCTCCATCGAAACGGAACTGTCAGCCTTATAGGAGAACATTACAGACTCTGAAATCAAGGTACAACTGTCTGTAAACTACATCCTGGTGGTCGCTTGCCCGAGACATAAGCCTGAATTCACTTGGGCTCCTGACCCTTTGGAGCCACCACCTCGCAACATCATAATTTTGACAAACATGTCTTTTTTCGTTTTGTTTGCGTATGTCGTCCGAACTGGATAACGGTCGTTAAATCAGGTGCAACTCAAACCCCGGAATCATTCTGCAAATTAACTGCATCCTCGCAGGCTGGATAATGCATCTCAACCTCGCGGTCCTTCTTCTTCCCATGCTTCTTTACCTTTTGCTTTTTGGGTACTTGGCCAGGCCAGTAATTCCTACAGTCATACGCCCAGCTATTCCAGTTCGCGCACACTCTATGTGCCTCAGCAAGCGCTTTGGAGTCACCAGCAGGCCATATTTGATTGGCGGCCTGCTGCCGCTCCATGATTTGCAGTGACAGCCCACCTGCAGCATGCGCAGCGATATGGCAGTGCATCAGCCATACCCCGGGATTGTCGGTCTTGAATCCGATAACAACGTAACCGGCCTTAGGAAGTAGCACAACATCACGGCGTGCTGGGTTGTTAAGGTTGTTCTTGCTGGCATTGTAGATCTCCGGGCTCCACTGCTGGTTGTCTACCTCCTGAAGAATTGCGAAATCGTGCCCATGGAGATGAATCTGTATCGCATTAGGTCTCTTGTCTAGTATTTCTTGCAGACAAGAACTTCGACTTACCGGATGAGGTCCTCCGGTGTTGTTGGTTGCACCGAAGAGAACCAGATGGACCTGTTTGGATACATTGGTTAGATAGATTTCCACCTAATGAATGCCATTCCAAAAAGTCCTAGCTGGTTAGGATATACTCACCCAATCATTCTCCGTGTAGTTCTCAGGGACAACTACCCACCCTACCGGCCATTTGTCGCCAACATTTTCGAGGTTCAAGAACGTCGGGTTCCCATAGTTGGTTTGAAAAGGATCTTGAGACTTGCTGCCGGCACGATCGAGGGAAATGAATGCCGTGCCATACTGGCCTTCGCCTTGAAGAAATGACACGTTGAAGTCTTCGCCAGTCTTACCATTGGCAGGCTTACCCACCGTCCATGGGACGATAGGCTGGAGCTTCGAGTTAATCTCTGTGTCAGAACAGGTCATATTGACATTCCACGGCTTGCTGCGAGGCTTCTTCTTGCTGTCCTTGTTATAGCGTAAGATTCCCATCTCCGTGTATTTTGGAGTGGTGCCGGGAACACCACAAGACTCTGGAACAAAAGTGCGAATCCAAAAATTGCCATCCTTGGGAATAGGATTTTGGCGAGAGTCAGAGCAGTTGCGGACCGGGTTAGCCTCCACAATGATGTGATACCGCTGCCCAATCGCAACCAAAACAGAGGTAGTATTAATAGGTGTGACTGGCACAAAGTCGGCTTCGACTATCGTGAGAATGTGGTTGTCAATGGAGAAAATGAAACTTGTGTCGAACGATGTGCTAATGACACGCAGAAGGTACCGTTTGGCCTTGGTAAGAGTATTGGCAGCAATGGGTTCGAAGTGTATCTCATAAGGTTTAGGTATCGGTAGTTCAGCTTGCAAAGCGTGATTGAAGCGGTGAATGTCCCCAACTACATGTCCGGGACCGCCCAAAAGGATATCTCTTTTGTAAGCTGGGGTTACTCCTGTATAAAGTGCTTCGAAGGAACTATTGTGTACTTTTCAAATTCGTTAATTCAAATTCAGCTCCATTATACATCAAAGAGAGAACGGAAATGGGCAAGCAAAGAATTTCCAGAAAATGAAGACACTCACGCCAGTCTGTGATAATGATGGGATCTACCGCCTCATCATATGGGTCTGATGTAGGTCCATGAATAGTCTGGAAGCAAGTTAATGTCTGGTGTAGCGTCTAAAGCCAATGAAAGATTTGTTTCTGGTGACTATTCTACTTACGATGGGTGCCTGCAATCCGTCGGCATATTGCACAGAGTAGTGGCTGTGGTACCATGAGCTACCATACTGTGTGGCATTCCATTTGTATTCAAAGTAGTCTTCCGGGGCAACAGGGCACTGAGTAAGACCGTTGACGCCATCCATGTGCATGGTATCCTTTTGTCTGATACCATGCCAATGGATGCTGGTCCCATTGTGGTTCAAGTAGTTTTCAACTTTGATGTGAACTCTGTCTCCCCAACAAGCTTCGATCAAAGGCCCGGGAAATTGATTGTTAAAAAGTTTCGCCTCAGTGAAGTTCAAGCCATCTGCGTTGATCCAGCCGTCCGTAACGTTGAGGGTATAGTATCGATCAACGCCGATAGGCATCACATCTTCATAGTTGGTGTGGATGTTGAACTCATCTCCGGTCTCAGGGTTGCGTAGCCAGCATGATTGGTTTTCAGAATCACCGCAGTAGTGCCAGCCTTTCAAACTGGGGTACTGGCATTTGAACTTGTGGATGTTGCTGCCAGCAGGAACAAAGTCAGGGTATCCAGGGTAGTCATCGCCAACAGTTATCTCCGTGACTGTGTGGGATGAATCGAATTTGATGGGAATTTGGGACCCTGCTTCAAAGATGGGCGACCCAAATAAGGAGTGAGAAATATCGGTAAAAATAATCCAAATGTGTCTCAATGACAGCATGTTGTCTGCAGCTTAGCAAGAGTGGCGGTTTGTGATTGTTTTCATAAGAAACATAAGATGAGAGTATGCACGATTTTCGCACAAAGATGCGCGGTGGCCGGGAATATGAGTTTTAAAACGTCTCGACGAGTGAAGGAAGTACGACGTACGATTCATCATGAGGGGTTACAAACCTGAACACAAATGGAGACCTGATGAAGTGAGGGCTGTTTATGGCTTTACAAGGGCAAACTCAAAATCGCAATGCTCTAACATGGAACGAAGTGGCGTTGTCTCTCATATTTGCAACCATCATGATCTTGGAGCACTCCACGGAGACTTTAATCTGCCACTCACGCATTGCTCACTGAAGAATGGCAAGGAGACATTGAACTGTTTAAGGTGGACCCAATGAATTAGTATCTTCCAGTTGCAGGCTATACTTTTTTTTTTCTCGAACAAGGCTTCTGTATGGACTAGTTTAGTTGTACATTGACGAGTTGAATAACCTAGTCACTTGGGGGGGTAAACGTGCCAACCGTGCTCCAGGCCGCTTCTAGAGCCTAAGCAGAAAGCTAGAAACTTGAGAAACGGCCCGTTGATTACCCCCTCAATCCCGAGGCACCGGAACGAAAACTCCTGTGGAGCTTTCGTGATGGCTGGTTGCAGAACTGGGACTCGGAGAGGCTGTATTTTGTATGGATATCGAAGGGGATGAAATTCGTTACCGTTGAACAGTAGCTGAGGAGCTGTTTCAGCCAGTTCACCCCAAAATAGGTTGTGCAAGAAATGATGAATGCATAGTATTGGCCTAGGCGACTGCACCCTGAGCTGAAAAATGCAAACGTCTCACTCTGTGTAACTCATTTGTTGCAATTCCATCCCTGTCTTTCCCCTCAAGCTTCTTTCTGCGATTGTCCAATCAATAATCTCGGTTCAAGACGGATGCATACATAAGTGAGACCGGCCTTACCCACCCAGCCTACGCAGCTGTCTGATTTCCTGGCATGGGGACGGCATACACTTAAGCGGATCTTTCTGAGACATAATCCTTGGCAAGGGCATCAGCTCACAATTCTCTGGTTCATCAAGTTCACTAGCTCAAAAATTAAGCTCTGAGGAGTTCAAGTGAACATGAAGCATGTCAATCGTTGGTCTTGGACGAGTGGGTTCAGTATAGAAGCTACCAAGTAGCGTGCATAGCTTTCCGATGGCAAATCCCGAAACATCCTCTGGCCAGTCTTCTTCTCATAGCCGTCGGTCTTATGACTGTCTAAGACCTTCTGTTCCCATTGATGTGAGTTCACCGGCCATGGCATGTAAGCTAGTTCGTAAACACAGATAAATCTGATATCTTTCCACAAAGAATGGCTCTGCATTGGCCATCCTTAGTTTAATAGAGTCAATGAAGCTGGATATCGTCATGAGAGTCTATTATGGGCGTTGCGAATACAGTCAACCTAGGATATGTAGTGCACCACATGTGGCATTTGTAAGCATAAATCAGCCAGTCTTGAGTTTGGCGTGTTCAGATAGCTGCGGCTGCAACCTGCAGGCTTCCAGATGAGTAATTGCCTGAACTGTTGAGCGACCCTTGCAACCTAAACACTTACTATCAAACACGAGGATCACACACAATATGCACATGTCCAGACTCTTTCGGCTTCGATCTCTAGGTGAGATGTAGCAGGTCCACATCACTCAGTTAAAAGGGCGGGTTTGGTATGCAAACGTTAACCGAAATGCTGGTCGCCTTTAACAAGCAAAACATGATGGGCATTTTTCTGCAACAACCCTCAGACTCAATATCAGCGCACCTCTCTAATTTGAATTGAAAGTATAGCCTATAAACGCGGTGCAGCCCTGTACATTTCACGGATAACTACAGCTGCACGGCGGTCCTTGTAAACTGGAGTACATTTGTGTTGTATTTACGGCAAGTATTACCCTTTTGGGTTGACAGTCAGATTTGGCGTATAATAGTTCGCAACGCTAGGAAGACCTATTTGCTCAGGTGGCTGATTAATGTCAACAAAGATTGCCCAAGTCTTTAACTTCATGAGGCTGGAAGATCAGAAACCTACAGAAGAGACAAGAGTATATTGGGGGAATCTTTGCGGGAATACTTCTTTATATTCTGTGTACCAGTCTGGCTGTCCCAGCTTAGCGCACAAAGAAAATCTTGTCTGTTGCGCCTGAAAAGGTTACCGACTTGTTTGGCCGTCATGTTCACTCTTTCCCTTGCACAGATTCCAAAGCAAGGCTTTAAGTTACCGGATTTTTCCTTTTCCGCCGTGCGACGTCTTACAGACAGGCGTCCAGACATGTGAGTTCCTTAACCACTTTTGCCCCCTTTTAGTGGAACAAACAAGGAATATTTGTCAGAAATAAGGGGAGTGCGTTGGCATCTTTGGTGCTTCGTTCGAGGTTAAAGACGGCTGGGCCGGAAGTCAAGTCCACACAGAGTGACAGCTACCAGGCTCCATGCTGCCGACTGAGGATACTCCCAGTTTTGTCCGAATGGGAATCTTCGGATTGCAAAAGCTTTTATGGCTGCCAATAATTCAGCCGAGCCCTTGCACAGTATGTGTTTCTGAATGCCCAGGTGCTCAGTTGTATCCCCAAAATCACCACAATAGTAGAATTAGCGAGGTGTTGCAGATGTGGCGGAGGCTTTTCTGTCCCACTTCCTTCAAAATGTGAGACAACGCCATGAATGGTCACGTTAGACATTCATAACATAACCGACAGATGAAATATTGGCTGAGATTCTCTCTCTTCCTATCAAAAGTACCGGGTATGAGATAAGGATGTGCAAATGTGCATTATTAGTAGGATGAGCTTGAGTGCGGGTGTGTGAGGCAGAGCACTTAATCCCTACAAACTCCAACTCCATATTTTACTGAAAATGTTACTAATAAGTTCACCCAATATTTTAATGATCTACGGAAGGCTATCTCTTTACATAAATCGCTGAAAAGTATACATTTCTGTACGGTGACTGTAAAATAAAGCAGTCTGACGTCAGTTTATCTAGATGAATTTGAAACCAAAATCCTTGTTTTTCAATATACCGAAGCTACTGAAATTCTATGAAGCATGGTATAATGCGGCAAAGCCTGCCCCAGATCGTGTACGCTAGAACTAAAAACAATAGGTTACGTGCTCATGATAATGGGGGGAACACACATTTATGGATGAGCCACCACACTGGGGCTTCTGGCCTCTCACAAGGCCTAAAGCATATGGCGCTTCATGACTATAATGGTAGCTTACCTCAAGTTAAATGGCGCATTGTTACATTTACGTGCAATCATGTCTTACTATTTCCTACCTAAACTCATGTGTGTTTTGAGAATGTCAGCATTACCGAGGCCGGTAAGCACGCGAACGCCACGTGGTCTGCCACGTTTGATGGGACCAAATTAACATACGATCCATGTGCCATGTGTTTGACAATGGCGGCCAATTATTGGAGTTTGATTGTGAGGAAATGCCGTCTCACGCCTAAATTGAAGCGAAAGCTGGCGACTTGTGGCGATGGACATCTGGGAAAGGCGTTGTGAGTGGCTGCAGGTTGATATTAAGATGTATGTTCTCAAATCGGAGGCAGTCGGCCGTACTTGATACTAACTAAGGTTTGAAGACTTTAGCTACGTAGATTCATATAAAGCCAACACCACAGCATTATACCTGAGAACGTTTGCAGAACTTCATTGAATAATCATAGGCTTACATCTTGCAATGAAGCTTTACGTTTTGGCTTCCCCCCATCTGCTCAATCCCAACTAAGGTACGCTATGGAATTTTTGATTGGGCAAGATCTTTGATGTCTAGGTGACTGATGCCACTTGGTGTATCCAGTTGGACTTTCTACTTATTGCCCGAGTCTGCCACTATCTGGTTCGTAACGTCGTCAGATGGTTCTTCAAAAACGAAGAGACAAGAGTCAATGTACAGCACTGCGGTCAAAGCCTTACAGTTTGTGTCACCTCACAGTGCAACCACAACGTGGCCTGGTTTCTTATCGCCCAATACTGCCTATTTCAGTGGTCTTCCGATTTTCCGACCACGGACAATCAAGCTCAAGACCTTTCCCTTCTAGTTCTGAAGTATTGACGACGTTTAACACGACCCATCGCGGCACTATTCGGAGCATACAGCTATGTGCACGTATTCCTATCTTCATCATCATCATGTCTTACCATGCGCTCGTCCAATAGACTATGTTGTACACTACGAGTTCTGCACAGACAGTGGATCGAGTGCTGATGGGAGGACTCAATTCCCGTGCCAGAGGACTTTCTATGATCCTGTTCATTCTATCGACTTCGACAATCCTTGTGCTACAGGAGGCTGCCTCATCTCACCCGACTGCAGTTCAGGAAATTGTCGACTCTGGGAGCTTAATGGGCACTGGATCTGTTGCATATGCAGCAGGGGTAACAATTCACTCCGGTGGTGTCGGCATAAGATGAAAAAAAGTCCAGACACCTTCTGCTACCACCGAGTTTGCGAGACTTGTACTGAGGACACAGACACCTGATAACAACACACAACTGTACTCATGATATATGGCCAAAAATTTTGAGCATAACTTCAAATACGAAGGAACAACAGCGTTGAGGAAACATTAGTAAGACCACTTGTGGGGCGGGTAAACTTGGGAGTTCTCAGGACAGAACCAAGCGGTCACGTACAGCGTTTGGGACTCAAGGAGCACCAATTGCTTAAAGTGCTCCTACGTCTGGGCTGACTGACCGCTGATTGATAGCCGAAGCTGGGTGTTACCAAGCTCGGAATGAGGCCACGGCTGACACAGAGGCATCGGGGCTTGAATAGAGTTGATATGCAATGTCGCTCTCAAGACCAGTTCAATCCTCGTATATTCGTGGGGTTTCATATCCCGCAGAAAGCCGAACATGAAAACAGGGTGACATAGAGCCTGAGCATCAGCTAAAGCAGTTTAACGAGTCGACAATACCTGATCAGAACCGCATGTCTCACACTTATGGCCACCACATTTCAGAAGCCCGAACCGCCTTGCAAATTTTAGGTCTAGTATGTTTGGGAACGAACGAGCCACGGACTTTAAGCCTTTCGAGCGAAAAGCACACAGTGACTACCAATATCAGTAACCTGGCTGCCACGTTTTTTCTTCAATAGTTATCCAAACTATTTACTCTTTTCGATGAATCTTGCGAGCAGGTTTTCTTTTCATTGGGGTGAGAAGGAGGTGGAGGTCTGGGATAGCATCTCAAATTGATAGATGGTTGCCGAAGGAGGAGGAACGTCGAGCTTGCAGCCACCTCCACATCACCCAATATTCTGATTCGATGGGACATTGTGACGAATTCTGTTCTTGTCAGTTTTTTACATCTCAGTTATAAGTATAAATGAATATATTACTTCCTAGGAGCACTTGAGCAATATGAAAGCAGTCAGTACTCAGAACTTTTTCAAGAACTTCAGTTACCCCTAATACCTTGGGCAAAACTCGAGTTGGTTCACATAAGCTCATTTCAATCGTCATATGACCGCAACTTCTTTTTCAATAACATCTTTGCTTCAAATCTTGTGAAAACCCCACAAGAGAACATGTGCAACATAATCGCCTACAAGCTGCGGTGCGAACACATTTTCACTCAAGTCAACTACTGCTCTAGAGCCTCACCTGCATCCAAAAATGACTCCTCCAGTCGAAAGACCTGCAGAGACGTCACTCAGCAAGATACCACTCATTCTCCTCCTCCGGAACATGATCACCAGCCGCGACTGAAGTGCCCGCTCGTCAACTGTCCTTTCGAGGTTCGAAACCGCTGCTGGAATTGTTGCTGGTGTGGGAAAGGCTGGAATAATGGCGGCCGCTGCAGCTGCATCATGATAATCGATGGGAATGAATACCACTGCGAGCATATCTGTTGCAGTACATGTACTGCAGCTAGTGAGTTTTGATGAAGTCGCTGAAGACTCTGTCTTAGGATTAGACGTGGATTTGCTTCTTAGGATGAAATCAAAGAGGAAATCTAGGGTTACTGTGCCGTAAAGATCCTTGATCTATCATTTCGAACACGTATCTAATCATTGAAAAGATTCAAGGTATGAGCAAGTTGTTGATGAGCTAAAAAACTTGGAAGATCGAGGTAATCACTCTTCAAGCTGCACGTAATTACTTCGTCTCTAAATCTCAAGTGGACTTGAAGGTTGCAAAAAGTCCTCGAATGACCTAAACGTTTGACTCTTTTCTATGAAAGTATGTTTTTAAACTCATAATGTTCAACCAAATTTCTTGTGTTTTACCCCAACTTCTTAGGTACTGGGACTTGATCCAGTGATTTGTTCGGCAGGGCGGGCCTCTGGTCCGTAAATTACATTACTACTTGGTTTTCGCGGCCAGGTCTTGTTGTATCCACCATAGACTGATGCGGCTCCCACAACTTACGAAAATCAATTAATTAGTGAGGATGAAAGATCGGGTACTACTCAGATCGCCGCTTACAGCAGCCATTAATGGGGCTTCAGATCCTGCCATTATCCATACCGATCCAGCCACTCGCCTACATCCACCACAGAATAAGATCGGTGCTATGTTAAGTGTTCCAATAATAGTTGAAAGGCCATGGTTCCAGAAAAGCCCTCAGTTTGAATGTCTTGGAGTTATCGGGGATCCCTTCCGGTTTGAAAATGTGAGTCAATTGTTTACAAATCCTGAGCATGAATACCAGGGCCTAGGCACCGGGACACGGATTCGACACTCCTCGTCCAAAACTATTCGTTCGTTAAATTCCAGCCAAGGAAGCATGCATGATTGTACGATGCATCATAATGAGCTGAGGTCACAATCATACAATAGCACTTTGATTAGTGCAACACTATCTGCAATTACCCGTTTGTAACGCCGCATAAAAACCGTAGTCTCTGCTCTTGGGTCTTTTTAACTACATTTGTGGTTGCTTGATTGGCTTTCTATGAGATTCGGGTAACTATCTAGCCATGGCAGTCGTACAATGCCGGGCTCAAAACACCCATCCATCGATATAGACTCCCGAGACATAGGGTTTCGGTGGAGAAGGGTTTGGCCACTTCGATCGAATGATTTTACAACCATCTCTATCGATAAGGCAGCGATGATAGCAGAGACTACCGATGACTTGATTACGCCAAAGTTGTGGCAGTGATCTATGGATTTGCATCAGTGTCGATGAGATAATCGACCAAATGCGGCGTTAATCATCATACGAAGTGGTGATATGCTCGTCTTAGTGACTTTGTCTCGATTATAAGTCATCTTTATAAAGTCTCATAAGGTACTTCAGAGTATATAATATGCGGGGTATAGCCCACGGACAAGTTCATTTTACTTTCCCATAGTTCGGCCTGAATGTCGTTTATCCACTCTTAGTGTTCGGTCTTTTCAAGAGTTTACCCTCTTTCTGCACCCTAAATCACCAAAATGTGTCACGGTCACCCAAGATGGCACCCTTGTTCTCATACTTCTATTAACTGGCACTACTGTCCAGCTGCCCTAATCGACCTTGAGACTGGTGTGGAGACGCCCTGTACTCACCTTAGTTATGCAGCTGCACAGTCTAGCAATTCCGATTGCCCACTTCTCAATTGTCAGTTCAAGGCTATGGGCGGGAACTGGACATGCTGCCAATGCGGCCAAGGGCCGAACACGCAAGGCTGGTGTACCATGCCAAAGCAACCACAAGACATTAATGGGATGTTCACGGAAGAAGTCAAAACGTGCGACCATGGCTGCTGTTCAGAATGTGAACGATATTGTATGATTGCCTGACTTCCACAACTCTCAGTTGCCCAACAAAGCTGACGTATAACATCAATCGCAGCGTGTGTGGAAACCTCTGATATGACTTTCGGCGAACTCCGTAAGGGGACAGCAAGTCGCAAGTTTGGGTACAGTTCAGCGATTCGTTCACACAGGCGAGGTTCGGCCTTGTCCAACATTAGTGGGTTACTCGCCATGGACGAGGAGGCTGAGGCATCATCACCATTGACCTCAGACTCTTCTCCTCAGAGTAGCGTGTCCTACAAATCATCTGCCACTAGCACTACCTCGTACAATTCGACAGTATCATCAACTAGGGATTCGTTGTACAAAACCGGTTTCGAACATAACCCAAAGAGACTCAAGTTGTCCTCTGAGAAGCTCAGGAAACATAAGTCTGCGCTTAGGGCACAATAGTTGTTTTTCGAAGAAAACGAAACTAAACGGCTAGGGAATAGCTTGTCCCAAGCTGAAATGCGTATCTCAATTTCATTTTTTACATTTTAGGGTTCATCGGGGTAATCTTATGTGCACGTGTTGACGGAAAGTATATCTTCAAAGCCATATATATTTCAACTATTTCTGTTTAATTGAGTGTTTGAAGCGATTGTCTGGAGAGAGTCCTCCATACCGAAATGCGAAGAGATAAATCAAAGCCTCATGCCAGGCCACAAATTGGATTGCGAGTAATTCAGTTAAACAAAGCGTCCCTAAGGCAAATGTTGAATCCGCCTGCCGGCGCACCACCTCAAGCGCCCCTGTGACAAGTGATACGCCCTCTCCTGGACGAATTCTCAGCCACATATCATCTGGATATGCCAAATTGTCGGCCTATCACACTTTGCTCCAGCGCAACAGCACTGCAGCTGCAATAACTGGCAAGACACTAGCGAGCTCTCCGAGACCAGCAAATTCGGGCGGGATGCGGGCGTTGACGAATGCGCCTGCTCCAAGAAGGATGGCGAACAAGTTGTAGACGAAGCTCCAGCCAAAATTGAAAGCAATTCGGTGAATTGCCTTCTGGCTTATGGCTATAGTAACAAGGATTCCAGCCAAACTGGGGCGCATCAAGACCACGTCTGCTGCGGATTTGGCGACGTCAGTGCCCTCATTCATGTGGACACCGATTGTAGCTTGAGCCAGTGCAACGGAGTCGTTCGTCCCGTCGCCGCAAAAGATTACGACAGGCTTTTTAGGCTTTTTGTGGGAATGAACAAAAGGGGCGGATAGAAGATTTTGAATGTACGCCTGTTTATCACCAGGATTGCAACGTGATCGTATGTTAGCCTCGGGGATATCCAATTGGGTGGCGATTTTCCGGACGGCTCCATCGTCATCTCCGGAAAGAATGTGGATTTCGATTCCAGAGGCTCGAAGCTTAGAAATGGTTGTCAGAGCATCAGGCCGCACTGAGTCTTCTAGACCAAACACTGCAGCCATTGTACCGTCCACGGTAAAGCAGAACGCAGTGCATCCCTGTGACAGAATGAATTCGACCTTGGGGTCTGATGAGAGACCTAACCACCTTGAGTTGCCAGCACGAAGTATACTTCCACGAACCGTCGCCTCAATTCCTTTTCCAGTCAAGGCTTTGGCGTCAGGGACTTCCGTTTCGGAAATACCTCTCGTCTTGAGATGAGTAGCAACGGCCGCGGATACCGGATGCTTGCTACTGCCAATTAGGCCAAGAAGCAGTGCCTGTGTGCCGTTCTGGTCATTGTTGAGGTAGTATTCATGGACAATGCTCAGCTTTCCTTGAGTAAGGGTTCCAGTCTTGTCGAACACAACGTGCGTGGTTTTGTAGGCCACCTCAATGCTCTCGGCGGATTTGAATATGACACCACGTTCAGCGGCCACACCAGTCGCGATTACAATGACCATCGGAACAGCGAGACCTATGGCGCAGGGACACGAAACGATGAGAACGGTAATCGCATATGTAACAGCCTGAATGGTTGCTTCGGAGCCAGACTGCTTGCGTACGGCGATGCCGATTGCTATCCAGATGGCAAAAGTTATAATTGTCAAGGCAACCACGACAGGGACAAAGTATGATGCGACGCGGTCAGCGATGTCTTGTATCTTGGGCTTGGAAAGCTTGGCTTCATCGACCATGCCGGCGATAGTACTAATGGTATTGTCGCCTGGCAACCGTGTCAAACGGACATCAAGCGACCCAGAGCCATTAATCGAGCCTGCGATGACTGCCGAGCCCGGGTATTTGTCGACGACTTTAGATTCTCCAGTAATCATTGACTCGTCAACCTCAGATGAGCCTGAGATGACGGTGCCGTCGGTGGGAATGCGAGAGTCCGCGACGACCTTGAAGATATCCCCGTATTGAAGTAGACGTGAGTCAATCTCTTTCTGTCCTTGAGAGGGATCAAGTAGAATGGCGTTTGATGTTTGTAGAGACCGGATTGAGATGGATTCCACAGCTTTTTGGCGGGCAAGAGCGCTCACGTATCGGCCCACCATGATCAGGGTAACGAGCAAAGTACTCGTCTCGAAGAACTCCCCCGTCGAAAGCGGCTTGTGTGAGACGAGATAGCCGAACGAAATAACAGAGAAAATGTATGCTGCACTTGTGCTGAGCACGATAAGCAAATCCATCTCGATCATTCTCGAGAAAATCAAGCTCTTCAAGGCCTTTGGATAGAATGGCCCGGCAATCACAACCTGAACAATGGTTGCTAGTGCTAATGAGGCGGAACCATAAGCAATCTCGTTCTTCGGCAAGGGGGCCCAAGCCATTACGAGAACCGGAACAGTGAGAACAATGGAGAGCAAAGTCATCAGTCCAACGTTGCGGACATGTTTTCCACCAGCCTGAAGGGTCGGGTCGGCACGAGGAGGTGCGAGTTCCATGGGAGTTGCCCAGCCCTTCTCGACTAGATCCCGAGCACCAATGATTTCTGCGTCAAATTCGACGTGGAGAAACTTCTTTTCAATTATGCGGATGTCTGTGACGCCTTTTGGCCATGGCTGGTTGATGAAATCCTCAGGCTGGCCAGGACAGAGTAGGTCGAGACTAGCCCCCTCGCTGCTAATCTTTTCGCACTTGAACTCAGTCGTTCGTTCCAGGTGTTTAATAATATCTTCTGGAGAAGCAGCACTCAAGTCCATGTCGAATTCGGCGCGGGCAAGCACCAAGCTGGTTTTAAGATTCTTCACGGCGGAGAGAGTCGCAAGGGTACGTTTGAGCTTAGTCTCACACCCTGTGCATGTCATGCCAGACACGCTGAGAATGACATGCTCTCTTCCATGTAGGCCTTTTTCTAGGTCGGTTTCACGGAGTGATTCTTGAACGACGTGTTTGTTTATCCCAATGGGGACAGGCGATATGTCGTCGTCGCCGCACGCATCGGCACAGGCTCCAGCGTTGTTCAGAGCCTTCGGCTTAGCACAACAGCCATCGGCACATCCGCCTCCCTCTTTCTTTGGGCTAACGGGACGACAGCCTTTCTTTGGTCCTGGCCGTTTCTTCGTTTGAGTTGCTTGTCCGCTTGTTCCAGGCGCGCAGCACGAGTCGACAGATGAGCGAGGACGAGATGGTTTGGACAAGAATTGCTTCCGCTTGAAGGATGAGCGTTCATTGGGCGCGCAGCAAGACTCTTGTCCAAGAGCCAAGAGGGCACGACAAATGCAACCCAAAGCCTCCAGCTTGGCTTGGTAAATTTCACGGACGCTCCGCGCATGACGGCGACATGGCTTTCCATCTCGGCCTCCAGTACAACTGCCCTCTCTAGTCGAACCTGCCAGTATTGTTCAACTAATGGTGAAAGAATGATGAATACGTAGATTGACTTACCTTTCCCTAGGGTGCGGGTAGCTACAGAGCTTTCCTTCGTACACTCCCGTAAAGCAAGACGATCGATACAGCTTGAGTTGCAGCAAGGCGACGTCTTGCCTTCGCAACAACTGGGCGCCTTTTCGACTGTCGGCTTCACAGCAGAGGTAGACGAGCAACCACGTTTTCTAATCTCTCCGCCCGACTCAGAGTGCGGGAAACAGCAATTGTTGTCTGCCGCACGACGATTGACAGCGTCTGTTTCGACTGGCTTGGTCTTTGGGGTAGAACCACAACATCCTTTGTTGCAGTCACCGTCTTCCTCGGCAGCTGCCTCGCTGGCTCTTATTTCTTTGACCGTATCGTCAGTGTTTCCACAGCAGTTCTTCTTGCAATGATCTTCAGTAGCCACAGTCTTGGGGCCACAACAATTGTCGACCTTTTCGCCCGTCTTGTCGCCACAACACCCATCTTCGCACGTCTTCTCAGTCTCAATCTCCGGAACACAAGAAGAATCAACGGTTTCAGTAGGTTTGAGATCGCAGCACCCTTTCTTACTGCTGTCATCCGTCCTGGGCTTCGCTTCGCAGCTGGAGCCTTCGCAACTGTCCTTGTTGCTGGATGGATCAGTCGTATTAGGCGGGCTGGTTGCACCACAACATCCCTTGCCGCAATTGCCCTCAGCTTTGGCAGAATGTTCGTTTTTTTTGACTTCCTCGACTCCTTTGTTGATTTTGATTGGAGTGTCGCACGTATTCTGGCAGCCATTATCGATATCGCTGTAATTCATACGCGCCCTTTCAACAGCTATCAGCGTTGCATCGCTGGGGCCACAGCAGCCATCGGAACAAGTCGCATTGTCCATGTCGCTAGAACTGCAGCTTTCAACAATTTCATCGTTCTCTTTAAGTGGATTAATCGCGTTATCGCTGCAATTGACGCGGTTTGGCACCGTGGGTGAGCCGTCACCTCCAAGGGAGGGCGCCGGGTCCTTGGGCGGGCCACAGCATCCCGATTCACAAGCCATGGCGACAATCCAATGGTTGCAAACCCACCTTGATAACACCAGATTGTCAACTCAATGCAGGATGCGTGTCTGATTGTTGATAGCAAAGTTAGGATGAGGTAAAGAGGTGGTACTGGCGAAGAGGACAGAGCTCTCCCTCCCTCCGTCTTTGTCGCCGGAATAGCGGGGCTGCTCGGAAAGACACGTGAAACCTTGAAGAGCGGGCCAGCTGACTTGATTGGCGAATGCACTAAAATTTGGACGGAAAGGCCCGACAGACTTTGCCCCGTTTATTCAACAATTCCTCGGAATCGGGGTTGTCTCCACCGGTGCCCGACTAGATCCCGGCAGTAATTTTCCCGGAAACCCGCCGGCTGGCCCACGGAGAAACCTCTATCCTATTGTGTGGCAGTGGTTTCGAGCAACGATAGCATGTTGTTTGCTATGAGAGATCCGCGATATTTCGCATGTTTCTAGCCTGTGGATGTAGCAAAATGATCGCCAATTTCGCGAAGCACTGCGACAGGAAGGAGACGTGTTTGGTCTTCATGAATGGAAGCTATGCTGCTCATGAGAAGGACTTCCGTCACAAGGAAAGGTAAGAAAGATACACTTTTTAATTGAGATATTTGTTTTACTACAAGTACATACCAGTATTACCATTGTAAGCACGCTTGTTGAGCAATCTTCATAACAGCTAGCTCGCTGTCATCTTGTCCGGAGTTCCTCTAACACACGATGATGAAAGACAAATGTGCTATAAATGAGTATAATATTCCTAGCAAGTAATCGATTTCTCTCTTGTTGCTAAAAGTTCAACATTACATTTATATTATTTAGATCATTTTGGTCAGGACACTAAGTCTGCGAGACTGTTGGGGATTTCGAGGAGCTTTGGAACAGATATTGTCTCTGCACTTGTAATGCATGTGTTAGGTCTAAACCTGAGTCACGTGATGGAACGGCACGGCAGTGGTAAGTCTGTGAGACATAGACCGTTTGTCTCTTGATGAACTCACGCGGGTACAGCTTCATCACGAGACTTTGATGAGAGAATCTTGTTTGTCTGCACAGCTTCCTATCCAATGCCCCCGCAAACCCCCTCACCCCCACATTTGAAAAGCGTGGGAACCAGCATCCGTCAGCTAACACCGCTCTGAGTCTCAAGCACTCGTTGGACCCCAAAAGGGGTTTCCCATTTCTACCATTCAGGGCGATCATTCTGTATCTTCAACTCATCTATCAGGACATCTATCAATGAAATGGCAGCTCGACAGGACTCTGACAACCTTGCATGGGACCGGAGCGATGACCTCTGGGAGGAGGCGGTGAGGCAGGTTCGGCTGTCATCCCAATGCCAGAAAATCGAATCCTTTGCCAAGAGCATATTAGGAGAGCCCGCAAAGTTCACAACACCATTGGTAATCGGCGGCTTCAATGTCCTATATCCTATTCGACTTGAAGGCATTTCGCCTAGCGTACTTGTTCGCCTGCCTTGCCCCAATCAGGCCATTTTTCCAGAAGAAAAAACAATCTCCGAAGCCGCAACAGCAAGATATATCGCCAAGCATACTCAACTGCTAGTTCCAAAAGTGTTCCACTATGGTAACTACCCAGGTATCGGTCCATTTATGATTATTCAAGATCTGGGGTCCCGAAAAACCATGAGTCAAGCTCTGGACACTTCGCCTAATGATCCTGACGAGACAGCCGTCTTGAATCCGGATATCTCTGACAGCAGACTTACGGACCTCTATATGAAAATGGCACGATGTGTGCTACAACTTGCACAACCTACCTTTCCTCGTATTGGAGCTCTTGTGGAGATAAGGCCCGAATCCCAATGCGTGACGGGACGACCCCTAACTCTGAATATGAATAACATGGCTCGACTCTCCAATATACCTAAATCAGTCTTTCCATCTGAAGGCACTACATACCAGACTGCTGATGAATGGTATGTAGTATTAGCCGAGATGCAAATAGCAACACTCCTCTTTCAGCATAACGACATCATATCCTCAGAAGATGACTGCCGGAATAAATACGTCGCGCGCCAACTATTTCGCAGGTTAGCTAAACAAGGCCAATTATCAAAGTTTGGCTTTGCTGAAGATGATTGGTCTGCTCGCTCCAAGCATGCTGGTACGGCCTTACCGATGCCTCATAGCTCGAGCTCTTTTCGCCTATGGTGTGATGACTTCAGGCCCGGTAATGTTCTTGTTGATGAGAACGATAATGTTCTTGGGGCTGTCGATTGGGAATTCGCGTATGCTGGGCCTGCGCAGTTCCTTTTGGACTCACCCTGGTGGTTGCTACTTGATGTGCCTGAGATGTGGGTCGATGGCATTGAGGATTGGGCTTGCGTCTACGAAAGGCGCCTCCGAATATGGCTTATGGCTTTGGGAGAGGCGGAGAAGGAGATGAGTTCTGAGTCTCTTCTTCTCTCGGCGTATATGCGGGAGAGCTGGGAAACCGGACGTTTCTGGCTGAACTATGCTGCGAGGAAGAGCTGGGCATTCGATACTATTTACTGGAAGTATTTAGACAAATTGTTTTTTGGCGAACGTGGAGAGAATATCCCTATAGACGAGTTATGGAAAACGAGAGTGCATCTCCTCAGTCAGGAGGAGCAAGCTGCAATGGAGATGGTGGTGCAAATCAAAATGGAAGAATCGAAGGAACGGGTTTTGATTGAATGGGACGCTATAGAGGCAAGACAGCGCCTATCCTCCATTTTGTTCGACTAGTTATTTCAGATAGAAACCAGATGAGAAATTTCCACAGATAGATAGCCTTGCGAAATGACAGACGTAGAAAGACATGAAGGCTACTAGTCTTATCAATACTGACAACACCATACCGATGAAAGGGGTAAGGGGAGCGAGCAGACAACTAGCTTCTACGAGAACTTGCCTAATTATGAGTTTGGAATGACTCATGTATGATTCTCTTTTTGCATGTTCAATGAAATAGGTTGTAAGAAACTACCAGGTATTGATCAGCTAGCCAGTCTGCTGCCTCAGATTTACGCGAGGATTCCGAGAAGAGTATAAACTTCAGATACGGCTCTTCAGCCTCGGCTAGCACCATACTTGGAAGTAGTCAGAAGCAGACCATGTTGGAAAAGCGACGGGGACGGCATTGGAGGAAAATGCTGTCGAATCTTAAGACTTCATCCCTGAGTCTCTGGGTAACTTGACTGGCTACTAGAACTCACGTAACTAGGAGCTTTTCGGCCCCATTAGAGATATTTCTTATGTGACGACGATGAATGTCCTAAATAGCCTATTTCATTTTCAAGTAGTATAGTAACAACCATCATAATACTGATATTTTATATCTTCTTTTCCTACTTCATACTCTCTATTATAACAAGATAGTCCCAAAGCTACATGGCTCGCGTATATTTTTTGCCGCAAAACATGCAAGGGCTCATCGTAGAAGGACCCTGAACCCAAGAGTATCCCTGAGCCGTTTTACCTGTCCTGCTTTGCTATGTGAATACATTCCGAGGCGACGCATTCTACTTGACGGGATCTCGCAAATATCGAAGCATTGAAACGAGCGGGAAGTATTAAGCCACACAAGAAACCAAGTTTCTCTTCAGTTATTCGTGGCTTCGATGGTGGCTCTACTTGCGTTGTACTGTCTACAGAGTCGTTACTATTGCGACGTAGCAGAGTGAGGACAACATCAACGCTTGATTATTATTCAATATGTCTTTACCCCAGAAGCTTGTGTCGATGTCAGGCATCTTCGAGATGATTGCAAAGTTCCAAGTACCAAAAAAATTCTACTGATTCCTTTCTTTCGTCTGCCTCTCATGCACAGCCAACGATGAGTGCAAGCCAAGCCAGTCATCAGATCACAATCGTTTACAGTAAAGTACCACACGAGTCATCGCATGTACCTGGGTGATCGAAGTACATACCGCGTAGCTTGGAAGTTTTGCCCAGTCTTATTAAGTGGAAACTGAATGTCTTATTCACTGACAAAGAGGCACATGGATCATAACCTTAGCCGGTCCGTCAGCGACTTGCTCATACTAATGACGTGGAATTCAACCTGAAGGCCCACTTGCGGGTTGGATTTTCCATCGTCACCACAGCCGCCGCCGGAATGCATGCTTTCCTCCGTTAGGTAATAGATATAAACCAGCTCGACGGTGCTGGCCCGGGGTACAACGAAAACACACCGGATGGGATGGCGTGAGAGTTTGGGAGAGAAATTTCGACATCCACATGAGCGACGCCAAGGCCGGTAGCCTATCCGCATGCAAGCTGAAAGTGTCCTGTCCTACTAACCTTAATGATATACTCGCGCATAGAGACCGGCAGTGAGGCTCCTAGACATTGGGTGGAAGTGCCTTGCATGATAACAGCAAGCTCACAAGCAACCGTGTCAAAAGGTTGGTCAGTCGGGACGGGAGGCTGACTTGGGGCTTTCTCAGCCTCCCTTACAATGCCACGAAAAGCAAGGCTGATTCCATTGGAAATTGCACTTTTCGCCGGAAAATAGCCCAGCTACTGCAGCAGACGTGAACGCGTCGCCCCAGGCAGACTGAATGAAGTATGTCTCAATTCACTTTCACATAAGCTGAGGCGGACTTCGACCCGTCTGTTTTTCTCCGCAACATCCGCCCACAACAAAGATCTTGGCTTTCCCCTCTTCCCCTTCCCCTCCCCCGTACCCCATACCCCAGATTGCTTCTACTCGTCTTGCAATGGATTCATTTTTTCGGGTTTTCACGTAATAAATTTCCTCTCAGGCCAGATGGCCCAAATTGTGCTGGGCATTTAATGGCCCGAGCGCCATGTTACAACGTGATGGCGTCAGGATAGTTCGGGTTGGAATTGAACCTGTTACGAGATATTTACCCCATCGATTCCTATGTTACCCCATCGACCGTCCCAATGTACCCCATTTCCCCCAACTGTGCGCTCTTTTTTACCGGGTCAAACGGACGCCACTGGAGATCAGAGGGAAACCGGGTGCAGTAATAGTGTATTATCCAGTCACATTGCACTGCCCGGCCTGGGGTTAAGCTTGGGGGCGGTGACAACTTCAGTAGAGAGAGACAGAGAGGGGGAAAAAGCTGGGCACTGGGGTAAAGGGGCCCACTAGGACAGAACAGTCTGAGAGGGGGGACAGCGCGGGGATACTTTTTGACATTTGACATTCAACTATGTATGGTACCGGCTGCAATATGAGGCGATGGCGGCAACGGGAACGCTAGAAAATGCATGGAAAGACGCTATGCTAGTGGCGGACGGGGTTGAATCGGAAGAAAGCCCTGAGGCGTACGCAGTATGTAGGAGTGAAAAAAAATCTGCAAAGAGACATGACCTGCACCGGGGGTAGCCGAATATGTCCAGGTAAGGGACGAGACAGTGACAGGGGGAGTCCATTCAGCCAAAGATAACTCTGTCAATTTCAAAGATATTAAAAAGAGAAAAAAACGCGGAAACCTTAGATTGCAAATCAAGCTTTTGGTGGAGAATTTCCGCGGTGAAAGGAAGTATTTCAGCGTCCAGGACGTCTAATCTTGACTTGGGGCGCGTGTAGGCGAGTCGAGAAAACAAGTGGGATCATCATCACAATGAGACATACATGCAGGAAACGAGTAAGATGGCAGCAAAGTTAGTGCAGGGCAAGGTCATCTAGTTTGACCAACCTGTCAACCCCCCCCTCTTCTCCGTCTAGCTGAGCCAAGACGGACATGAAATACCTATCCAACTGGTCGTGAACCCGAGTCCGAAGGATATGGGGAAAAAAAAAAAGGAAAAAAGGATTGGCAGTAATACTTTCTATTGCCATCAAAAAAAAAATACCTCATCTCCGACCGTAGGGTGTCTTGGCGACGTTGGCCTGGGTCACGGCGGTGCAACTCCAACAAGTTCAAGAAAGCGCCGGAGCGGAGGTCGTTTATCATTCGGGGGCCCAAGGACGTGGAGCGCGCGTGTTTTTTAGCCTCTGGCCTCCCGTGAACCACCACATTGCGCCCGCGGTTTGGTTGGACAGCATCTCAATTGTTAGTTGCGGTGACTGAATGGAATTCGTCATAAACAGAGTCAAGACCTCAGCAAGGTGGTCCCCAAAGGGTCATCATCCTTGCTCACTGGGGTGGCCCCAAAACAACTCCTGACCCGCTCAAGATCCCAGATCTCTCTCGTACGGTAGTAGCTGGAACCACCTGGCAGACGTCGGGCATTAAAGTCTGGGTCCGTTAAGATGACGAACCGGCGCGCATTGAGTCGACAGTCGGCAAAGGCAGACGTCTGGGACTGGCCCTTGCGCGTTGAATACTGGAGACGGCTGGTGTTGCCCAGAGTCGTGTTGTCTAGTGGGATGGAGTTGGACATCCGGCTCTAAGAGACGCACTGATCGCCAAGCATCACAGGCTACGAACCGTCTGTCTGGCAGGAGGGCTGTGCGCTTGGCAAGCTTCCGAAAGGTCCATTGCGTATTGTTTGGGCAATTGAAGGTGTCTACTACGTACTATATGTGCGGTGAGATGGACTCCCTCGGCCTGCGAACCGACCCTGCTAGCGGGAGGTTATGATCTCTTTTGAGTGAGTGCATATTCGATGGGTCTAGCCACTGTTACATCCCATTCTCACCTCTCCTATTTAGAAAGCAAGAAGGCTGATGCAGGAGTAGCTGGGTTGGAATGATTACCTTTTGGTTAGAGCTATTGGGACAGGGCCAGCGCCCGAGTTCCTGGACAAGCACAAATTGTGCGATGGAACACTCATTTAGAACGGTTCCCGCACGTCAAAAGAGGCTAACTGATTCGTTAGGTGTGTGTGTGTGTGTGTGTGTGTGTGTGAAGGGAACAGGGGACTCTCAAATGCGGTGATGTGCCCGGTCGGTGTCTGCACCAGCAAAGCTACCGTCAGTAACCGACCGGATTGTGGCCAATTGATAGTAGCCGTCGAAACATTCCAGCCATTAGTTCTGACAGGGGGGTCACAATCTCTTCTCAAGCCAGCACAAGCCATTCGAAGTGGTCCTTCGGCAGTCTAATCCAAGAGTGGTCAAAGGCAAGGATAAGCTCGGTCAAATGCATGCTGCCAAGTACCCATTAAAAAAGCGACCAGGGGCATGTGGAGGAGATAAGGACCTGCTTATTTAGGTCAAAGATAAACTTCTTGGCGGGGAGATGGGGAATGATTATGAATGGTTGACTCGAGGCTAGGAAATTGGTTCGGGAGGAGGGGGGCAGGGAAGATGATGTTGGGCGCATAGCATCTGCGTGTGGTGGTGGGAGCTGCATAGCGTTTCTAGAACGACAAATAGAACTCGCACAGGAGCTGCCATGGCCAACTTGCCTTAATGTTAATGGATCAGGCTTCGTGATAACTGTCCACCCCCCCACCCCCCCTGGGCCTCCTGGACACCTAACAGATTCATATAATCAGTACGTACGAGGAGATCCTTAGCTGCACCATGTTTGTGTTGTGGGTATACCGCGACTCGCAAGCTGACAAGGCTCATCTCACTGTCTGGGCTGCGATGCGAATGAGCTGAGCTGAGGTTCCTGCGCATTCTTTCGGTGAGACAGCCGGGAGAGGCTGGGAGGGGCGTCTTCTGTGTACTTTGTGGTGTCAGGCGTCTTCACGTCCTGGCTGGCTAAGCAATGCCTAGCGACGGGAGGTTGAGACCACAAGAAAAAACAAGAGATGGACAAGCCTCTTCGGAAAGCCAGTGGCGCCAGGGCATTCTTTGCCCCAAATGCTAGCTAGCTTCTAGTCTAATGCCATCAGCTCAGTGGCACTTTGACAGATAGCCTCAGCCTAGACCCCGAACGGGTTGGCGGCCTTAGCTGGTTGTGTGTCAGTTTACCTTCTGGATTAATGTCACTGGATGAACGGGCACGCCGATGTCTACCGTGTCTCGTGCGCTTCTTAGGGGACACCTCGTAGCTAGGCTCTCCCAGCCATGAGCCCAAGGGGATCGACTCAAGTGGTACGTGAATCAGCGTCAACAGCCTATCCGGGCCAGAACCTCTGGGCATGATTGGCGAGATGGCCTGAATCGTGGCTGAAATTGTCCCCGCAGATTGCCCGAAGGAATCACTCATCGCGTGAGCTCTCTATCTCTTGGCTCCCTTTGAGTCGTTATGTGTATTGGTGTCATCGTGGTTGTCATGGTGGTGGTGGTGGTGGTGGTGGTGGTGTGGCCCTGGTAGAAGCACCCTGAACCGAGTAGGAGGTGCGCCTTATCCGGGGGGCACCCGCATCTTCGGACGGAGACGAGACCTTAATTCTGCCTGCATGGTTTCTGTAAATGTTTACCGTTTCTCTATTCCAGTCTCTTCCAGTGTCTTTCTTGTTCGTCACAGCCTACGCCAGGCTGACGAGATGTCCCGTGTCTGACGGGCAGATTTAACATGGTCGAGTGCGGAAGACCGTCTTGAATGGCGCAATACGACCGGGGTATTTTTCGCTCACAACCACCAAACTCTGCGATAAAGAATGCAATGTAAAGAAAACTTTCACTTTCGACTCTCTGATAAGCATCGTATGTCAATCAAGAGACCCGAGCACCCGATTTCTTCCTCAAAGAGCTTTGGATCAACCTCATCATCCTTATTTTCCAAGTGGAGGGGGGAGCCACTTGGGCTGGATGGCAATCCATCCTGCGGGCGCTCTTCAACAGGGCACCAGAAGATGACAGGGCAGCCTCTGGGCGCAGCAAAGCGTGCAACCAAGAGGGAGCCTTTCGCATTTTGGACATTGTCTTGGTGTTTCTGGGCACACCGATCCAGCCCACCCTAGCACAGGGGGGGGGTCTCGCTTCGCCCAGGTACTTCGGGGCTTGTCCATCTTGCTTGTCCCGTCTAAGCTTTTGCCAACTATCCATACCATCGCTCAGTTGACCCTCGATCAAGACTGGGCAATCTCTGGGCAAAACCAGGCACAAAGACAGCAACGACAACACCATCTTCACACCATGCCCTTGGCGGTTGACGATACTTGGCGTTAGCGAGTGACTTTCGTGTCATGTACCCCATCACTCTGGCCGCCCTCGCTCTCTACTGTCCTCGATAACCATCCATCCCTAAAGTGACCGAATACTCATCATCCCCGCACGAGCGGGATTCTATTCTCTTCCAATCTACCGTTACTTATGCCCGCCAAGGCTGAACGCGTTGGATGAGCATCCCAATGAGGTCTGGGTAGACAAGGCGACACACACATCCACGACCACCTAACCGTTATACCTCTTCTCTCCTTGGTCGCTGTGAAGGCCAACCCCAAATCAAGCCCCCAAAAAACCTTCCTCATCCTTGCCACTATCTCCTCTGTTGCCATCCCTGTTCTGGCACGCCTCTTTTCTCACATACATTTGGGGCTTAGTCTACTACATAGTAGAGTTGAGTACCCCTTCTCTCCACCCCAATGCCAGTGCCATTTCCCCTCATTGCCCTCACTGGTCCACCTCCAACCATCTCCTGGCCATTGCTGACCCTGTTGTGGGCCACAGAGGGATGGAGGAGTTGGAATGAGACACGGACGTACGCACCGGCGGCATTCTGTTCGCTGTGCCTCCAGCCTGCCGCTGCTAATCCCCACACACTTGAGAGAACCACGAGTGTGGTGGGGGGACTTTGAACTCCATAATGGGGAAAACGTATACGACCACTAACCCACATTAGATACCGGACAAGATAGCAGCCACATCACGCTAATTATACGATGGTAATACATCAACGTCAAGACCGTTCGGCATCTCTCCGCCCACCCAGTCAATCCCAACACATCCTAGCCAGCTTCTGCAGGGATTACTCGACGGGTCCATTTTAGCGTACGACGCCAGTCTTTCTTCCTCTCCCCACCCCAGTCAGTCAACTGTCCGGGTTCCATAATCCCCAAGTAAGCTAAGCCAGGTCCAGCCAACGAACCCGTGAGGCAAACATGGAGGCGGGCTGTTACGTGCGGGACGAATGTGCAAGACTGGTGTACGCCTGTCCTATGCCAGTTGACGGGATGTAGCTGTTACGTTCCGTTTTGACTTCTATACGCCCATCTTCTGCTGCTTCCGTCTCACATGCGGCATCCGCTATCGTGCTCGCAAACACACACACACACCCCTACCCCCCAGTCTTCCGTCTATTGGGGTCGGTACACCCAGAAAGAAATTAAAAAGAACCTCCAATCCCCCTCCCTTCAGATCGTGAGCTCTCTTTTTTTCCCTCCCATCCCTCTCTCGCTCCTAGAGCTCTCGTCTGCCAATCCCCCTCTTCTCCTCATCGTGTCTTTGTACACCCCAGACCGAGAGTCTCTTCACGTGTTCAAGGTGTAAATAAGGCAACACTTGTTCACGCAAAAGCAAGCCCGCAATCATGAGTGACGGCCTCGTCAAGCGGACGTCCTCTTCGGAGGGCGCCCACGATGTCGAGAAGTCGGGTTACCAAACCCAGACCTACGACAACCAAGATCTTCACATCCGTGGTTTCGAGACCAGCGCCGAAACATCGTTGCACCGTGGCCTCAAGGCTCGTCACATCACCATGATTGCCATTGGTGGTGCCATCGGTACCGGTCTCATTATCGGAACCGGCAAGGCCCTCGCGCAGGCCGGCCCGGGCTCCGTCTTCATCTCGTACACTCTCGTCGGTTTCATCGTCTTCCTCGTCATGGCTGGTCTTGGTGAGATGGCTGCTTGGTTGCCCATCTCTGCTGGTTTCACTGGTTACGCCTCAAGATTCTGCGACCCCTCTCTCGGTTTTGCGCTCGGCTGGACGTGAGTTTTTCCCCAAATTTCTGATCCCGGCAATTTCTTTTTCATTGTTAGCTAACCGCGTCGCATCACAGTTACTGGTTCAAATACATCATCGTTACTCCCAACCAACTTACTGCCGCTGCCCTCGTCATTCAGTACTGGGTCCCTCGCGAGCGCGTAAACCCCGGTGTCTTCATTGCCATCTTCCTGGTCGTCATCGTCTGCATCAACTACTTCGGTATCAAGTTCTTTGGAGAGTTCGAGTTCTGGCTGTCCAGTTTCAAGGTCATCACCATTGTCGGCATTATCCTGTTCTCCCTCATCCTGGTTTGCGGTGGTGGCCCTAACCGCGATGCCACTGGCTTCCGCTACTGGAAGAACCCTGGGTATGTCTTTTCCTGGTCATAATTCATCTCTTGTCATTTGAGGCTAACAAATATTCCCAGTGCTTTCAAGGAATACATTGACACGGGCGACGCTGGCCGCTTCTTCGGATTCTGGTCTTGCATGGTCAACGCCACCTTTGCTTACCTGGGTACTGAGCTTGTCGGTGTCACCGTCGCCGAGGCCCAGAACCCCCGCAAGACCATTCCTCGCGCCATCAAGCTGACCTTCTACCGCATCCTGTTCTTCTACTGCCTCAGCGTCCTCCTCATCGGCATGCTCGTTCCCTACGACTCCAAGGAGCTCGCTTTCGCCACCAAGGCCCAGGCCGGTGCCTCCGCCTCCCCATTCGTCGTTGCTGCTTCGATCGCTGGTGTCAAGGTCATTCCTCACATCATCAACGCCTGCATCTGCGTCTTCGTCTTCTCCGCCTCCAACTCCGACTTGTACATCGCCAGCAGAACCCTTTACGGCCTGGCCTCTGACGGCTCTGCTCCCGCCATCTTCAAGCGCACCGACAAGCGCGGTGTCCCCATCTACGCCCTCGGTTTCTCCGCCCTCTTCGCCCTTCTCGCCTTCATGAACGTCTCCAGCGACTCGACCAAGGTCTTTGGCTACTTCGTCAACCTGACCACCATCTTCGGTCTCCTGACCTGGATTTCCATCCTCGTCACTCACATCTGGTGGTGCAAGGCCCGCAAGGCCCAGAACATTTCCAACGAGATCCTCCCCTACGCCGCTCCCCTCGGCATCTGGGGCTCCTACGGAGCTCTCTTCCTCTGCTGCATCGTCGCCCTTACCAAGAACTACGACGTCTTCACCGGCGGCGACTTTGGAAAGGAGAAGTACAAGACCTTCATCACCGGTTACCTCGGTATCCCCCTGTACCTCATCCTCATCTTCGGCCACAAGTTCTTCTACAAGACTCGCGGCGTCAAGCCCCACGAGGCCGACTTCTACACCGGCAAGGACATCATCGACCGCGAGGAGGAGGAGTTCCTGGCCCGCCAGGCTGCCGAGAAGGAGGCTCGCGGTGGCAAGGAGAGCCGCGGTGGGTGGTTCTACAGGACCTTCATCTCATGGCTTCTGTAAATGGAAGTGTTGGGAGAGGGAGTGTGTTTTCAAACCCCGTCATTGTTCTACGAATCTCATGTCATTTGCGAATATACCACGGCGCAATTGGTCCGCCTAATCACTACATAGATATCCCAATCTTGACCAAGCATCATTGCTTTTCGCGCAATTTCTCGTCCACTTTTTAAGCGATTCTATGTGATGTTACCAACATTAGCGTGTGTGATACCTACTTTTCGGAAATCATCGGCTTTGACGCCGCAACTTTGCCTCCGTTGGTGGGGCTGCCTTAGTGTGGTGTGAATTAGGCCTACCCACCCACGATGACTCACACGACTGGAGCCTCATTATGTTAAATTGCATGACACCAAGACATCTGCCCATCAGCAATCCTAAGCACGGTAGCTCAGGGGTAGAGCGCTGGGCTCATAACCCAGAGGTCCCTGGATCGAAACCAGGTCGTGCTATCTTTATACTTTTGCTTTTTCATATCACACGTTTTGGTTACAAGAGTAGCGCAACGTCACAGTTTTTCAAAGAGGCCGAAGCTGACAAAATATGGCTGATAATGCTTTGTAGACCTCGAAGCCTCTTGTTCTAACAAATGTTCTTGTTGCTGAGCACACCCAGGGTGAGAGGTCCCTTGCTCTCATCTGGAACTTGTTCAGATTGTCATCGGCCATAAAAATGATGACCTGATCCCCAGTTTGTCAGGCTTTCTAGGCGACAATTGAGCTGCAGGTGGGACTGGGACTGATAAGCCGCAGATGGCGGTGATCCATGTATATACTGACTGCTAGGCTATCTCATCTATGCTCGGAGATAAAAAAGCTTGCAATTATAGGCAGCAACAGTAGTCTAGAGGACGCTTGAAAACCTTAGTCTACTGAAGAGTTGGGTAGAAGCCGAGACGCTGACGTTACGGACATGCCGTATCAGAATAGGCTATCGTATGCGGCGACTCGACAGGTAAAGGGTAACCACCATGGCCGCGAAGCTACATATTTCCCCTTCGGTGAAAGCATAGCCTATCAATACCCGGCGTAATCTCCTATCTCAATGTTGGGCGTGATGTATGGTTGGACCTTGCCCCTGTTCAGCGTCCTTTGCTCATAGGCATAAGCCAACCCAATGAGCTTAGCTTCTTGGAACTTCGCACCAAGGAAGCTGATACCGAAACTGGAAACCGTCAGCAAAGGCGTTCGTCAAAAAGCCCAAGAGCAACTTACGGCACATGCGGTCCGGTGTCCACCAAGTTCCCCCTCCTGTTCTTGACCACTGTCGCATTCGCGGGGTAGAACCCAAGGGGAACCGTCACAACCGGCGCTCCAATGATTGCAGCCCATGTGCTTGAAAAGCTAGTGGGCAAGATGACAGCATCCAGATTGTGCCTCTCTAGCGTCCCGAGCAGCCCTCCCTCTCCGCCGAGATACTCGCTCTCCTGCAGCGCATCCCAGAACCGAGGATCAGTGTTGTTAAAGCCTTGCTCACCCAGAGCGTCGTCCCATATAGCCGTGTTACGGTCCGGGTAGTCTTCCAGGTCAAAAGTCTGCGTAAACTCCCGTACATCGGCAAGAGACGTTAGGTTGTTGGGGTTGAATGTTAGCTCGGCAAGATAAGCCGCTAGATTAGTGATGAAGTCTGCGTTCAGGACGATGGTTTCCGAATTCGACTGTGCTAGTTGCTCCGCAGCGGTGAAATTCGCGTTATCGACAATGATTGCCCCCGCTGATTTGAAAACCTCGAGGGCTTCCTCAAAGGCATCGGTCTCGATACCGGTCGTGTTGTCGGAAAATAGCTCGATGGCGTTACGTGGGATGCCAATACGAGCGCCACGGAGGGCGTACATGTCGCATGCTGCTGGGTAATTCGGGATCTCGCCGTCGTTTGGGATTGCAGAAGTGTAATTGTCATTGGGGTCCGTTCCAGCGATGGCATGGAGGATGTATGCCGCGTCTTTAACCGTTCGAGCCATAGGTCCAATTGTGTCTTGGTGCTCGCTGATTGGGATTACAAGGTGTCTTGATGTAAGACCAACGGTTGGCTTGATCCCGACCAGATTGCTACGTTGAGCGGGTGACAAGATGGAGCCATCGGTCTGATGTTTGTCAGTCTAAACCGAAGAAGCCCAGTATCGTTAGTCAACCTACCTCGGTTCCTAACGATGCAAGGGCAAGTCCCAAATCCGATGCTACTCCACTACCACTCGAGCTCCCGCTGGGGTCCTGTTGAGGATAGTAAGCGGCATAAACCTGGCCACCATAAGCAGACCAGCCGTTGCTGGTGTTGTTACTTCTGTAATTTGCCCATTGGCTCAAGTTCGTCTTGCCCAGGATAATGGCGCCAGCCTCGCGGAGCTTCTTCGCCATGAAGCTATCATTTGGTACTTTGGCCCCCAGAAGTGCCCATGAGCCAGCAGTATTGTTCATCTGATCAGCGGTCGCGATGTTGTTCTTAATAAGGATGGGAACCCCGTGAAGAGGGCCTTTCAATGTGCCATTGGATCTCTGGGCGTCCAGATCGGCTGCGATGGAGAGCGCATCGGGGTTCACCTCCGTCACCACATTCAGTGTGCTGTTGACTTGAGAAATACGACCCAGGTAGGCGTTGACAAGATCGACGCTGGTGAAAAGACCATTTTCCAGACCTTCCGTCAGTTCATCAATCGTGACATCTATGAGACTGGGAAAGGGGATGTTTTTAACTAATTTCAATGTTATTACACATGCAGATGGTAACGGTCGGACGAAGCCAGACCAAGTCATACTTACCAGTCAAACAACTGGCGATGCTAGCAATCCTGAGCCAAATGAGAGCCAGAAACCAGAAGGAGGCTTGAACAGCCATAGCGGACGCTGTGGATTGAGAGCAGACTATTCACGGCCCAGTTTCGACTTGCTCGCCTTTATTTCGGGTGATTCCTACTACCATCGTAACACATCTTCAAAAGCACGGCGAATTGAAGCATGGTCTCATATATGTATGTCTTGACACACCCAGCAAGGTAATTCTAGCCTGCATGCTAAGCACCGTTACCGTTGCATCACGTAGCGCAGTCGCTCACCGCACGGCTCCGAGCACGGCAAAAATGATAACGAGTGCCTGAAATGGCGTATCTTTAGACTAGTAGATTAATGTTGTCTTAAACCCAGACAGGCAGCTCATTCTGACATAAACCCCGTCGATAAGAGTCATGACGTAAGGAAACAGGAACTGGTCTGGTTCTACGCGTCGAAGGCGGAGCAAAGTGACATCCTGTTATGTCTTAACGTTCATTCTACTGGACAGGAAAACCTCGCAGATGCAAGTAGGAGGGCACGGTAAGCGATGTTTGGTCGGACAGAAGGGGGCTGGGACTGGGGATAGTGAAGGATCACGCGGGGACAAAATGCCGATGCGCCGGGGGCAGCGGGGAAGTCCCGTTGGTGGAGGCCGACAAGAGACTCCGAGTGGCAAACCAAAAGCCAAGTCGGCTTACCTCATCATCAGAAAACTCAAGTTTGCCTTGCGGAAAGGGAAAATATTTGACCGCTTGTATTGCCCGCTCCTGGTGCTTTAATGTTAATGCGAGACTCGTCATGCCATGCGCCGGGTGTATGTGAGTGTCAGCGCTCGGATCTACAAGGCCAACTCTTCAGAACCGTACTTCATCGTGGCTTAATTGTATGGCCAGGAAAAGAGCTTATCTATAAGTTGAGGCGAAGAATATGCTCTCTCTATGGCTGTCTTCTTCATGCGACCTCGCTGTCCACTCACCTCTGTCATGCGCAGGTCAGAGCAACTACCTATGGCACACAGCAAATGCTTCAATAATGACGAATCCGCCGTCATACCCCTCTTTGTTCCGCATTGCACAGCTACGTCGGCCAGCACTCAAACTAGTTGCGTCGTAGCAATCTCTCAGGCACGAGGCCTTGAATTATGTCCGGATCCGATTGGCAGATGATAAGCTGAGTCGAGTGGACGGATTGTGTAAAGAAGGCAGCAGCACATACTAGGATGTATCTTGAAGTTGGTACTCTCGTGAAATAACCCATTTTCAGTTACTGAGGCCCAAGCTCACTGCTTGTAACACGGCATTAGTATGGGGTTCCATTATTGCGCGGAGATATCATCGCATGCTGACCACGGCATTGGTGGTCTTAGATGAGAAATGAAAGACTTTCTCTACGGGAGCCGTGATTCCGACTAGAATTCGATGTCACAAGCAGACGACAATGATAAAAGGCAACGGCGTCGGTTACTGAGCAGTCATGAACCTGCATGTCCCCCCAAGAGCGTCCAATCTCCTGATACGCTTGTTCTTTACGCATAAGGCAAGCCTCTTCATCTCAACCAATGACCCTGCGAAAGCCCGCCCCTTACCCAGTCCATGCAAGCTATGCTCGTCCAGACTTTGCCAGGACCTCATTCGAACAGCGGGCGCCTGAAACGATTTTCGCTTGAGCGTCGATCCCCATTAGCCGCCACCAGCGTTTTGGAGATCACTGGACAGAACTACTCTTCAGCCAATGCCTGCATCCACACCTTTCTATTGGCCCTGAGTGGTTATGCCATGTTTTGCTCGTCTCCGCGGACCATCTGTGACCAGAGCTGCTGCTTTGCCATCCAAACTGTCAATTGACCTGCCAGCAACATCAGCATGAGGGCATGAATGACCGCTCGGCCTTGTCATCTGACTGTCTTCTGTCATTTTCAATGCGGTTCGCTACGAGATGCTCCTGTCTTCCTGACACCGTCTGAAAGCCTTTGCCTGCTGCTCAAGACAGCTGTCATAGTTATTGGAATCTTTGACGTTCAAGGAAGGACTGGGAATATTCGTAGGTGTGGGCTTTCGCTTGAGTGTGCTCTGAGAAGACGTCGTTTTTGCCTTGTTAGTGATGCAAGATTGAGTTCTGAGGTCATCGACAAAACTTTGGAGCAGAGCCGCAGGCTGGTCCACCTATGTAAGCCCTGAAATTTCATTTTCCTCACGCGAAAAACGTGGAAACTTGGACGAAATTGCTGTGGTCACATACAATCTTCTTTTGTATGGGATTTGAAGTTTAGTTTCTCGGCTGGTGATGAATAACTTCTCTACCTGCAGGTAGCCAACTATGACACACGCAGCTCGCTCTCAGATTTCCAAAACGAATTCGAAGTGGAGCTAAGACAAACCTACTCGAACTATCGCAAGAATCAAGGCAAGATTAGGACAGCAAGGTTTTGGAAGCCTTCAGCCTGCATCGGGTGAAGTCGAACCGCGAGATAGTGCTGACCAACATTGACAGCCATCCCCTGCTTGAACCACATTGGTGTTTGCATCACCACACCCTAAGTAAGCTTAAGATCAATTCTCCGCTTGGTGGGTTAACAAGATCGCTTCCAATGAGAGGGAGTCTGAAACCATCCAAGATCGGACGATTTCTATGTTCTTCGCGTCTTCCTGCAGGAGTTTGCCCTTGGCCGATATCAGACGAGGGGAGCTCCACCCACGAAACGCTTAATCGAAACACCAACTCGCCTGAATAAGTTGAATTGCTTTGCGGTACAGGGAATGGCCACCTTCAAGATGATCCATGGAAAAATCCAATACAAGGTGCAATCCCTGCCTTCGTAGATCCGGCATCGTGCAGAGGAATGGCCCACGCGGGGTCGGGCACTTCGAGCCGGTGAACTTTGGCATCTGTCGCCTTGTGGTTGTGATCTCAGGTTTCAGAGAGGCCCTAACTGTCCTCCCGGTGAATTCTAACTCAGAATCGCAGACCAGTCACTCAGCCATTTCAATGGCCTGCACGTTGAGAACGGGCAAACGGCCTTGCCTAAGGTTTGGATGAGATTGGACATCCTTGACGGGGCGAAGAGTCGAGGTCATTCAGAGAAAGTACAAAAGGACACAGGACCGTCTCCCATCTGCCAGTCTTGTAGGAAGGGACAGGCAGGTTCCTCAGTTCACGCCCACAACTAGGCATTACAGATACGAGTACAAACCTCCCAGCAAGTCAAAAGCTTGGCTGGTCATATATTCCACCTTTCTTTCACAATTTCGTAACCAACATCTAGCATTCACTACAATGAGGTTCTCCACCCCTCTTCTGTTACTTGCTTCAGTACTCCTTGTTGGCATCAATGGTGCTCCGGCAGGGCCAGGTACCGATGTCCGCACGGGATATGTCAAGTACGTCCTAGTAGTCGCCCAAATTCAAGGGCAAGTAACTAACATGTCTCAGTGAGATTGGCCCCCTAGGCGATGTCCCCCAAGTAGGCGACATTGACGTGGCGGCTGTTGAGCAGCAATATGCCGCATTGGTTGCCAGAGGTGACCGACCAGAGCATGAGAAGCGGCTTCTAGGCTTATTAGGACTGCTCAAGAACAAGAACAAGAACAAGAATAAGAACAAAAACAAGAACAAGGCTAAGACAGCCAACCCCGCCAAAGCGAAGGCTAAAGCCAAGGCCAAGACCACCACGCCTCCAGCGAAGGCTAGCGCGCCTCCTCGCCCTGCTGTTCCACCTGCCAATCCGCCTGCGAATCCGCCTGCGAATCCTCAGAATCCTCAAACTCCTCAGAACCCCCAGAACCCCCAGAACCCACAAAATCCACAAAATCCTCAGAATCCTCAGAATCCTCAGAATCCCCAAACTCCTCAAACTCCCCAGACTCCTCAAAATCCACCTGCTCCTGTGGCGCCCGCGACGCCATCCAAATCTTCAGGCGCTCCAAAGAAAGCGGCTGGAGCTGGTGCTTCTAATGCAGGGGCTATAGCAGCTGGCGCTTCCAAAGGTAAACCGAACAACCAACAACCCGCTCCTGTCCCTGCCGGCGCTCTCGCGGCTGGGGCTCTGGGCGGCGGTGCTGCTGGTGCTGCTGCCGGAGCTAAACCCATGCCGGGTAATGCGCCAGGTACAAATCAGCCATCGTCGTCCGGAGGCTCTCCCAAGGGCCCAGATCCTAATAGCCTCGCCCCGGTTCCCGCTGGAGCCATTGAGGCCGGCGCTCTCATCGGAGGCGCTCAGGGTTCAAAACCCGGAACACCTCCGAAGCCGGCCGGGGCTGCCAATCTCCCCCTTGCCGTTCCCGCAAGAAAAATCGAGTAAACTCTTTGTTGACGAGCAATTTTGTGCAGGGAATTGAGACAGTATACCTTCGGAGAAAGCGATAACACAGGGAAGGGTATTTTGGAGCTAAATCGAACACGGCCATTTCACTTGCCCGACGGTAATCAACCAATATTCTTAACCGAGTAACTCGAACGTGCCGATACATTGCAAGTATGATGGTTGGGGCCTACGGCGCCTCCGATTGGGATTACTATGGCCTGACAGAGCCAATGATGTTGTGTGTACATAGGCTTAGGCTTTAAAATGCTTAAATTCATGATTTATGACTTGCGATCTGTGTTTCATACCACCAGTGCCTCAAAGTGCATGGTTAATCCTTTTCGGTTGATTCCGGTTCCTGGCGTTCCTGGCGTTCCTGGCTAGCGGACTACTCACGAAAGGTTGTTACCGTTAAGCAAAGTTCCTAAGAAATAGCTACGCAAAAAGCCTCAGCTTTGGGGAATAGCGGGAAACTCTGTTTCCAACGCACTTTTGCTTTGGTGTGGGTGTACCCTGGATGGTGATCGGGACCCGCGGCCAAGGGCGTCACTGGTTCTTTACTCTTGGGAGACTAGCTTTTTAATATCGTTTTATGAGGGTTACGTATCATCACGGTAACGAAGGACTCGCTGGGGTTGTGTTCTTGTTTCCGGATATAACATGACCTTCGGGAGGTACAGTGCTCGCCGATTTGCCACTGACACATGGTTTACTCATACAAGGTCCTAAGTTTAATCTCATCACTTGGCCTTCAGTTTTAGATCATTATTGAAAATACTGGGAGTATGAATCTAATCGAGTAGACTCGTTCTTATGTGAAACCCTTGCAAGATGAAGAAAGTGACGCGTAAGTCGATGCAAACTGACGCAGATCGACGGCAAGGCCCATTCCCGACAATTTAGATCACCTCCTTCATGAAGCCAAACCCCTTCTGTAGTCAATTAAAAGAGGCCACAAAAAGGAACACATTCAAATATTTAATGGGGTTGTTTACGTGACGATGTTTCAAAATACTTTGCCTACGACGACATGTAAAGTCCAAGGTCAATCTGATTGAGTACACCTGAGCTTATAGGATAAGCTAGATCCAAAAATTCAGATCATCTGTTTGATTCAACTCTGCTAATGGACTTTCTATGGCGGCTTGGCTTTACCTCTTATCCAGTAGGTGAAGATGCTGAATAACATCCCCTTCTACTTTGAGGAATGTGCTCCAAGAAACATCGGATCAATGTGTTTCAATTTTTGAATGGTATGTGCTACCATGTTGGTGGCTTTGAATTAGTGTAATTGAATCAGTCTCTATTCATTGTGAGTTTTCCTGCTGGCGTAAGACATACACAACAGGCGCACTAGCAATGACAATCCATTGGAGTGAGTGTGAAATGCTTCGAAGTCGTACAAGATTAGCCGAGGATAAGGACCATTCTGAATCAATTTCCTTTTCATCCATCGCCACGCCCTGCAATATTGTGTCACATAAATGATGAAATTCTCTTTGATTCTCTTGCCAATAACGGACATCGTAATTCTACATCCATAGTCCCCTGCGGGCAGTGTGGCTAACATGGACAAAATGTATCATTGCTTTGAGGCACTTGACAGTAAAAAAATGCAGAGTTGGCCTCTGGGGTTGACAGCCACTGGCCTAAAATATAAAAGACTTTGAAGAACCGCTTTTGAGGCTTTACACAGGGAAGAGCAGAGTCGACAATACTGAATTATTCAACTCATTTGATTAGGCCTTGCCAACACCAGTAACTTGGTCTAAGATGGTCAACATCGCAGCTGGAGCTCGAATTTTGGGTTTCCTGTTCGACAAAGACAAATCAATCTTCCCTTTCAGATGGTCTTTCGATGAGGGTATTCCTGAAAAACACATACCCGAAACCTGGGTCACACTTGTGAGCGGTGACGGTGGCAGCATGGGACATGCGAGCGCAATAGAGCCCTATATTACGCTCTGGGACGACGAAGGGAAACGCGTTGGTCAACACTGGGCGGAGAGGACGAGGTTTCTGTGGCAAGGCGGCGACCTCAGCAAATATGTCTACAAAATTCCAAATGTTCATAACAGAGATCCGATGGTCACTGCGAAATATGTTATGATATCGCAGTTCGCGTACGACTCTCTCATTTGCCTGGCAGCAGTTCAGGTTTCCAATGGAAATCTGAGCACCACCTGGTATGGCGACCTTGCGGCCTACTGCGGCGCAAGGTGGTATCTTAGCGAGCGCAGAGTCGGCAGCGCTTATCCAAAGTGTGTATGGCTGAGTGCCGAAGACGAAGCAGAAAATGGAGCAAGAGCTATAAGCTTTCATGCCAACGATATGCTTGGCACCCCTTCCAAGATTCTCCACTACCGCATGGATCAAGAAAAATATCTTTGCAGGAGTACACCACGATTCAACTATTGGAACAATCTTCAACCGGACGGCACTGTGCCATTCTACTTGCCACCGCTTCAATATGAGATTGACCAAGAAACTGGATTGGAGGGAAGGGACAAGGACCCCGAACGCGCGGTTGACCGGTATAAGTGGGACAAGCACGTCTACATAAAGCCATCTGTTAAGGGCTTGCGCTCGTTAGCTCCTCGCGTTGGTAACTCAACTAGAACGAACCCTCAAAGACAGCAAGGATTCAACCGTGATACTAGCCATCTGTTGGTAACGGAATCAGAGGGACATGAAGCATCCCTAGTTTGCAACAGCACGACTTCCTACGGCTGGGATATAGCCTCTCTTAAGGAAAAGAAATATTGCGACATGACTATTAGGAAACTGTACGATCTCTGCAGTTCCGTCTACACCAAAAACTGTTTTGATTTGGAAAGGAAGATCCTTATTGGACACGGTGGTATCAACTCTCGGGGAGAAGTGTCTTCAATTGGAGTTGCGGAAAAAGCCTATAAGAAGACTTCTCACTGGAAATAATGAACTCTACCACAAGTAAGAGTTGGAAGTTTAGGCTTCGGATGCTGGTGGAAGGCCTTTCAATTATCATAATGTCAAACAATTGTTCAATGCTGTTGATTATGTCCCGGTTGGGTTGTCCAACTATATTTACCCCCGACAACAGGTCTTTGAAATACCAAGCCATGTGACAAGGAAGGAAAATTGGCGATACCACTACCGCTAGTACTATTTAGATAGTCGAATGAAGCAGCAAGAGCTAGGCATGTTGAGGAGTTGAGGAAGATTTCATAGTTTAGAAACCATGGTGTATTACTCTGTGCCTTCCTTCTCTCTTATCCAGTGATGTCACACCTAAAGAGTGGCATTTCGTTGCTATTCTGACCGAGAGTGCCATAGCCATCGAAACACGCGTGAACTTCTTAGGTAAAGGCCGGTTTCTGGATGGCTATTAGCTGGAAGTAATGTTGAATTCCCTGTCTCCTTGGCTATCTTCTTTTTCATCTTTTCGACTTAAACTGAGTGTTCTATACCGATCAAGAACTGTCAAGCTTGAACGGGGAAAGGTTACATGACTTCAGAAAATTTGGACTGAAACAATGGCATGAGATTCATTCTTGCCACTAGTTTGAGCTGATGATTTTCTATTGTACTAACAAGTACGAAACTACTGACACCTACAACTGACACCATGTCAGGACGGCATGGCATGTTGCATGCGGTTGCATATCATGTTGAGACTTGGTTACGTCAACGTCTTGCATCCATCCGAAGCTGTCGCGCGTAGCCTTTAACTCCGCATGCTCGTGTGGCTGTGGCTATCAGAAGAAAATGGGTGATGTGCCTCGGCCCGCCACGCAAAAAAGCGAAGGATTATTAAATCAACTACGTATGTTATATTTCCTGTGTCCATGGTTCCAAAACTGGTCGGCGGTCTATGTATGATACTTAGATGGGACTTTCCACTAGGCTAGCAATCGAAACAATTGACGAAAGCTAAGGTAGGAATAATTGGATGGCTGCCTACCGGCAATCGCTCCGGGTTGCAAAAATGACTTTCTTTTCAGACGCATTCCTAGTTCTCCATACAACAGACCAGAATCAAGGAGGGCGGAGCGTGAGGAAATTCTTGATGTAATAAGTCAAGAGTCTGAATTATCTTATGATTATTCTTTTGCGTATAAAAAGCTTTCTTTGGGTAAGAAGGCGTATGGATGAAATATTACCTACGACCAAGCGGCCATGCTTTTTGCACCCCAATTGACCAGAAAGCAAGGCGTCCAGGGGTGCGCAAGGATCTCCCTCGTTAATTAGCTTGGACCCTTCGTGTGTGAACGGGTGATCAACATTGTAGGTTCAAGTAGACTTTCGAAAAAAGAGAGAAAAAAAGAGCCTGTTCGATTTGTGAGAAGTAAGTCCAAACGTTATTTCAGGCAACGAACGGTTTACCCAAACAAAATATTATAGCGAACACGATCTGACTGGAGATAGTTTAACTACTAGATTGAGATCAAAAGTGATGATTGTATCTCACAGCGGTTCGAGCACTTCGAAGCCTTCAGCACTGGCCCTAGCACAATCTGAGGACTGGCTCACTTGGTAATCCTTCCTACTATGACATGAACTGCCGACGCCATCAAATATGACAATGCCAATGAGCCGAGCTGCCATGTGAATGCAGCGTTCGGCGCAATGCACACGCCGCCATCAATGACCGTATGAGGAAAACTATGCGGCGTGCCGACTACCGAAAACGGCCTAGGCCTGTCGGACTGGGATCATGAAGACTCTAAACCCAGCATCTGGGTTTCAGGCTAACACCAGATGACCTGCAACAGACCAGATCGCCCTAGTGTAACCCTAAATCTCTCAAGTGAAGAGAAGAATGATCAGAGAATTTGATTTTCTGAGCGGCATTCCAGATGAATGGCTTTCAGAACCACATACTTGAAAAGCCATGAAGAGTCATAGGGTTTGAACATCACTCATCGGCACTGTTCCAGACCCTGACACTATTAGATGAGGGGAAGCATGGCTATCATCAAAACAAAAATCGTGACATGTCTCCTATACAACCCTTATTTTCACTGACATGAGAAGATTATCTTTGATGACATCTGAATAGGCTAGTTTGTCAAGAAGCTATACTGTTTTCGCTTTTAACAAAAAGCAAGTTCTGTCGTTTGAGGATCATGCTGTTTCACGGCGCCTTTCTAAATCTGATGCGATGCTGAATGAGACCTTTTCAGGCGGATACAATACGCCTAATACGCTATACCAGATATGATTCGCTTGATGCGCTATGTAGAAGAATGGTCCGGTTCGTGTTTTGTTCAGTCAAAAAATCTCTTCAAGCCTTTTGCCGATCTTCTTCGGTCGTGGATGCCTTCAGCCCTCTCTTCTTTAGCCTTTCTGCCCGCCACTTGGGCCCCCAGTATTGGTTGATGACCTGAATGGGCGAAATTGCTATTACTACCATGGCCAAGACCAAAAATGCGGTTCCCGGGCCCACGGCGTTAATCATCTGCTCGGCAAACGCCACGCCGAGGGCAGCGAGGCCGCAGCGCACCAGATTATTGACAGCTGTCGCACTTGCGCCCTGACCGGGGCAGATATCCGAGATGATGGTTTGGTTGAGCGCAAAGATGGCATTAGCCGAGGCAGCAATCAGAAACTGCAGAACGAGTGGAAGGGCAATCCATCCTGGTCTGGAGGTGGCGGTGGGATACGCCAAAGAAAATCCGTAGCCGGTTACAGATGCAGTGAATAGTGCTACTATCCAAGGCAAACGCTGCAATCGAACTTTTTCAAGAGGGAAATCCGGAGGGATGTCTTTGGCAGACAACTCATCGTCCTTTTTCATGTTATGCGTCGCTTTGTAGTTGGTGGCAATGACTTTGTAGTCTCGAGTCAGGAGCTTTCCGGCCAAGACGGAGCCTACAATGGTCCCGAAGCCTGTCCACATGATATGTCAGTCCAGACTGCACACGTGCATCCCTCGGCAGATGTCGCTTGTTCCTGATGTATCACAGGTAATGGAAGAAGAAGAAGACTCCACTTACCATTCGGCAGAAACGCAACTCCCAGGAGAAGCTCGTTCAGGAAGGGGAACCGTGCTTTGAAGACCGGCGTGGTGCTGGTTGTAACCATGTTCCAGATTGCATAAATAAACCCGCCCCATATGAGATTGATGAGAAGGTCTTTTTCCTTGAAGAGCTTGAAGGGGGTCAGAAACGTCCATACAGTGATCTTTTTGCGGTTCAAGGGACCATCTGGGTCTTGCATGTAGCTGGGCTCTTTCGTGACGTATCGAATCAGTGGTTTGTAAGTTGGACCGGTGAGTCTGAGGGACCCATTTCCAGCAATACTCCTCATTGTTTCTGGAAGAAAGGCCACAATTGCAATTAGAATCAGTGATGAGACAATGAGTAAGAAAACAAAGACGGATCGAAAGCCGAGCGAGTTAGCTAAAGCACCGCCAAGTACAGGTCCAATAGCGGTACTAAAGTTCCGTACTACACTTTGTTAGGTCATGGCCAAAGACGAAGCAATGTCTGTGGATTTTTGGCTTACTTGCTTGATAGAAACTAATAAAAGCACCTCTTTCGGAAGTCGGGGAGATATCCTGGATGACTCCATTACCTAGAGAATGTTTTTAGTTGCCATTTATGGCAATTGAAGGGAGATTTGGAGACTCACCAATACTGACAGTCGAGGCACTCCCTGCCGCTTGAATACCTCTGAAAATGAGTAGGACAGCGTAGTTTGGGGAGAAGCTGAGCGCGACGTTGGCAGCGATGTAGACCAAAAACGATGCAATGTAGGTAGGGCGACGACCTAATGTGTCTGACATGGGACCCCAAAGTAGAGGAGACACAGCTTGCATAACTAGATAAGACGTGATTGTGAGAGAAACTTGTGAGGAGTTTACTTTCAGATCCTGCAAGTAACAATCAGCTTCAGAACGATGCATGTGTTCACACACAATGTGGTGTTGTTCATGGGGTTGGGTCTCACCCTCGCAATAGCATCAAGAGACGGGTTGTAAATATTGGACGACAATCCGCTGAAGAGGCCAGCCGTACCGATGATTACAATCACAGCCCACTTGTGCCGCTTCGGAAAGACATGGTATGGCTCTTCGTTGCCGGTTTCATTTGGCTGGTCCTCTACCTCATTTGCATCGTCAAAAGGGTTTCGACCACTTTGTTCTTGGTCGTCAATCTGGTTGCCGTACTGTGATTCCACAAAAGGTTTGTTACGCGCCTCCCCGTTCACATCTCTTTGCCATGTCCTCTTCCGAACAGGCGGCGGTCTGAGTGGGTAGTTGTTGGGGCCGCGAGCTTGGCCAAGTCTGATATCGGATCCCACTCGAGACAGCCGTGTGGGAAAGAATTTGTCGTCATGGTACCGGTCCGGTACATATTCAAAGTCGTGGGCAAGAAAGTTGTAGGTGGCTGCAGATGCTACAGACAAACCCCCCAGGACTCCCTTCTTCAGGCCAGGCCTCTGCTGCTGGGGTGGTTTGCTGGAGTTCATAGCCTCCAGTTACGTCTAAAAACTTGAGCTCTTGTTGGTCTTTCGGTTACCGTTTCTCTCTTGTTCTGCTTGTCTTCGGTTGCCGGTGTCGAACAGAATATGCAAAGGCCAATCTTAGCGGCGGCATTCTGAATTACGCTCGGTTGTTCCGAAGCATATAAGTGTACCGGTGGCGATGGTCAACCGGTATTTTTGGAGCTTCCAAGCATTGTTTCTGCCGTCACTGCAAAATGGTGGGGGAACAGGTTTATCCCCGTTCAGACCTCGATGGTGGCTCGCAACTCGCCGCACGGCCGAGCCGCCCAGTCCCCCACCCCCTCCAAATGTATGGGAAGGCTCGCGGGTTACAGAAAATTGTTTCGAGTAGGACAAAAACTCATTTGGCATCCCATCTTCTTGACCAGTTCTTGGCCTCTCCATGAAACACCGAGGCTGCATCGATGCAGCGTCACAGCCGTTCCAAGCATCGAGGGTGTGGTCGCCTTTCCCATCTCTGGCCCGTCTACACAAATCAGAGGGGCCGAAGCTTGAACTTTGAGTGGAAGATGAGAACGAGGAGATCGAGGGGCGCACGTTCTTCTTACCAGTGCCCCAAATCACACACCCTGTTCTCCTCCAGCGTCCGGGGACATTTGAACTTGACACCCAAACGCCAGCATTTTCACCCAGAAACCTGTCACCCACTTGCTGTTTTAGGAAATGCCACAGCCATTTGACCTGTCTGGAAACCCGAGCGGCGCCTCGGTGCCTTGAGTTTGACACGAGCTGGAAGTTTAATACTCTAACAGACAGAAAATGTCCAAGTGAAGGCCTGGATAAGAAGTGCATGGGTGCCACTTTGCCTACACGCCATGCTTGTTACCCGTTCTTGGCTCTTGTGTTGAAAAGACCATTATTGGAATTTATTGTTTACCGGCAAATCTGTCTCGCGCGGGGCAAACAATCTGTGATATGTTTGCGCGGGTGTGACTTTTCATCCCTTCGTCTACCTAATAAGATACTGGGCGTTCGTCGACAATCGCGCGAAGAATTTGCCTACAAGAAACTTAATATCGTCAGGGTTGGAGGAGACCGAAGTCCAGGATCACAGAAAATGAAGGACATCGTCGACCGCCAAGCGCAAAATGCGCAACCAGATCCCGAAATCGTCAAGGCCGCCGCCGCAGCAGCGGCAGCAAATAGCCCGCCCGATGCTAACCAGCTGCCCATCGATCCGAATCAGCTTTTATCCGTCCTCGGCCTCATTAGACCTCAACCTCAAGCAACGGGGAACCCAGGAGGAGCCCCTGCCAATGGCCTACCGCCGAACAACAACGCCAATGTCCCAACAGTCACCATCTTCGTAACCGTGACGCCTCCTGCTGCGACACAGACGGTAATGATCATGGTTCCGACTACAGTCACGGTAACCGCAACACTGGCGCCACCGCCGCCGTCTGCACCTCCAGGTAATGCACCAGTACCGGTGCCTGCGCCGCCTCCGCCTCCAGTCAATACACCGCCGCCGCCGCCGCCACCGCCGCCGCCTGTGAATAGCCCACCGCCACCTCTACCTCCTATGAGCTCTTCAATAGGACTTCCAATGCCGATACCACCGCCGGCTCCGGGTGCGACTCCTCCTCCAACGGGAGCGAATCCTTTGCCGCCCCCAGCGGCAGCTATCCCACCCGCATCATCAGCGTCAACGTCAGCAGCACCAAAAGGCGCTGGAGGAACTCCCACTGCTGTCGTCTTGCTGGGTGTCTTTGGAGGTGTTGGTAAGTCGTTGATCACACTACCATTTATTAGAACTGCAGCTTACTTCGACTAGCCGGTGTTTCTTTATTGGCGATGGGGTTGTTCATCTTTGGCTTAATGAAGCGTAGGAAAGCTAAGGCCAAATCGGATGTAAGAAATTATATATAACGAGTGGTCATGGGCCAATGACTAACAGTTTTCAGACTGCCAGCGTTAGTAGTTTGCAAATTGGAAGGCCCATGCCTAACTAAAATATTATTCAGGAAACGGAGGAGGTAACGGAGGTTCGTGAGATTATCGAGCGATAGAACCAGATATCAAACATCAATGAGGTCCCAAAACAATCCTCAGTTACCACGACAGCAAGCATAAATATGTGTAAACATAAAATGAGAAAAGCCCCACCAGTTGGCGGCTTTCATGACGGAGTTGGGATCGGGAGAGAAGCTGCAATTTACACCAACCCTTTCTTCGTTGTGTGTGGTACATATAAGCAGCGTTCGAAGTAATAAAATTATTGTCTATTATCTAGTTCTACAAATGCCTTTGTAATCATCTATGGAAGATTTAGGAAGTCTCCTGAGCCAGGTCTTCCCAGAGCTCCTTGAGCCACCCCGCCACTTTATCAGCAACTAGTTCACTGTTCTTCTCGGTGGTACAGAACGCGTGAGGGAGCCCTCTCTCATCAATCTCAACTCGCGCCCACCCATTCTCAATATGCTTCTCACGTGCCCGGATGAAGTGATCCCGGAAGTGGTCCGCAACCCAATGATCCTTCTTGCCGAAGTAGAAAAAGAATCTCGGAGTGGTCCTCTTCCCGCCGCGACCGCCAATGTCACTCTCCTCGACCTCCCACAGTTCCTGGTCCCATTTCTCCTCTGTGATGACTTTCATCTCATCCTTCCCCATGTGGATTGCCTGCCACACGCTATCACGGCTCTTCAAGAATTTGGTGGTAACATCCGCAGCCTTGGCCCCAAAACCGAGCACGTTGCCCACGAACCACCTCAGAGCCCACGCAGGCCACAAGTCGAGAAACCTCTGCGCGACGACATGAGCAGAGTTATTGAGCAGAGGCGTCGTGCGAATAAGCTCTAGCCTTTTCCCACTTGGGGACTGAGCCATGTGCGTGACCGTCGGGAATAGCAAGATGCCCGCATGCAACTTTAGATGCGGTGCACGCGAAGGGTCCTTCATGTGTCTATGAAAGATTTCTAGAGCGATATAGCTTCCAACCGAGTGACCCGCCAGAATGACGAAGTCATAGGGCTCGCCTTTCTTCCCTGGTGCATTCCTTGACGAGTCTGTCCGCCTTAGGCCTGCCAAATGGTCAAACACAGCTTCGACCTGGCGCTCTACGTCGTAAGGAGGGTTATCATTGTTGAACGGCTCATGGCTCTCATCGCGGAACCCAAAGAGATCACGGCAGTGAACGTGGATGTGGCCGTCTGCCCATCCGATGCGGGTCTTCAGCGAGTCAAAGAAGTCGGTGTAGTAATCGGCCAGCCCTGGATTGCCCGGAATGAAGAATAGAAGACCGTGACCTGGCATGTTTTTTTCTTCTTCTTCTTCTTCTTCTGCCTGCACGCTATGAAGAAAAGCGAGTCGCGATACACAGCACGGTCCGCACAGATGGTTTCGGCTCTGTGCCGAAGACTGATGTCGTCTGAAGTTGGAGAAAGGAGTCAAGTTGGTTGAAGGGAGGCTGACGTGGGGTCCACTGTGGAATCGAAATTGTTTTTGTTTTAGCGTCATGACAAACCGCTAGACGAATTGACGGTGCGGAGATATCAGCATTTATCGGCGTTTAGCGGGTAAAGTGGGGCCTACAGTACCACTATGTGGATGGGGATCGTTACAATGAGAAGATTCGAATTTGCCTTTAGATATGTGGAATGAAAAAGAATGAGATATTTTATTTATCGATATTAGACGGCTAAATATGGTCTAATGGAAAAGTTAATGATACAGCCAAGGGCAGATAAAATGCTTCTCAGGGCTTAAGATCTGCGAATGATACATGTATTTTGGTAGCAAATGACTCCAGGCCAGCGGAGAGATTCATCCAATTCTGTAGATTACATTTGATAGAAATTTCCAAGTTATTTTCTTTTCTAACAAAACCAAAACACATCATCAAGGCTTCAGATTTCGTTTTCAAAAGGCACAATTTAGTATACCGTGGCTAGATCTTGAATCGAAAACTCGGATGCATCCAACCAAGTCTGAACTCATGTTCATCTTTCGTCAGTCCATGTCAAGAATCCTCGCTTGGTTTGTAGTTCCGTTCACCTCTCTCATGCTCCCAATTCTCCCAACTCATATACAGAGGAAGGTTAAGGCTGACGATAAAAAGACCGACCAAACACCCAAAGTTGATTGAATGACCTTTCAGGTACCTTTATAGAGTTGTTACATCTGATAATTCAACCACGGGTAATTACTTACACAGGCTCTTTGGTTTTAACAAAGGTAAAAGAAGCAAGGAAAGCCGCGGTGTTCCCTATTGACAAGACGAAACCTAGGGCTATGGCGCGGACGTAATGTGGGGATGCATTGATGCTTAGCCAGGTGAAAGCCAAAAGGGGGGGGGTTGCATTGACGGACATTGCGACAAGAAACGGGCCGACATATTGGACTTTGGTGTTCATGAATACCGGTGGTGGACCAACCTTTGTCCCAACTATGAGAAGCGTGCATCCCAAGACCCTGAATTCGAAGGATGAGCTGGCCGGGAGTGTAGAAGAAAACAAGATCAAACAGCACTCTCCCGAGGAAGGAGCTCTCAGTTAAACCAAGGAAATCATTATAGAACTCCATAGAATAAAACATACTTTCCATCTGTAACCTATAATACTACCGATGAAGCATCTCTTTGAATTATAACCTCAACGACGTATTACTATGTAAAACTCTACGGTCTACTACTAAAACTTCTCTAACAGATTTCTCTCGAACTTTTTCCTATAGCTATTATCAAGTAGCCTTTTGTTTCTTCGCTTATAGTGGCTTCTGTCTGCGAGTGACTTATTGAGGTCGTATATAAACAGACATGGCGGGAATCGGGTGCCCGCATCTAACAACTATGAACTAGGACCGATAAAAACAAGGAAACAACTCATTCTTTATCATCGTACTCTGTCTTCGGCCTGCAGTTCAGCAACAGCCCTGGACTGCTGATATGGGTGACAAAGACATCCTTCTTCTTCCCGAGCTTCGCACCTGGGGGCAAGCTTAGGTCCCATCTGCGGAACAGCACAGCCAACGTCATTCTAACCTCGGCAGTAGCCAAGCTGTGGCACAAGGGGTTAGTGGTGCCATGCTCAGACAAGGGAGTTGATACTTTCCTTTTGCCCTATGCACGCCCTTGAGCCTTTGGAAAATGGAGCAAGCCACTGGTCGAGCCTCTCTTCGTTTTGGTTGAGCCAGCGTTCGGGGTTGAAGTCCAGTACATCAGAACCCCATAGCTTTTCGTCGAAATGCAGGTTGTATATAGACATTCCTACGATGGACTACGACCAGGTTAGCACTAAAGTCATTCATTTTATGTGTTTCAAGGGAAACTATACACCAGGAGGGATTATCGTATCATCGACAACCAGTGGCTTGCCGTCAGGCACGACCCGCGGCAGTCTTCCCGGAACCGGACATGCCAGCCGAAGGGACTCGTTTACGCAGCCGGTCTATTGTCGCTGTTCGTCAGCAGTTCTATTCCAAGGTCCGCCAGAGGATCTTACGAGATAAGGAATCTTTTCCAGCTGGAGCAAAGTCGGGGCTGTGTCGATGGAAGGGAGGGCCTCCTCAAGCTCACGAGTGAGCCTATCCCTAATCTTTGGGTTGGACAATATGTGATAGATTCCGTACGTGACCGTAAGAGCACTTGTGTCGGAGCCAGCCACGAGAAACTCGGTTGCTAGAGACCTCTTGCCCTCGTCTCCTATATCTTCAAGGCTGTCGAAGAAGACCAGGTGCTCATCTCCCAGCTGCTTTTCTTTCAACTTGGCCTTATGCCTGTCCAGACATTCTTTCGCCCACTAAGGCCAAAGTTCAGCTGACCGCCAACGACAGGATTTTGGCGGGCATAATAGGGTTGCTCACCTCGTCTAACTGTACTAATTTCCCCATCCCCTTGTCGACTTTCAGCAGCAGAGGTTTTGGCAAAAGAAACTTAAGGCGGGACAACGTTGGGTGGAAGAGCAAGTCCACGAAATTGCTTAGTGTGAGATTAAGGATATCCAAAAACTCGGCTTCAAATGTGTCTGAGGCTTCGATTAAGTTCGAGTCACTGCCAAATGCGTAATCCGAGATAGCGTCGACTGTCATGCAACTAGTAGAACAGATTGTCAGCTGGATATAAAGTGTCCAGGGTCCGCTTCTGGCAGGGCCGCACGGGTCCTTACTGGATGGCTTTGTGCACGTCAAAGGTCTTATCCATACGACGTAGCTGATTTTCGAGCCTAGTGATCTTGTCCAGGACCAGCGGGCTCAAGTTTTCGACTGCTCGTTTAGAGAAATACTGGTTGAGAGTGCGGCGACGACCGCGGTGGGCTTGTGGGTCGATCTCGGTCGTCAGGCTGTGCGGCATGTGAAAAGACTGGTAGAAAGACCACGGCTTTTTGTAGGGCGTGCCCTGGCTGTAGATGACTTTGTACAGCTCGGGTTCGATGATGTGGACTTCATTGGGAGCGATGCGAATGACCTTGCTTCCTGCAGGCTTTAGTTAAAGAACTGAAACTTTGAGTCCGTTTCTAATTTCTCAATCTGACGCGGGGGGAGATACTCACTGTACTTGCGATGTAGGCTCTCCAGGTACGGCTCGACAAATTTGCCCTTGGATGCTCTGTACAGCCAATCTTCCGACACCGCTGCCAACTTCGGGCCTGGAATTGATGCCAGAGGATGAAACCACAAACGATAGATGGCAACCGAGGCGAGAGTGACGAGACCAAAGACGGCGATTCCGGCGAGGAGGTGAATATTATCGCCGACTGCCATCTGCAGCGTCTCCAGTGATAGATCGAAAGAGGTCATACTGTACATCCGCAGGTCGCTTTCCAATGCCTCAGCTTGAATGCTAACACTTCCTTTAGAGAAGTGTACAAGCTGTGGTATTTATACCCACAACTCGGCGTCTAAAATTCTTTCATTGGTGTACAGACCAGGAATTTCAGTTCGTATTGCCAACCCGTTAACCGATTAACTAAGCGGCGTGTAAACTGTTGCTACCGTTGTCACGTTACTGGACAACTGGGTCTCATACGCATACATAGTAAGGTAGTATAAGCGTGTGGTATTGGCCCCGCTACGGGTTCCGATCAAGCGTCTTTATGCATGCCAGTAGACACAACCAGAGCCCTCCGAGTGAGAGGAGTTTTCATCATTTCATCCTAAGCAGTTTAGCGCATGGCCACCTCATTGTAACTGACTCACGAAACAGAGTTCAATAGAATGATGATATGGAACTAACTGTCATGGAATACAGTTTTGGATAGCGAATCAAAGGCGATTTTATTAGGGTTACCCTGGCTCTTGACGTAGATGTACTGTTCTACACGACAATGTATAAGTGCCAAGATACGGCCCGAGCTAGCTCACCCGATTTAGCCGCCTAGAGGATTCGCAACGGTTCGCTGTCCGCTAAAGTGACCGAATCATTGTCATCTCTTGCTAAATCAAGGTAAATGTTTAGATTATCAGGGTTCCAGGTGGATAGCTAGGGGGCTCCCGTGCGGGATCGACCGGTAGTCGGCACAAGGCTTGATTCCTCGCTGAAGCATTTAGACGGAGTCCGCCGGACATTTCTTGAATAAGCGGCATATGGAATGCCTCTACCGACCGAACGCCGCTTACGTAAGAATTCACTTGGATGTTGTGGCCTCCGGTGAGCACACTGCATGCTGCTCGAAAGAGCCGTAGGACGATGTAACAGACCTTCTCGTGGTGTCCGGTGTTAGTAGGAACAGCGGGTACAGCGCGGTGCGTTGCGCGCAGTCGATAAGTCGCGGTTGTGCGGTGGTGTAAAAGGGGTAGGGTCAGAATGCCAAAACATGCATTACAGGAACTAGGTGGGAATTAAACTTCTAAAGGAGTAAATTATAAAGCTTTCCTATAGTAATTATGTTTTCTTAAAAGTAGTTAGAATTATACTTCATTCACTAGGGGGGTAGCTAATTTCAACACTCTGATTCTAACGTAAGCTACCTAGTAGGGATTGAGACAGGACTACAGGATGTGGTTACTGAAGGGCTTGAAAGCGCAGATCACATGGGCTGCCTCACTACTCAAGTTGCGTCTTACTTCTTCAATACCAAAATGTTGAATTTTTCCTCATGCAGTTAGCCTAGGTAAATCAGGTAGACATTTCTGCCACCACCATGAGCTCCTTACTCTTAGCCTACATCAGGAAGCCAGTAAATGCTGCCAGATAGGAATCATGAATAGTTTCAGAAACGTTCCACAGCATTCCCACACATCACTCGGAGAGCGTTTGCCAATTTTAAGGTCGACACAGAATTCGGTAGTAGAGGACTCGGTACCACAGTGCCGAATTGATATTGCATCTAACTGATTGTAGTACAGTGTGGTACTGTCCATAAAAATCTTCACTTTGATGTCTTGGGAGTAGTAAATGGTAAAGGGACCATTTTGGGTAGCTTACCGAAGCAGAAAAAGTGAAAATGGATGGTTATTGGTCGAGCGCTTACTCGGATTGAAAGTCAAACCCATGTTGGCGGCGATGATATTCAGGAGACCGTAAGATCTCTCAAACACATAGAGAATGCTTCAAAGTGTTGTTTCAAACTCGATTATCAGGATTTTCTGCTCTCTCACAGCATTGCTCTTGTATGCAGATACCGAATTGGTACGCCAGGCAATTTGGTGGATGTCCCGAACTTCGCGATGAAGCATCAAAAATTCAATTCTACACGCAGTATCGTGCTTTTTGATATTTCGAAGCCTTCACAAAGGTTCAAGTCACACTATTCATCGTTCTAAGGTTCACAAAGTTGTTCCAGCACCCGGGCCAAATGGCTTTACTCTTACCAATTCTTCAAAGTGCTACGAGCATCTTTATAAAGCACAGCTATGGAAACAAATTGAGCAGCGTCTAGTCAGCAAATACATAAATTAGGTTTTGGAGTGGGGTCAGTATGCCTTCGGTCAATTGTAGCTAACGTCTGTCAAACCTATCTCCAAGTGATTTAAGTTTCTCTACTAAATCAACTGGCCCTTTGAACTCATCTGCAGAATATTCTTTTTATTCAACCTTTGAATAGCCAATCAACTATAGAAAGAAGTTAGACGCCGGCTGTGGCACAGAGCCTATCAAGACTAACGAGTAGTTACGTCAGTTAGGAACGAGCAGCGCTTCTCCCGATCTTCAGGGCAAGTGGCAATGCCTTTGTTTAGTGGCTTAGGAGTTCTTGAGCTAAGGTAAATTCCCACTTGAGGAACGCAACTAGCGTTCAAATGATTAGTAGCACCTTCGCGGTCGACTGGATGACAAAAACAGCTCGGTACTATGCAGCAAAAGCATTCTTTGGTATTTTACTTCTTAACCCGTGTATGTATGTACGTGACTCTTCGCATTCTGACGAGATTTTTTGCCTGTTCCCATCTGATGTCTCTAGTTATTGGTCGATTGGTGTTTCTTGGCATTGATCTGCTTCTGGGGTTGAACCGAGCAAACGAGCGAATAAGCAACCATGAAAGCCGCCTGCTGGAAGTATTGCCGAATAAGTCATAGCTCAACTCCGAAAGACACTCCGCCAGTTTGCCCGCATAGTGTACGACAGCCCGGGTAATTATCGGGGCAAGCACGCCGGCTTCCCCGCCCCGCTACTGATGACGGGGGACGGCGGAGCGAGTCAAACCATCATATATTTTCAGTGTCTGCCGCACCGTCTATCCTTCGGCGACTTTATCATTCGAACTTCGAGTAGCTCCGTCGACACGTTGATCTAAACATAAGGATCGCGTCGAGATATAGCCGAAAGGAGACAATCGCCATCATGTCGCAGACCATTACCGAGACGCACCATACGCCGTTTGGTGTGGAGGCGTACAATCTCAGTCGCTTGAGCTCCAGCCATGGCCGCCCCCTTGGTGACGAGTCAGCTAAAAAGGACGGCCAGGAGGAGCATCAGAGCATCGACTCCAGAGGCGGCGACATCACCCCACCCGCAGATGCCCACAGCGAGCTCGAGAGATGGAACTCGCCCAAGGCCAATATGGGCAGACTTGGTTTCGCCTTTGTGTCTTTTATCATCGCTGGCATGAACGATGCAGCAGTTGGTGTATGCTTTCCCCAGTCTCAAGGTCACAATAGGATAGATGCTAATAGCTAAACAGGCTTTGATTCCATACGTAAGTGGCTTTTCGTTTATTACTTGATAACATGGCCTTTTTCTTACCAACAAACAGCTTGAAAAATACTACGACCTCAGCTACACCGTCGTCTCCCTCATCTTCTTGACCCCATTTGCCGGCTACTCTGTCGCTGCCTTCACCAATGCCCGTATCCACCAGAAGTTCGGCCAACGTGGCGTCGCCATCATGGCACCGTTATGCCACATCATTACCTACGTCGTCCTGGCCATTCATCCACCTTACCCAGCACTTGTGGTGGTCAACATCATCAGTGGATTTGGTAATGGATTGACTGACGCGTGCTTTTGTGCCTGGATCGGCGGCATGGACAAAGCCAACACAATCCAGGGTTTCCTGCATTCGTTTTACTCTGTCGGCGCTCTCATCGCGCCTCTGATTGCCACGTCCATGGTTGTCACCGCTAATTTGCCTTGGTACAACTACTACTATTTCATGGTAAGCTTGACTTCATATCGAGAAACCCACTCCCGCGGTCAAAACTAACTGATTATCAGGTCGGCATGTCTGTCTTAGAACTGGTTGGCCTCACTGTCTTCTTCTGGCAGAAGACAGGCGCCGTTTACCGGGCCGAGCACGCACATGAAGATCAAGAAGGTGGTGCAGGCACCAGGGTTGCTCTTAAATCAAAGGTGACATGGCTGTGCTCACTCTTTTTCTTCGCCTACATGGGTGTTGAAGGTATGTTCTTGATCTTGTCATGGTTGTATTTAGGGTCGAGCTAAAGTCGTCTACAGTTGGTCTCGGTGGCTGGATCGTCACCTTCATGCTACGCGTCCGCAATGCATCAGCCTATGCCTCCGGTATCTCTGCCACTGGATTCTGGGCGGGTCAAGCTCTCGGTCGAGCGGGTTTGGGCTTCATAACCGAACGCTTCGGCGAGAGACTGTGCATCACCGTCTATTTGGGTCTTTGCGTCGGACTACAGCTGTTGTTTTGGCTGGTCCCGCAGTTTATCGTTTCTGCTGTCGCTGTTGCTTTCTTGGGTGTCTTCCTGGGGCCACTGTTCCCTGGTGCTGTGATGCTCACGGCCAAGCTTCTCCCCAAGCATATCCACGTGAGTGCTATTGGGTTCGCCATGGCCATCGGTGGCACTGGTGGAACGGTTTTCCCCTTTATTATTGGTGCCATCGCAACTAGCAAGGGTGTTGGCGTCCTGCAACCCATCATCCTGGCACTTATTGTTGTCGTCGCCCTTGTATGGCTTTCCTTCCCGCGCATACAGAAGAAGGACTGAGGTGCTGTAATTATTAAATTGTAACTGTAGGCTTGTCGGACGTGCTGGTAGATTGTCATGATAGCACTTCTTGGGCCTCAAATGACATACATTGGACAATGAAATCTCTAATCTCTTAGCTCAGGCGTTTGTCATTCACAGTAACAATTTCTAAGGAACCGCTTTTGTGGAGAAAATCTTGTTAAGTCTACATAGTAGACGGCAGCTTTATTTACAATGTCTCCAAGAATCCAGCTCTGGCGAAAACACTCTGACCCCATATGTACACATTAGGGATATATATATACTAACAAGCCTTCGCCGTCACTGATGCACCCGAATCAAGAAGTATGTACAGAAGAAAAATGAGTCCAACCCGTCGCGCTCATAAGATGCTCAAAATATCGCTTAAAGCTTCTGGCCAGCGGTGCCAGGGATGGTACCGGCGACCTTGGAGGAGCCGAGAGCAGCAATCTTGTAGGGGAGCGAGGAGGAGGTAAGGGTTCCCTTGGGAGCAGAGTTCTCAGATCCGCCGAGGGCGACGTCCTCGGCAACGGCGTAGCCAGTCTCCTTGGAGTCGGCGAAGAAGATAGCCCGGGCGGGGCACTCGTTGAAGGCGGTGCTCTGGACAAGGACTTGGGCACCCATGCGGGTGTTGACACCGGTGAGGAGGAGCTTGTTGTAGTAGTTGTTGACGACGTGGACGGTACCGAAGCGGACAAGAGGGGCGCGGGAGTTGACGTTGTACCAGTAGTTGTTGGCGTAGGTGACGTGGAGCTTGCCCTTGTCCTCCTTGGCGTTGCTGTCGGAGTGACCGACCAGAGATCCCTTCCACTGTTTTTTTTCTTTGTTAGCAAGCGATTTACATGATGGCTATGGTTATATGGCATGAATGCTTACGTGGTCGTGGAAGTAGACGTTGGAGACGGTGATCCAGTCAGCACCGTGGGAGACGTCGAGGAGACCGTCAAGGTCATCCTTGCCTCCGGAGAGGTCACCGGAGAGGTCGCAGTGGTCAACCCAGACGTTGAGGGCCTCGTCGATGCCGATGGCATCACCGTTGGAGGCCTTGACGCCGCCAATCTTCATGTTGCGGACGATAACGTTGTTGACGCGGCGGATGTACAGACCGACACCAGTCAGGGCTACGATCCATGTCAGTATTAGAACAGGTGTCACCCAAGGGAGTAACCGTTTACTTACAGCTGCCCTTCTCTCCGATGATGGTCTTGTCGGCGGAAACGCGAACCTTGGCGCTGCCGGAAATCTTGCCGGACACAATAATGGTCAAAGGCTCCTCGCGCTTGGCGGCAGCAACAAGCTCATCAACGGTCTTGACGGTGACGGTAGAACCGCCAGCACCACCCTTGGTACCGCCGTTCTGTGTGCAGTAACCAATGTTGCAAGCCTCGGCAGCCTGGCGACGGGCAAGCTCGTTGCGGGCGTTAATGGTGTTGGTGGGAGAAGCCACGGCCAGAGCGGCCATAAGGGTGACAGCGGAGAACTTCATTTTGATTTCGTACGGAGTTGTTTGTTATAGATGGTTCTAAGAAAAGTCTGTGAAGTGGGAATCAAGTGACTAGCACTGGATAATGTTTTGAGAATGGGATGAACTGAAAGGAAGAATAGAAGAATGTGAAAGTGATGTGGATGGAGAATGAGAGGAACTGTTGGCACCGACTCAGGCGATACTGGCCGTCTTATATGCAATCCTTAAAGCTCCAGGTTCTTGGCTTCTGGGTTCAATGGGGTTACTCGTGATGCTTGGAAGCAGTAGGCGAGGCCACCCCATCCCAATTACTACGCATCGTCGTGTACGGCCGGCGCTATGTTGCATAGTATGGGCTCCCAGTCTCCATCTACGTCCTTGATTATTTCCCCATCTGCAAGGCCGGGAAAGCCTTTCGGACATTCCAGGATGTTGGGCATCTTGGGGGACATGTCCGTCGACAGACCCCTGGTTGTCATCCCTCGGATTAAGGGATGATTGGCCATGGGTAGGACTTTTCAGTGAAACAATCACATCTTGGTCCAACAGGCTGGCTAGGGTGACAGAACCGGAGTGCTGGGGGTGGCCTCACTTCCCAAAATGTGTAAAAGGAAAATAGAACAGAGATGGGGGGGCCTGCAGGAGCAAGCTTGTTAGGCGGAGTCAACAACCGGCACACGGATAATACAGGTTGGAACTCTTTCGAAGACCACACGAGGTTACAAGGGTTGGAATAGGCTCATTCGGATGACTAGTATGTTACCCACACAACAACATCAAGAACAGCAAGTAACATGCAAGCCCCCCCACCACATGGGCAGTAGCGCTGCCCAGCATCTGCTCGTGCGACCATGCGCATGTTTGTGTGTTTCGGTAGTCTAGAAATGTAGCAGAGCGCGCGCGGCACTCTAGAGATAGATGAACGCCAAGAAAAGGTGCAAATGAAGAGGATCGGTCGTTGGAGGAATAACTAGACAAAGAGCGTTACTGTGCAGGTACAACGGGAGCCGTCGCCTATCTTAGCAGATGCGTCGCTGATCAGATGGGGGGATGACATGGGTTGTTGGCGTGTTACTATGTTTCTAGCGGGGACTATCCCTGAATGCCGGAGCTCAAGATGAGCCAGCTGTGGAATACTTACATACAAAAATGATAATTGGCAGCTGTCAGCAACCGAAACGAGATGTCCGTATGTAGTAACTTGACTCCAAGACGTTAAGCTTTGATCTCAATAACTTAGAAACTCATGAAAGTCTAACTGCAAAAGTGTTACCAACAATGTTACCAGCACGGTGAGAAACAAAGTAGATGAGTAAAAGAGAGGCTACCCAACGACTCTACTCGCAACCTTGGCATGTTGCACTATGAAAAGGGGGATTGCCCGCCAAGACTGCGAATATTGGCATCCTGCATTGGCAATTTTCTCTACCAATCATTGATGAGGTTTGCCCCTTCAACTCCGTTTTGTTACCAGCACAAAATTTTTGCACGTATCCGTATTGTTGAGTCTTGCCCACCTCAGCTACATTACAGTTATCCAGCCAAGACCATTACGCCAAGAGCTTTAATCGACTTGATCTTGGCGTCCTCTCGTAGCCACAACCAAGGAGATTGTAACCTGAAACCACAAAAACATCTCATATTTACATGACATGACCTAAAAGAATAGAAACTCCACAAAAGACGGAGATCACTCTTACTCGAGGAAAAGTCGCGGGCTGAAAAACCGCGCGAATGAAGAGTCCTCTGGGTTGCGCAACGGCCTATGAGTGCGATTCAAGTCAAATCCTTAGATGCACCTGCACCTAACGTCCCACACCCACTTCTGGGCACCCCCCACATTTGGGCACCCCATTTACACCAAAAACGCCGTTTTTCGAAATTCTATATTAAACTAACTACTATACTTACTAAGAAAAGAAAATATATATAAACTATGTTAAGTATAATTATAGCCATCTAATTTTTTATAAAGGTTTAAATATAATAATAGTTATAATATAGAAGTTTAAAACTAAAAGCTTTAAAATGTTAGTAGATACTAGTAACTTACTAGTATTCCTTAACATTAGAAAAATATATTTTCGCTCATATATACTTATTTAAAAAATCTAGGAAATTAATATTTATACTTATTAAAAGTATATAATTATATCTAAAAGAGATTTAAAAGTATTACTTTAGTAAATATAGTATAATTAAGGGTTAAAATTCTATAATAGAAACTTTTCTTAAGGGAAATTTTAAAATATTATTCTAAGCTTAAAGAATTTTTTACTAAGTATAAGAATATATAAATCTACTATATCTTACTTAAAAATTCTAATCATATTAGTTAAATATCTCTACCTATTTTATATATTAAGATATAGGCTAGGTAAATTAGTATTATAAATGTTAAACCTTGAATTTATAATACTTATTATCAATAATACTAGTATATAGCTACTTAAGTATTATAATTAAGTCTTAATCTATTTAATATATATTTATTCTCTTTAATAAGTAAAGTATTTAGTTTAATATAGAATTTCGAAAAACGGCGTTTTTGGTGTAAATGGGGTGCCCAAATGTGGGGGGTGCCCAGAAGTGGGTGTGGGACGTTATATGACAACTTGCAGCACATCATGACGCCCCCCGCAGCTGAAGAGACGCACCCCAACTTCCCCAGCGTTTCCTCCTGCAGGTCTACCAACTCTGCATACGCGGTATCTGCAATGCTTCAATACCGAGCCGGCGCAGGAGGGTGAAATTGCCGTCCAATCCATAAGGTCTTGTGACACTCTGAACATTCAAAGAGTTGCCTAATTCCAGGTTTTGCTGGCATACTTCAACCGAACTCACCTCGCCCACCAATCCCACATGGCCCGGCTCAGGCCGTGATCGTCATCCGCATATTTTCGCACGAATGGGACGAATTGCGCTCTCGCCGAACAATCCATTCGGAAAAGCCACCGAACAGCCCCAAAGAAGCAGGGGCCTAGCCCTTGATCTTCGACACATCATCGAAAATCCAGCCTGGCCTTAAGCGATACCCGTGTGCGGCATTAGCTGCCGCATGCCAGCGAGCAGACCTTCCTTAAAGAACGCAGCTCAGGTCCCGCTTACGTGTTGATCGAGCTTGAACTGGCGACTGGCACGGAGGGCCACCAATGATGATGGCCTCATCGTTCCCCAGATCCCCAACCCGCGGCCGCCGAGATACATCATATGACAGTTGTATGCAGGAAATCAAAAGCTTGGCTCCACTGCCGTGTCGTTCGAGTCAGTTGTCATTTTGGAATTGACAAAGGAGCCTCGTTTTCGGCATCAGCTGTTCTGGAAAATAACAATTTCTCCGTTGAAATAAGTGTGTAACAAGTCTGTCGATACGAATCACGTCACATCGCCTTTGGCAAATTTTACGAAGGGCAGTATTTTATCCGGTACCATCAGAGATTGGAGGAAATTTACACATCATGTCACGTCAAGTTGTGCCTTGATTGCCACTAGCCGCATAATCTCAAATACCTTACTAGAGTTAGAAAGTCTAGGAGTAGGCAGGATGACTAAAGCATGAGAAGGTAAGGTATCTTATTATGATACTATTCATTAGTCCTATGGGATTAACTCAGTAAGCAGGAGCAAGTAAATTATTATTACCCACTTATATAATAGCAGGTTCTACCAATAGAAGCTAAGGTGTGACGATAGTTTCAACGCTCACCGAACACACCGAGCGATACTTGCTTACGCAAGTTATATTTATGAGTAAGGTATGTGCTTTGCCACCCGTCTGCCATCTGGAAGGATCGAGCGAGTGTGACAGTTTCGAACAAGCAGAAGAGGGAGCTTGGTTTGAATGACTAATTGTCGATCGCATGTCGAAGCTGTGAACCCTTTGAAGCGTAGAGGTGCTCTATGATCCCCATCGTGGGTACAGTAGCCCTGGTTCTAAGCCAATTTTTGACTCACTTTCTTAGATTTGTTCAGTGTGCACCTGTCCCAGGTTACATTCGGTGCTAAATAACCATCCGCTGATCGTCTCGCTCTTCAAAACTGGATCGGCCTCGCTTTCATCCCACCATTTGAACGTGCTATCATGCACCGGGTCTTAGACAGGAGTTGTGAGAATATTTGTATACTGGTGAGGGTGCGCCAGCTTACCCTAAGAAAGATTGTTTTTTAATGAATCACCACCGAAACCGGGGACATTGGTCAAAAATTTAAACAACAGTTTGACTACGCAGGCATTGCTGGGGGTATTGTCCAAGCCCACCAGTACTTGGGGACACTCCGCCGAACGGGAAATGCCCCCCTTAGAACGCGGCCAGGCTTTAATAACCATAGAGTGATTAATCAAATATTTGCTGTCATCATCAACAAGTGTGCTTACGACAAGATGCAAGAATTGAGCATTTAGTGCGGTATGGGTGATGGATAGCACAAAATCGAACTCGGCTGGCGCTGGGGTGACGTCTGGCGAAACTGACATTGTGTGAATCGTTCGAGATAATGTATTTGGAAGAGATACTGATTGCTTGAATGGGAACTGGAAAACTTCTTATGATTGTGTTTCTATAGCTTCAGCGTGAGGCGTCTTGTTCTAAGTTTCGAGAGCAATGTAAGCTAATTATCGGCTTGCGGTCAGTGCTGATCAGCATACTAGTGCCTTTCTTCACAGAAACAGATGCTTAGGTTATTTCAAAACGTACTTATTTCCACCGAAAATATAGGTCAAGAGCAACACCCTTGGGATACCCCGTAGTAAAGACAAGTATTTTGTTGTAGTTGTTGAACCGAGGCAATCGCAGTGCATGTGGTAAGAACCAGCTTCCTCGGCATGGGGCCTCAGTGTCATGATAAATCCGATATATTTCTACGATTCTCTTCAATTAAATCTCTCACATTCAAAACAATCACATTGGCTAGAAGAAGGAAGAGAACAATATGAAAACCGGTATAGTTTTGTTATGGAATGATGATCTGGTTGCAGTAGTCACTTTAATTACCCTGCTTACCTTAGCGACCTTCGGGCGGCGGGTGGTTTAAAAATAGTTGACTAACATAATGGTCTTTTCGGGGTTCCTAATACACCAGCGCGTGCAAACCCTTTATGAAGGCTGATTTCAAGACTGTTTGACAATGCAGTTCGGTAAGGGTCATGTTATAGACTAACCTCAACGGCCCGTCTGCTGAAGCGAATGGCCTCTTCGAGATTGGTTAAGACAATTGTCTCAAAAAGTTGTAAATATGTTATCTAAGGCCGTTCCGGCCTACAGCCCGACTTGCTTGGGGATTTGGTTCTGGCTGAATGGCTGAACTCATAACATCCGCCGCCTCTTCTACCAAATCGGGTGTCTCGTTCCTCTTTTGTGTTGCAGGCTCTAAGGCGATACTCACTTTGTAGCCGAACCAAGCAAGGGCTAGCTTGAAATTTAGAGTATTGATTCTCGTGCTTGGCCTTTGAATACCCTCGAAATTTCATCTTTCATGGTGAGTGAGTTCATCCAGTCTGAATCAGTAGCAACCGGAAACGCGCCAGTTGCCAGGCCTTCGGTTTGTGCCAAGTATCATGCGTAAACCTCATCATCGCAGTCATCACTTGGCCGTCATGTTCGTGTTTTACTGATTGATGTGACACCGCAAAGTATTGGAGCCTCGCTTATTTTGCTGGAATTGGTGTAAATTGCCTGCTCATCTCGTGTGTTTAGGTGCGATCTTCAACGAAATCAAGTGAGAACATATGGGCATTGGTACCAGAGTCTCATGTTTTTTGATGGTCGGCGCACAAAGTCTGTTTTATAAAATACATCTCTCTACTACAGCTCTTGGTGGCTAAGGCTTTAGCAAAGGAATATTGCATAGGCTCCTGTTATCAATATGCTGCATTGAAAGACAACAAAATCTGATACATAGCGGTATCTCGTTTGCTTAACCCCAAGGTTTATCGCAAATGTGTTCTAATACCCGTTGTACAGTAGTTGCAGTACACTACTAGCTTCTACCTTTCTGCCCTTGAGGTCATCTCAGGCCAAACTTTCTCCAATCAGGCGGCCAATCATATGAGTTGGCGCGCTGTGCCGCCTGATCACGTATTCATGCGAGCAATCTTCGAGATTTAGCCCCCAAGCCATCGACAGCCTGTTTTGTGGCCGGACCTGCTTTGAACCCGAGCATTCTCGACTGATTATAGCCTCGAATGGGCCACAGTTTTCGCTTGGCCCAAGACCAAGCGACCTATCGAAACTCCTTCAGACCCAATGGAGCGGCGGCTTGGTCAAAAAAAAGGCTCACTTATTGCGCAGGTCTCATACCTTAGGGTAAGCATGAAAGAAAATGGACGCTAACCCTGGTAAAGTAGACCCCAAAGACCCTGAGTTTCCTTCCGCTAACATTAACAATACTGTATGCAGCACCTGCGGGCTGCTTATCGACACGGAAATATCGCATCACTACCCAATGATGACAGGGAGTTAAGAGAGTCTCCACTCCAACATCGTTGGCAAATATCGTACAGCAAGCCAATTGGGCAAACTGTGCGGGGCTTAGGCCACCTAGACATGGGGTCAATTGGTAGTGTATTTCAGGCTACCTAGGGGAATCTTGCAGGACCCCCGGACATGATGTGGGCGGTGGGCAGTTGTTCTACTTGAGCACTTGTCTTCGCTGATGGAATTATCTAGCCCTGACGAGCGTTACACAACTCCCAGCTTACGTCTCGCCATGGGAAATAGATATGTTCTGCTTGTTGGTATTGATACCTATCTCCAAAATGACCATGAGAAGCCAGGCACAGGCCAGGCAGTGTCTCTGAACAACCTTCAAGGCTGCGTCAACGACATCGGTCTGCTCAAAAATCTATTGCAGACGGCCTTCCATGTTCACAAACTCACAATTCTCACATCTTCCGAAGCCTCAGAAACCCCGGGGACTCCCCAAGAAGCTAGCGACAAGTTACCCACGTTTGACAATATCAAACGGGAGTTCGACAACGTGTACAACTCCGCCCAATCCGGCGACTTGTTCTTCTTCCACTACTCGGGCCATGGAGGGCGACTACCAAAGCTTTCAACTTCACCCGAAGACCGCTCCGCAGACCCGTCACTTTTGACCGTCGACTACTGCCGAGGAAAGCCTGCGATCCGCGGGTGGCAATTGAACCAGTGGCTCAAAAGATTGAGTGAAAAGAGAATTCAGGTCATTGTCAGCCTCGACAGCTGCTACTCGGCAGGCTCATGGCGAAACGAAGGAAGTTTGCGAACGCCACCGGACTGGACCCCGCGGCCGAACGGACCAGAAGATGAAGCTGCCGGCGAACACAGACACAATAACCGTGATTGCGAGATGGATGTATCCTGGGATATCAATCCGGACTGTTTTACTTTGATGGCTGCTTGTGAATCAACGGAATATGCACAGGAGAAGCGAGTAGATGGTGTGTCATATGGCATGTTCACCTACACTTTGGCTGACTATTTGACTCAAAATCGACAACAAGAGGTATTATCCACATACCGGAAGATCCGCGATCACATTTCAGAGAAAATCCAACCCCAGAGCCCGCGGGTCTACGGTCAGGATCGATTAGCCTTCTTCCAGAACAAGGAGATATTCTCAGCAACGCCCATTCCTGTCGATACCGATGGAAAGTCAGCTTCACTTCCTATCGGAAAGGTACACGGTGTTAAAAAAGGAGCTGAATTTGCGACCTTCCCACCTCTACCTGAAGCGACCTTTCGCATAATTGAAGTTGAAGAATATGAGAGCAGGGCAGAGTCAGTAAGAGAGGTTGCTCAAGTTCTGCCGAGGTTCTCCGAAGTACTTCCATCCAGATGGAGCATGGAGGGGAAACCACTTAACATCCTCGTTGGACAGAATTTTGCTGCTGGGTTTCTCAAAGCCCTGCAGGCGAGTTTGATGGACAGAGTGGTCGGTAATGTCGAGGTTGCCGAGTCCCCCCAAGAAGCCGTAAGCCATGACCCAGAAGATGCAGACTTCTGGGTAAAGAAAGGCGTCGACGGCGCCATCGACATTTTCGGACCTGAACCGCTCATCGTCCGTGCTGAGCCTGTTCAGGGTCTGCAAATCACAGGCGCAAGCGATAATGACAAGATTCCGCAAGTAGCCGCTGCCATAGCGCACTTGGTACGGTTTAAGCAGATTCTCAACCTGAAAGATGAAGCATCCGAGGAGCCCCTTCCATTCAGGGCCATATTGGAACCAGATCGGAGTGCTAGTGGGAGCAATTTCAAGGAGAGAGATATTGTCAAGCTCTCAATCGAGAACCTCGGTCCCGACGAGTTACATTTTACAGTCATTAACTTGGGTCCTGGATTCCATGTCGCTCAGCTATTCCCTCAGGCGGACTCTCCGCAGACCTTACCTATCAACGGCAAGCCATATGCATTTAAATTCCGCTTGACATTACCCAGCGAGCTCAGACGGCAGAGCAAAGACGGACAAAGGTACCGTGACATCATTCGCATCATTGTCACTAAAGGTAGAAAACTCTCTGTTAAAAGCCTGGAGCTTCCTAGTATTTGGGATAATATTCGTTTTAAGCCTAGTAGTGGTGGGAGAGATGGGGTTCTAATTGAAGGCCCTGATTTCGATTGGTGGATTGAGGACAAAATTATATGGATGAACACAGGCACTGCGTAGTGAACTACCGCATCCGACCATCTGTGCCGTGGGGGTTATGACTGTTGATTAAATGAATATTCAACGATTTTCTCAACTAAATGACGAAGTAGTAGAATTGTTAAACCCCACAGTCCAACTAAGTTGCCGAGGCAGCCAAAACCGGTGGAGGGTTTTCGCCTGAAACAAAAACAGTGAGAACAGTAGCGAATCTGCATGGTTAGTTGAAGCCATTCTATACTGGAGAAGGGGTACCCACGTGGCTCCTGCAAGGACGAGTTCCATCATCCTCGCGTTGGTTAACTGGGACAAGACGGACAAGAACGAAACTGTAGAGAGTATAATTACGAGCACTCGAGCCACCGCGCTGTCGACGGCTAGACAGATTATCACCGGTATCAGAATAAGGCCAGTGGCGAGGCATAGCATCAGGGCTCGCGCGCTCCCTTTTACCAGAGAGCCAGAGTAGATGTACACGTTCGCGTCGTTTGACACGTTGTGCAGAGGACTCTTTTTCTCTCGTGAGCTAGGTAGATCGTAACGTTTTGGAAAGCATTGCCTACCTTGCGGAATCCTCGATAGTAGTGGATGAGTTTGCCCTCAACCCAATCTTCAAGTTTCTCCACCGCACTGTCCTTAGAGCATGCCATAGGAGCTAGATCAGCTTCCTCTTCTAGATACGCTGTTTCATCTCTGCTCAAGCAGCTACTGTTTTCGACCCAATTTTGCAAGCTAAGAACATCCTTGGATGGTGCGGTACCCAAACTTAGCGCTCGGCGGGTCTGGTCAGAGAAGGAATCTGGACAGGTATCAGAATAGGACTGTAGAGGAACGAGCGAATAACAACTGCTACAAACCGTAGCTCGAAAGGCACGATTCAATCTCAAGAAGAAGAGATTTGCGCGCTTCGTTTCTATCGCAACGGCTTTTTCCGAGAAACAGGGGCGATTCCTCCTTTTCATCAAGCAGGTCTAGTTTCTCTTCAAGCACAGATAGATGATCCTGCTTCAGCAGGAGAACTCTGGCGCGGAGTCGCAGGAAACGTCTGAAGACAAAGAAAGAATCATTAGCTGCGATGAGAGCAGCAAATCTGGGGTATCCAGCCCTGTGGTCCTCGACTAGGAACTATAAGTAAAGCACATCATCAGTTTTTGGGAGGGAGTGATCCAACTCTTTTTTCTTCCTTGTTGTGGTTCGGTTATCTGATGGCCCGTTTCCAAATCAATCGAGTCATTCCCAGAGGACCGCGTTTTCCAGCTTAAGCCGAAATATCGGAGGCGTTGCATTCTGTATTATCGTGCCCGAGTTTTGTCTATTTTCCCTTAATGGGAGTCAAGAGCGTACATTGCCGATATTATCCTAGTAACTATTTAGAAAAGGCTAGGGGCAAAACATCGAGATATGCACAAAGTACGTACCGCCCCGGCCATGCAGCTTGCCAATGGTGAACATTGCCAAGGTAAGGCGCGAATGCTTCCTCAAGGCAGCAATACAGCGAGGTTGTATACTTTGCCTTTGCTTGAAAGCGTACGATTCAGATGACAAGTCAGAATGTGGCCCGCTATAAAAATACAAGACTAAAGGGCAGCCGACAGTGGTCAAAGTTTATACCCGACCACAGACAATAGCTTCCGCCATACCAGCTGTAGTGTGAGTTTTTCAAGGATCGAATATGAGTTTTTTCACCAGGTTCGCATCAGCTGTACCATACTGCAAGCGCAATACTCATATTTCTTTGCGGCCAGGAGCGATAGCCCGAGTTTCTCGATATGCGACGACGACGATGGTCGTGCGCGGGTGATATCGGCCAAGACGGCAGGTCATTGCCCCCTCCTGTCACGGAACCCCAGCTGAGTATCGTGGATAGAAAAACAAGTTTAGGGTGGGCGATTCCGTATATCTATGTGCAGGGGGTGGTAAAGAAGGTCCCTTTCTCGTCGAGTCTGTCCCCTCTGAGGGGCAATACACTCTTTGCACTACAAGTGGTCAGACTGTCAGCAAGGGTGAGAAGTTCCAGGAAAAAGACCTGGAACAGGCGTAGAGTGCACGCCACCTGCAAAGGCGGATATGGCTAGTTTAACTTGCACAACATAATGAGCGGGCTTGACCATTTACCTCATGAGGCATGTATTCCAGACTGCCTGTCACATTTCTAATGCATGCCACTATTCCATTATTAAAGGAATAATTTAAAATGTATTCAGCCCCAAGTACTGTAGGAAAAAGGTCATGCTTTGATCAGGTTGCCGGCGAGATGAGGGCCCAAGTAATACAGCATAACATTGGTCAAATACTCTCAGCCCACCTAGATGCGTGTCATGGCTACCGCGGCGAACAGTGAAAAGTACCTAGTAAAGCTTACGAGGCGAGAAGCGATGACTAATGAATCAACTCAGGTGGGATGGCTCGACTGGTGTCTTCCCACCATCCACACAGCAGGGCCATTTTGAGGCTGTCTACCTACTGCTACAACCAAGCACAACAAGAGATTTGGATACAGAGCTGTAATATCTGAATACTGCCTGTTGCGCAATTAGTCGCTGGACTTTGTGGATCTCATCCCACACACACTTTCTCGGCCAACTGATCTATCACCTTGTCTGCTCTGCACCGCTTCTGTTGCAGGCGAACAGCTACGCCAAAGTATGGACGAAAGTCGAGATGCAGTGAAATATTTTGCTGTCTTGATTGGCATTGACTTTTACAAGGATGCTCCTCTCAAAGGCTGCGTACGAGATGCTAAAGATATGGCAGATTATCTGAAGTATGCGCAACCCGCGGCTCAGTTATGTACCTTCACTGCGAGTCCACCTGACGATGCAGAGTCAAGCCTGCCAGCCGAACATCCAAGAGCGTGGCCAACGATTGACAATGTCGTCGCGAAAATTCGGGAGATCGCCTCGGTAGCGAGATCCGGCGACTACGTTCACATCCATTATTCCGGCCACGGAACTAGGATGGAGCCCACAGGAGAACTTGCTCTGGACCTCTTGGGGGACATGAATGATACCGGTGTCAGGTACCTCCGTGGAAACGAGTTCGCACTCCTCCTCCGCGACCTTGTCTTTAAGCATCTCGAAGTCTCGGTTGTTCTTGATTGTTGCTTCTCCGGTGGTGTTTCACGCGATGACTCTTCCGTCCGGTACCTCGATTACAACCCCAAAGCCGACGCCGAATATCCTATGGCGGTGCATGGTCTTATACCTGAAGATGAAAATGCTTCCGAATCACACCGGAATGCCTCCATGAAACCTAACTGGTTAATGGATCCGGATGGATACACCATCATTACCGCATGTGGTCCTCTAGAAAAAGCGCGAGAGATCCGGCTTCCGGACGGAAAGAGACACGGCGCGCTATCATACTTTCTTCTCAGAACCTTGATCGGTTTCGGGGGCTTCGCAAAGAAACAGAATCACATATACCACCAACTATGCGCTAGGTTCAAGGAGTATTGGCCGCAACAAAACCCAATGTTTTACGGCAACCGGGATAAATGTTTCTTCAGTCGCAGCATCTCAGAGGCTGGGACCATTATAGTCCAAGCGGTCAGAAAGAAGAATGGAACCTTTCAGTTGCAGGCTGGTCAAGCACAAGGCATTTGCAACGGTGACCAGGTTGCTATATATCCCAATGACTCTATGGAACGACGCTCAGCGGCATATCAAAGCCGGATCGTTGCTTTTGTCACCCACACCGCAGCCTTTCAGTCAACACTTGTAGTGTCAGAACTTGGTTACATGGGTACTCAGACGTGGTGGACTGCTGTCGTGCTCACCGAAAATTACCTCAACAAATACCCTATATGCATTCCAAGAGATATGCCGTTCCGGGAGGAATGGGTCACTGCTTTGGGAGAACGATCATTACGCAGTGTTGCTAAAGGCGAAGACCCCTTCGCATTTTCCATCGCATTCAAGGATAAGAACTATGAGATTTTCGACAAGTCAGCTAATGAGATGATCCACATCTCCGCCATGGCAAAAGTACGAGAAACACCAGACCAAGTTTGTGATATTGTCCACCATTTGACAAAGTTTGAAATGGTAAAGGACTTGGCCCACAACTTCTCAAAGAGCTCGTTCAAGAAGCTGTGTAAAGTTGAACTCGCCACTTCTTCAGGAGCTACATTCTCCTCTGGCCACTCGGTGCGAGTGAATCACCGGGCAATGGTGACCTTGATCGCGGAGAATATGGGGCACGATGATCTTTATCTCTATATATACGACATGGGCCCTGAGAAGCAAGTTGAGAACATCTTGCAAGGAAATCATCATGTTCTTCCTTCACGATATAACGACCAAGCGCCGAATGGAACGGCAAGAAAGACGTGGAAACTCAGGATGGAGGTCCCCAAGGGACTGAGAGAGAAAGGGCAGGCCCTTTGCAAGGATAGAATTATTGTATTTGTGACTTCTCAACTGACGTCGTTTGATCTGCTGGAGCTTCCAAAACTCAGTCAGCTGGCGAAGAAAAGGAGACCCGGCAAGGCCTGTCGAGGAGGCGAAGCACTTTCAGGGGGAGATTGGGCATGTTTTACCTTCTCAGTCGCCACCCACATACATGACTGAGTGAAACAACGGAAGATGGAGTCGTTCGCATCAGAAAGCACAATAGAAGGACAGTTGCTTCAAGAGTTTAAATTACGCTCTGAATCTTTAGCAACGGATAGACAACTAGATTTGATGCCCGAACCGTTGCTATCGAAGTCCCCTAATGAATCATGGCAGCGTTGGCGATGCGGCTCGACTGCGCCCTGGTTTTTCGGAAGTCGGCAGCTGTCTCGGACCATTAGAAGGTCTAACGAAATGCCTTCGTACTCTGGGAAATCCTGTTGGCTAGAACATGCAGAAAAGGCTCTCAGGGTGACATTCCGAGTAGCCTGTGGTCCAATCCGAAGAGAAGAAGCTACACCAGTTGCGTTGCTTAATTGCCCAAATGGACAGTTTCTTCAATGTATTACATTGGGCAACAGCGTGGGGGCACTTTGAGGCAATTAACGAGGCAATAAACCCCTGCAAAACCTGTGAGACTACGGCGGGTCTTCATGAAATAGTCAGTTGGGAGACCATCACTTGGAACATCTGCAGAAGATTGAGGAGAAGCTCCCTGCCACGTCGGGGAAACTTACGAACGCACTGCATGAGACTGTGACTCACTTACGGTCCCGAAGGAAACTTCTGAATGGGATTGGCTGCCTGATCCTTAGCCAAGAGTGATGCAGGGTAGAGAGAGGTTGTTGAGTGGAAGCTGGGTGGGGTAAAATGACCAAAAGTATTGATTGCACGCCCTCAATAGAAAAACACAGCACTCCGTTAGGGACTTTAGTAGCAGGCACAGCTGTTGCATTGCATGAAACTAGTGAACATCGTACGGGGAGTCTCTAAGGAGCTCTTTTGACGGGATTGGCTGCCTGGTTGCTAGAACAGGGCATGTCAGGCAGACGCTATTTCGAACAACTTGGAAATGGAGGGGTAGTCAGGCCATGCCGAACCACAGGCGGGGATGAAATATGCGAATGCCATACAGTGTTTGCATTCAAGCAGAGCAAAGCTTCCCAGCCTATGGTGACCATCAGTCATCAGTTCCACTATCAAAGTGCACAGAAACACATCCACACCGAGCTGGACGCCCAAACAGTATTCGCTGTCGACTTGCAGATACTCACGCACCGAAGCTATGGAGGACATAGACGAGTCTATCAATTTTGCAAGAGAAGCCCTGGAAGACACACCAGAAGACGATCCCGAGCGAGTGGTGTGGCTAAGCAACCTCGAATTCCAACTTGGCAGCAAGTACTTGCTCACTGGAGACGTAACAGACTTGGAAGAGTCTATTACTTTTGCAAGACAAGTTATTCAAATGATAACAGATGACGATCCAGACCGAAATTTATGTCTCAGCAATCTTGGACTTCGACTGGGTGATAGATACTTGTGCACAGGAAATGTTGAAGACCTAGAAGAGGCAATTGTGATTGCCAGAGAATCTGTAGAAATAACACCAAAAGATCATCCAGGCCGACCCAGGTGCCTAACAAACCTCGGAAATCGAATTGGCGACAGATATTCACGTACTGGAGATATATCGGACCTAGAAGAAGCTACAGCTATCGCTCAGGATGTTGTCAATTCTACACCAGCAGATGATCCACAAAGATCTAAACGACTAAACAATCTTGGAATTCGATTTGGCGACCAGTATTTACGTACCGGAGCCATCCAAGACCTAGAAAAGGCTATCAAAATCACTCAAGAGGCTATCAAAGCTACGCCAGAAGATCATCCAAGTCGAGTTTTGTACCTTAATAATCTCAGCGTTCGACTAGGCGACAGATACTTACGTACTGGAGCGATAGTGGACCTAGAAGAGGCTCTTTCTATTACTCAAGAGGTTGTTAAAGTTACGCCAGAAGACCACCCAGACCGAGTTACATACCTTAGCAATCTTGGGACTCATTTTGGCGATAGGTACCTACGTACTGGAGCTATGGCGGATCTCGAAGAGTCAATCACTATTGCTCGAGAGGTTGTGAAAACCAGACCTGAGGGTCATCCAAATCACGCTGTAAGCTTATATAATCTTGGACTCCGACTTGGACTCAGATCATTGCGAACTGGGGCATTAGTAGACTTCAATGAGGCCGTAGCTGTCGCTAGGGATGCTGTGAAAGCTACACCAGAAGACCACCCAGAGAGATGTCGTAGGTTACACGAAGTCGGAAACCTACTAAACGAGAGATATCTACGGACTGGAGCCGTCAAAGATCTAGAAGAGGCCATCGATATCACTCGAGAGGCTGTGAAAGCCACACCAGAAGATCATCCTGACCGACCTAACAGGTTAACCAGTCTTGGGAACCAACTTAGCGACAGATACTTACGCAACGGAGCAACAAAAGATCTGGAAGAAACCATTACTATCGCTAGAGAGGCTATCAAGGCTACACCAAAAGGTCATCCAGACATGGGTGGACGGCTAAACTGTCTTGGAGTTCGGCTTAGCAACAGATTTTCCCGCACTGGAGCCATAGAAGACCTTGATGAGGCAGTTACTGTGGCTAGAGAGGCTGTTCGAGCCACGCCAGGAGACCATCCAGACCGATCTAAGCCATTATCAAATCTCGGAATTTGGCTTAATCATAGATACCTCCGCACTGGAGCAATATTGGATCTGGAGGAGGCTATCAATATGGCCCGGGAGGCCATAAAAGCTACGCCAGAAGACCATCCAAAACAAGCCACATGGCTAAATAACCTTGGTCTTCATCTCAGCGACAAATACTCGCGTAATCGAGACTTATTAGACTTGGAAGAGGCGATAACTACTATTCGAAACGCTGTTAGAGTCATAGCATACAACCATCCAGACCGAGCGATGTGGCTAGGCAACCTTGGAACTCTTCTTGGCGACAGATACTTGCATACCGGAACGGTAGAAAACCTGGAAGAGGCTATCTCTATCGCCCAAGAAGCTCTCGAAGCCACGCCCGAAGACCATTCAGATCGAGTATTGTGCCTTACTAATCTTGCAGCTCGACTATACGACAGATATCTATACACCAGAGCGATAGCAGACCTAGATGAGGCCATTTCAATCACTCGAGAGGCGATTGAAACCACACCAGAAAATCACCCAGGCCGAGCAGCTCGACTAAACAACCTTGGAGTTCAACTCGGCCAGAGATATGTATGCATGGGGGTCATGGCCGACAGAGAGGAATCTAACGTTCGGTTTAACGAGGCATTGCAATGTAAAGAAGCTGCAACCAGCGAAAGATTGCGAGGCGGTCGTAGCTTTTTGGCATCACCAGACATTCTCCAAGACGCCCATGGTGCATACACCGTTGCGGAGACGTCGGTCAACCTGATTCCCCTCCTATCATCTTTCTCTCTACAATCTGCCGACAAACAGCATCAGCTTCGGTGGGCTGTTGGATTGGCATCAGACGCCGCTGCTATTGCTCTACATTCCGGCCGCGAACCCCTGGCTGCCCTTCAACTGTTAGAGACTGGCCGCGGCATTCTTGCCAGCTCCTTACAGAATATGCGCACCGATCTTTCCGCTCTCCAACAGGTACATCCTGATCTGGCGCGAAATTTCGCTCATCTTCGGAACCAGCTTGATACACCGTCACAGGGAGCTAGTGTCAACTCGACACTGTTACCGTTGGAGAGACCCGCTCCCATCGACCTGGACCGCCGACACAAAGCTAGTGCCGATCTACTCAGCCTCTTGGACGATATTAGAAGACATGCTGGCTTCGAGCGATTTCTCGCGTCTGCCACAGAAGACGAACTACGGGAAGCGGCTTCTTACGGTCCCATCGTTGTCGTCAACGTTAGCTCACACCGCTGCGACGCGCTACTCGTTGAACGTTGTGGCGTTCGTGTCTTGTGTTTGCCACAACTCACTCTGAGTAGTCTGAAACAGCATGCAAGTAGTGGCATAGGCTCAGTCGAAACTCTGTCCTGGTTATGGGATGTTGCTGTTGGGCCCATACTAGATACTTTAGGTTTTACCGAACCTCCGGTCAGCGACACTTGGCCGCACATGTGGTGGGTGCCGACCGGGCCCCTTACCCAGTTTCCACTCCATGCAGCCGGGCACCATACCAAGAGCGGCGCGCAAACAGCACTAGATAGGGTCGTCTCGTCGTATAGCCCCTCTATCAAGTCTATTCTGCACACGCGGCAACAGCAACGTCTAGGCGCAACAGCTGTCTCGGACCCGAGTATTGTCCTTGTGGATATGCAAGATACTCCAGACCGGAGTCGTCTTTGGCATGCAACGAGAGAGACAGACGCAGTGCGAGAAGTCTGCGAGTCCATGAGATTCATATGCAACCAGCCTCCGGCGAAGAAGCAAGACGTTTTAACGGCTCTGGGAACTTGTAGTATCCTACACTTTGCCGGCCATGGAGGGGCTCGCCCAGACCCTTTACATAGTCTCCTTCTTTTAAAAGATTGGCAAAACGACCCTCTGACGGTGGAAGGCATTCTCGAAACGAACAGCTCTGCCAGCACGCCGTTTCTCGCCTACCTCTCCGCTTGCGGTGCGGGCCAGATTCAAGACGAAGATTCGACTGATGAGAGCATTCATCTGGCTAGTGCGTTCCAGTTGGCTGGGTTCCGCCATGTCATTGGCACGCTGTGGGAAGTTGATGACGGGCTGTGTGTGGACATGGCTAGGTTGACTTATGAGTATCTTGTAGCGAACGAGCTAAGTGATGAATTTGTAAGCAGAGCACTTCACTTTGCTACCAAGACACTTCGAGATGGATGGGTTGTGCGGCAGGCGGAAGCAGAAGCTACAGGGAACGGCCAGGCGGGGAACAGAAATGCAGAGTTGTGGGAGGATGAAAAGCAGGACCGGCCATTGTGGGTTCCCTATGTTCATTTTGGCGTCTGAGGCTGTCGGCATTTTGGATTTAAACGGAAATGCAAATTGATAAAGTTGAGGCTATAGTTACTGTATTTGCTTTGGCTGGTTGGGATCTTTGATTATGATAAGTGGGAAATAGTGAGAAAGACAATTTTGGTTTCTATTGTGAAGGGTATCACCATTGTATTGTGGGGGTCCCGTTATTCCATCAACATCGATACTGCCGTTAATTCTTCGCTACAGAACGGTAGTCCACGTAATAAGATACTCATATTTCTGGAAGATGAGAGCCAGTCGGTTCCCTATCCTGAAGCCTATTTTGATATTCAAAAAAACTTATATATTGGTTACTTTCTGGGGTGTTCTTGAACAAGATGCTTGCTTAGCATGTGTAATGCTGCATTTCCATTGAAGTTTTATTAATAAAGACATCTCGTTTGTTTTGGCAGCTTTCTTATAATAAGAAAGCCTAAGCTATTATACTTTTTTCCTCATTATACAGCTAACAAAAGGTCTGGTTACACTATGGCGAAAGGAATGGATTACAGTCTCAGCTGAGAAGGAAACCAAGTACTCTTTGTAGATGTTGCAATGACAGGCCAAATTTCAACTCTCTTCAACTATATTCTGCATAGTAGCGACACTATGTTGGCCACTTTGGTTTAATTTGTTATCTTCTGTTGTGACAGAGACTCGAGAATTATGGCCTTGACTGTTTACGTTACTACTGGTGTCCAGCTAGACACAATCATATCGAACTTCTCATGGTAGAGTGTCACCTAAATTAAGATATGTTGCCTTGAATGGCTACTGAGGCCGAAATTGAAATGGAGAGCCAAACTTTTGCCAGTGGTTGAGCCTTTGGTAAGAAACCATGTGGGCATATTTTCTAGTATTGGGTTTGCCACCTCAACTAATCATGTAAAGGTATACTTCTGGATTGAACCAGATGCCTCTTCCCCAAGTGCACATATCATACTTGTATCGAAACATAGCAGTCGTCTGCCCCGCTAACCTTCATGGCCAAAATCATGCGCCATTCTCACTTTATTGGTCGTTCCATCCCATCACTCCCCACGCTATGATGATAACAGCTTAAGAAGAGCAAGCGAACGCATATTCAAGCCCGGTCCAGGTGTTGCAGGTTGCTGTTTCCCCGCCCTCGACGACAGCCGGGACACAAGTCTGAACAACCTTGTTGCTAGCCACATCTACAACGGCAGTAACCGTTGGGTTTTGCTCAATCGGAATGTTGTCATCGGTGCAGGCTAGCTCGAGATTGTAGTATGTCTCGCCGGTTTCATCATTGGTGACATTGAAAGGGTTGCGGCAAATAGGTCCCAAAACATAGCCGCTGTGTCGTTCCCGAATGGTGGACCATGTTGCAGTTCCCTGAACAGCACCACGGGCCAGACAGGTGTCTACAACCTCCTGAGTCTTGGTCGGTGTAAACGGAGACCAAGCAACGAAAAAGTTTCCGCGGGGGAAATAGTAATAGCCAAGGTTGATAGGTGCGTAGGAGGTATTCTGAGCGGAAGCAACAGCCAAGAATGAGGCGCCGATGAGAGTAGAGAGCTGCATTTTCGTTGTCGGTGGATGAAGGTTGGCGTTGATCAGATATAATCCTGAGATCTAGATTTGATGGGCAATGGCGCGTTGTATTGCATTCGAGAAGAAACCTCGATTCTTTAAATACTTGAACACTCAGCGACTGACAGCTGCTCTGCATCTCATGGCCCGGACCTAGCGTGTCGGTCGCGAATGGCGGAGACTCTTAGTGCTGACCATGACAAGGGTTCCTGCAGGTTGTGCACCATCAAGCTATTGGGTAGATCGGACAACCTGGTTCTAGACTCAAATGCGGAGTCATTTATGACGCTGGTTTGATAGTTAGCTATAATCTGTTAGCAACTTGGCTAAACTCCTCGCATGGCTTCAGCATCCAGCTGTCCTATGGAAAGTTGAATTTGTCGAGAAAGAAGTTTCTTGACAAATGATTATGGCCCGATCTTTGAAAATTATGATGGCAAGGGAAACAAAGGATTCGTGTGAATGCGGCATAGCGCGATAATTGCTCCACCTACCTCGGACTCGATGCTCAAATACGAGCATGGCTAACCGCCAAGTTACTAGCCATAGTGAATAATGTGGGGTCGTGTTTATATTCTTCTCGTGTTGAGGTTCCAGCGAACAGGGCCAGCCAGTCATACACCCAATTGGTTGATTTCAGGAGAACCCAGATGCATGTTTTATAAAGCCCCGTGGCGTCATGCGCATGCACCTATGTATTTGCCTGCTAGGACTCTCGTCACGGTTTGCATACAACTTTGTGAGGAGCCTAGTAAGCTCATGATTTCATCGTGAAGCAAAGAACGTTGCTGGGGGCCAGACAGTAGTATCGATTAGCTACAATACTTAGTGCATACGGTGAAACGCCGCCTTCAATTATTACTCTTAGTAACCGGGAGGATGTAGCCCAGCAGCGACGGCTTTATATCATAACACGGCGGATTGGAGACAGAGGAGAGAATGCGCGCTTCGGTCAATGTTGTACCAGCTTGGTATCTATGAATCCCACTATCTTTCCAAATGACCTTATAAGCTAAGGCAACCTCTTTTTTCATCAGCATCCCTGCCAGATAAAAATGATAAGTGGCATTGGGAAGGCCTCTAGGTCCCGGTACTTCCGCGACTTTACCAGTGCCACTCTACGTAAGGTAAGGTAAGGCATCCAAAGGGATCCTGTAACCTTTCGCAAAGATGGTTTTCCTTGTCACGAATCTGCAATACTGTTGGAAAAGATAATCGATAGAGAAATTATGAAAACTAATTGTATTCTGGTACGTATTATACCTTGAAGTATATACTAATCATATTGTACAAGTGAAAAATATTCTTTGCCAAGATACCTTTGCACGCGAAGGTCGCGCCAAATTTGAAGATAAAGCCGTAGATGCAAAATTCGCCAGTCGAGTCCCGTTTAGTAAACCCTCCGAATGCCCGTTTAGACACAGACTATGAAACCAGACCCAAGATGAGAGTGGCGTCAATCTGTGCACATTCTGGGGGGTTCGGACGCCTCAAAATTACTCAAGGTCCTCGAAGTCAGAGTTGACACCTTCCTCGCGGCGGTAGTGACCCTTCTTGTTACCCTTCTTATCGTCCTTGTTGTAGCCCTTGTTGTAGCCCTTGTTGCCTCCCTTCTTGTCATCATCGGAGTCGGAGCAGTCGCCCTTGCTGTTGCGCTTGCACTGCTTCTTCTTCTTGTTCTTCTTGTCGTCGTCAGAGTCGGAGCAGTAGCCCTTGCTGTTGCGCTTGCACTGCTTCTTCTTCTTGTTCTTCTTGTCGTCGTCAGAGTCGGAGCAGTAGCCCTTGCTGTTGCGCTTGCACTGCTTCTTCTTCTTCTTGTCGTCGTCAGAGTCGGAGCAGTATCCCTTGTTGTTGGTGCGCTTGCACTTCTTCTTGCTGTTGCGATCCTCGAGAACGCTGCGGGCGACAACGTCAGCGCCGGCAATGGCCTGTTGACAGCTGTTAGTTCTAATGCTCATTCTTGGGAGTTCTCTGGAATTATGTAAACATACAGCAAAACCTTCACTACGGGCCTAGTAAATAAAATCATTAGTCCACAAGGTTAACTAGAAAGGAACACGACTCTCAAGTATCAACTCACAGCAATGTCGGCAGAACGCTGTAAAGGGGTTAGTATATCTGGAAACCATTCCGAAAGGCAGCTAATAACTTACCTCGGCCAGATCGGCCTCGAGAGGTTCAGCGATGGGCACTGCCAGAGCAGTGGCGGCGAAAAATGCCATGCCAAGGGTAGCGACCTGACCGAAAGTAGGGATATGCATTTTGAAAGTTGTTAAGATGAGAAGTCTTGTAAAGAAGAAGTGGTATTATAACGAGACTAAGTCGCGATAGTGGGAGTTTGTAATGGTGAAGCGAGAGCTGAAGTGTTTGTGTGATGAGGAGGAAAGTAAGTCCCAGAAGACGCAAAGAATCTGGGTTTATATAACCAGAAATCTTTGATGATAGATCTTCTTTCATTGTGCAAGTTGTTGTTGTGATGAACATCTTGATTGGGAATGGCGCAAGCGTTCCAATAAGGTTTTCTTGGGCCCTCGGGACGGCACCATACCTCAGCCACCTGGAAAAGAGGCGCCGGGAGGTTCAACCATGGGGATGGAAATTTAGTGTCGGCGTCGCAACTAGTATTGTTGTCCAGGACGTTCTTCTACTTGGCGATCTCGGCAAAGCGTTTATCAGACATTGAGTTTAACTGAGACACCCTGATTTGGTAGATTTGTAGGATAGGTCAAGAGAGGAAAGTCATATTCAATCCAATAGATTTTGAGTGTATAATCGTCAATAAAGTTGGTCTTTCTCACATTTTCTACCGTTACTCGTAGTCACAGGCTCTCAAATCATTATCCTCTGCGTTAAACACCCATAACTTCACCATCATTGATGATGGGCAACATCTTACTACAATAGACTGTGGACAGGCTAGTGGGTTGAGCACCGTTTTCCCATCTTCTGGGACTAAGCGCCGTTCAGCTGAACGTTGTTGGGCCCAAACAACCCTAACGGTGAGCCAAGCCGCCTGTTTTGCCAATGCGTGAGGTAGAGATGGCGGTAATGGTTTTTCGGAATCAAATAGCCACATACTAGCTGAAGTGGCGTCGATTTAAGTCCAACGCCCGCGGCTATCTTAGCAGACTCCCAGCGGAACCATCTCCGGGCCCGTGTGTTGCGCCATTGGTGGGCCTTTAGGTTGTTTCACCACTAGCCGCGAGACCCAGGAGCCCGCTTCCATCTGGAGATAGCTTGGACGTACAAACATAGAAAAAGTATTAAAGACAGCATACCAGACCGTGCCCAGTTAACCTTAAACTATCAGCGGATGTTGGTGTTTTTGCGCAAGTCTGGCTGGGCACACGTCAACGATACTGCAGCCCAATTGCAGTCGAGGTACAAAGCTCTGGCCACTATGATTGTTTTCATCACATGGGCGTTTGTTATTGGAATAGACACATCTTCCCTATTAAAGTCATACTCATCTTCTACCGAAAGACTGCATCTATCAAGCATAGAACTCATACTGGGTAAAAACTGGAATGTAGCAGCAAGAATGGATGAAGACCTTAGATACCTCCAATTTGCGTATCATAACCAGCGGCGGGCGCTGAAAGACAGCATGATGCGCGTTGATGAACACAAAACAAATGGCTCTGCTAATACAGTAATACTTTACTCCATTGTAGACACTATTTTTGACGCCGAAAATATTCTCACGCCCGAACTTTAGCATAGAAAGGGCCCACTGTCTCCAGAGTCCCAACAACGAAGAAGCTTGTCTCGCATGTATGAGCGGGTGGGTGAAATCAAAGAAAACAACATGGGCTTATTCTGAACGCAATGCATATATGATATGACTAGCTTGGCTTGCTGTACTGTGGCTGCAAAAGATGTGAGACTACTTTAGTGCCTAAAAATGGAAGCGACAGCAACATAATGACTTGGATATATGATAACAGGGTACAAACGCTTAAGAGAGAAAGGTTTTGACTTCCATAAACTGCTATTGTCGTCTATCAAGACTACCAGTAATGGGTGCGTCTACAGCAGCGTAGTCTTAATTATTTCCTGGCTTAATTTGGTATGTTGAAGCCAGCCCCACACTTTTGCCTATTACAGGCATCGACATGCTTTGATGATTACCAAGCTGAGAATTATTCCTTTGGTGTTCAATACATATTGCCAATTCGAGATACATGATATTCCTAATTGGTCAATCCGCCATACTACCTTTTCGGGTTTGAGTAAACAGTCACGTCCGCCCGTATAAAAAGAGATTATAGCAACCAGATCATGTGGTTAGTTATTTCTTAGAAACCGATTGAACCACAACATAATTGCCGTACGAGGTCGGTAAATATTGCGAGGAACTTGAGGTACTTGTCTCCAAGCACGGTCAAAGTCATCTAGTAGGTATCTATCGATCGATTCAGTCTTGCGTTTTCGTCAATGGTACTGTCAAGATACTTGCTAACAGTGCAGTAGCCATGGCCATAAGTGCCAAAACTCAGAACAGTATCCGTGCCGCATACTATCGCGGAGGGGCGGCACGCGCTGTTATGCTGAGGACACAGGACCTGCCGAGTGATAAGGGTCGATGGCCGGACATATTTCGCGGCATTCTCGGGTCTCCCGACCCCTGGGGCCGCCAACTTGACGGGCTTGGCACCGGTCTCTCCAGTCTCTCCAAGGTGTGCGTCGTGGGCCCATCTACCAACCCCTCCGCAGATGTCGATTGCACTGTTGCCGCCATTGGTGTAGACGATCCTAGTGTTGACTTCTCAGCCAACTGCGGGAACATGTCCTTTGCCGTCGGCCCGTTTGCTATTGAATCTGGCTTGACCACGCCGAATTCTGACAAAAATGGATTGACCACTGTTCGGATATTCAACACAAACACTGGCAAGATTATGCACTCGGTGTTCCCGACCCAAGGACAAGAGGCAGTAGTTCGTGGAGACTTCTCCATTGACGGTGTAAATGGTACGGGCGCTCAGATCAGCCTACGGTTCATTGAGCCGGGTGGCTCCAAGACGGGCAGATTGCTACCCACTGGCAACACCATCGATGTGTTCGAGTCGATTCGAACAACCTGCATTGATGCTAGTAACCCATCTTGTTTCGTCCTGGCTTCAGAGCTAGGAATTGTAGGATCGTCTTCGCCCGAAAAACTGGACGAAATGGACGACTTGAGAGTCAAGCTTGAAGCCATTCGACGACAAGCCGGCGTAAAAATGGGTCTAGCCAAGACAGAAGATGAGGTGTCTATAGGTGTTCCCAAGATATCTATCGTGTCCCAACCTTCTGCCTCCTCTTCCGAGGATCTAGTGGTTAGGGCCATATCAATGGGACAGGCACACAATGGAATGCCTATTACGATTGCCTTAGCTACTGCTGTTGCCGCCAATATCCCTGGGACAGTCGTGTACGAATCCCGGGCTCAAAAGGAGAGCAGCAGCTCAGTACTTATTGCGCATCCCACAGGACAGCTGGCGGTCGACGCTGACATTAGCAATGATGGGAGTGTAAAGTCAGCGACTGTGTACAGCACAGCCAGACGTTTGATGGAGGGTACAGCGTATTGGAAGTGAAGCTGCTTGCTCAGTCGAAAGTATTTTTTGTCATAGTTGTATTCAACGCCATGGCGACAATGGGACAGCCGCCTTTGCGACGGACTTATAAAAGGGTTAAAACCATCGAGGGCGGTAGGTCAACACTAGCTACTTTGCAGTATAGCCCTTCCGTCTCAGCATTCAACTCTCTGGCCTTACAGCCGCTCTGCATTCTAGCCAATCTCAGCTCTCACTAATGTCCAAATTTTATGAGTGCTTATTCCATCCCTAGTCCTAAATTCAATTTTATCCCCACTTTTGACGATGTACCATCTTGTGATTTTGTATTACTTCATGGCCGAGCAATGATGGAGCCATTTGTCACGAGGACTGCCTTACCGCCCAGATGCAGGGTCTCCAGCTTTCTCGATCCGTTCGAGTCCTTGCCAACCTCTACGTCGAGAAATATGTTGCTCTTGCGCCCCATCTCAACGCCTTGTGTAATTTCGAAAGTGATGGACTGGTCCTCCAGCTCATGCAGGCTCAGGTAGCTGGCCAAGGCGCACGCCGCACTCCCTGTTGCCGCGTCCTCAGTCGTAAGCTTCACCATCCTCGTCCTAACCTTCTGAACCGTTCTGGAACCAATCTTCTCACTGCCCGTACGGACGAAGTAATACCGCCTCGTGACCCAGCCGTCGCGCCAGCCTTCATCCAGAAGACTAGCGGGCAGCTCATGAGCCCCAACTTGTACGCCAGCGAGTAACTCGAGTGATGGAAGCTCGATGAGTGCAAACGTCATGCCCTTGACGATACTAAACAGTGGCGATCCAGCCTCCGCTGCTGCGAGCTCAACTGTCAATCGTGGATCAGATCCGGGCTCCAGGCTAGGCACACGCTTCTCGTGTAGCCGCACGTCATGTGGGATGATGGCCCGGACCGAACCATTGGTTGCCGGCTCAATGTTGATGGGGCCTGCTTTCGCAACCAAGGTTGTCACGCCGTGCGGTTGGAGGAACACAGCCGTGCCGATCGTCGGGTGGCCGGCAAATGGTAACTCGTCCTTGGGCGTGAAGATATTGATGTGCCGCTCTTTTGTCGCGCCAGGATCATCAACATCATAGACGAAGACGGTCTCGGACAGGTTGAACTCTTTGGCAATAGCTTGCTTCTGAGCCTGCGTCAAATCCACGCCCGGCGGGATCGTCACCACGGCGAGGGGGTTGCCCTCGAAGGGGGTGTCGGTGAAAACATCAAGAGTACTGAAGGGAAGGGCCATTCTCGTTGTTCTGATTAAATGAGGCCAGTAATTTTCAATTGCCAACAATCATGGCTAATTCGAGTCAAAGAGCGTTTTTGTAGCTTCTAGCCACACTACGGGGGACACGTCACGTTATGATTGATAATGTTAAGAGTGGGGTCAGCTGCTGTAATCGGAGGGCGTGTCGGCAACAAAAGCAATTCGCCGAGTAGTCTTGTGCTAATCGGAGGACGTCAGCTCATGAGATCCGCGGACAGATTTGGACCGAACTTATTGATGGCATGTTAATTATGTTGAGGCATCAATGAGTCACTTTTTACCACATTGTTAGGCCTTGGCACTGAGCGCTGTAAGCCCCAACATCTAGGGCTATTACCCCTCATCGTCGGCTCTTAATATCTAGGCTCTGGGACTATAGCTTACAGGGCTAACAAGCCTGATATAATATTGGCAAATGACTAAGAAAAGTCTATCCTATCTAGGTCATATTCTAAGTTGTAAACATGAGATAGTTTCTAGGTTTACGTTGTCCAGCTCCTGGAGCAAGTGCTGTACATCCCGCCTCATGAATAGGTTCTCCCCTTTCGCCATTCGATCAACATCCTCCCCTCGGACGCTTATTTCCTCTGCAGATCTTCTCTCTGCAGTTGTCAAATTTCTTCCTTCAAGCTTGGAACGGCTATTATTCTAAAAAGTGTAAAAGAAAAGATCTTAATGAATAAAGCTATAGCTAGCTATAGCTGAACAAAAGATTGAATTGCTGGAGGTAGACGTTAAGCCCAGTGAGGTCGAGAATCAGAAGGTTAGAATAACCCTAAATTTAAAGTTAAATAAACTTATCTCTATCCGTGGGGCTTGAACTGAGGCAGACGAAATTAAGGTTAGTATAGATCTTGTATGTTTCTCTCAGCTACGAAATCGAGGTCACGATGAATTAGGCGATCCACTTAGCCATTATCTTTCTGAAGACCTGCGACACTTGGAGGACGTCTTGTAGAACGGCTTAATCCAGATTGATGGAACGTCATTCTCAGAAATATCAGGCAGGGAAGGGTCACCTAAGGTCAATGGCTGTCTTTCAGAATTTGCCTGTATCAAAACTTATATGATATTTTGGATCAACTGCTGCTCGTTCGCCATATACTGTGAGTTGTACAATGGCGAATTCCCGTTGATAGTGTTAACTTGTTAAATCAAATCTTTATCAAGTGAGGTTAGCTAACCCATCATATCATATGTAAAAACTGCAACACCGTACGATAATAGCATTGAATAATTTCAGTAATGAGCCTTGTGAATCCTGGATATGAACCATCAGATAGAAAATAGGATTCCAATGTCTATGGCTCATTAGCATTGGCTCTTGTTCTGGGTAATGAAAGCTGTCTATCCAAACCCGCTTATGCGTTACCCAATTACAAAGGTGACTATATGTAATGCGTTTTCCTAACATTAAGAATGCCCTTGCGTTTGTTGGTTAGGCCTAGAACACAGGTAACCACATCACGCTCCTATTGAACTTTCGGCACCGCTACTGGTCGGGACACTTCACGTCGGAAGTATGAAGTGCGGATGGCTATCCAGTCGAAGAGATTCATGTAGATACTCTTGGCATTGCTGAGAGCCCCAGTAATTCATCGCTCGCGACATGGCCATAGCCGGTTGATCAGGTTGTCAATGAGGCTAACAGGATGCAGAGGTGGAACAATGGCAAGCGGGTAAGGAAGGCTACGAACGACCTTCATATTGTAATCACTGCAGGAAGAACTATGAAATACAGATAAAAGGGGAAGTAGTGTTAGAATTCCATCACCATCACAACTTTCCTACGCTCAATCTTGGTGTTTCGAACCAATTCTGCATGGTCACGTGTAGTGATTTGCCTGTCAACAACCTCAGCTCGGTTAAAGAGAAAGCTCCAATCAAATCCCGGTATGGCTTCATGCAGCTTACACCAAATGTGGCGGTGCAAGGCAGATTTCGCGCTTCAGTGGGCGCCTTTTGGATGCGCCTCATGCGGGGTCAATCAGACCGTTTCTCCTTTCAATTTCAAGACACCGCCTGGGTCAAAAATCTGAGCATCTGGGCAAAGACTGTGAAGATCTCTTCCGCCGGCTCGAAATGGAGCTCGCGCTTACTTTCGGAGCAGTCGGTGATTTTATTGCTGTTATCAAATTGATTAAAAACATCATTTCTGCTTTAGATGACTCCCGTGGCTCTGCGAAGCACTACGGCGATGTCGTAAGAAGCCTCGAGCTACTAAAAAATACGGTCCAGCAAGCGCGTCAGATCTATGAGGATGAAAACTTACCAGACGGTTTGAGTGAACTGAGCGCGATTGCTTTACAGACCGCAGACGAGATTCGACAATGCCTTGAGGGATTTTGCCAGAAAGTTCAAAAGTATGGGCCTAGCTTGGGAGGGGCTGGGACGAACAATGTCTTCCTAGACGTAGCGAGAAAGATTCAATGGAAGTTGGAGGAGAAGGAGGTGGACAAATTTCGAGCTGAAGTCATGGCACACGAGATGGCGCTGAAAATGCTGCTCACTGTAACAACTGTGTAGGTGTGTTTTTCGCTAACTCTTTGGACATTTCGTTAATCTCTCAAATGCAATAGCCGAGTTGTTCAGTCTAACCATGAAGTATCTATAAAAAAAGTGGCCGATATAGAGGGACGTACGCTGGCTACGATCCGCAACTCCAGTAAGACATTAAAACGATACTTCGGTACGATTAGACAACAAATACTCTTGAAACTTAACCACATTTCCTGGTTGGGTGTAGAAATCAAGAGCTCCACGTCCCAGCTCATATCCATGATGATGTCGTTATCGGGAGAGCTGGGTAGTATCAGAACAATCCTTATGCGATTAGAAAGACCCCTTGGTGAAGAGCATACACACTTTGTGCTGGAAGATGCTACTGGAAGAGCTTTCCCTGTTTATCTGAAGACCATCACCTCATGGGACGCGTTTGAGTACCTCATTACCGACCGTTTCAAAGGCAAGAAAGGCGCTCATCGAGTTCAACGGAAACGCTACGCGCTTCAAAACCGGGGCACTCAAAAAGAGGTCGATCGATCAATCCATTGGGATAACGCATTTCTACCACATCAGAGAGTCGACATGAGCTTGATATGCAGGGAAGCTCAAGCCCTGGCGCAGACTACATTGGCGCCCAGTTGCCCATTCTGCGGGTCGATATCCCCAGGTGAGGCAGACATTGAAGTACAATGGTGAGTGTGAGAGAAATCATCCATGAGTGAAACGAAGCTCTAATTCAGTCCAGTTCAAAGTGCAACATGTTCTTCACAAGGGTAGTGGAAGTTGATGACGAGGAATTACCGACCCTTCCAAGCCCTCCTCAAGGTCGCAATGTTCGTTTTGGCGAATCAGCTTTCACTGCCACCACCAAACGTCCAAGGGATGATGAAGACTGGGAGAACAGCGATGGATGTTCATGTTCGAAACCAAAACGACACAAAAGGCAACAAGACCTGAAGAGAAAGTCGCGCCGAGATGAATCGGAATCCGACTCCGACGAAGAGGACGTTCGTGGCTTCATGAGGGTCAAGCTGATCTCAAAGCGAATACGTGTGCAAGAGTCGCACGCACCATTCCATGCTCTTACTACAGAATCAATTGATTCTATGGTTCAGAAGGTACTGGGACAACAAACAGGCGTTTCTGCTGCAACCTTGGAGGTTGAAGGAAATGGAACAATTCCATTCAGTTACGGAACAGGTAGCAGCTTCGAGGATGTTCCTCAGGGCAACGGCCCGATCTCAGTATTCCGTGCAACTGGAATCGACTCGGACAGCGACAGAACCAGTAACAACCCAAACAGCGTTGTTTTCAGGGATGTTACCGCCAATTCAACAATTCAATCTGCTTCAACTCCTCACGAGGAGTCCAAATACGACTCATCCAAGGACACTCCCCAGCGACCCGCGACTAATACACACTTCGGTACCCTCAGCTCCGACCTCAGCAAAGATAAACTTTATTCCGGAATGGCTTCACCGCGGTACACGAGTGACGGCTATTATGCAACCGCGTCTTTGAGTGCTGCTCCGTCGCATCCAAATGACAATCGCAAAAGTAGCTATATCTATTTTCAAGCTTCTGAGTCTGACGAGGAAGAAATTATCGAAGTTGACGGGGAAAAATACGTGATTCCAGTGAAATCAAAAAGACAAACTACTACTAGCCCCCTAAGTCCCCAGCAGGAGAAGAAACCAGCCCCTGTCCGTCTGGCCACTGAAACTGATGCAAAAAAGTTCAACATTCCTCCAGGATACTCCCTTAAGAATTGGGACCCTACTGAGGTGCCAATTCTTCTTTTTGGCAGTGTCTTTGATACCAACTCCCTCGGCAAGTGGATCTATGACTGGACAGTCTACTACCATGGGCCTGCTACTCCTATCCCCGAAATGGCTGGTGAGCTCTGGCTCCTTTTGATCCAGCTGGCAGGAAACACTAAGCGTGCGGATGCGGCCGTTGAGTTGGTTCGCAACTCCGAGAGCAAGGAGATTGTGTTGGACTTCGTCGATGCGGGTGAGCGCCTGATTGATAAGCTCCGCAAGCTTCTCAAAGCATGTGAGGCACCTATGCTTAAAACTAAAAAGAAGGGTGCTCCGCTTGGCAAGGAAGCCGGCATTGAGTTTGTCAAAACTCTTTTCGACCGTGATCGAGAACTGGAAAGGACTGAGCGTTTTATGACAGCCCTTCGTCTTTTCAATCTGAGATTTGATTCTAATTGCGGTGAAATCATTCGCAACCCTACGCGTTAAGTAGACTTGCAAGGGGATACTGTATAATTAGAAGTTTTGTAGAACATTAGAGGATGCTAGTAAAGATTAGCCTACATGATCCAGCAACAGATATAACAGCGGCGCCGACATGCTGCCAATAATAGCATTAGATACAGCAGAACCAGTAAGAGTACTTTCTGTCGCGCTACATAAACTTGCATTTTGTGGGCGTTGGCAAGCTTGCGATTGACGTTTTTCAACATAACCTTTGTCACCCGCGGCAATGACGGCTGTGGTACCCGCGTCACTAGCTACCCACTCTTTAGGATCGTAGGTCTACAATTTAGGTACTAAGAGGCCTGCCTAGGGAGACTAAGTATATCAAGAATGATGTATTGATCGAGTATCTTAGCATACTAAGTTGAAAGGTTGAATGTGAGCACTCCTAATTACATCTCCCCTGCCTGTCCACTTGTGCATATTAACAAGTCTTACAGTTGCAGATAACTGTAGCAGTTCCCACAGAGTTTGGCAATTTAGTGCAAGGAGCTCCATCGTATGGGCACTAGATATAATGTCATTAGGACCAAATGGTTCCCAGGGCGAAGGCTTTCTTTCTCTGATATTACCTTGTCAACAACACACTTCTGGATAGCCCCAGAATTAAAGAGGCAGGTGTTGCTATAGTAGCTACAAACCTTTGAAAATCGTTAGTTTGGAATAATCATGTAGAATATTATGTTCAAAAAGGGCTTACCCCGGAATCCCACCCAAGGACTGGTACAGTGCTACCGACGATTGCTAAGATTATAGTGCAGCCGGTATGCATTATGCTTGTTTTTCTTGTTGTTTTCGATTATGCCTGTTTTACTAGAAGCAGAAGTAACGGAGATGAGTTGTGAAAACAAAGAAACAGTTATAAACTTCCACATTTTCCCAGAAGCAGCACATGATTGTGTCACAAGATGGTCTTAGTTAGGTATCCCGAAGCTGAAAAAAACAGCTGCATTATCACAGAGCTTGCAGAATCTAGAGCGCTCTATAAGCCTTCATCACCCTACCTACATTTCATGTTCCCTATTTGATGCTACCAATTTTCGAATAGCCTATTGACCATTGGGCGGGGTTTCTCAAGTCTTCAGGGCTTGGATATTCGTCATCAGCCAATCGCAAGATATCGCTTGCCATCGCTTCCCAGTTAATCTGACATTCGTTGAGGACATCAAGTTCGACGAATGGAGACTGTAGATGCACTGCAACGCTATAACAAACTGGACTTACTCAGCAACTTGCATTTTCATTCCTCTGTAACCTTCTTTGTAAGCTTAGCAAGCAGTTTCTATTCCTGTCATGAAGCAAAGTATTAGCTTTCAGGTAGCCCATATGAGCGCTTAGTTCAATAGTACTCTGCAGCCTTCTACTTCTGGCTTTTTACTGCAGCATACTCGCAAAAGAAAAGCAACACGTCAGAAACTACAACCCCCAACACGCGGCGCAGATTGCCAAAATGATTCTCATCTTGCCATCTTCTACGGAAAGGTGGTATATGACAAGGATAAGAAATAAATGGCGATTGGTTGTTTGAGCTCAGCTTGATTCCCGCTGGAAAAGATGAAGTTCGGGGATGGTGCATGCCGATTCGTTGTTGACCAGGTGTACCCCGGAGAAAGTCTAACTTCACAGAAGACAATTTTCTCACTTTACTTTTTAAGAAATACTTATGCTTACAACTCAGTCCATAGTGGATAAAACTAGAATATATATACTGCGCAAACTCCCGAAGCAACATGTGATGTACCTTGTCTCTTCAGGCCTGTCCTCTTAAAGACACAAACCCGCCGTATTGGTTATCTTCATTTCGCTCTGTGATACACACAGTCTAGCAATTCTTTTCATCTTCATAATGGCAGCAACAGCATGGGGTTGGGCCGACGCTGGGCTCACAATCTACTCGCTTCTCTCTAGCTGGTTCCCGGGTAGTGCTGGCGGAGCAGCGTCCACTGTGCGCATCTACGCTGGAATCAATGACGCTGGCACCTCACAAGGCAAGGATGGCGTGATAAAGAATATTCAGTTGTACGACATCAATCAATCGCTGATTGGGAATGGCGGTGCAAATCAAGGTTGGATCGGTAGTGGGCTTTACAAAGATTACCGCATCTCTCAGGTCGACAACCGACAAGCGACTTTCGCTCAAATATTCGCCACCAATGATGCCATATGTATTCCAGTCGCAACTATTACCTGGCCTGATGGAACACCTAGTGCATGGATAGGCGACTTCGGGTGGCACTGTGGCCTGGAGTGGCACTATGGCAAAGTGGTGAGTATCAATTATGATTTCTAGCATGTGGTATATAGATACTGACGAGGTAAACTTTGAATTAGTGGATCAGTGGGAAGTAAGTATCATCAGGCTGTCATCTCTCTGGTTTTCTCATTTAGCTAACTCAATGTGCCTTGGGTGCAGAACTCCAAGGTGCACCTGGATTGACGCTGATCACACAAACAATATTCGCGCCACGATGCTTATGATTGGGTGGCCATATAATGACCCTGAAAAGTCCGGCAGCCCATCATGTGGTTATCCTGCCTTCCGCGCTTACAACGGCGGCAGTGGCATCGTCAAAAGAGAGGGCCCGGTCGTCGGCCCTCGCAAGAAGGACCCTCGCTTGATTATCAGCTCTATTCCTTCCCACAATGCCACCGAGCTCTGCCTGAGTGAGACTTCGCGTGGTCCTGACCTGGTCTCGCTGGAAGAAGGCGTTTACTGCAACATGGAAACACGTGAACTGCTTCCATTGTGTGGTGGTGATATCATCACGGACTGCTACGACGTAACTGATAAAGTGAGCGTGCAGGGCAATCGAGAAACATTGCGCAAGTCCTATGAGGATGTACTGATTTGGGGTTGATTCCTTTTGAAGAAACTGAATTGATTTCTACTTTGTCTGTAGTAAATAATCTTTTTTCTCTCTCTGCTAGGCTGAGCCGACAATTTTGATGTCAGCTTAGCCACAAGGGCTAGGGAAGCTAAGAGGCCTATCCCAGATGAGCTTTCATGCACGTTGGGTTTTGAGCTATTGCCGGATGGTGGGTTTCCCTCGTGTCCGATGACGCTCTGGATCTCCGTCGCTTGAATTTGGATTTTAATTCCCGGACAGAAATCAAATCTGGGAACAGGAGAGGAATACAAGGCATCATCATATTTCATCCATCAGTCATTTCCCCTCAGTCTTCATCGGATCAAGCTTCTTATCCTATTCCCCCTTTCAAAATACTACTTAGGTTTTGCCTTATGCTTCAATTCATAAATTTGCCACTGCAACATCGCTCTTAGCCAAAGTAAAGCTTCCTCACAACTATGTACCTAATCTCTAGAACTCTTCATACACTGGATTCTCTATAGAAACTGAGTAACCCTAAGACGATGGGGGCACGAAAAACACAAAACCTCCCTCGATATAACAGCAGTCGGCAGGGTCTTGCCATACTTATGCACCCTGAGAGGCTATAGACTACTCACGTGAAGTGTGTAATATGGACTTCGAATAAAGTTCTCTACTCATCACACATCTATTTTGATTTCTAGAAACAAAAGGCTAAAGTCTGGGAGAAATTGAAAAAGGGTCTAAGACAGAATATTTCCTCAGATAAAAAGGAAAGTTTCTGTTGTTGAGAACAATTATGCTGGATGGATAAAAACACAAGACACTAACATCATACCTCAGAAAGGTAGTAATAAACAGTACTATTCAATATATCTTCTAGTCACAAATGATGTTGTCTGGAAAGACAAAGTTGTAGCGGCGTTTTAAACTTCAGAGAGCAGGCTCTGCAAGTCGAAAGCAATGAATTGGAATTTTTTGAGCGGTATCAACTAGTAACACTACTAAGAAGCTCTTGAAATCGGCATACAGTAGGCATTAAGTTAATTGTATCACAATTTTTAAGCGTTTGCTATGGCTAGTTAAGGTGAGAGTGCAATGTAAATTAAATCAAGCTCGTTGAGTCGCATTGAGTAGCCTGCCAAATCTTCCCCGAGCTGCACATTCTTGTTCTTTGTGACACTTAAGGGTAGGGCCTGTCACAGATAAGATGAACCCTGAACCACTCTCCACTAGTAACCAAGTTGTAGTTGTACAAAGGTGACTTGTCTCCAATCGATGGGCAGTAGGTGCGGCATCTGCGCGAATTGAAAGCCGCCACCTCATAACCCTGGCATTCCTTGCCAATGTTTCCAGGCTGGAAGCACCAAACTTCAGCACCAAAGAGTTTGGAGCCGCAAATATCGTCGGAGCTGCGGCCAGCACCCGAGTGTTTGGTTTCCACCTCCGCGCCGGTGTTCATGTTCTTTGCAGCTATGGAGTACTTGTGAGTTGTACCGCCAGTGCGCGAAGACTTCCAGTCATCATGAACACCGACGACGAACCAGTCGGCGGCGGTGACGGTCTGAATGCTGAGAGCCGCCAGAGCAATTGTAGAGGCAAAGGACTTGATGTAAACCATGTTGGCTACTGGAAGAAAAAGAAATGAATTATATGTTGATGAGGCCTTTAAATACCTGGTGAATTTAGGGAGTAGGTGAGCCAAGACTGTTTGAGCCTTGAGGAATGAGTTGAGAACAAAGCATTTCATCTTCAGGATTATATGCGCTTTATATGCATTTAGGGTCAGTTGAACACCTCGTGTTGCAGTGATACTTGCATGCACTTGTTCGTGGTAACCTAGGTCGCCTAGCAATTCTAGACGCGGCCAAGTCTCTGCAGTCGGTCGAGTTGTTTCTTGGCTTTCGACAACTCATTTAGCCTTAAGACATTTTATCTCAGTCTTGTAGGTGTTTCTGCAGGGACATCAGTAAGCGTAAGTGTTCCATTTGACTCGCTTCCATCGCCGAACAAAATTATAGCTTGATTTGGTCCACAAAAGGGTCGGAACTCCGCACAGTCAGCCCATTACACCCAATGTTGAGGCCGGTCTCTACATGATATACGATCAACTAGTAACAAACTTCTATAGAATCACGAATTTTCCTGTGACTAATAGAAACTCTCAACAAAACTACTAGCCAACCTATACGGTTTAGAAATAACTCCTGATCTGATACAACGCGGGCAACGCGCTACGCATGCTTCATCAAGCACACAAGACACTATGCTTCGGAAAGTTGCCATCGCATCGCATCGGAATTGAATGTGAAAAAACGATAAGATATAGCTCCATTTCCATGTGATTGTATATTATGGCCACGTGTGGGGACTCCAGATTTTCCTTCTGTCCGGAAAATCGCGCTTCGATGGCCTTGGCTTTTGAAATGGCCTACTAATTAGTCTGCCAGCTGCATCAATACCAAAAAAGGCAGCTGATTTCGGCATCATGCAAGAGTCACTTTCAGGCCGAAGAGCACAGGCCGAAGAGCACAGACCACCTGAGCTCAGGGTAGGGAGGTGAGCAAGCGGTCTTAACTGGCTAGATTTACCAGCCCTCAAAGTTACGAAAAGCTTCACCCGCACTTTTGGGTGCTTGGGCAATTCCTCCCGAGTCTTTTATCTTTTCAATGATAAGTGGTCAAGTTGATAACAAACAGCAATAAGAAAGATAAAGAACACAAATATTCTTCATTGATTCGCGGAAAAAAGTAAATGTATGCCTATCCAGTTTCAGAGCCACTTTGCTATAGATGACAGCGCCTGCACTGCACACGCAAAGCTTCTTTCCTTTATGGGCAAGTAAAAGTCTGAGTACAGCTGTCATTATTCTTCTTTCCTTTGCAGGCAGCCTCGTTAGCGCTATTAGCCTCTGCATTGAAGGTAGCAGCTTTGCCATTCCGACATGCTGGAGTCTGACTGTTGGTGCAGAAGGCGTTTTGACCTATGTTGCAGAAACCGGGAGCTTTCTCGTTGGCAGCTGAAGCCAAGGTAGTAATACCAGCAAGAAGGGCAATGAGGTAGAAACGCATAACTGCAGAGTAGAACAGGTTGTAATTGGAGAATGAATCGGTTTTGATTTCTGACTGGGCCGGTATTTCTTGTTATGGTAAGGGCGAGATGTTAAATGGAAGTCGGAGAAATTGCATGCCCATCTCTGGATGCAATTCCAGTGCATTTTATACATGCTTTTGATATTCGAAGCCCCTAACCTTCGGCATCTAGATTAATTCACAGGTCCACTAATAGCATCATGACTCGGTGTCACAGGTTGCCCTGTTTCAGACGATGTCCCAACGGGGAGGTGATGTTGCCGAAAATCCTCCAAACTAAAAAGACATCACGATACACTTTTGTCTTATTGAAACGCTCCATTTAATACATGAAAACCATTTCTTTCTTCCCATTTGTTACCAAGTATTCAGGGGTGACAATGGTTTGCGCCGATTGAAGATAGTGAGCAGTCAAGCCATCTTGGCCCCTCCATAATGATTTGCTTATAGCCTAAGTTTATCTCTTCTTAACTATCCACAAAGCCGTTTTGGATTCAAGGTGACTATGCTTTGTTTGACTTTGAAGCCATTACTTCGCAGGATATACGAGTCACTGAACTTTATCGAGCTCAAAAAAACTGTTTGAAATTTGAGCCGTACTGTTGTAGAAAATGTGAGTATTTATTTACTCTACTTAGCTGTGTACCGAGCCATGTTCCAAGGACCCATTAGTTTATTCAGACACAGGCTGTCTGTAGGAGTCGGATTCTGCAACTTCATTGTTGTTCAACGCAGACATCGAGACTTAAAGTAGACCGACAACGTGATATTCTCGCATCCTCGCTGATCTGTTTACCTTACCATTCGAAAGCTTAAAGATTGTGTATTAGATTTAATGCCGCGAAATATTGCTAAAGACTTTTTAATGAGCTGTACTTATGGGTAGAAGAGAGTAGTATACATCGTAATAAGGTATTTTTCGGTCCCTCTGCTGCAGAAATTAGGGCTAGGTGTACCATGCTTGTTGTGTAATAGCCTTAGTCTTCAAATAGCTGCATTGGTCTATCCAAATGGCCGAGTGAGCTTACCCTCGTGGTGTGCTGGATTAAGGCTGTAATACTTACATCTAAAGCAACGCATTAGAAGCCGTTTCGCGCAACCCTATGTCGAAGTGATCTCACACATGGGGTCTTACGGTACTCTAACCAAAGGACTTCTCAAGAGAGCAGCTAGAAATTAGTGATTATAGACCATCTATTTCAGATAAATCAGGTCTATCTGCGAAACATGCCACCTCGATGCCCTCTTACAATGGTGCAAAGACAACAAACACCTCTCCAGACCGCCCAAACGGATTGATGGCGCAATATTAGGCTAGGCATTTGAAGTGGGGCCGCTTGTTCCTGTTTAGGACTACCGACCGATATCCGACTCCAAGACCCGGAGGCGTGGTGGGCTGAGTGGGTTCCGATCCGGCCTTACTTACCGAGCTTTGGAGCAATTCTGCCATGAGACTTAGGCTCCGAAGATAGTGCTTCGATGTGGGCCAAAAAAGAATGACGTGCTTTAATTATTTTATCATTATAGATATAAGGATTGCAATGTTCATGTTCGAATGGAATTCTCGCCTTCACTGCTAATCACCAGTTGCCAACCCCTCGTGATATTTGGCCAACATGGTCAAGCTAGCGGCAGCCCTCTTCAACTTGGCGATAGGCCAGATGGCTGGTCTCGCACATGCGGCAGCTCAACTCAACGGAACCGTTCACCCGAGTTCCTCGCGCTCGCCTAAAGATAGAGCCAACGACCTTCTGCAGCTTTTGACCTGGGAAGAGAAAGTTGGTCAGCTGGGTGGCATTCGACGACTTGCTGAAAGGGTCAATGGCCAGCTATCATACAACGAAACATCTTTTGAAGAGATCCGCCAGACACAGAACGGACAGATCGGTATGTGATTTCCTATCTTGACTCGACTGACTCAAACTGACATGCCTGTAGGCTTCGGTGCTCCTCAGAACTATGCACATGAGTTGTTGCCAATTGCCAATAAGGTTCGAGCGGAGCAGATCAATAACACGCAGCACGGTATTCCATACATTACCATCGCCGACTCTGTCAATGGCTTGATGATCTCAGGTGGCACCCTATTCCCGGGCGCGATCTCCCTGGGCTCAACGTGGAACATCCCGCTTTATGAGCAAGCGATTGCTGCCATTCGTGACGAAAATATGGCAGTTGGCATCCATTGGATTCTTTCGCCTGAGGTGGACCTTGCAAGGGACCCAAGAAATGGCCGCAATGGCGAGATGTAAGAATGGTATCCTTGGTTCCCTCAACTTAAGCTAACTGCCAGCTCAGGTTCGGCGAAGACCCTTATCTCGTTGGAGAATTTGCCACTCATTATATCAACACAATGCAAGAGAAGGATGAGAATGGCTTTGTCAAGGTCGCTACAACGATCAAGCACTGGGTCTATGGCTCCAGTAGCGGTGGCGTCAATGCAGCCAGCATGCAAGGTGGCATAAACCACATCCTCAATGGTCTCGGTGCCCCGTACGTTAAGGCTATTAAAGAGGCTAACCCCCTTTCTCTCATGGTTTCGTACGCAAGTGTGGACCAGATTCCGATGTCCAGAAACAAATACCTCAACAAGGAGGTGCTTCGGGGCTTGTTGGGTTTTAAAGGTTTGATCATGTCAGATGCAGGCTCTATTCGGAACATGTACACGCAGTCCAAGGTGGCCAAATCTTTTGCTGACGCCGGATTAAAAGCCCTCCGAGGGGGGCTAGAACATGAGCTTTCACCTCGCCCTCCATCTGTCTTTCCCACTCTCATTGATTTTGTCAACAATACAGAGATTGCAGGGCTTATCAACGAAGCAGTGCAAGCAATCTTGGAAATCAAATTCGCAACTGGCACATTCGATCTTCCTCTTCCGTCAGTTGAGAGCCTCAATGCAACTCTCCGAAGTGAGAAGCACCTTGAGGTCAATCGAAACATTTCACGCGAAGCAATTGTTCTTCTTCAGAACAACGGCGTACTGCCGCTCCAGAGACGTAATGTGTCTCGCATTGCACTTCTTGGCCCATACGCGGACATCCTTAATACTGGACAATACGCTGCCAATAACGCCTCTGACCCCTCTTATGGCAAAACCATTCGCCGTAGTCTGGAACAAGAACTTGGAGCTGAGAACGTCAAGTTTGTCGCAGGCGTTGACATCCTGGGCACCAACAATAGTTCTGGTATCGATGAGGCTGTTGCCGCTGCCAAGGAAGTGGGACTTGCCATCGTTGTTCTTGGGTCGGGCTGGGGTTCTTTCGATAACTCCTACGAGTCTCTGCACCGAACTGATGGTGAAGGTTTCAGCCATCCCGACCTCGGATTCCCTGGTCTGCAACAAGAACTCTTGGATGCAGTTCTTGATGCCGGCGTTCCAACTGTTCTAGTGCTCAGCGGTGGCCAGACATTTCTGCTCAATGAATCTAGCAAGCGGTCGAAAGCTATCCTCCACACATGGCTTGCAGGAGAGTTTACTGGTGACGCTCTTGTAGAAATTCTTTATGGGATTGTCAATCCTAGTGGCAAACTCACCATTACCTTGCCTGAAGCCGAGGGCGCCTTTCCCGTTGCATATGACTACTTCCCTTCAGATGACGAAGGTGGTTTTGGCACTGCGACCGAATATGACTGGCATTTCCCCGAATTGACTCGGTATGCCCCTATCAGATTCGGCTTTGGACTGAGCTACACGACTTTCAACATCGCTTCGCCTTCTTTGACATGTCAAGGTATTGGCAGCAACAACAACAGTTCAGGACCGTGCGACAAGGGTAGTAAGCTGACCGTTACTGTCGTTGTAAGCAACACCGGCGACGTTGCTGGGAAAGAAGTTGTGCAGCTATATTACCGTCCTGAGTACACCCAAATCGAATTTCCCGTCATGAAGCTCATACGGTTTAAGAAGGTTGACGTCGCGCCTGGCGAGTCGAAGCAAGTCAGCTTGATTGTGCCGTATGAGGAACTTGGTTACTTTGTCGATGGAGAGTGGGTAATTGAGACCGGACTCTATAACTTCTGGGTGGGAAGTAGTTCAAGAACAGAAGACTTGCAGAGTTTGAATGCGACTTTGGTCTGACTCGTTGAGAGGATCTCAATTCCATCGTTGTCTAGGTCAAACCCCACTGATGGACAGTGTAGACTAACAGTCAATGCGACTACAACATAACCTCAGAAATATCTCATAAAAATGAACTTCTTTAACTTGGCAATGGTCAACCTGAGTGTGAAAGTTCGCTGCAGCCAGGTAATAATAGCGTGCTGCGCTTCGCATCAACAGGACCTCGAGGATTCCATTCGACCCCACGCGCAAAGAGCAAAAGGCCAGTATCACCATCATAGGAATGAAAGACAAATAAAGCGTAGAGGAATGTTTGGATCGTTATTGCATTGCAACTATTCTCTTCCAGGCATCCCAATTTTGTTGACCAAAGCTCAAGTCACGGGCTCGCAATGAGCATGAACTTAGCAATTCGTATTCCTTAGCAATCTCCTTCACATCAGCTGCATTTGTTGTTAGGGGTATCGGGTTGTGTTCCTTGGGTTCGAATTAGTACGTAATCCATTTTGCGGGTTAGACCGCTTACCAACAACATCATGGCTGGGGAACTCAGGTGGCAACTAGCTTATTTCTTGCAGCAGCCATCAAGCTCGCACTCGACGTTGTTGTTAGGCTTGCCGGGGCAGAAATTGAGGCGTGCACAAGCTCCGCAGTCTACTCCCCGGCGGCCCGGCTGGCTGAGTTGAGGTGCAACTTCGGTGTCAAGTGCAACGGCGGCCACGGAGGCGACGAAGATGAATACGGCGGAGAACTTCATTTTGAAAGATTTGGATGCTTTAACCAGAAAGCCTTGAAATATTTATTAACAGGTTTGAGATGTAACAAGAATGAATTGCAACTTGAACTGAACTGATGGCGTGCTAAGTATTCACCAAGGAGATTTATATACTCCTGTTAGACGACATCCTTCTCTTCATTTTACCATTATGGCAGTGACATTGAGTCAGGTTGGTAAGGGTACTGAGACAGTTAATAACAAGCTTTCGCGGCCCCAGTGTACCAGAGTACCGGAGAGGCCGTGGAGCAACGCCTTGAAACGCAGAACAGTCACATGCGTGAGGGGCCCGTATGACGAGGCAAAAGACAAGTACGATGCCTTCGTGAGGTACAAAAAAAAGTTTATTTTATGGACTAAGCTGTTGTATGGGGCTTTACGACTCTTTGCTCAAATGGAAGGGCAATTGGCGATCCGACCCCTCTACAACCAGCCGTACACGCAAGTCAAGTCACCTTAATGCCAACAAAATGGGGTTCCTCCAAAGCACCCACAGCTCCCTGTTGGCTATCTCATGTTGCTCGTGGTTTTATCTTTGCGAAATGCAGATCTCTAAAGTGTCTTTTCAGACTTTTTGAAGATCAAAAATCTTGATTCAAGTTGCAGTCGAACTGGACTTCTGGGATTGGATCTGAAACATGCCCACATCCCATGTAGCCGCTTTTATTTACAGAGACAGTCTTTACCTGTGAAACCGGGAAGCTTCTTAGACTTCTCTACAGCATCTTTAAGGCTTAAACCAATTAGTTTGTCGTTAAGACTGGGTTCATGGGGTCCACCTAGTCATAACGGGGGACAGGCCTGCGGTTGACAACGAAGAAGAATGTTCTTCTTCATCTTCATCAGTAAAATCCGCTTGCCTCAATAGGCTATGTATAGCCAATCTTTGCCTGGCCTTAGCAGCCGCCGATAGTTGTTGTTCCAAGTTTCTCCTGCCTTCCTGAAACTCTGGCGACGAAAGCCCACCAATTCCGGTCTCTTGTGGCGCATGCCCTTGGGTCAGCCGCTCCATGTCTTCAATTATTGGCTTAACCAAAGCAGAAGAAGGGAAGAATCGCTTCAAAGCAGCTAGACAAAGAGCCGCGCGACTCATTGCAAACTCTGGGGACAGGCTGTTCTGGGTTCTTCCAGACCGGGAGCTGAATAGAAGAAGCCTTGTTGCATGGTATGCGCAAATAGCAGTGTCAAACTCGAGAAGCAGATGATTAGGGCTGTGTTGATTCAGGTTTGTTAGAATCTGAACGATTTCCGTCGCATGCTTTAAACAGTTTTTCTCTGCTGATGTTATACACCCATCGTCGACAGCTTCTAAAACCACTCGGGGTGCTGCTTCGGGGTATCCAGAGAGCAAGATGCGATATAGATCGCAGTGAGCTTGATGGAAGGAGACGTGCATGAAAAGCCGTCTCCGCAACCAACGGTCCCCAAAATGTGCCTGGATCTGAGATAGGGGGAACTCTGTCCCGCTAGGCATTTGAGACCCAATCTCGGCCAAGTCTCTTTCAAAATCGCTGATAAGTTTCATCATGGGCATAAAAGGCTGGTCGCAGAGCGCCACGCCTCTGGTCAACTTCATAATGTCTCTTCTAATGATCTCCAACCTCACATAGAGCCTGTAGCAACTTCCATCACCTTGTTCAAAGCCCGGACAAAATTCTTCCTCGGCTGAAGGGAATTGCAAGTAAATTGTCTCAATTTGACATGCCTCGAACTCCGGCAGTCCGACCGAAAAGTATCGCTCAGTGATCTTTAAGGACCACATAATTCGGCGACGAACCTCTTGGGAGACAAAATCTAGATCGGGACGTTCGTGGTTCAGACGCATAGCAGCGGCAAATCTTGCTGCTGTAGCTGTAAGCATAAAGGCCCTTTGAAACCGTCCTGTCTCCATCTGATAGTGGATAATCAGTAGAAGGGCCTGCAAACGGGGTATGGTAGGGCATTCAAGATGATGCCATATTCTCTGTTCAGCAGTCTGAACCCAGGGCGTGGCTCTTTCTCGGGTTTGTAGATCTGATCCCGAGTGTAGGGTTGCCAAGGCGCAGATGGCATAGGCCAACGCTGCATCAATCTTTCCCTTTCGACAACGGTCCCTCGTCGTCTCAGGATGCAGAAACGCATGAGATGGAAGCGGGTAGACCTTTTCGAAGAAGCTTTCTAGACATGCGGGGAGATGCTGGTTGATTTCGGCCGCGTACGTCAAGCTGTCGCCCTCTGTGGATGTGCTTTGCGGAGACGGCGCTCGGGTTGTTCGTGCTGGGGTCGGATAGATACAGTCTCGCCCATGTCTCTTACAATTAGTACACTGCGGTGAGGTTCCGGAGCAGCGTATCTTTTTGTCTCGACAGGTTCGGCATGCTCTGGTGCCTCTCAGTCGACGTGGCTTTGCCGGTGACATTTGCCGTTGGCTGAAAATAGGAGTCCCTTCAGTTTCCTTAACGACTGAAAAAGAACAGTCGAGCCCGAGACGGGAGCAGTTTCCGCACAGATGCTCAGAAGCACCATCACATCGGACCTGGGCTAAGTTAGCATGTAGGCTCGGATGGAAAACAGGACGACAGATTCAGCTGTTCAAACCGTCATGCTCACTTACTTTTCGATATCTGCATTGCGAGCATGTTTGTCGTGTCGTGGAGGGCCCCGCCTGGAAGGAGCCGATGAAAGAATCCATCATGTTGCTGTTCCAACAATGGCATCCTGGCACATCATGTTCGTTCTCGTCTCATGTTGCAGCATCTGCCGCAACTCAACCAGACTTTTGGGCTCGCGTATTGATTGACAACGGCGAAAGATTGATGAAAGTTGGAAACACGCGTCTGAGAAGGCGTCTGATTGCGCCAGTGGGTAGATGTTGGTCAGGGACTTGCTTGCGTCTTTCCACATGACGTCCCTGTGTCTCGGTACCGACGACCCTGCGTAACAGCGCAAGGGTTTGTCACCCGTTCTGGTGCGGAGGACTCGCGCTTTGCCCTCTTGAGTAAGGTCTGCATGACGTGAGGAGTGGGTAGGGTAACGACATCCAGGATGGAGCTTGAGGGGCCAATGGTGGAAGTGTGCAGGCATTGGTATCCTTGTGAATATCGAAACAGCTCTGTCAAATCCTGGAGAAAGCTAGAAGCTAACATGTTTAATCTGATTTGCCAATTTCACAATTCGTTGGATTGAGGACTTTTCGGCAATAATTACAAACTCACAAAAGCTTTGCGTTGAATGAACATCAAGTAGCCATTATTCGTAAACTTATCGATTTCTCTCTCTTTCAATTGCGTCGATTCATACCAATGCCGCCTTCCAAATGCCCTCTACAGAATCGTCTCACAACTTACTCGCTACCCCAACCAAGCCACCGGTCGCACCAAGCTTTGGATGAACGGGTTCATCGCCAATTTGCACCATTTTCAACTCCAACAAGTTAGTCATGTGCTTAACAACCTCAGCATATTCCGCCTTGTGGTACACGTTGAACAGTTCCAAGGGATCTTTTTCGCAGTCAAATAACTCCCATTCTTTATCCTTTTCACCACCTGGTCTTGCACCCGCTACATCCAAAGGCTCATTGTACCAGTATATCAGCTTATATCTCTGGTCACGAACGCCGTAGTGGGCATAAGCGTGATGAATAATGTCGTTGTGCATCCAGTATCGATGGTAGGCAATCTGCTGCCAGTCTTCTGGTGTCTCGCCACTGAGCAACTTCCGGAAAGACTCTCCTTGCATGTAGCTTGGTATTGGGAGGTTTGCAAAGTCGAGGAATGTCGGCGCAAAGTCGACGTTGCAGATGATGTCGTTGCATACCGAGCCTTTATCGATGGCCGCTGGGTACCGGACCAAGAAGGGCATCTGGAAAGACTCCTCGTACATGAAACGTTTGTCGAACCATCCGTGTTCGCCGAGGAAGAATCCTTGGTCCGATGTGTAGATAACAACTGTATTTTCTGCCAGGCCATTGTCTTCGAGATAGTCCAATATGCGGCCAACGTTGTCATCTACGGACTGAATAACCCGCAGGTAACGCTGCATATATCTTTGGAACTTGAAATGCGCCAGATCGTCGCTGCTCTTGAAGGTGAAAACCGTTCCGTCTTCTTTGTCAATGAGTCTTTTCGCATCAGTCGGGATCTTACGTTGCGCGGAGCCTGACTCCTGCACCACACGTTCGCCAACCTTGCTTCCACCGTCAGGCTGGACAAGCCCCAGGTCCTGGTATGTCATGTCTTCCGCAACGCGCATCTTGGCCAATTTTGCTGCTTTTGCGCGGTTCTTGTAATCATCGTCGTATGTTTCGGGGACACGAATGGTATCAGTGTAGAGGTGCTTGTGTTTCTCGTCGTATTCCCACGAGCGGTGCGGGGCTTTGTGATGGCACATTAGGAAAAATGGCTTCTGTGTGTCCTTGGTCTCAGTGATCCAATTCAGGCACTTATCGGTAATGATGTCCGTGACGTAGCCCTCCTCGAATCTCTCACCAGAAGGCTCGATGAACTCTGGGTCCCAGTAATCGCCTTGTCCCGGAAGAACAGACCAGTAGTCAAAACCAGTAGGCTCATGTGCCCTGCCCTCGCCAAGATGCCATTTCCCGACCATCGCCGTGCGGTAGCCGCCGGTGCGAAGATGTTTTGCCACATTGGGGAGGTGCTTATTGATGCTGTCGTTCAATGTCATGACACCATTCACATGGTTGTGAGTACCGGTAAGGATAGCTGCTCGCGAGGGGGTGCAAATCGAGTTGGTGACATAACAGTGATTGAACTTCATGCCCTCCGTAGCCAGACGGTCGATGTTGGGTGTGTTGTTGATCCCAGCTCCATAGGCGCTAATCGCTTTGGAGGCATGGTCATCAGCCATGATGAAGATGATGTTTGGCCTCTGAGTGGTCATTTTGGAAGTGTTGGTTGACAAGCGCGTTGTGAGAGAGGTTCGGTGCTGAACGCAGCTTGAAGAACACGTAAATCTCTCAGCGGACGCGTCAAGCTCATATATGGGCGCTAGGGCAAGTAAGATCCAGATCAAATGTCAGGATAGCTCCATTTCTCAATGATGCCCCTCCAAAGCTGAACCCTGTCGTCCCATCGATACCCATCATCTTTCATATGTGGTCCACAAGATGTCTTAAAAGGGATGGTTTCGCGACAACCGGCATCAGTTTCTCCTGTGTAAGGGTGTAAAGAAGTCGATGGCTCGCGATGGGTGTTTGCTTTGGCTGTTGACGGAGATGAGTTATGTTGCGCACCGAGGATTTCGGTAGTCGGTCCGTTGATCGAAAATGGAAGATGGAGATACATCGAGAGAGGCCACTAAGCCATTTGGGGCCTACCGACCGATATCCGGCAGCTTCTCTCCAGTCGAGCGAAAACTATGGGGCAAGCGGACCAGAATTGATCGCAATCCCCGGCTTTAAGAAACAGGGTTCATATTGCGTGCTTGAAATGCTTCGGCAATGGCCCGAGGAGTTGCAGTTCTCAGTTTGCATCATTGGTTCCTCAAAGATTAGTCGTTGAATATTGTGGTATGGCGTGCTGGAAGATTAGAAACTGCCTGACAAGCGCCTCTATCTCAAAAAGAATATTTCAAGTATGGGTTCCGCCTTCACTGTGTAGTTTGGATGGCATTCTGAAACCCAAACTCTCGACAATCTCTTCATCATGTCGAAAGCTCTAGGAACATTCCGTGCCGTATACCTTGTAGCTCTTTGCTGCGTTGGGTCTTTTCTATTTGCCTACGATACCGGTAAGCAGTAGTGTTAATCAGGAGTACTAGAAACATGCTGACAGAAGACCAAAAACCACAGGTATTATTGGTGGCATTCTTACATTCGAGGGCTTCCAAAATGACTTCCGATATGGTCCATCTCAGAAGGCGACTGTTGGCTCAAACTCTACCAGTTTGTTGCAGGCAGGCGGTATGTTACGCGCACCTTTCGCGAAATGAAATTGGTAATAGGCTAACTCAGGTTTTCTGTAGCTTTCTTCTCCTGCTTCTTCGTCTGGCCCTTTACCGCAAAGTTCGGCCGCAGATGGTCAATCATTCTCGCTTCAGCTATATTCTGCATCGGCGCCATCGTCCAAACCATTAACACACATTCGCTTGCCGCTTTCTATGTAGCTCGTGTCGTTAGTGGTGTCGGTGTTGGCATGGCCACCGTCGTGATTCCCATGTACTCCGCTGAAATGGCACCCAAGAACATTCGTGGCATGCTCGGCAGCATGTTCCAATTCTTCTTCACAATGGGAGTCATGACATCGTACTGGATAGACTACGGCGTTAGCAAGCACATCAAACCTTCAACTGTCCAATGGCAGATTCCTGTAGGCTTACAGCTTGTCCCAGGAGCGATTTTGGGATTGGGAATGTTGCTTTGCAAGGAGAGTGTGCGGTGGTTGGCCAAGACCGGGCGCCGGGAAGAGGCGCTAGAGTCACTAATATGGGTTCGTGGCGGTGAGAATACGACTGAAGTCCAAGAAGAGTGCGTTGGCCCTTACGGTTTTCTGGGGATTTGAGGATTGACTTTATTACCAGATTTGCCGAGATCATTCTTAGCATTGATGAGGAGCAAGCTCAGAAAGAAGGCCTTACATGGAGAGAACTGGCTCAACCCTCCAACCGATACCGCATTATCCTCATCATTGCTCTCCAGATTGGTATGCTAGATCTTCTCACTCAACTGGTAGCGCTCTGTCTAAGCTAAACTCTTTCATAGGTGTTCAACTGACTGGTAACACATCATTGGCGTACTGTAAGGACAATACCCTGGCCCTCTTTTCAACTCTCAAGACCCATCGTTAACATGAATCTCAGATGCACCTCAGGTATTTGCAGCAGTTGGCGCCGGTCAGAACAACCTCCTCATCACAGGTTTCTTTGGTCTCGTCAAGGTCGTATCTTGTCTCTTCTACCTTCTTTTCCTTGTCGAACGCATTGGCCGCCGTGGCTCCCTTCTCGCTGGAGCGTTCCTCATGGGCACTTACATGCTCATAATTGCTTGCTTGACCGCAACACACCCACCGAAATCTGTCGATCAGGGCTTGACTTCTACAGCTATTGCTTCTATGACAATGATTTATCTGGAGGCCATGTCCTACAACATTTCATGGGGCCCAGCACCTTGGGTAAGTTCCTTGTCTATTGGTTTCTGAGCTATGGCTTACGAGGCAAAGGTCTACATGGGCGAAATCTTCCCATCCCGCATCCGTGAAGCTGGAATCGCGATCGGAACCTCGACACAGTGGCTCTTCAACTTTGTCTTCTCTCAGGTCACCCCTCATGCAGTGCAGAACCTTGGCTGGAGAACATTTCTCATGTTCTGTATCTTCAACTGGGCTCTCGTGGTCTTTGTCTGGTTTTTTATCAAAGAGACGAAGGGAAAGTCCCTCGAAGAGATGGAAGAACGTTAGTAGCTCTGTTGGGTCTTCATTATCATGCTTTACGCTGACATTCTTTACTAGTGTTTTCTGGGAGAATCTTTGGCAACGATAGCGAGACGGCATCCGAAAAGCGAACTGAGGAGCCAAAGTCAACTGAAATTTCCCAAGATGCTAAGCATAAAAGTTGAGCTGCCTAACAACGCTCCTCTAACAGATGCTACTCTAAAGAACGTTGGCTTCCCTTACATTACTTAGTTTCTGCGAACCGAAGGTGACAAGGGCATATACAATGTAAGGGACGAAAACCCCCCGCTCTAGTTTACGTTGTGATCTTAATATAATACTGTATAAAATGAGAAGGTAAAAGACCGCTGCTCCAAAGTGGCTCATTGTTGCTGGTCTTAATAGTGTACCACCGAACCCATTCAAAGTCAATCTTTCTCTTATTCGGGAAACCCCATTCCTTCCGCACCTCGGCGTTCCTATATCCTTCAAGATCCCCCTGGGTACCAGGATACAATACGATGATTGATGCTCACTACCAATGAACCTGTGAAAACCCGCTTTTAGGATTTGCTTCGTATTCCTCCATTGTCAGAGACGCCCTTAGCTGACTTTTCCCATGAAGTACTCTCCGAGTGCCTTTAAACAATCCTTGTCTAGCTGTATGCGCTCTCCTCTGTTCATCAAGTTCAACCTTCCGCCCTTGGGCGATTATTTCAATTTTTGCGGTTTGAAACAGCTCTCGGCCGAGAAATCGGGCTCCTGACTGAACCTCGGATTCAGTTTCAGAGTATTTCAGCTTTCTGAGGTTTTCCTTTGCCAGCTGGGATAGCTCTCTTCTAGCTTTTATACTTCGTAGTCTTTCGCCGGATATAGCTCTCGCTGTCTGTTCAGAGAGTCCATACAGGTACCTGTCGATGTCTTTTAACACAAGCCATGCCCAATAAATGTATCCTGCATTGATCTCCGTGTCTTCTGGGGGTAGTCTACGAGTGGTTCGGTACCACCGCACGACATCGATACACTGGTTTGTGAGTTCATCCCGAAGCTCTTCCATAGGGTCGGCAGCAGATGAGGAACATTGGTCTTCGTCCGAAGAATTTTTGGCGTATTCAACGTGTTCCACATGATGGGAGCTTCCAAACTCCTCCTGGATTCCAGAGGGCATCTGAGACTCCACATTTTCTACGTGCTCAACAGTTCCCACGTCTTCGATCTGCATCATGATGGCCTTGGTATCTCCTTGAATGTCTTGAATATTTTCAAGAATAGTGGAACTTGGTGTATGTTCGAATGAAGCAGCCGGCAAACGAGCCAAATTGTCCGTGTCCAGCAATCTGACATTGTACTTAACATCGTGACTAGGGTTGGGCCCCGAATCCACGCTGTCTGCGGCATCATATTGTACACCGGAGTTCGTCAACAGTGGCGAGCTTCCTCCCATCAGCGTTGCTTGCCTTCCAGTCTCAGTCGGCCGTACCTGCGGGTTGTTAAAGAAATGCCCCCATGCTCTCATTAGCTCCTCTAGTGTGTTGGTATCGGATCGATTGTCATGAATGTCCAGGTTAGTCAAGGATCCGGAATCCCCCAACGCCTTGTCCAAGTTTGACTGAGCTTCAGAGTGGGGGTACTGGCAGGAGGTAGCCTCTTCTTGAGGGTATTCCCAATCGGTACCTCCCATGTCGGTGTCCTCCAAATATTCTTCTTCAGAGTCGCCCGTGTAATCGTCTTGGTAAAGCGCACCGATGTCAGAGCCAGAAGTTTCCGAGTCAGTCTCCAAGTCCCAGTCTCTTTCGTCATCTGATAGCTTCAACATGGCGGCAAATCTGGTTAGTTCATCGACTGAGGCGTTGTTCAAGGCGTCCGTCAGGCGTGAACTAGCGGTCTCCCAGTGTTGGCGAATAGGATCGCTACGGAGCTTACGGAGGCTTTCAGTCCAGTCCGACATTTTGAATGAATAAAAGGCTCGTCTTTTTCCAATCAAAGAGATACTTTCAGTGTCAGAGGCGAAGTTCTGCAGACAAGGGTGACAAAATCAAATTCAACCCCAAAATGAAGGCACTGATAGACGTAAAAAGGTATTTGATGAAAATAAGGATGTCTGTCGTCGGATATCAGTGGCGATCAATTTACATCAAGTCATATTTGGGGCTTATGATTGCGAGGAGCTGCTTCCCAAGGTAAAATGGGTTGATGAGGGGAAAGGGAAGTGAGCTTACCTTCTTCATCAACATGAATAAGCTAGAGTTGCTCCGTTCTTCCTCTGGTTAATGCTGTTTCCCTCTTCATTCATTCATTTTCCAAGGCAAGGGCGTTCAAAACTCGATGCTTGAAGAAAGAAGAAGAACATCTATGGACTCCTGGCATGAGGTACACGTTATAGCCGCTACGCCGTTCTCTCGATATGTCGCTAGTGAGACGCCACCAGCGGCCAATCCACAACCTTGAGAGATTCTTTACACAATGAATCACGTGGGAATACCAGAAGGCGCAGCTTGTGAGACCGTTAAGGAAGTATAATAGAATTCATCGGGTAAATTATAAGTCATTAAAAGGATAATTAGTTAAGCTAGCGCTCAGAAGATGGCCTAATTTTTAGATGTTCACACCACATGTCTGATACTGCCAGCCTCGCTTGAGAGAACATGAAGAATAATCTTCTAGAACAATCAACAGGCTTCAAACCGTGGCTATAAATGATGGCGGACTCTCCATATCTTTCAAACGGTTCAGCAGGCTTAGCAATAGTAACTTACATTTGGGTAGTGGGCTCATCAGTATCCAAAGTAATACTCACAACAGCAGATATTCGAACACAAGATGTGCTTAGGAGACCTGGAACGTATTCTTTTTGGTGAATCTTGCTCCTTGAGGGGTACACAACTCTTTTTATATTTTCTCAGTCTACATCTAACCTTTCATCCCATGAGCAGAATTTATCTCCATGTGTCATGCCTGTGAGTCCATCACCTGGGTTTGCCATACTGACTGCGACACCTGTACCTGGCACAGTCTCACGGCCATTTATAAAAAGACCTCGTGGTCGGTCTCAATTTTACGATAGGATAGAGTCGCCTTTCCCGGTAGGAATTTAAGGAATGAGAATCTCCACCTCCATCCCATGTGGCCCTGCTCCATTCAGTAGACCTTGCCAACAGCCTGTTCAGCATTCAGCTTGTAATTGAAACTACCTTAACATACGCGACTTCAAGACCTGTTCATGGCCCTGTAAACAGTCCGAACGGTTCTGTAGCGTTCAAATGCTTCGTCGATGACAACCGCGCAATCGAGGTAAAAGCCCAAGACCTTGATGGTCTGAAAAGCCTAAATGCACAAAACAACTACGCTGAAGATGGATTCTGGAGTATACACGATGAGGAAAAGTATGATTAAATTCTGAAGAGATATGATGCTAAACAGCTTTCCAGTCTCTGGGACAAGGTGAAGAACGAAGACAAGGACTGCGCTGCAAGACAGCCGCTTGAAGGGCTGTCATCCTAACCGTTCTCGGCTGCAATCATCTTTCAACTGGTCTAGGTAACAGTAAAAGGGCGACCTCTGATACTCATACTTAAAAACAAAAAAAGTAAGAAATCCTCCAGTCTCGACCAGTGGCCAGAACCAAAATACCCCCCTGGTCCGCAATCCACATCAAAAAGCGGTTTGCTCCGCCTGTGACTACCGAAATCCCCAGTTAATTCCTCTCGGGATCGAGCGTCCCCGAACATCAGACGATGCAGGTGTCTGTCCTTCGCGGGATTTGAATGGCACGTAACACCAGACCCCGGCGCCCCACCACCGTACCATGTTCCGGAGGTGCAGATCAAATCGTGGCCGCCGGGAAGACGGGAGCTAAATTAAGCCATCCACAGATCTGGTCTGATCGGTCCGGAGAAACACGGTAGTTGTTGGGACTGTTTACGTCACGCCAGTCGTGCCACAACAGGTCACGGCTTTTGCTCAGCCTATCGCATGATTCCGGTCCAAGTTCGTTAATTCTCGGAGTTACGTCTTCTCTAGAGAGTGACTCGAAAGTCAATCCTCAGCCTAGTCGCTTGCATAGCTGAGCTCCACAAAAGCGATTGGGGTTTTGTTTGCAGTGTCTTTTTCCCTAGACGAGTCTAGACAATATCGGATACCGATCAAGCCATATGGTTCACGGCCGGGCTATGGAGCTCGGACATGAGAAACTTGCTCATACTAAACCCGAATCTCGGTTATGCAACACAGCAAGCTATCTATGTGACGGTGTTTGTCAGTTTTGTTGATTATGCCTAACAATTTTGATTTTGCTTGGCACAGAAACACAGCAATCAGTGTACTGGCATTACTCAAAGCCCGGCAACAATAATGAGGCCACTTAATGGAGAAGAAGGTTTCCATCTGGAAACGAAAAAGCATATAAGAAGATCTGATTCTGAAGGATTCATATCTCTTTTTCCCAGAACACCTCACTCAATCACAACAATCAAGACTCTTCACTAAAACAAACTTTCCACTCGACCTAGTTCGATACTCAACCATCAACATGCCTATCACCAAGTACAAGGCTGCCGCTGTCACCTCCGAGCCTGCGGTGAGATCAATCTTCAGACAGACTGTATATACAGCGCTAACTATAGTAGTGGTTCGACCTCGAGGGCAGCGTCCAGAAGACGATTGATTTCATCAATGAGGCAGGTCAAGCCGGCTGCAAGCTGGTCGCCTTCCCCGAAGTCTGTAAGTTATTGACCTTTATCAATCATAACAACCAATATACTTATCTCATTCAGGGCTTCCTGGATACCCCTACTGGATGTGGAAGGTCACTTACCTCCAGAGTCTCCCGATGCTCAAGAAGTACCGCGAGAACTCTCTCCGCGTTGACTCTGAGGAGATGCGCCGCATTCGCCGCGCCGCTCGTGACAACCAGATCTTCGTCTCCCTGGGTTTCTCTGAGCTTGACCACGCCACTCTTTACCTTGCTCAGGTCCTCATCGATCCCACCGGAACCGTTATCAACCACCGCCGCAAGATCAAGCCCACCCACGTTGAGAAGCTCGTCTATGGCGACGGCTCCGGCGACACCTTCATGTCCGTAACCGAGACCGACATCGGCCGCGTCGGCCAGCTTAACTGCTGGGAGAACATGAACCCCTTCCTCAAGTCCCTCAACGTCTCCATGGGTGAGCAAGTTCACGTCGCTGGCTGGCCCGTCTACCCTGGCAAGGAACGCCAGGTCGCCCCTGACCCGGCCACCAACTACGCCGACCCCGCTTCTGACCTCGTCACCCCGTCCTACGCCATCGAGACCGGTACATGGGTCCTCGCCCCCTTCCAGCGTCTTTCCGTCGAGGGCCTGAAGAAGAACACTCCCGAGGGTGTCGAGCCTGAGACGGATCCCTCCGTCTACAATGGTCACGCCCGTATCTACAGGCCCGACGGCAGCCTGGTCACCAAGCCCGAGAAGGACTTTGATGGTTTGATGTTCGTTGATATCGACCTCAACGAGACTCACCTGACCAAGGTTCTCGCTGACTTTGCCGGTCATTACATGCGCCCTGACCTTATCCGTCTTCTGGTTGACACCCGCCGCAAGGAGCTTGTCACCGAGGCTGATCCTGAGGGCGGCATCGCCTCGTACAGCACCTACCACCGCCTTGGCCTGGACCGCCCTCTGGATTCCAAGCCCGAGCTGCACGATCAGGAGCCTGTCCACAAGCGTGTCAGCAAAGAGCCTACTGCCAAGCCTGCCAAGAAGCTCTAGATGCGAGCATTGGCATAACGACAATGAAAAGGGCTCTAAGTTAGAGTTCCATCTTGTATTGTACAAATTATAGAACTAGTCTCATATTGTAAAAAGAAAATCTTCTCCTCATATTTGACTTTGTTTCCCTGAAATCGTGTCCTGCAATTGATTTTTCGACGGAAGTCGTCATGTTGTAAGCCGACAGGGTAGTTTTAGCAACAACAGGTATCCAATAACATGCTCTCATCTTTCAAATTATTTTATCTCAAAATCTCCTGGTAGGTGTTTGTCGCTGAAACAACTCGTCAATTTCTGCGGTCGACTTGTTTCTGAATTCCGGAACTTCAAACCAAACCCAAACCAGGCTTATAATACTGAGGCCCAACCACACAAAAGCGGCCTTGGCTCCAAGGTTTGCTGTCATGCCCGGTCAGTATTACTGCAATGTTCGGGTATGTGATTCTCGATCAGTCGCACAAAAGGCGTACTTACCACTGTCAGTATTGATGAGGTATGGAGTCATAAATCCCATCGCCCAGCTGATGAAGGCGTTATTAAGCATCGCTATTCCCTGGGTACGGGCGCGCAGCCTCTGAGAGCTTGCCTCAGTACAGATAACCCATGTAGTTGCGCCAACAGTGGGTGCATAGACTATCTGAGCAAAGCTCAACAGATATGCGACAAGGTAAAGAGCAACAGACGATTTGAAGCAACCCGCTATTCCAACGATTGCGAGAAGGGTTCCGTTGAGAATGGTGCCAGTCAAAAGCAATGGCCGTCGACCTACAATATGAGTAAGTCTAAATTCCATCACAAGACATCAATCAACTGGAGAAATAAACACTTACCAACATAAGACATGATGAACCACGACGCGATGTTACCAAAAATTGCCGCACCAAACCCGCCAAGAGCAAGCTTGAATGTCAAGTCGATTGGCAGCCCAGTTATTCCCAAGAAATAAAGCGACTGAGCGTAGAAGGCAATTCCGGTGAACTGCTGCACGAAAAACATCCCGCAGGCGATCCTTGTTCTACGGAAGTCGACACCCTGGAAACACTCTTTATAGTTCGTGCCCTCCTGTAGACGTTGAAGTTCATCCTCCTGGGCAATAGTTCTCTCAATGGCTTCCCGAGCCACAATCACATCTTGCTCCTTACCAGGGTAAAGACTGCGAAAAGCCTTCTCAGCGGCATCCACTCTTTTTTGTCTGAGAAGAAACATTGGGCTCTCGGGCATGAGAAGAGCGAAAATAACAAGAAAGCATGGAAAGGCCCACTGCGCCGCAAACACAACTTTGTAAGACGACGGTGTGAGGATCGAAAAGCGGGTGTTGCCGATGCCAATTGCCATCATCTGACCAACACTGATGAATAGATTTACAGTAGCTGTCAACGTAGGTCTCAAGGACTGTGGCGCAATCTCGGAGATGTAGGTTGGAGTCAAAGTCAGGAAGAACCCCAACGCGATGCCATTGACCTGTTTGGAAACAAGTCAGAAGCTGGCAGAGTATATAGCATGAGCATAACTACTAACCATTTTACCCGCAAGAAGTAAACCAGGCTCGCTGGCAGCGTACTGTAGCCCAATACCAAGGATGGAAATGCAGGAAGCAATAAGGAATGCCACACGGCGACCAAATCGATCGGAAAGCCACCCAGAAAGTATTCCGCCTGCGTGCATGGGCAGATCAGTCAACTGCATGATAGTCTTATTTGTCACGACTGATCATACCTCCTGACATGCCTAGATACGTCATGGCAGTCCATACAGCGTTCCAGGTCGCAGAAATGAGAAGCTGGCCTTGGTATTCATAACCAAACACCATTTTAAAACTTGGTAAGGCTATGGTGATGGTACTGACACCTGTTTGGATAATTCACTTGTTAGTGCTGGATAGACTGCGCTAGTTTGTGTGTTGACTAACCGATGTCAAACCCCCATAAGAGTGAACCGACCCCGGCGGCAAGACTGTAGGCAACGATGACAGGATTTGCTTTGGCAGCTGCCAATGGTGATATTGGGTGCTCATCTCGCTGGTCGATCATTTTGAGCGACGCTACGTCGCTTGACTTGACGGCCGCCATCTTTAGATAGGTATCCTGACCGGATGAAGAATTCAGGACTTCAAGAGCAAGGGATGGGCATGGTTAGAAACTTAGAGACCCAGACCTTTAAATAAATGTCAATGAAATTGCATCGACTACACATCAGCCTACAGCGGGGATTCTACGTTCCAGTTTCTGGGGTTTGGGGTAGGATGTCTGGGGTAGTGTGTCTGGGGTCGGAGATGCCGGACGGTATCAGCTTCATCAGCAGGTCGAAAATGTTATCCCGGAAAAGCACATTCCTCTTTCATCGACTTTTAATAGGTATTTCTTTGTATTTCTAATGTAGAACAACTAACAATTAATACTCCGGAGCAACAAGCAAGGTCCTGAGGCCCTGTAAGTGCAATTCGGGAAGTCCGAAGACGTAGTAGTCAAGTAGGCAGTCGATCTACCTACGTGTAAATCTAGAAGACAACAATTGGCTACTCACACCTAAATATACGCCTAGGTGGAGTATCAGGATTTGTTGCAAGGTTTTTACGGACAGTAGCATTCCTGGGATTTCCGGAGTAGTGCCACATCGTTGTCGAGAATGGTTGCTGAACAGGAGCCTTCCGGGTTGTGGGTCTGTAGGAGAAAGGAGGGGAGTGCGGAATTCCCGATAGTGAGTAGAGTCTAGTCAATGATCATATCAGCACTAAATAAAGAAGGCTGTAATTGCGGCGATGCGAACTTCTAAAGGTCTTGATCTTGTCCCAGATCGTTGTGCGATTTCTCTTTTCACCAAAGCGAACCCTACAGAACCAATGCTATCCGCCGTTACCGAAGCCGAGGGGTTCACGAACCCCATCATCCCAGGATTCAACCCAGACCCTTCGATATGCAGGGTAAAAGACGATTACTTCCTTGTCACTTCAACATTTGAGTACTTCCCAGGCATTCCAATTTATCATAGCCGAGATTTGGTGAATTGGAAAGTCATCGGGCATGTCCTCACACGGCGCTCACAGTTGGATATGCGGACGGTGGAGCCATCAGGAGGAATATGGGCACCAACTCTACGACACTGGCAAGGCCGCTTCTACGTTTCTGTTGGATGTAACTTGCGTTTGCGCCCTAAAGATTGGGTGAGTTATCTCTCATGCCTCCAAGTTGATGCCGTCACGCGAAAAAAGATCGAAAAGGTATATGTGTCTGTCATCATTTCATGAAGCTAACCTTTTTTCAGGACATTACTATACCTCGGGGTTTCTACGTTACAACAGACAATATCTGGGAAAATGGATCATGGACTGATCCTATCTATTTTGACGTTCCCGGAATAGATCAGGATGTGAGTTGCCGATACCCAGTGAAGAATAATGGTGGGTGTAATCTGAGAGGAAACTAACAAGAGATGAATGTTAGCTTTTCTTTGACGACGACGGAAAGGTGTATTTCTCAGCTGTCAACCAGATCAGTGACCCTAGCATTAACCGGCATGGCTTGGGGTTGGCGAGTTTTACCGTCGAGGTTGACATTGAAACAGGAGACTGCATTGGTCCAGTCCGTTGGAATCGGATATCAGACTTTGGTATTGGTATTGCCGAAGGACCTCATATATTCAAAAAGGATGGGTTCTACTATCTCAGCACAGCTGAAGGTGGAACTGACGAAGGTCATCAACAATGGATTCATCGCTCGACGCAGGGCCCTTTTGGTCCCTGGGAAAAGGGACCTGAGGGGACTATTAATCCTTTAATCTTTAACGACATGCACGGTGAGGTACGTAATACTGGGCATATGGATATGGTTGAAAGCCCAGACGGGAGTTGGTGGGCAGTCTTCCTTGGTGTCCGCCCACAAGGGCACGAGAAAGAAAAATCAACTCTTGGGCGCGAAACCTTTTTGGCACCCATGGTCTGGGAAGATGGATGGCCGATCATCAACAACCGAAAAAAGATCACAATTGAAATGAAGGCCAAGGTTCCGGGTCATCAACAGATAGAAACCAAGTGGTTCGATAATTTCGACAGCCTGGATCTTGATCTCGGCTGGTATCACCTCCGAACTCCGTTGAAAAAGACACACAGCTTTGATCCTCCCAACCGCGGCCTGATACTTCATGGCAACGCGTATCGTATTGACGAGTTCGAGCATCCCTCCATGCTTTTACGGAAACAGCTGCATCACTCCATGGATTGGCAGGTTGAACTAGAGTTCAGTCCAGAAGTTCCCGGAGATGAAGCTGGTACTGCTATATGGTGGTCTCAATGGGCTTATGCTTCGATTGCGTTGCGCGGGGGGGCTAAAGGCATCGTTGAGATTGTTTATAAGGCAGTTGATGAGCAAGGCGAATTCAAGGCAAGCCCTTTCCACCTAAGAAATCTGTTCGGCCAAGCGCTAATCATCATCACTCATAGGAAATTGCATCACCTCTCAATAGCCATTCCTCAGTTGTTTTGGTCATCCGAGCAATGCCACTACATTATGAGCTCTGTTACGCCGCCAGAGAATCTGGTGTGGATGGAGTTCTTGGGCCCATCGTTACGTTAGGCTCAGTATCTAGCAAAGCTTTGACTCATAGGATACCAGGACGCGAGTCACAGAACACTGGTTCACACTTTGCGATTTACGCACAAGGCATTTTAAAAAGACCTCTTTTGACACCGGCAATCTTTAAATCAGCTAGATGGGAAGTTGTGTCTTAGAAAATAAAACGCGAGAGTGTTGTAAACTCGGTATTTAGAAGTATCTAGACATTGAAAGTGATCTCTACTTGCAATCCGCAGAGCTCAGTGTTCGAAAACCCCACAAGGCTTTCGCATCTGTTTTAGCTGTTCAGTTTGCAGGTCCGAAATGTATAGAGCTGTTTCTGATTTAAACTTCTACTTAACTTAACATCGTAATACCGCGAAAAGCAGTCCATATGGACGTGAGCAGCTGCATCAGATACGTCATGATTACACAGGCCAAGGTCAACACAGTGTTACTAAAGTTCGTAGAAGACTAACATGAGTCAGCTGGCCATGACAGTAAGAATGCAGACTCTGTTTGTGCTGTGTGGATAAAATGAGATAAACCGTGAGAGCATAGTCTTCACATCAGAGCATGTCTCGACATACACGATGCTTACGGCGACTATGAATTCTCATGTTGTGGGGCTCACATCCCATCAAGGGCAACTAATGCTAAAGTATCATCGTCACGAGTTATATTAGAGTAGAACCGCATGCTCTTTTGGACTTGGCAGCTTTGGTTGAGTTGGCAACGTCACGGGTTGGCGATGGCTACACCTGGATGATGCAAGCTTATACACTTAGTCTTAGACCCTTGCAAAGTGAGATGTGAGACTTCCAACTAGTAGCATAACTTTTCGCCAAATATAGGAATCACTGGATTTATTGAAAAGAAAAACGTTGTGCGTATTTGTTCGCCATTAAAGAATCGAATGATGCCGTTGTTAACGTTAACCCAGGCTAAAAGCAGTGCCTTCCCTGGAGACGAAACCTCAATTAAGTACTTTTTGTCATTAGTTTTGGTATAATTCCGCGTTGCCCCCGACTTTTCATACACATCCATCTTTTTACGCCTTCGAACCCTCCTCGTCATAAGTCATGTGAAACGCAGTCGTCTTCCGTATCGCTCTTCGGTCTTCAATATCCTCGCTCGGGTTGCGCGCATTTTGTCCAGTCTCGTTTGCTGGAGACAAAATGTACTCCTCACTTGTGTCGTCCCCAATCTTGGACTTGTTGGCTTGGACACTAGTCAAATGGATCGTCGTCTTCTCCTCGCGGCCCTGATATGGGTGCCAATCGTTGCGGCTCGTGCCTGCGTGGACAAAGTTTGAGTTGTTCGTACGCGGCGCTGAACTGAAGCCGGTGCTGCCGATGGTCGATCCTTTCTTTGACGCAAAGAAGTTGGGGAAGAGGTATGTTAACGGGAGACGACACATAGGGAGGCAGGCGCAGACAATCGCGAGGTTGTCCTCGATAACAGTCCAGAGGGTCGATGCAATGTCATCTAAGCATTGTCGATTAGCACATGTCCACAAATGTCTACATACGAAAAAGATATCTTACAAGTAGTGTCAGGGCTGGTGGTGGAGAAATCTAGCGTGGTCATGCGCAGGATACTTGTGACGGTGACGACCAAGCCCAAGGCAAAGACAGCCATCAAGGCTTTCTTCTGGTTGCTCGGCAGCTTCGATTTCCACAACACGTGCTGAGGTAGGGCTATGATAAGAAGGTCGGTAGCAATGGAGAAGCCCGCGTTCGCATACCAGTTCATTGTGAGACTGATACAGGTACCGGGGATGGATTTGTCCCAGGCGCGAGCGATGGGGCTGCATTGCCAGATGGAGGATGCCGATGTTGCTACCATGTACGCCAGGATGATGCCGAGTAGAACGTAGCACATGATGCGAAAGTATCGCTGGACAAAAATTCGCAGATACAAGAGGATGATGGAAGCTTTCGTGAGGTTGATGGTAAGCTTATAGAATATCTGGGCGACGTAGAAGAGCTAGTGCCGATTAGAATAATGGTCGTGATGGGTTGGAAGACTTTGGATATATTTGACTCTCGGACTTCGTACCTTTAGTGTCATGAGCCGGTTTGGCTTGGACAAGTTTTTGATGTGCTGGCCAAATCCATATTCACAGGATATCATCATCAAAATCGAAACGAGTAGACAGCAGATCTTGGAGTTTGTTAGCCAGAGCTGGGTGTCAACAGCAACATGAACCTACAAATGATAGCAAGATAGTCCAGTCATCCCAACCCAAATCGGACCTCATCTTGGTTCGCGACCAGAAGCGGATAGCCACGAAGGTGGGTGTCAAGACGAAGAAGACAATGGCTGGGGCGCGGACCATGAGCGCATTGCTCTCGCCGGGGATATTTCCTCCGTCCATGTCGAATATCTCGTCTCGGTTGAAGAAACAAACAACGATGTCTTCGTCGACGACTTGTTAGGCATGTGGACCGCAAAGGGCCAGATTTGCGTGGGCAAACCACCTAGATTCGACAAAATAAGGAATATGCGACGTAAGGAGATCCAGACGGCCGGGTCAGGAGGGACGGGGCGGCTCCGAACAGGCGCAATTATATGTTTATGACCATGCTTCCAACAAACATCCCACTTGTGGTACACCTCTTAATTTACTTTGCAAGGGAAGAGACCGTTTGGGGGCGAACCCTCGGGAGCCTTTGTAGCGCCAGGGACGGGTGGATATCCCATTGGGTGAATGCCACAGGGAGGGGCCTCTCTTCCGCCGCTTGTCAGGAACGCATGCTTGTAATATTTTTATGTTCATCCCTCCCTCCCTATCTCTGCATAGAAATCGTGGTGATGGTGGTGGCATGCAACGGCGTGGCAATCTGCAGACTACTGTAGTGACATGAGGGGCCGCAGCATCGGCGCCGAGGAACAGGACTTGGAAGATACCGGCCACCCTTGTACGCCAGCCATTAATGGTCTTGGGATTGGCCAGATGGGGTGAAAGGCTATGCATGAAGTAACTACCTGCCTACGAAAACTGGTCCCCGATCGCGAGAAGACTAAAAAAAAAACAATGACTGGCGAGCGAGGCCAAGATCTCCGGGTGCTACGGATAATGAGCGCGGAAAACACCGACAGGAACACCGCCCTCCCATCCTCCCATACCGTTCGGACCAGATTCTGGGCCGTTCTGAAGCTCGTCCTCCCTTAAACAAATAATGCTTCAGGTGCAGCAGCATCAAAGTTTATACATTCACAATGGATAAAAACGGGTTAGCCAAACCCCTTTTGTGGCCCTTCCTGACACCAGCTAGTCTGAAAGCAGGGAGTTCATAGAATCAAAGATTACGATAATGGGTCGAGGCTTACGTTTGCAAACTGGCGAGGCAGAAGTTTGAACGGACAGACCAGTGATGAGTCTCTATAATAACACACAACGGCACGGGATCACGGCATGTATGCCACTGCGAGGGAGGACGGGCACTCAAAGAAGACGCGCGATGAATCTGATCCTAGCAAGTGCTATTATGTCTTTTTTTTTTTTTTTTTCCTTCTCGCTTCTCGCATCTCAGATCCTGTACGGCGTAGCACGGCGTCTGGTTGTCGGGTTGAGGTACGATAGAGGTTAGCCATCTTTCTTGCAGGATGGCAAGCCATACCTTACTCGGTCGTCGGTCGAGTTTTGACAAGGGTTCTGTTAGCAACACAGTAGCCCGCGCTATCGATTTCAAACAGGCAGGGGTTGGTTTTGATGAAATCTCTTCTCTGTCAGCTTTTTTCTCAGTCCTGTTGGAATTCCCCCACCTTCGGACTCCTCATCCTCCAGGGCTGACGACTCAGAGTGTGTCTGAGCCAAGAAACTCATCTGATGGGGGGTGGAGATGATGGGGTTCTTCAGCGGAGTTGCTCGTTTGCATGGTCCAACGTTTTTACACTAGGCAATGGGGATTTCCCCTGCCATTGAGAATCATACCACTTTTGACATTGTTGCGAAGATTTCCTCCGAGAGCTCCATGGGAGAGAGACCTTGCCGCAGCAATAGCCACGTTGATGAGCGTTCAAAGACGATCGAATACGTCGGCATTTGAGACATGGATTTCAGCATTATGTTGCCATCCGGTTCCTGTCGGGGAAAGCAGTTCATCTCGCATGATGAATCTTGGAGGTCGTCTGCGGATGGCAAGATACTGTTCTCGGTTCGTTTAAAGTTCCCGAAGTATCCGTACGATATGGAGGGCCCGTCTGTGCGCCTGGAGACGTTAACATTAAGCCCTAAAATAATGCTCGGTTAGCGGGCTGCCTTACGAGAATGGAGGCATTGAGGGCCGGTGGCGCCCACATCCGGCCGATTCTAGCTCTAGCTCCCGCTCCCCTTGAACTCTGTTTGGCGGATAGAGAGCCCGTCCGTTCCCATTACAACCTTGAGAGCGCCCTAAAACCTGCCATCTGGAAGATAATTTAATACATAGCGGTAACAAAGAATGGATGGGCATGATGATATATAGGTAGGGATAGTACGGCTAGTTGTAGTAGCGGTAATACTACCTTCTCCAAATAGATATTTCGCCAGTCTGGCCCCGTGTATAGTGTGTTGTTGAGGTTCGCCGACCATACGACCTCCAGCTTGGCTGCGTAAACACGTTCATGGCGAGCACTCAATGAGACCTCGGTCAGTAACGCAGCGCGGAGTGTCTCTTCCAGTCCCGGCAGAGATATTCACAAGGTGGTGTGGTGCGTGGTGGGGGCAATAACACTTCGCCCTGTCGCTTCAGGGGTAACGCAGTCGACATGCGCATTCCACTCATCTCCTTTCTCTCTTCTCTCACTGCTGCAGACTTCAGGGCAGTGAATCCTTCTCGTTGGTCCTTCCCGATCCGACGATGCGTGCTGCTGCAAGTGATGAAAGGATGATGAACCTCGACGTCTGTCTGTCACTGCTGGCACTGCCCTCACAGTATCCTACCCACGATCTGGTGGCCGTACTAATTTTCCTAATGATACCCAAGTTTGTGCGCAATGCCGCTGTTCCTGGCAGATAATAGACAATTATCGGACACACTCACCAATTTGAGTGATTTTTTCTATCCCGCCTTTGGCGACCGGCCGCGGGTCTTCGGAACGGTGCGCTAACGATGCGACAACCCTTGTCCTCGGCGAACGGCTTAAAATGAGCTTCTGCAGTCTAGAACCAAAGAGGTGATTATTCTTCACCTGAGGATGCGGCCGGGCATGGAGAGCTCTGCAATGGGCCCTGAGACCGATTCTGGAAGCGATACGAGGAGAGGCCCAAATAGCCACTCGGTTCTCCTTGGACGATGTCCATGATGCGGTGCCAAGCTAGGAGCAACAATTTTCGACCCCTATCGATGAGGTACACATTATGAAGCCCAAGACTCTCACATTTTGGCTAAATCGGATGTGTGGAAGTGCAGGCATCATCGCCAGCTTTGAAGACGCCGCTCGTCACAGCTTCTGAGAAAGAAGACATTGCCATGGCTGACTTGATCATTTCATACTTTTCGCAAACGGCAGGTCAATAAGAGGAGCCTATTCCCACACGTCAATGGAAGATTGCCCCTCCATGGGCCATGAACACATGGAATCCACATGCGATAGCCCATCCAATGTCTCACGGTCTGTGACCGACCAGTGGCACTCGCGCCTTTCTACGAGATCTGCCTGTCACATTCCTTGCGTCTTGTTATTCCCGGCGCAAAGACACTGTTCCAGCATGCTTCCCCACACCAGGTAGGGCCAGGGCATGGGGCCTGATCTCCAATATTGTTGCCTCACATATCAAGTATCATGATGAAGCACCAACGGAAGCGCAGTTCCTCTTGTCGCCGTCGTCGTCATCGCTGCGTTTTCGCGGGTTGTCGTCATTGACATCCCGCCCTCATCACCAGTAGTGGCTATAGTAGTACTCACGGCTCACATCTTCTTCAGGGCGTCGGCACAGCTCATACCTAGGTAATGAGAAGCCGATTGAAACCGCCCCCAACGTCCAACAATAGGACCAAGGATGAACGGCACCAACCCGACATCCGGGGTTGCTCGCCAGTGTAGCCGAGAGCTGTCTGACCCACTGAAAAGCGGAAATTAGGGCGATGCTGAGCCACTGAAGCTGAAGCTATCGATGCAATCTTGTCTTGCTGCAGCAAGTGGCACAGCGTAATGACATGCTCGATCCCTCCCTCTCCTTGTCAAAATGGGCCCCCCCCCCCCCCCCCCCCCCTCCCTCGCACAGGATGCATACGTTGGCACCAACACACGTGTTGGCGTTGGTTTGTAGCAATAGACCCGCGTCACTCGGGAGGAGCTCTGGCAGCAGTAATATAAACAGACTTCGCCCTTGGCCAAAAGTCTAATGAAATGATCTCCCTCGCACGCACCAACTGCTCACGTCAACGGTCGGGGTTCCTTAGCTTAAGTCTAGGTTGAGTTGTCATCGCAACAAGGTAAGGAAAGTTTCCTTTCGTCGCCACTCTCAATTTTAAGCCGGCTCCGAGCTGAACATCGGCTCCGTGACATTGTTTTGCTTTGCGGCTCTCTCCCTCATCCCAATCTTGAAGACATTCATGATGGGGGTCAATATAAAAGCTGGCCAATTGGCGCCAATTTGGGGATGAATCTCACGCAGAATTGCTTTCTTCAGTCTCTGGTACGAAACTAACATCATAATCAGGGTCGTCAACATGAAAGTCTTCTCCATCCTCGCCACCATCGCGGCTGCGGGCGCCGCTCTCGTCTCTGCCCAGGGCATCATTGACGAGAACTCCGAATCCTTCCCTGAAGACCTCAATGGCTCCAACTTCACCTACCCCTGGCCCGTGAAGCTTTACAAGTTCACCTCCCAGCTTCAGCAGCTCGAGATGGCCTTCATGGATGTTAAGCCCAAGTGTGCGCCGAACGGCAAGACTGCCCTTCTCTTCCACGGAAAGAACTTTTGCGGCCCGACCTGGGAGACCACCATCCGCGTCCTGGCCCAGAAGGGCTACCGCGTCATCGCACCGGACCAGGTCGGCTTCTGCAAGTCTACAAAGCCCGAGCGCTACCAGTTCTCTCTGCAGCAGTTCGCTACAAACACCCACGGCCTGCTTGAGGCCCTCGGCATCGAGAGCGCCACCGTCATTGGCCACTCCATGGGTGCTATGCTCACCACCCGCTACGGTCTCATGTACCCCGACGAGGTCGACGAGATGGTCCTCGTCAACCCCGTCGGTCTTGAGGACTACAAGGCTCTCGGTGTTCCCTACCTCCCCATCGACGACAACTACAAGACCGAGCTCGCCAGCTCCTACCAGTCCATCAAGGGTTACGAGCAGGCCACCTATTACGTCGGCGAGTGGAAGGAGGAGTACGACGTCTGGGTCAGAATGCTTGTCAATGTCTACAAGGGCTCCAAGGCCGAGACCTACGCTCTCAACCAGGCTCAGATCGTCGACCTCGTCCTCACCCAGCCCGTCAGCTGGGAGTTCCCCCTCGTCAAGCCCCGCACCCTCCTCATCATTGGCGAGAAGGACACGACCGCCATCGGCAAGCAGTGGTCTCCTCCCGACGTTGCGGCCAAGCTTGGTCGCTTCGACCTTCTTGGACCTGCTGTGGCTTCTCAGATCCCCAACGCTACCCTGCACACCTTCCCTGAGCTCGGCCACGCGCCCCAGATTTCCCACCCCCAGGAGTTCCACGATGTGTTGGTTGACTGGCTGTCCATCTAGGCGACAGATATAACACGACTGTAGTAGGCATGGTCCAAAGTAGGACACATTGTAAAGATATTGTAATATGTATATATACATTTTCTACGTCGCATACGTTAGATAGGAAAAAAATACACTATCAACTGGTTGATCAATCATTTGTGGGCAATCTGTTCGTCTGGGGTCTTCTTGGGACCTCCTCACGGGCTGTGGCTCGGACATGGCATGTACGAGGTCGAGATTTAAAACTATAATTCTGATGTATCTCATTTCAGCATGGGTTAGCGAATGAAGCGGATCTCCAAGTCGAATAAAGCACCAATACTCCATGTTGTTCATGGCCTCGACTAGGCCCATGGATTACAGGCGGGCTGTGGAAAGGTTTGATGAAACGAAAGCATCACCACAAACAACATATGTGCGCAAGCTCTCCCACTCAGGGTTTTATTAAACCAGGCTGCGATGGAAATTCCTGACTTCATAATTGAGTGAGCATATAAGAGGTGCATTTCGACTGCAACTCTCGTGCGAAGTGGATGGGCATCGGTGGGTGAGAAAGGCAAAGATTCGAAGCCACCAAATGCCAGCTGTATCTGCAGGAGTATAGAATTCCAAAAGACGCTCTCATGAACCTGGACGCTCTGCATAATTGGCGTTGATTATATAAAGTCGTGGGGGTGCATGTTTTCCTTTCGTGGCGTGGGAAGACTGGAAAACTCCACAGCAAAAAAAAGAGAATAAAAATAAGACAAAAGAAAATCAACACAAGTGCAACTACACAACTATGCCTTAAATGAATGCAAATAAAAGAAACTTGACACATGAAATAAACTTCCAGCACATTTTGAGGCACAGGGGAAAAAAAAAAAAAAGAGACGTAATAAATCGGTCGATATCATTTCTAACAAAGCTGTATCCCCAATGATGAGCCTCAATCCTTGGGACCAACACCAAACTCCCTCGTGGCATACAGACTGCCCACCGTAACACCTCTATTCTCAGCAACTATACCCATCAACTGCTGTCCCACGTCCTTGATTTTGTTGTACTCTCTTAGCAACTTGACGTGTCTCGCCACCACGGCTGACGCCTCTTCAAATTCTCTATATCCGTTACAGTCAGCTTAACTGCGTCCATACCACAGCCAAAATAAACCAAGTCCGATAACATGGTAGATACACAAAAGAACTACCAACTTACTTGTCTCTTTCCGAAGCAGCATCGTCGTTATCTCGCTCGTGAGAAGAACCATCTTCACCGGGCTGGCGCTTGGCTTCTTCGCCGTTTCCGACGTCTGTCTGTGGATTTTTGGAGTCTGGGGACTCTTTAGAGTGACTGGTTTGTACTTCTTCGCTCATACGAGGAAACTTCTCTTTCGTAGGCGAAGCCATGCCGTTGTGTCAACGAGGCTGAGCTGGGCTGTTGTTGTATCGAGGTTGACGCACGGTCCAGCTAACAGAGAGAGAGAGAGGCGCGGCACAAGGCAGGCGCGGGAGCACTCTCTGTAAAGGTACCCCGACGTCAGTTGCTCAATTCTCTGTTCTCGTACCAATTTTGCCTCTCGTCGTTTTCTTGTTTTATCTTATTTTTATCCTTCCAAATCTTCCCGCTTCTTTTCTCGAAGTATTGTGAGTGATATTCTACTGCGGATGTTTGTACTGCTGGCGTATCATGGCAGGATTAAAAGCTAATAAACAGCAGGCACGGTAGCAGGCAATATAACGACCGCAAAAAGTAGCATCTTCTACTTCACGATTCAAGACAGAAACACCGAGGAACGGTATGTATTATTCACAAAACGAAAAGGAAGACAATCGCCTTAACGAGAAAAGGCAAAAACGTTGGACGAACAGGGAATCGAACCCTGGACCACTCACATGCTAAGCGAGTATTATACCACTAAACCATTCGCCCGTTGTTGAAATCGTACGTAAAATCAAGCTCTAAGTAGGTCACAACGCAGGGCACAATGGCAGCGGGGCAGACTCCGTGACCCTCTCCTGTAACCCACGCCCGGTGACATATCCTCCCCGCCGGAAAATGTCATATCGCAGCGAATAACTAAGCGGCGACGTCAATAGAGGCCTATTCGCAATGATCCTCATCCTGCGCTGGTCAAAGTGCGAGTGGTCATCCCGCATTAGTCACTACATTTTCGCATTTTTAAACGCTGAGGCACAAGCAGTCTCCAGGCCCGGGCCCAGGAAACCGGAATCATCCCGGCACAAAATCGCAGTCTCGGTCTTAGGGCGCGAGGTCATTTGGGTCTAGGGCACACGAACACGAAACGCGTGGATTCGCGATGCTGCTGTTGTTGCCGTCGAAGTGAGAGCGAGTCAGGCTAAACACTGGGGCCAGACGTCATTGCCTACGTTTACGAACAAGTCAAGATGCACACGCACACTTCAAAGACCTTAGTCCAGGTTTACTACAGTGAGGTCCAAGTTATGTGGAAGAGTTCAGACTCATGAAAGACATCACGTTATACTCATCAGGCGTGGTTGTAATGCAATTGCTTCTCTACCGCACTACAAAATGCAAGCACAAGACGCCTCGCCAAGGTTCCCCCCCAAATCCGTGGTATACTATTCGTCTTTTGATGATGTCTTAATCGTTTCTTCTCCGTCCGTCTTCATACGCCTCATCTGGACTATCGGTTGTTCTGAGGGAAAACAATGTTTGAAGAGGGATTTTAGGGGGAGCTGGGTGTGTTCCGCGCGAGAGGGAAAAAGGAAGGATGTTGAAGTTGAAAGTGTCCATTGACCGTTTGACCATCGTTCTTTTTGTTTGTACCATAAAATCAGATGCCCAGAACCCATTTTCAAAAGTAAAAACCACCACCATTACCAAGCAAAAAAACTCCACACGTTGGACATGAATCATCTTGATTGATTTCTCTGTGTTTGTGTGACTTATTGCGAGAAAGGGGGAAGGTTTTTGTTATGAACCGGACGGGGGGAAAAGACGATCAAGATGAACACGAATAATCCAGCAAGTCCCTCCCTACCACGGAAGAGACTCACCAAACTGATTTTTCCCCCCATGTGTTATTTTTCCCCCCTCCAATGACCAGCCCATTGTGCCATCAGCAAATGAAGAATTTCCCTTGTGAACCGCCACGCCAATCTAATGAGGAAACGCGAGGAAGAGGACAGAAATGCGCGAGGAAAGCCCGAGTCGTCAATGATCGTAACCGCCGCCAGAAGCCCGATAGGTCGGAGTGGAACGAGGACAACCACTCTTCCCTAGGCCTCATGAGCAGCGGTTGAATCTCATCAGACCAGGATTTCGAAGCGGCCACGTTTAGTAGCCGAAGGCCTCGAGGGCCTGCGCCGTCTTCTGGTCGACCTTGGCGTTCTTCTTCGCGTCGGAGATCTGGCGCTGAGCGACCTTCTTGCGCTCGTAGTAGGCGGCACCCTTGGCCTTGCGGCGCTCCTCCAGTCTGGGGAATTGTCAGAATATGCAAGATGTTAGGAACAGAAACAGGATAAACCCACCTGGAGACAACGTCCTGGTACTTCCAGCCGACCTCGTGGCTGAGACGGCCGACGGTGCAGAACTTGCGGCCGGGCTGCAATCTGAGGACACGGAGGGCCTGGGGAACGACCATCTTCTTCTGGGTGTCGTAGGGAGGGGGGACACCCTCGAAGACCTTAAGGCGCTCAAGGGCGGCGGCACCGCGGGCAGTCTTGTGGGGGATCATGCCACGGACGGTCTTGTAGAAGATTCTCGACGGGGCGCGGAAGTGGAAGGGACCTAAACGGGTCAGATTCTGTGCGTCGACAAGTCATCGGAGGGTCGAAGCTTACCACCGCGGGTCGGGTTGTAACGGGTCATCTTGCGAAGGTAGGCGTGGTACTTGACTGTTAGGTCATTGTCAGTATCCGATTCCGATTCGAAAGTCGACTCGACGTCCACCTCAGTCCTGTCATCCGTCCATGACGGTCCATGAGACTCATCGTGATTCCTCCTCTTGCTGACTGGGTACGACGTGGGGTTTGGGATTCGACATACGCTTGGCACGGAAGAACTCGCCGGAGATGTTGAGGGCCTCGCAGCGTACAACGACGATCTTCTGGCCGTTAAGAAGCTGCTTGGCGACGATAGAGGCGAGACGACCAAGGAGATGGCCCTTGCCGTCAATGACGACCTATAGTTGCGAGAGTCAGCAGTCTGTAACTCAATATCAAAACGTCGGCGACTAGAAGGTTCTCTCGATGCTTGAACAGCGTCGACGTCGAGACAGCGGAAGCAGCAGCAGCAGCGGCAGCAACACTGTCGAGTGACCCCTCCATCCATCATAGTGCGTCGCCTTTGCCCTCCTCTTTTGCCTGCCCACAAACATCTCGAGAACCCTCAAATCGCCCCAGAATCCCACGATTCCCAATCTCGAATCGGAACACACAAGAACGGAGACTCACCACCGGCTCGAAAGAGGACATCGTTCCTGTTCCTTAAAAACACCGATCGAGGTGTTTCTGCTGAAATGAAGGGAAAGGGACGAGAGAACTGCAAACCTCTGGGCGGGTAGAGATTTGTCGCTGGCTGGGTGCTGCCGTTGGGGTTAGTAGGATGTCGGATGGTAAGTTTTGGAAGAAGCCGTCGCGACAATCTTGAATTCGGGGCTGGCGGAGAAATTTAGCACACACGCACACACAAATTGCCAAAGAAGCCCCCGTACCGCCTGCTATGAGTGCGCCGGAGGGAACTGCCCTAACCTGATTGGGCAAGGCGCTTTCCCACACAAGCGAGGGTTGGTACTGCGGCCTGAGGCAGGTTAGGGCTGGGAGACCTACCAGACGCAGTTTTCGCCCGCGGAAGGTGTGTGGCTTGTGCCCCGACTACCCGCCCCACCCCTCACCTTGAGCCCCCCGAGACTGGCTCACCTCGGTGTGGGAGGGGCGGGGACCCTTTTCCCGCCTTGGGTTTCTTCTGACATGCTGATACGCGAGATAAGGGAATCAATGGTCAGTCATCACATCTTTGCTGATTAAGCAGACGACGTCAAGCTCGCTCTCAGGCCCCTCCACACCAGGATGTTCCCTTGACTTGGCCTCGGTGTTCACGTCACGCTGCAGCCCTGCAGGTGTAGACCAGAACATGGTTGACCATTGGTTAGCTACATCATGTGCGCAATTCGTAGAGTGAAGATCCCAGAAACTTGGGCCGTTTTGCCATTACTGTGGACGGGTGGAAAAGCACACCTCGTCATAGTGACTACCGATACTAACTATCGCCAACTTCCATATCGTACCATCACACGCAGCCTCTCGCTGTGTAACTCACTAGTCTCAACAAACTAGTAATCTACGCGGTGTCTCTAGATGCAATTCTCGCTGTGAAAGATGCAATCAAACTGAAGAAACCTCCCGATGCCCGTCTTGTAAATCCTCCAATGCTTCCTAGTAGTACTCATCTCGGTGAAGGAAGAACCCCCTGGCGCGTCTGGGTGCCGGATATCTCTCGTGAACGTATGTTTAATTTACTTTAGCATCTAGGCGCTTCAGCACCTCCTGAACGTGGTGAACCAGGGCTTTCCTCTTTGCTCTGGCGTCTTGGTCGCCTTCCGTCTCCACTTCGTCAAGTTTCAACAGGATGTGCTGCATTGTTGTCTCTGACAGTTTCCGGTGCTCTTCAACGCGCTTCTTGGGGTCAGATGGCGGAGCTGCGATAAAGTTCTCGCAAAGAGGGAGCAGCTCGGTGTCAAAGTGGGTAGCAATGGCGTCGAGCTTGGCATGAGGACCAGTGGCCTGCTTGCTAGGCGAAGGCGACCTTCCACCATTCGGCGCCGGTACATTGAGATTTGATGCGCTGTCGCGGGGGCTGGTGTTGTTGCTGCTCCGGCCCTTCTTCGACTTGCGGCCTTTCTTGGACTTCCGGCCCTTCTTCTTGCCGTCATCGGTGCCGGCGGTGCTTCCGACAGTACTGGCACCGTCGCCGCCCACGATTACCATTTCTTCCTCCGATTCGTCGCTGCTTTCAGCCTCGACATCGCTCTCGGGCAGCACCACCATGACCTCACTGTTGTTCTTAACTCCGTAGTCACGGACAGGAGCAGCCGGCTCCTTCAACTGGCGGCCCTTGTAGAGGAGCTTCACGCGGCGGAGGCGACGATCTGACAGGTCCAGCAAGACTCCGACACGGTCTCGTACATCGCGCACTCGAAGCTTGCCGTCGCCGATGGCGTAGGCGGGGAAGTGGGCAGGGTAGGTGACGCCCTTGTTCTTGATGAGCAGGACATCGTCTTCGGGGACTGGGGCGTTGGTCCGTCGGGGGTTGTGGGCGTATGATCTCGTAGGAACGGAGGTGCCCATAGGGGAGGATTGGAGGTCCTCGGTGGTGATGTAGCTAAAGTCCTCATCCGTGACGTCGGGAACGCCACTAAGGGTGGACGAGTAGGGGGATATTTGCTCCCGATTTGTCGACCAACCGTATCGAGACATGGCTAGAGGAACTGCGAGCAGTATACAGCCGATAGTGGTGTAGAGGATTATGTTCGGGTCGACACCGGTTTTATCGGAGAGGTATTCGGATGAGCCTGCAATAGCTGTGGCAAGGCTGGCGATGGATTTGTCAAGATAGAGCTGGACTGTAGTGGGCAGCAATGCTGTGATGTTGGAAAGGGCACCAGAAGATGCCAGAAGAGGCTGACTGGAAGCCACCTTGGCGGGAGTAGGCGGTCCTTAAAGCTAAGGACGCAGTCTCGGGTAGAAAGAGGAAAGTGGAGGTAAGGTGGAGGAGGGGAAGTGAGGCAAGGTCGACTGCGGACGCAACAATACGATTCCAAGAGTGCTTGGGGGTGCGTAACGGCGGATGGCCCAGAGGAAAAAAGGGGATGATCGTGGCGTCGTGGGGATGGCCTCGTCTGCTGGGATTTTTCGGCTCGCGGGGAAGGGCTGATCAGGCCGTTCTGCAGCAACGCACAACAGGTCGTTTGGGGAGGGGGATTAGACGCAGAACGCTGAGCAGTGGGGTGGGCTGTCGGAGGACTGGCGTGGTGACGATCACCGGCCTGGGTCAAGGATCCAGCAGGAGAGTTTGGTGAGGCTGTTGGAGAGGACTGGAAGCAAAGTGGTGCGGTGTCAGCTTTGGTGAGCGTGAGCAGCGAGTAGTAAGGCAAGGGGGACTTGGAAGGTGGGCAGAGCTGGAGGCGGTCCTATGGGATGACGGCAGACGACAAGAGTTGGAAGCATGTATGTATGTGTACGTGTATGTATGAGTGTGTGAGTGGGCTGCGGAGGAGGTTCTGGAAACTGGGAAGCCAGCGAATGACGGGGATGCGGAGAGAGAAGCCGTGATCATTGGCCGGGCCGATCGCGACGGCGTCTTCAGTGGACATCCGGTGTGGCCTGAAATGGGGACGATGCGGTTGGAGAAACGTACCTGAACGGCGCGATGCTAGTATCACGGGGGAGGAAGCCGGAGGACTAGTAGTGAGAGATTTGGTGTCAACTTTGTGAAAAATGTTTTCTTTGTTCGTGATCAAATTTGCCGACGGCGTCTAAGGCGGTTGAAAAAGAGTTTCCCAGAGTTTGGCAATGTTGGATTCTGGATTTTCAGATGAAGATGAAAGGCTTTGAAAGGCGAGGTGGCAGGTTAGTGGCAAATGAGAAAGCTGGCAGCAAGCTCCTCCCCGGGAAGACCAGTGCGTTGGGGCCCCTGTAACTGCCCAGCTGCCCTACGTATTAGGATAAGATTAGGATAAGGATTAGGCGAACAACCGAAGCGGCTGAGACTCGGAGAGCCTGGCACCTCTGCTTTTGGGACAGGGGTTAATAATGGCCGCCCCGAACAACAGCCTTGGGATCGCCAACATCCTGACATGGACTCTGTATGGAGGCCCAAGAACAGATCGGGCGCTAGACGCGGGTATCTCTACTCGATAAGATCTATCCGTCTCTACTTTTCATACATATGTATGTGAGTGTTTTTTTTTTTTTTTAAACACTGCAACGTTGTCGTGGCAGCCTCAGGTATAATGGTTGGTCCCTGAATCCCTGGCACTGGAGAGGCAGAGTCCCTTGGACTCGGGCCAGCCAGAATGACGAAGGCGCACTGCCTCGCTGATAACGATAATCAGGGTCTTTGGCATTCTTATCTTAGCTTCATTCTTCCTTCTAAGTCCGTTCCGCGTTTCAACCGACTGCTGATAAACTTTCCCGATAAGACAAGACGGGCTATCAACGTAGTTGCAATGACCTCATGAGGGAATTGAATTGCTGACAGATCACGATGGGCAAAGTTGACTTTTAAGTGCTTACTGTTGCTAAATTCAACAAACTTTCATACATTTCATTGGACGGCGACTTTGTCCTATTTGGAAACTTGCAAACTGCGTAATTGGCGATTAGAAATTCCTCATGATGGAATCATTCCATTTGTCTGATGTGTTTCTGATTTCAAAGCTCCCCCGGGCGGCAAAACAAAACATTGAACTCAGTCAGCAACCAGTGAATGGGCAACTGTTGGTGAGTGCTGTTTAGTGGTTGCTGGAGAAAGTCAGGCCCCTGTGACACCAACCACACCACCCCCGACCGCCCAGCAATCGGGTTCCCGGCAATGCGCAATTCTGCCACCCAGGGGCCCTCCAACCTTCCACAACGGGGGATAGAAAAATTGGCCGGCTCTTTTAGTGGGCATGGGAACAAGCGGGCTTTTTTTTTTTTTCTGCCACCCGGGTGGCTTCTAGAAACCGACTATTTCCAATACCCATTCCCGATTGCATCATCCACATTGTCCCCCAGCTCGCAACGCATTGGAGTACGTCGCTTCTCCTACATCCCGCTGTCCCAGTTACCAACAAATTACCTCACCACCCTCTCACACTATAGCCGCTGTCAAAGTACAGAGTAAGTACTCTCTCCCTCACTCCCTCTGTCTCTCTCTTGTCTCTGTACGGCGTACTGCAGAACAGGCCCTGACAAATACCCACTTCCCTTTCCCCCTCCTCCCCAGCTCCTCTAAACATGTAATAGCCCTCCGTATTTATATCATCACCGCCCCTCCCCCTCTTCCGGTCCAGAGCCGCTCGAAATCAACCGTCAATGTCCTTCATCTTCCGTCGTCTATTCTCAGCCGCCTCAAACCCAGCAAACATGGCCGTCACCAAGCAGCAAGTCCAGTCCATCATCGACGAGAACAAGGTCGTCGTCTTCTCCAAGTCGTACTGCCCGTACTGCCGCCAGACCAAGTCCACCTTGGACGAGCTCAACGCCGACTACAAGGTCATCGAGCTTGACCAGCTCCGTACGTGTCTACCCTCGCCTGTCTCACTCTTCTTCTCCTTTTGGGACAGACATGCTAACAAACTTTATGTCACAGCCGACGGAGGCGAGATCCAGGACGTTCTCGAGCAGATCTCGGGCCAGCGCACCGTTCCCAACAGCTACATTGCCCAGAAGCACATCGGTGGCAACTCCGACATTCAGGGTCTTCTCAAGGGCAACAAGCTCGAGAACCTCCTCAAGGAGGCCGGCGCGCTCAAGGCGTAAGGCAGCACTTTTTCCTGTCCTTCAATGTGCGATAGAGAGAAATGGCATGAAAAAAAAAAAACAGGCAGCAAGCTGACGGGGTCCCCGGCTGTGAAATAAAGGTCGCCCAAGCTCTAGCTGGATTGCCTTGAGATGTCGAGTGTCTGATAAGTGTGTGTGGGAAGCGAATGGTTACCGAGATACCACCATGCAATGAATGGGAATGAGGATAGAGGTTAGCCAGTGTTTCTAGACCTCGTAGAGAAATCATCTAAACTACAAATGTACATGCATCTTCTTTTGCTCCATCTTCGTGTGAACTATACAATGCTACGAGGTAATATTTTTTCGGGAACCTCTGATTAGAGTTGAGACTCTTCTGATCTTTTTTTTTTTCTTTTTTTACGGGTGTTATACATCGTACGCCCTCTTATACAACCTGCGCGGCGACGGTGCCGACTGGTCTCTCGACGAATTCCATGACGCCATCGATGATGCTCGACCGCGCCGGCTCGGAGGCGACCTTGCTACCGGCCAGCCAGTTGAGCCACAACAGCAGCGACACGCGCTCGTCCTGCACCTTGCCGCAGCTCTGGCGCCCGAAGCTCCTGCCGTCATCGAAGATGACCTCGAGCGTGCCCTTCTCGTCGCGGGTGAGCAACAGCTCCTTAGACTTGGGCACCTTGCCGCGGCTGAACAATCGCTTGAACTCCTTCATCGCCTCGCCGAACGCCTCGTCGCCGTAGGCCTCCTTGTTGACAGACGACCTGTGGGTGATGGCTCTCACGAAGCCATCGCGCAAGTGAGGAAAGTCGGTGTCGCGGACGGGCACGATGCGGAACGCACTGCGGCAGCCGACCTCTTGAAGAAGCGCCGTCCATGTCTGCTCGCCCTCGACGGGGTCTAGCAGCTGCTGCTTCAGAGTATCGCGCTCAGAAGGCACCAGCGTCGTGGCGATCGGGTTGATCTTCTTGGTCAGGTAGTGCTGCAGCTTCGCGATGTCCTGGGTGGCCACGTAGTATCCCACCATGTATACCTGGATGCTCAGGAAGCTGACGGTCCGGATGCCGAGGCCGACGAGAGTGTACTCCACGCCGTCATTGTCCTGGATGGAGGCGGCGATCGGGGCCTGGGCGGCGGCTTCCGGGTCACGGGAGGAGGCGGAGTGCTTGGAAGAAAGTTCGATAGTGCGGGGGAAACTGGGGACCGTCTTGTTGCCCGTGGGCACGAGCTCCCTTCCTTCGTCGTCGTGGATGACGACCTTGCGCTTGCTGCCAGCCTCGGTCGTGAAGGTCTCCTTCGGCACCGACGAGTCGAGCTGGATGCCGGCGCGGTTGTCTACGCTCGGAGAGGTTTCGTCATCGCCCGCCTCGACGGCCTTGCGCTTCTTCTCGGCGGCTAGCGCCTTTCGCAGCTTGTTCGCCGTGTAGATGAAAGAGATGATTCCGGCAATGGCACCAGCGGTGAGGAAATAGGTGCGGTCGCGATCATAGTTGGAGCGAGCTTCGCTGAGCTGGTTGATGTTGAAGCGCTCGACTGGTTTGGTGGATCGCTCGCGGGTGAAGAAAGTGCGCCGGGGTGTTCGGACGAGCTGCAGACGACCCTTGGGCAGTGCCCGGAGAGTGCGCGGGCGGAACATTGGGGGCAGAAAGGGGGCTTTCGTTTTCGTCGATGAGGAAGAGGAGTGTCGTAGGGGCAAACAAATGGGGTGTGGTCTGATTGCCGGTTCGAATCGCGAGTGTCTTCGGATGGAGCTTTCTGACGGGGATGTTCGGGCGGGAGGACGGGTACAATTAACTCGATTTCGGTGCCGACAGGGCAGAACGACTCATGGCGCAGTCATGCGGGATCGTTGAGAGTTGTTCTTTCTTTCTAATGCGCGGCACAGACTGACGAGGCTGTCGCAGTATTGAGAGGAGGAGTCTGATCCTGAAGCTTGTAACCGGCAAAAAGAGTGGTGCTAATTATTATGCATGCAAATGTCAATTGGACCTCCGAAAAAGCACCTGTCAGTGACCTGGGTTCAGTGGATGGTGGGCCGATGCATGGAACACGGGGTGTAGTGCCATGACGTCTTGAGCGTCACGTGGCACGGAGATCTCCGTTATGTGGGGGAAGTGGTGGTCAGTGCAGCACGCTCACTGAGATCCCTGGAGTACACATGAGTGAGCAAAAGCAATCTATTGAAAAGAGAGCCGCACAATATGCCACCTGTCAATGGTCAATGATGGTTCCCGGTTTCTGCTATAGTTGCTTGAACTCGTCAGGTCTGAGCTCTCGATCATGGCACGTGCTGGCGGCACGATACGGGAGGAAATACCCGATGTCGAATTCTAAGGGTTCAACGACTCGCCGCGTTTGATGTATTGCATTTGAGGCTGCTGACCACGAGGTTCTGGACCTCCAGGCTTGGCGGTTAGGAACCTCTACCCCGTGTTTTGTCATTGTTGGCATAACGTTGTGGCTGAGTGGAGGAGAGCTAATTTGTATGTTGTGTTGGTAAAGCACAGGAGACCTCTCGCGTGTCTTTGATATGTGAGTTGGAGAGCAAGATGAATGCCCCCAAACCAGAGTATGATGCTGACTGGTTGGCAATCCGTGACCGTCTAACCGCCCCCATGCGATGGCGTCCAAGATGTGCAATGCCAGCCTGCTGAGCCACGGGGCCATGCCCATACATTTGACCGAACTTGTCTGACTACATGTGCTTCTCAACGGTCCTCTTGCATGTAAACACTGCACTGCCCTCCTTCACTTTAATGATCCTGCAGATAGCTAACCCTGCAGTGCGGTACTTGCGCAATCAACATACGATTACAGAGCCATGGCGACGGTGGCTTCCTCGTAGTACACCAACCAGATCCAGGGGCTTGCTTCGTTACGAATGCCAACACCAACGTCAATGACGAACGGGGTGAGACCAGTGCAGGTGATGATCGCCTCGTCTCACCCTCACTCATCCCGATCTGCATGCTCCCCGCACTTTTACATATGGCTAATTTAGCTATTCTTAACACATGAGCACAAAAATAAGGAATGAAACTTTTGGCTTTGGGTTTTCCAACTCAATCGGGCCCGTCTGTATCATGTTTTGGTGTCTCCAAGTTGGAGGCGAACCTCGGAAGCCCGGAAACACTTTCGCGAACGAAACCATCTACGAAAAGCAAGGCGGCAGCTTGTCCGCTTAACTGACAAGAACAGGAAGGGCTGAATTAGAATTTGAACCCTCGTTGGAGTCAACTCTATGTCCAGCAAGCTCGCGTGCGTCTGTGTAAGCCGGCTTGGCATTGTGCCAAGAGATCAGCGACCATGAGGGAGGAGAGGCTGCGATTTGGAAAACACGCCGAAGACGCGAATCGCGGCTCATAACCTCCGACCTCCGACATTTACATCTGGCAGACGGGTTATTCCGAAGAATTTCATGAACTACGGACGGTAATGATTCAATAAGTGGCGCTGGCGCCTTCATGCTGCTGCTGCTTGCTCGAAATTCCATTGGCGACAAGGGGAGGATTCAGTCAAACATGGTAGCCCGGACAGCAGATGGCAGGCGGAGCCAGGATGGTTGGGAATGGAAACGGTATCAGGTGCAGGGCAGAGCCGTCAACCGCAACTCGAGCATCCCTGGCATGATACTGGAGGAAAGCATGGAAGCAGTCGAGACGCCAGCCACGAAACAAAGCTCCTCGGGGGTTGGGGAAGCAGGCTTAACGGTCCTTTTGCAGTGAGTGAGTGCATTACATCCCAGCATCCGAGGCCCTGACATCCCGTCTCGACAGTCTCGGAAGGTAGAGGAGACCTTCATGAGACCGTCACCAGTCATGCCTCCAGAGGCAAACGAAAGCGTCTGTGCTCTTTTGTGATTTAAAATTGAGGGAGACTGTAGGAGAGTGGCCTGAAGCAGTTGAGGGAGATGGAAGATGGGGTTCGAGGCGTCCAAGCGGCGGAAAGACGGGTATCTAGCGCACATCTCGTCACCGAGAAGGAGAGAAGGACCCATTAGTCTTTTTAAACTCTGGCTAACATCATTTAATCGAATCATTAGACGGCTCGTCCATAGCAATAGCAAGGTTAAATTGGGCTGTACTATGACTGCGTAGATAGAATTCCTTCAAGGGCAGTGCGCAGTTTCTCGGATAGACCCTGTTCGCCGAATATGACTCTGCAGCAGCTTCTGAGGTCATTACATTCCCGTTTACTTACATCATTTACCATGTCCTGCGTCTTGAAATGGCCAACGTAGATCTCTCTGGTAGTAGTATCGGCAACCAAGTAATAGACGGTCTTGCATGAGATTCGACACTTGCAAGCCGGACTAATAGCCGAGGAACGCAGTAATTCAAGCACGTAGCTCTGGTAACAATAGATCAGCTTCAATGAAAAATTGGGGGGAAATTTAAGAACAAGAAAAGAGAAAAAAAAAAAAAAAAATGCAACGGCTTGGTGGTGCGTGCCTCTCATCGTTCATTGATCAGAGGTAGCGTCAGGTACAGCAACGCCTCCTTCCTCTGTGCAGCGAGACATCAGTACGTGCCGACCAAGAAGTGACGTTTACACACCCGCTGTCTCCACCTCGTTCCCCGGCAGCTGGGGGGGCACAGCAGTCACAATGGCCAAAGTATCTTTTTGGTGTCTCAGTGATCTAAAGTACATCGTGACACTCTGTACTCCGTAGGTTTCGCTTTTTAGCGGCTGCGAACGGGACCCCGCTGAACAAGGTGGTCAGCGGGCATTGGTACCCAATGGCAGTCACTCTCACCTACTAGTAGACGGGTAGAAAGTCACATAGTGTACTTGGTATTGTTTGGCTGCATAGTGCAGCCACATAGGATATGGTAAAAAAGGCCTGACCTTTCCACCACAACACAGCGCATAAACATCTCAGCAAGGCTGCGAAAAATGCCCCACGTTCTGTGTCGGGGAAGTCGTCTCGTCTCCTATGATCTGGTTTCGACGTTGTTGGTCTGCCCAGTCAGGATGTTTTTCTGCTTCTTCCCCCTTGGTTCTTATTTCAACTTAAAGAAGGAATGGTGACAATGCACTTGTAGATTTTAGTGTATTTCAGCGGAAGGTGTGGGGTTGCTTCTGGGCCCCTGCTTTCCTCTTACATCGTCCCGTCTCTATAGGAAAGCAAGTACTCGTATTTAGGGTAGGTACCTCTTGCTCTCTCTTTCTCTCCCTTCCGGCAAGTACCTCATTGGTAGGCTCCACTGATAGCAAGTATCTCACACCTGCATTAATGCCGTAAGATACATTCAGCTACGCCTTCCTTGCCTGCATGTTCCCACGGTCCTTTGTCACTTCCTTTCCCTCTCTCCCTCCCTTGTCTCTCTCATCCTGCTTCCCGCGCCTCATCATCTGCTTCTGCCAGTGATGCTTTGCTGCTTTGTCCCTCCTCCTGTTGCCGGGTACTTTTCTTCGCCTGTATCCATATACACAGATATTTGACATCCTCAGCGTTACGCCTACTGTGCATCTGTTTTGCCTTTCTATTTCCTCCCTCAACTGTGGCTCTATCCCGTCTCGTTTGCTCGGACTCCCGCCCACAGTCTGAAGATTCAACAAACATCACTCTACACCACCAAAAGAAACCCCATAGCTGCAAGGTGGTGGTCACGCGACGACTTCGCCTACTTGTTGTACGGACGCCTTGCTTTAAGTCACAGTTGCCTCCTCATGACGCCCAGAGGTACCTAACTGACTTTTGGTTTTTGCTTTGTTGTTGTTCCAGCGCCTCCAACTCAACCAGGTGCCCTCTGTCCTGGTTCTGACTTCTCCGCTACCTCCCCCACCACCAAAACGAGTCACGACCCCAAGTCTCCAACTCGCAGAGAGAGAAAGAGAGAGAGAGAGAGAGCGCCTAGGACTTCAAAGACCCTCAAGGACCTCAGGCGCAGCCCAGTCAAGGCCCCGTCGAGTTCCAGTTCAAGCCCAGGCGTGTCAGGGTGTCACCTCCTCCACCTCGCTCTCTCCACCACACCACGCCAGGCCTTAACTGCCTTAGCTTCACCCCATCACCATTCGCCAGGGGACTGACTGTTTTTGTTGGATACGGATACTGCTGCAGCCGCTGTTGCTTCTCCTGCCGCCGCCTCCGCTGGCTCCTGGCTGCTGTTTCTGCTGCGGGAGAGAGACACCGCTGCAAACCTGAATCACCACAAACAACATCTTCATCCACCTCCCCGGCCTCGACTCCGTTCTGTCTAGCCCGCGCGACGCGAACTCTCTCCCTCCATCATTGAGTTTAGAGACTCCCCATTCACAGCCTCCACATCCACATTGAGAGACCAGATTACGCACATTTTCCTCTCCTCGGGAAGCCCACTTTGGCTCTCCCTGACGTCGACTACAAACCCCCTCGTCCTGGTTCTTGGTCACCTTGGCGGCTCCCCTTCGTCATACAACAAATCCCGCCCGCCTGTCTTGTTGCCCTGCCCAGCCCTGCTCGGCACAGCGCGCGCGCTGCAAAGCACCAACACAGGTACACACACACACACACAAACCCCGTCATCCTCTTCTTGCTGCTAGTCATCCACTACCAACGAAAAGGTACCTAGCCGAACGGTGGCCCAGCATCCTTTTTCTCAGGTCTTCCCCGTCCTGAACCCTCCACTTTCGGAGCCTCTCCATTACCATTTTCCGTGGGTCACCCGTCAGCGTCAGCGTCCACCACCGGCCTCGTGGGACTGGTCCGCCATCACTCAAGGAGTCAACCCTCGTTCTGGTGACAAATCCCCGCCATTTGCCTTGTCGACCTTGACCGATCCGCGACAAATCGACGACAAACAACAATAATTTCGACCTGTCATTGCTACCCTTTGCTTCGCTCATACACTCCCATCGGGGACTCGACTCCCCTCCAATCCCCCTAAACCGAGAGGGAGTAAATAAAAAAAAAATTACCCGCACGACTTCCTCGATCTGCCGACCGATCTTTTGCTCACTCGTCCGTATCCGTCGCTTGTCGCCCATGATGAGGCCCGCAGTCCCCTCAATAGCAATCATGGCTGCACAGTCAGTCACACCCGACTCCCGCTCTTCCTCGTCCACAAACTCTCCCGCTCCTGCCGACAACGAGGAGTCGGATTTCTTCATCGCCGGCAACGACTCGCAATCTTCCCTGGGCGTCCCAAATATCGAGGACATGCAAGTCAACGACGACCCGTGCCAGCCCGCCGTCAACCGGCTGCCCAGCGAGATCCTCATTTCCATCTTCGCCAAGCTCAACAGTTCTTCTGATCTCTTTCACTGCATGCTTACATGCAAGAGATGGGCGAAGAACTCGGTCGACTTGCTCTGGCATCGCCCAGCATGCACCAACTGGAAGAACCACTCATCCATCTGCCAGACGCTGCAGCTCGAAAACCCCTTCTTCGCCTATCGCGACTTCATCAAGCGCCTTAACCTAGCCGCGACCCCGCTCGCCGACAGGATCAACGATGGCAGCGTCATTCCCTTGGCGGTATGCACCCGTGTCGAGCGACTTACCCTGACCAACTGCCGGAACCTCACCGATCAAGGCTTGACTGCGTTGGTGGAAAATAGCTCTTCGCTGCTCGCCCTTGACATCTCTGGCGACGAGCACATCTCAGACGTCTCCATCAGGACCATCGCCGAGCACTGCAAGCGGCTGCAGGGCTTGAACATCTCTGGCTGCAGGCTAATCACCAACGACAGCATGATCATGCTTGCAGAGAACTGTCGATTCATCAAGAGGGTGCGTTTTGCTGTTTATTACTCATTCCCTAGCCTGATATCGCGGACATTCGCCTAATATTGGATTTGCACTGACTTGTCATGTTTTTTAGCTCAAACTCAACGAGTGTGCCCAACTGCAGGATAACGCGATTCTGTCTTTTGCCGATAACTGCCCAAACATTCTCGAGATTGATCTCCACCAATGCTCCCAGATTGGGAACGAGCCCATCACTGCCCTCATCGCCAAGGGCCAGTCCCTTCGCGAACTCCGTCTCGCCGGCTGCGAACTTATCGACGACAGCGCCTTTCTGTCTCTGCCTCCCAACAAGACATACGATCACCTGCGCATTCTGGACCTTACCTCCTGCGCGAGGCTTACGGATCAGGCTGTGCAGAAGATTATCGAGGCGGCTCCGCGTCTGCGCAACTTGGTACTCGCCAAGTGCCGCAACATCACTGATGTTGCCGTAAACGCCATTTCGAAACTCGGAAAGAACCTGCATTACTTGCATCTGGGTCACTGTGGTCACATCACGGACGAAGCAGTGAAGCGACTGGTGCAAGCATGCAATCGCATAAGGTATATTGATCTCGGATGCTGCACGCTTCTGACCGACGATTCCGTGATGCGTTTGGCCCAGCTGCCAAAGCTCAAGAGAATCGGACTCGTCAAGTGCAGTAACATTACCGATGAGTCCGTGTTCGCCCTCGCTCGCGCCAACCATCGTCCGCGGGCACGCCGAGATGCCAACGGTAACATTGACGAATACTACGCCTCCAGCCTAGAGCGTGTCCACCTGAGTTACTGCACGAACCTCACATTAAAGGCAAGTTATGCCTCTCCCTTATGGTGCTGTCATTGGCTAACCGGGAAACAGAGCATCATCAAATTGCTCAACTACTGCCCACGTCTCACGCATCTCAGTTTGACAGGGGTCACTGCCTTTCTCAGAGAAGAGTTCGCCGAGTTCTGCAGACCCCCTCCTCCCGGTGAGTCTCTTCCATTTGTAATCACTCAAAGCATGCCCAACTGACAAGCCCAGAATTCACGGATCACCAGCGCGGCGTATTTTGCGTCTTCTCTGGCGCTGGCGTTTCAAAGCTCCGCGAATACCTCAATAACTCTCCCGAATACGAAGGCCTTCGAGATTCACCTGCCCCGCGATACTCGGGTGCGGGCATCTTGTCTCGCCGAAACATTGATCCCCGTTCTGCAACCCCCGGAAATGCCGGCCCAGCCAACGGCGATGCGGAAGGCGATGATGCGGAGGCGCCAGAGGAAGATGAATTCGATGGACTAGACGGCAGCGAAATGGCAGTGGACGGACAGCCACTTTTGGCGCAGAACCTCGTCAACGGAAACGCAACGCAGAATGGCATGGCTCCACCGCCACCACCTAATCACGTACCTCTGAACGGCGCAGTGCCCATGTTTGCGCAACCACTTGGTCAGGCCCCATTACTCTTTAGCCCTACCAGCCCCAGCTTCCCCCAGTCGGCCCGCTCGCCGACGGCAGCGGGCCCGTCAAACCACCCACTGCCTTTGGTCATCTCTAGCCATTACACTCCTAACTCCCCAACAGCAGGACACAACGCTTCGACCGCAACTGCCATCTCGCCGCAAGGTACAAACCTCGGCTTCCCGGCGTACACAAACAGGCGACCGACCTCTATAGGTGCCAGCACCGCGTCAATGGAGGCCTCGATGTTGAGCCCCGCAATCCATCGCGATAGGCCCGCAAGCGTCATCTCAATGGAGGCGTCTATGTTGGGGCCATCCGACCCAAATATTCCAGAGTCTGCCGCATCGAACGCCCCACAGCATTCCTAAGGGGCATCTGGTGAATATGGATTTCGATGAAGACTGGCCCAGATTCAGAAAGGAGAAGAAAATGATACGTACGGCATGAGATACGCAACGGCAAATATACCCTGGAGCGCTTGGGAAACACGGTACACAGTAGACTGGCATAAGGAACGTGTTGATAACCTTATGACCTTGGTTGGGCTTTTTTTTGGTCCTCATAGCCATTTTGGCATTGCTTGGGAGAAAGTTTAGGGGCTACATCTCTCATCCCGAGGCGTTGACTGGGTTCTTCCATTACGGTAAACCTGTTTGGTTCTTTCGGTTCTTTTTTTTACACAAATTTCATCACTTGGCTCTATTTCCCTTTCCGAATAGTGTTTCTCGGCAGTAGACTATGGGTTTTCTTTCCCGTTATTTTTCATCTTGTTTTCTTCTTTTTCTTTTTTTAAAGCTTCTGGCATTTTCCCAGCCTTCAGTTCGGTAGCGGTAGGGTACACAAGCGGGGTGGACGTGGCCAAGCCCAGTCAAAGGGGGGAGCGGCAATCAGACATTGATGGAGATCAAGGCATGCCTTATTTGAGGCCGGTATTTTAACGGTGCGAAAGGTATAGGCAGTGACGGTATGACCATAGAAGACCGCTCTGGCGAGGGTCGGACGAATTTAATGCCCTTGTAAGCCTTTTAATCAGGGTTGCTCTCCATCTGCTTTGAAGATGAAATCTTAGGTGCTCATGTGCTCATGATAAGACTTCCCGGCTACTGACGGGTGATGATCGACACTCCTATGCAGAGATTCAAAAACTCTCAAACTAATACACATTAAGATGATCTCACCAGAAACCCGGTATCGCCTGGACCTTGTCCTGGTTATAAGCCTCCAGCTCTTCGCATTTCTGCGTCACATACCAGTGAACCAAGTCCCTAGAAGCCAAGGCGTCCTCCAGGCTGTCATGGCCCATCTTACCGGCTTGTATAACGCGGCCCAGAAGATCGCGTGCGAGGGACTTGAGAGAAAGGCCGCCGCCCTTGTTGTGCCTGTTCGGCTCCTGCTTCTCCTTCTCTTCCGAATTGCCTGTCTCTGAGGTTTCTTGGCCGTCAAAGATGATGAGGTCATCATCATCAATACCGGTCTCCTGTAACTTCAACACAACCTTCTTCCGCTCCTCTTCCTCTTCCGCCATCTTCTCTTGCTCGGCCTTGGCTGCCGTGGCGAGGATCAACGAGTCGACGACCAGAGGGTGGATCCAGCGCAGGGAAGCGAGGTCGTTCTGCACCGCGTGTCCGATGACAATGGTTTCGGGGCCCACCCACCTCCACACCTCCTCCCGGGCCGCGGCCAGTCCTCCGATGAGACACTTTCCCTTGTCGCGGGCTTCATTCATGTCCTGGCGGGAAACACCCGAGTATCTGGTGTTGTAATGCTGCATTCGCACCGTTGGATAAACGAGACTATCGAGAAGAATTTCCGAGGTGAAGTAGTCGATGAGCGTGAGGCGGATGAGCTCAGATTCGCCATCAAACGCGACGCCCATTTCGCAGTCCAGGGCTACCGCGGGGCGGGGATGACGGGGCAGACCGGAGGGTGTGTAGGAAGTGGGGTCCGTCTGGCCGGAGATGGGAACAAGGGGCCGCCGGTTGAGGTCGAGAAGAGGAGATGAGGGTGTCCTATGGAATTGATGGCGAGCGAGGAGGTCGCCTGGAGCATAAGTTCTGGTAAGGTGGTCTGGAGCGAAGGTGCAGCCTGGGGCAGAGACATGAGTTCGGCAGCAATTCCATTGCTGATGATGTTAGTCTGGGAGGAAGGACGAGAGAGATCGTGGGGGGACAATACCATGCGAATTACGCGGCCGGTATGATACTGGCATTTGAGGACTGGCCTGGTGGACTTCTCTTCATTCTCTTTCACCATGCCATTGTCGACGGAGGCATCGGCACTAGCGACGGGTACGATCTTGGCTTTGGGCTGGGGTGTGGATGGTTTTTGCGGGGGCCTCTTATGCCCCTTCTGGTTATCCTGAGCATCCGGTCTGTACCTGTTCCTCTTGCTTGAGCCTGTAGGTGTGTTAGTATTTGGAACCGTGAGATAATAGAAGTATGAGAAGCCTTACAGCGAGCATTACATCTCTTACAGCGCTTCTTGTCATCAATGTCCGCCTGGGAAAGTGGGGTGACGACAAAGCCGTTCTTGATCAAGAGGTTATGACGGTGTGTCATGGAGCGGAGCTGCTGGAGGTAAATCTGTGTCGGCTCAATCGTAGCCGAAGGAGAACCGTATGGGTTCGTAGACGCTTCCTGAGATGGAATCTGAGGTTGGAAGAAGGCCATCGCAGGAAATGAAAATGGCGGTGATGGTTTTGGGTTGTGCTTTTCTCCAAGCTAGGATCTGGAAGTAAATGGCGTGGTAAGGTTTGCAGTAGTCGGGAACCTTGATATCCGCGATTCAAAGTGATGGACGATCACCTTCTTCCGGGGCAAACTGCGTTGCTTTATGAGGACTCGTGAAGTTGATGGGCGTGTGGTTGTTTTGATGATGATGTTGGCGGCCTGCTGCAGACGCTTGTCTCGGATTGACGGCCTGACTGATTGTTTGCACCTTCCACCTTCCCTTTAGGTTCTGCGCTTACCTCGCCCCTTCTCCTTTCTTGATTCTTCCTCTCTTTCCTTCCTATTCGATTTCAATGTGCAGCGCTTGTTGGCAGGTGCGAGGCAGATTCCGGAAATCGAAAAAATGGACCCACTTTCGTTGGTGACGACGGCGGCGGCGTAAGTTGGGTCTCTCCGGGCCTCTGTTGGTCTCCGGAACGGCTCAGCCATGGAGAAGCCGACCACTTCTCGCGACCCGGCAGGGATGTAATGTATTTGAGTTCGTTCTTAATGGTCATGGCGGCTGCGTAGTGTAATTAATGGCCGGCCTGGCCTAGCCAACCCCGCTTGTTCAGCTTTCAGACACCTGACGCTGATGGTAACAACGCGACTAGTCAGCCTCGGAAGTGTTTTCCTTGTCGGATAGTTGTAAATGAAGAAATAGTAAGTTCTGCTTGTAACTTGGTCTGACGTTTTATATACATGTTTGTGGTTTGCCTTTGCCTTGGATTAATAATCCTGATGTTGGCATGTGATAATTAAAGGTTGAAAATAAAAGCCAAAAAAAATTAATCATAGGTGTGATTGTAAGATCTGAGTCTATATATTACCGAAAAACAGTTTCTGAGGTACTTAAGAGTAATAACAAGTTCTAAACATATCAGAATTGATTAGATGCAATGTGAACAACCCTCAGCTGCCAGAAACCCTTTCTCCGGTATGGTGTGTGCTCAGTATCACATTGCTTTCTATATCCTGGAGGCATCTTCTACACAAAGAGCATGATAGAAATGAATTTTATGAGCTTAAAGTGATGATATCATGTGCTGTTAAGAGTTCTTGAATCCGTATGATGTCGAATGGTCTGGCATTACCTAGGAGGAGGGTCTCCGCTGACTTTAAGAAGAGATCGCCATACGCTGGCGATAAGAAGCGTTTACTAGTACATAGAACTATAAAAATTTTAGTCCAGAGGTCTTGATTCGTCTTTAAAATGTACACAAGTCCTGTTCAGCCGCCACAGTAGGGCCAAGGCAACAAGGCAGGGTACATCGCGATATACGTGGTGAACGAGCCACTCACCGAAGCCCGCTCACCGAGGTGACAGTAGCCCCACCAAACCCTGCCACGTGACTTTACCCATAAGGATCAGAGGCGTGGGGTTTCACTAGAGGCTTCCCACACCGCACTCAATACGCGTCAAACAATGTCGCGTAACCCAGATTATGGAGTCAATATCGCTTTTGCTCTTAATGTGAAAAGAAAAAGGGTAACATGAATTCTCGATAATGACAGAAAGCTAACAAACAAGAAAACAAATCAAGCCTGAAAACCACCATCTCTTGCAAGCCAACGAATTAGATGGCTGTTACGTGCAGTATCTCATGTGGAGGACATGATCAACAAGTATCATAAAACATGTGATAGCTGTTCGTGTATCAATACTCACAGCGGCCGCAGTATGAACACTCTTGCGAGCAGGCAGTGAAGTCGTCTGATTCGTCTTCGCCATCACTCCAAGCCAGCCCACTCCCTCCCACATCAGAATCATATTCGCCCTCGTCCTCGCTACTAGCCACCGTACTTCCTAACCATGCCCCCCATTTTGCCATCACGTCTACCGAACACACCCCCGACAATCCGGGAGTTTGCTCTCGGAATTCTAGTTTCTCAGGACTTTGCCGACTAATCTCCAGCTTCCCGCCGTGGATACGGACAAGATTGACGATATGATGAAGGAGTGCTGCCAGCCGGGAGAGCTCTTCATTCTTCTCCTTCTCCCACTCCTTGATCTTGGTGGACACGTCCATGATTTGGATGTCGTTGAAGGTTCCGCGGTCATGATATGCCAGTACGAAGTTGGGAATCTGCGCTACCCACATACGTGGAAGTTCCTCTCCTAGAAAATCGTGACCTTTGCGCCGGCTGGACCGCGTCTTAAGATCGAACATTGCCGATTGAGGAACCTTGAACCCTCCCGATTGCATCTGCAACTGGGATGAAGAGCCAGGACTTGTTTGGCTCACCTTGTTGCCGCCCAGGCTGGCAATGAGCTCCTCAACAGTGCCTTCTCCGGTGCCAACTTCACGCTCTGCGTAGCCTGACGACGACATCAATTTGTTCTTGAGGTAGCCGTCGCCTTCATAGCGGACGAGACAGCTGAGACCACCAAAGTCATACCGGAGGACCCGCTGATGAGATGCCGAGCCACGAACATCAACATCCCAGCTTGTATAAGTCTCTGGAAATGTGTGGCCGTAGCCTCTGACGTCGTCGATTGTTTCCGTGGGCGAGTTCTCCCTGCGGATCAAGTGGACTGTGCTCCCAACCACCTCCACGAGCATTCGAAATGGCCGTTCCTTGCCTTGTACAAAGCGGAGAAGGTTGCCAAGTGTGCTTCCACAGGCGACAAGGTTGACCTTTCTAGTGAGAGAGTCTGGATGCATTGACAGAACAGCTTGGATAGCCGGTTCCATTGGATGTGTGGGGTATCGAGAGGCATTCTTGTCACGATAGTAGACACCGTTGTCCTCCCGCAGTGCGGTAGTTTCTGCAGGCGGCGTCCATTTGGCTGGTGCACCTATTCTGGTTAGCAAGATCAAGCCAGCGGAGCAATGATGCATCACTTACCTGGGATCAGGATTGAAGGCTTCGCTCTATCAAGCCAGTTGTATGAGGCGATGAGCTCGCATTCGGTCACCTGGGCGGACGACACGAACGCCAATGCTGGTTTTGAGAGGTCGGCAATGTTAATGGACTCTAGTAGAGATCCAAATGCCGGACCTGGCGACGGCTTCTCCGGCCCCGGCCGGCGATGCCAATGACGATTGCGCTGATACATGTTGTGCTGATACATATTATGCTTCTTTTGGTCGTGGGTCCAGAAAAAAATTGTGTGAAAGGAAGAGTGATCCAGCAAGCTCAAGGAGGTATCGGGGCATATCAGGCTCCCTTTTGAAGCATTGCTCATGTACCATTTTGCCTTGCAGACGATGAGCCACTCACAGCCTCTTTTGATGCAGGAGGCCGGCCACAACTCCAACGGGGCGACCAACAGCGACCCAGATTGACCTTCGATGGCATTCTGCCAGACGTTTTTTATACTTTGATTGCATTGACTCCCAACAAAACTGTTGGAGCCGATGCCTGACTTTGCCAGCCTGCTTCTACCGCAATAAGTGATAAGGGCTGGCTGTTCCCCTCGCCAAAGTACTCAAACGCTCCTCGTTGTCATTACATTCCTATTCTCTGCTCTTTGATCGAGCAGTGCTTCTGGATTTCTTCAATTTGCGAGTAGTTGCCATTTGGCATTTCTCTTTACATTTGCCGTTTCGCCCACGCGGTTGCAGCCTGTGCCTAACACCCCCATCCTTTCCAACATCATGACTATTACACCGTCTGACCCACGTCGCGCTTCTCGTCTTGAGAAGAAATTCAAGGATGTTACAATTGGTAATCGGCAAATCACAACGGCCATCGACGCTCGTCTCTTCCTTGAAGCTGTTTGGACCAAACCCACACCAGCTGCGTGTTTGGAGCTTGTTACCAACAGCAGTGCCGGATTGGATGCCCTTCGCCATAGTCTACGAATCGACTTGTCAGTCTCTTTCATGAAGTCTCATGTTCTTCCATTCATTGCCTACCTGAACGACCCAGGAGTGAAGATGAGGTACAATGGCCAACTCCTCCACAATATCCTTCTGCTTATCATCGACCCCCCTGTTCTTTGGAACAACCTCGTCAGTGTGTACAAGGCGGCTCAACTCAACGAAGAAGAGCTTTACGTGTTTGCCTGGATGTGCCTTGAGCTGTCAGGCCTTCCAGGAAACGACCATGACAGCATCATCAGCGACATCTCGTCTGTCCTGCAGCAGCCGCCGTTCCAGGAAACCCAGGACCATAGAACGCGAGATCTCATGTATAGAATCAAAAACACACTGGATCTCAGATGCACCAACTCTACCGAGAAAACCCTCGAAGCTGCTGGTGGCCGCCACGACAACGATTTCGCCAACTTTCGCAAAATTGCCATTTTCCCTACCAGCGACGAGTTCTACTCGAGCACCTCACCTTTTTATCGGCAGGCTTGTGAAGTTGCGGCGGTTGAATCAGCCATACGACCAAAGATTCACCTTGATAACCAGTTTCGCCTTTTGCGAGAAGATATGCTCGGTGAACTCCGCGACGACCTGAAAATAGCGACCGGAAGAAAGAGGTATAAGAAGAGCCCTCAAATACTTGCCGGGCTGACTTCAGCTGGAATAAATACTGGCAACGAGGAAAGAGGACGATTCTGTGCCCTCTACGTCAGCTGTTTATACGGCTTGGAATTTATGAAACAGCTAAACACTCAACAACGCAGCAAATTCCTGGATGACAACAAGAGATTCCTTTGCCATAATTCCTTTGGTGCTCTCTGCGGCGAAAACCACATCGTAGCATTTGCTTTCCTAGTCCGGGACGTCGACCAGTTGGTGAAGTGGCCTCCTATTGTCGGCTTGCAGTTCACCAGTAGCGATGCCCTTGCCAGAGCCTTACAAGCTTTGAAACCACGAAACAATCTTCGGTTCATACTGGTTGATACCCCGGTCTTCGCATACCAGCCTGTACTCGAACGCCTGCAAGAAATCAGCGAGATGCCTCTCGCAGGTGGTCTTCTCCGCCTCGATACCGACGAGGAGGAGTTTTCGACGCCTTCCTTGAACCTATCTACGTCTATGCAGAACCATGTCAGAAATCTCGAAGGGCTACTGGCTGGTGATTGCCAAAAAGTCATGATGAATGGCTTCAACCTCGATCAGTCTCAGGCACGAGCTGTACGGCATGCGTTACAAAGCTCTGTGGCCCTCATCCAAGGCCCCCCTGGTAAGTTACTTTCTGTAACCATTAAACCATCGTGGAGGTTTCGTGGGTTTCACTGCTTTCTACAACCTACTGTACCACGCATAATTCTCGATCATATTGATCTTGAGGTTGTATATTGGAGATTAACTCTTCTTCTAGGTACTGGCAAATCATTCGTGGGCGCTCTGGCAGCCAAAATCCTATTGGAAGACCCTCAAAAACGTATTTTGGTTCTTAGCTACACTAACCACGCTCTTGATCAATTTCTCGAAGATTTGATGCGAATCGGCATCCCTTCTGACATTATGGTTCGCCTTGGCTCCAAGTCTACCGAGGCTACGAAGATGCTGTCTTTAGAAAAGGCAGTCCGTAAGACTTACTTCAAGTGGTCAAGAGGAACGAAAGAAAAGATGGACAGGCTGAAGTCTGATTCATTTGGATTGAGGGACCAGATAGAATACGCATGTAATGATCTGTTGCAGCCTAAAGTCAGGTGGTCAGACCTCTTGGAATTTCTCGAATTCCCCGAGGACACGCACGACTTCTACGAAGCATTTGCATTGCCCGAGCAGAATGATGGATTTCAGTTTGCAGGACAAGCTGGGAAAAAGATGTCACCTGAGTATTTGCTCGAGCGCTGGGCACATGGAAAAGGCGTCGGTAATTTTCGCCAACTCAGATCAGCGGTCAGCCAAGGTATATGGAGGCTACCAATCGCTCAGCGACGTCAACATATAGAAGACTGGACAAAACGTCTCCGAGACGAGCAAATAGAGACGGTCCAGAATTTGGCACGGCAGTTCGATGAGGGCCAGAGTCAGTTAGACACCCTCTACGGAGAATCTAAATGCGCCTATATACAAACCAAGAGGGTCATAGGATGCACTACAACCGCGGCTGCCAAGTACAAATCCCTCATCAAGGCAGCCAAGCCGGACGTTGTTCTCGTTGAAGAGGCTGGCGAGATACTGGAGGCGCATGTGTTGACTGCTTTGCATTCAGCAACAAGCCAGTTGATCCTGATTGGAGACCACAAACAACTTCGACCAAAGATCAATAATTACGCACTTAGCGTGGAGAAAGGAGACGGCTTCGATCTCAACCGTTCGCTCTTTGAGAGATTAATTCTCCAGGGGCACGAACATGTTACTCTTCAGAAACAGCATCGCATGCATCCAGAAATCTCACACTTGGTTCGGGAGATGACATATCCAAACCTTCTTGATGATGAAAAGACCCTTTCCAGAGGAGAGCCAAAGGGCTTGCAGGGAAGAGTAAGCTTCATCAACCACAGTCACCAGGAGGATTTGGTGAAAGAGATCGCTGATCGACGTGATGCTGGACTCACACCGAGCAAGAGCAATCAGTTCGAAGCCCAAATGATTCTAAAGCTTGTAAAATACCTAGCACAACAAGGTTACAAGACGGATAATATCGTGGTCCTCACTCCTTATCTTGGACAGCTTCGGCTCCTGAGAGACTTGCTGAGCAAAGAAAATGATCCTATCCTGAATGATATAGACTCGGGCGAGCTCATTCGAGCCGGGCTGATGACTGCAGCTGCTGGGAAAGTCAATCCCGGATCAGGTCGCATCAAACTATCCACCATAGGTAAGATTCTCATCCGTTGCTAGAACTACAAGTTGATCAATCGCAGACAACTATCAGGGTGAAGAAAGCGATGTCGTCATTGCATCCATGACACGAAGTAACAAGAAAGGGGACATTGGATTTATGAAAGCCCCTGAACGTCTGAACGTGATGTGCTCTCGTGCCAGGGAATGCCTTATCATGATTGGTAATATGGAGACGTTCATGAGATCTCCACAAGGTAGGCAGGTATGGGAGCCGTTCTTCAAGTTGCTCAAGGAGAAAGACTACCTGCACGATGGGGTGGCCGTTATTTGTCAGAAGCATCCTGAGAAGAATGCAATTCTGAAAAACCCCGGAGACTTCGATGTCAGATGTCCCGACGGCGGTTGCGATAAGGCTTGGTGAGATCATTTTCGTGATAGACCCAGGAACTGCAACTTTGGACTAACACCATCTACAGCAACGCTTTATTGGCCTGCGGCAAACATCATTGTCAACGGCGATGCCATCGAATCGACAACCACAGTAAAGTGACCTGTCACGAGCGCATCAAAAAGACGTGTGAGAGAGGCCACCAATACAATGTACCTTGTAGCGACCAAAACGCTGCGTGTAAGTTATGTCGAAAAGAAGATGAAGACAACCGCAGAAGAATACAGCGTGATCTCCAAATGGAAAAAGAGCGCATGCTGGCTCAGCAGCGATATGCCCAGGAGCTTCAGAGCATAGAAGACGAAACTGATCATTTCAAGCGACGGTTAAAGTACATTCAAGAGGAAGAGAATGAGAAGATGAAGCTGGAACAGGCTCATGCCAATCTCAGGAGCACTCAGGAAACTTACAATCGTGCAGAGACAATGAAGGCCACACTTGAAGCCTCGAAGAAGGCTGCTGCCGCTTCTGCTGAAAGTGACCAACCCAGAGCTTCTTCACCCTTTGCCCCTGGAAGCGCGCAAGAAGAATGGGCCAACTTGAAGAAGCTGTCAGGGGCGAGCAGCAATGCGTTGGATACTCTGATGAATATGATAGGTCTTGAGAGTGTCAAAGAAGAGTTCCTGTCCATCAAGTCCAAGGTAGACACTGCGGTGCGACAAGGCATTAAACTGTCCGACGAGAGGTTCGGCTGCACTCTTCTGGGAAATCCAGGTACCGGTAGGTTGAATGTCCATCAATGCCAAGATCAATGACTGACCTTTACAGGAAAAACAACTGTTGCTCGGATCTACAGCGAATTTTTGACATCCGTAGGTGTCATTGCTGGTAGTTCATTTAAAGAAACCTCTGGTTCAAAACTGGCCAGCGATGGCGTGAAGGGGTGTCGAGCCTTGTTGGATGATGTCCTCAACGATGGTGGCGGCGTTATTTTCATTGATGAAGCCTACCAACTCTCTTCAGGCAACTCTCCTGGTGGTCTCGCCGTTCTCGACTTTCTGCTTGCTGAAGTCGAGAACCTCGCTGGCAAGATTGTCTTTGTTCTAGCGGGATACAACAAGCAGATGGAGTCGTTCTTTGCCCACAACCCCGGCTTCCCAAGTCGGTTTCCCATCGAAATGAAGTTTGCAGACTATGACGATGACGAGCTTTTGCGCATCCTCCAGCGCCTGATTGAAATAAAATATAACCGTCAGATGAGATGGCAGGACGATCTGTACTTACGGATAGCTACTCGCAGACTTGGTCGGGGACGTGGAAAAGAGGGTTTCGGTAACGCAAGAGCGGTCGAGAACTTACTGGCAATCATTTCCAAGCGACAGGCGAACAGAATCCGCAAGGAAAGGCAGTCTAGCAAGAACTCGGATGACTTCTTATTCACCAAGGAGGACCTGATCGGCCCAGAGCCCTCGAGTGCGCTAAAGCAGTGTAAGGCCTGGTGCAAGTTGCAAACCCTCATTGGTCTTTCGTCGGTCAAAGAATCAGTCAAGGCATTGGTCGACAGCATACAAACAAATTACCGCCGCGAGCTCGCGGAGGAACCGGTCATAGACTATTCGCTCAACAAGGTCTTTCTGGGATCTCCTGGAACAGGAAAGACAACAGTTGCGAAATTGTATGGACAAATCCTGGTTGATTTGGGCCTCCTGTCAAACGGAGAAGGTAAGCATAGCGTCTTATTTTAATATTTGTAATACTAACAATTAATAGTGGTTGTTAAGAATCCAGCCGATTTCGTGGGTGCCGTTTTGGGTGGCTCAGAAGCTCAAACCAAAGGTATACTTGCATCAACTGTCGGCAAAGTTCTGGTAATCGACGAAGCCTACGGTTTATATGGTGGTGGTGGCTCTTCCGGAGGAAGTTCGTCAAATTCGTTCAAGACGGCTGTCGTCGACACGATCGTCGCTGAAGTTCAAAGCGTCCCTGGGGAAGATCGCTGTGTACTCCTGCTCGGTTACAAGGACCAGATGGAAGAAATGTTCCAGAACGTCAACCCGGGCCTCAGTCGACGGTTCCCTCTGTCATCTGCGTTTGGCTTTGAAGACTTCAGTAGCTCCGAACTGCGGGCGATTCTGGATCTGAAGCTCAAGGAACAAGGGTTTTCAGCCACTGGCCGAGCAAAGCAGGTGGCAATGGAGATGCTAGATCGCGCTCGTAACCGCCCAAACTTTGGAAACGCTGGTGAAGTTGACATTCTTCTGAACGAAGCAAAGGCTCGCCATCAACAGCGACTATCTTCCAAGGAGACGAACCAAGTCTCCACCCTAGAGGCTCTTGACTTTGACGAGAACTTTGATCGTGCAGAACGGACTGATACCAACGTGGCCAAGCTTTTTGCAGGTACAGTGGGATGCGAAACGATTGTTGCCGAGCTCGAAGGGCTCCAAGCGAATGTGCGTGCAATGAAAGAGCTCGGCATGGATCCCAAAGAGGACACCCCTTTCAACTTTCTGTTTCGCGGGCCACCGGGAACAGGTAAGACGTCGACCGCCAGGAAAATGGGCAAGGTTTTCTACGACATGGGCTTTCTGTCAAATGCCGATGTGATAGAATGCTCAGCAACGGACCTTATAGGGCAGTACGTCGGGCAGACTGGGCCCAAGGTGCAGCAACTTCTTGACAAGGCTCTTGGCCGGGTTCTCTTTGTAGACGAAGCCTACCGTCTTGCAGAAGGAGGGTTCGCCAAAGAGGCTGTTGACGAGCTTGTTGACTGCGTCACTAAAGATAAGTACAAGGGTCGGATGGTAATTATCCTGGCTGGCTACGACAACGATATCAACCGACTACTGTCGATCAACCCGGGCATGTCCAGTCGCTTTCCCAAAGTCATCAGCTTCCACAGCCTCAGTCCAGAAAACTGCTATGACCTTCTGCTTCGGCTATTTTTGAAAAAGAAGAGCAGGGCCGAGGAGAACAGAAAAGGTGCTAGTATTGACGTGGACTGTCTGCAGTGCCCTACATCAGTATTCCGGGAAAGTGCTGTCCTAAGCCTCTCTGAACTTTGCCAGATACCCAGCTGGGCCAGCGCGCGCGACGTGGAAACCCTAGCGAAAACAATCTTCGACAAGGCTCTTAAGTCACGGCAGGGAACAACAGTTACCATCACTGAGACAATCGTCCTAGCGGAACTGCAAAGCATGATTGGAGAACGTAAAAGTCGCGCTCAACAAGCAGAAAGACAACAAAGTGTTTCTATACAGCCATTCCGCCAGATGCAACCACCTGTGCAAGCGCCGGAAAATATTCAGATGCAACAGGACATAGCGACTGCTGTTACTGATGATGATGAAGATGAAGGAGAAGAAGATTACACGCCTCCAGAGAGTCCCACTGAAGAAAGCAATCGCGACACCCAACTCTCGATTCGGGACCCTGGCGTCAGTGACGAGGACTGGGAACAGCTTGAACGCGACAAAAAAGCACAAGAGGAAAGAGACGCGAAACACAATGCATTGCTTATATCTCAGAAGGAAGCTTCGGGCGCAGCATTCAATGCGATTCTAAAGGAACTGCTAGAAGAAGAAGAACGCCGGAAGAAGGAGGAAGAGGAGCGCAAGAAGGCGGCATTAATTGGACGTTGCCCCGCCGGATACTCATGGATCAAGCAGGCCAATGGATTCAGGTGTGCTGGGGGTAGTCATTGTGTCTCGAATGAGCAAATTGCCAGATTTTGAGGAATTAGGAAATTTAGACGGAGACTTCTGGTATCGTGGAGTTGAATGATCGTCACCGGACCCCCTTCTAGACTTGAACTGTGTGGATGACTCGCGCCAACTCTCCAGGCGGTTAGGGATGGCGGCACCAGTGATTCATATCCGAGGCCCCAACTTGCCAGGCAAGCTATATGTCATTTGTGCCGAGTCAGTCAGCAGAACAAAGAGCTTATATCGTCCAAAACTGTTTAAGGTTTTGCACTCTTAATTTATCTCTCACGAATGTCGGGTTGCCCGAACACTGTCCTCAGTGCAAACCCTTAGACTTTGTCCTGAAATAAGGCTTGTGCTTAGCGATTATACCTTGCAACTTGTTCAACATAGACTATGGGACTTTGCTAGTTCTGAAAAGTATATATATTAAGTCAAGCGCCAAAACATAACATAGCTTGAGTTCATCTTGTCAATTGAGACTTTCGCCCTTCACTTTGATTCTACAATTGCGTTGATCGCTTGATATCACACAGACCACTCGTTCATCCTCATTTACTCTCTTTCTGACGATTGCTTTTTCTCTTTGGGTAATATTCAATTTTATTCAATTGATTCAATACTGTCTCGGAAATGCGTGTCTCCGCCACCATCGCTGCCGCCATTCTCTCTTGCTCAGCCGGTGTCTTCGCGCTCCCGTATGTACCCTCTAAGTGGCTGAAATGGTCAAGCCACCAAGATGGATCAAGATGGGGATACGAATGTATGAATGCTAATAGCTTTTCTTACAACGAATGTAGGCAAGCGATCACGGGCAAAGCAACCGACTTCGGTACCTATTTCTGCGCGACACGGGGCGAAAATGGCAAACCTGTAGCCAGCAACAACTTCTGCAGCGCTGCTGGTGGAGCAGTGTTGGTTAGTCAAGGGGTCAGTGGCCTTCTCTTTGCTTCGTCTGCTCGTGTGCTTCATATCTCCTCCTCTGGGTGGACGTCAATTACAGAGTTATGGCTGACAACGCAACCGCTAGTTCTGCTGTGTTCGCAACAACAATTTCGCTGTTCTCAGAAAACTCCAAGATGGCTGCAGAGATAACCAGCTGGTTTTTTCCCAAAACGACGCTCGCTGCTCTCCTTAGAGGTTTTGAGAACAGGAAATCCAGACGCCAGAAGCGATCCCCGACGGCCAGCTTCTCATGCATTGTTCTATTCTTTTCTGCATAGTAAGAGAAGGAAGCCGTTGGGTTGCACATATTAGTTTAATACAAATACGAGCATGCAAGTCTATCATGATTGATACGTGTGTTTAGGCCTAATAGATGATAGAGCACTACTATTGGGAATAAGATACAAATTTCGGTGTCATCCTGTGCTAGCCTGCTTATCGGTGTCCTTGTATGTGACTGCATGATAATTCGATGCTATTGAAGTGCTGGATCTTCCCAGCCAATTCCTCTTACTTGAGTTAACATCCAGAGTATAATACGCTAGCTAAGTGACATTACCGGCTACGTGAAGGAAAGAGAGCACCCCCCGAGATACCGGAGCTTATGCTTAGTCTTTAAATATATGGTACGACCTTCGGGAAGGGGAAGGTGTTAGTTGCAGAATCAAGTCAAGCCGGAATGAAAGTCGCAGAAACCCTCTCCAGCGCTACACAGGATTGAGTAAGGTCTAGCATACATACAATGCTGAATGACTTCTAGGTAAAGGTCAGGAGCAACGCTTCCATATCTAACTCAAGCGTTAACTTCATTAGGCAGTTGTATCGTGTGGGAACATCATACATCCATGAATTAACGGAAAAAATAACGGTTCATCATATAAGAATTAATTTTATTTTATGTAGTATGTAGTGAGGTTATAACGAATCGATGACTGTCTGTCGAGAGTGTCAATGGTATCTAGGAGACAATTCCAAGTTCAAATGATGGATGCCATAAACTCCATTCCGCGTGGCTTTCATAATTAGTCATCCTCGTGAAAAAAGCAAACTATCTTCCACCAAAAACAAAAAATCATAATCATGAAGTTCATCTTGGCCCACCCTTCGGAGATGCAACCTGCACAATCTCGCACCTGACTTCAATGGGGCTCGTCACCGACTGCGATTTCTGCTGTCCAGGAAGCCTTGACCCGGTTCCGATGTGCGTCTCCACCTTTGGGCGCTGGCTGGACTTGTAACCTCCTAATTCTATAGTCTCTCGCGGATTCTGTTGGAATATTAAGGGAGATGGGACGCTTTCTGTATCTTCCTGGTGATGGTCGTCGCCCTCCCTGGCTCCTTGAATTGGCAATCCACCGTCATGGCTTGAGCCCGAATGGCTTAGATTGTAAGTTGCCGCGCCGTAGAGGTCAGCCTTGCTATCCGATGATTCGGGTCTGGGCTTTGAGTAATGGTTGGAAATGCTACCGAGACTGCGAATGGGAGGGCTGGCGCCAAGTTCGACGTCACGGTGCTTCGAGACACCCGCTGCCTTTCCTGACGAGAAGCCATAGCCGTTGTATTTGGAAGACTTGGTGATACGACTCGAAAGAGCGGGAATAAAGCGTGATACGAGGGGGCGGAAAGTTGGGAGGCAGGCGCAAGTTAGACCACAGCACAGCTCGCCGACAGACCAACCAGCGGTCTCGACATTGTCCCAGGTGAAGTCTTCAGCAAGATGAAGGAAGCGAATCCGAATGAACGAAATGGTGCATGTACTACGAGGTAAGAGGGTCAACTTTAGTGCCGGGTATGCGACAAAACGAAAAAAAGAAAGAGTGGCAACTTACAAGAACCCGAGGCAAAAAATGCCGAGGAGGACAAATTTCTGACCACGAGCAAGCTTCAGTTTACCAATAACAGGAAGCGGCAGAATAAAGACGATTAGATCGGTAATGATGTTGCCCGCGGCATTGATATACCATTGCGGGTAGTTAGGGATACAAGTGCCCTTGACATCTTTGTCCCAAAAGGTGGGAATAGGGGTGCAGATGAAGATCTCAACCAGTAGCTGTGAGATGCTCCAACACCCGACGACAAACATGGCGACCATGAAAACCTTCTTCATCTTATGGATGGCCAGCACGCGCCAGTATTGAAGAAGGAATGTCATCTTGATGCCTGCAAGTGCGGCATTATAGAAAACAATCGTGATATAAAACGTCTGTGAGTTGTAAGTAACCCATTCATCCAGAAAACTGAATATCTAAATGGCAACATACCATCAAATAGGACTTGATTTGATCAGGCCTGAGGAAATACACATGCTTTCCGAAGCCATTCTTTGTATCTTAAGATGTTAGTGAGATGTGACGGGTAATGGACTACAGGAACATACTTATAGCGACGGAAAGCCCGCAAGCAAATATTAGGAACTAAAAAAGCAATCAGTACGAAGATTATGCCAAGTTGACATTGGAAGAAACCTACAAATGTGCCGATAGCTGCCCAATCATCCATACCGAATTGTCTAAGCATAACCGCTCTGGTGTATGTTCGTATTGATACGGCGAGGAAGGCGATTGAAAGGACGAATGCTGTGACACCAATGATGAGCGGTTGCCGCGTCTCGTTCGGATCGATGCCTGGAGGTGCCTCCATGATTCAGACAGAACGCTTTCGCTAGCGTAATTGAGTGCTCAGGGAAGTCGACTAGAAGGCGCTAGAGCGAGTCCAGCTGCGTATTCGCTGGCACGTAGATATCTCGTCTCGTCCTTGGCCTGTGCTAGGCTGACTGGGTGAGGAACAGGACGACAATGTAGCTGTGGGATAGTCAAGCGAAGAAACAATGGACGACAGGCCGCCGAGAAGATTGGGCTATTATCTTAAATTCTTTTCTTCCAAAGCTTAGTACCTCACAATCCAACTCATAAAGGCTTTTCCTAGGTCAAAGCACAAGCACATGGTTCGGGCCCGGCTCACACGCCTTGGAAGGTGAGGGGAGGGGTGACAAGAGGGTGTGAGACAAGACACCACAAGGCAAACCCACAAACGATGCTACACTGCAACGCTCGAAAACCTGAAGACCGTTTGGTTATGCAATATTCCGTGTCTCATATGGACAATCCGTGGAGAACATTGGTAGGGATCGACATATGTATGCACATGGATCCTATGGCGGACTGCATTTTGAGATGCGCAGGAACCGTGCGCGCGGGAAGAACTGTCAGTTCCATGATGGGGCGTCGTTAACGGCGGGGGAATTAGACGATGGTACACTATCCTGTCTCTGTATGGCTGACTGCATGAAGACTACGTGTACTTGGCGAATGAGGTTATTGGATACTACCGGATGCGAACCGGTAGTTAACGGTGTGTGATGGATCCTGGTTGTGGTGTTGAGGTTGAGACGAACGTGTGCCATCCTCCGCTGCGGATGGAATATGAAGAAAAAAAAGAGGGTGGTATCAATAAAAGCAGGTAATGGTCGTTTTGCAGTGTCGCAGCTCTGCCTGTCAGCAATGCGCGTTGATGTACGTGGGCGCAATAGTATTCTGGTGTCATACAGCTATTCCCAAGTCGTACTGGCATGCTGCCTGTACACCCATTTTCCTTGCTTCAGGCAGGGGTTGGCTATCTCGGAACCGCATTTTGGGAAGAGAACACGACTCAGCTTTTCTCGGGGGAGAGAGAACTCACGTCTCAGACCTCCTCATGGTATCCGCAATCGTGGAAAGCTGCATGGCCTAGGGACCTTGAAGCTACCTAAGGTCACCTTGGAGTCTTTGGTTATTGATCAGAGAGCCTAAGAATGTTCGACTATATGAGGTTGTGACGACCTTGAAGCGCGGATGCCGACAATTGTATACCACCACCCCTGATAATAACCGGAGGGAGAGAAGAGGCTAGTGGATGAGTAAAGGACCGCCTGAGGCCATAGCTGACTCGCATATGGCAGTCGGCAAACTGGGTAGTATTCACATCGACGATCACCGCTGAAGGCGGGAAGCCAGAAGAGATTGACTTTAATAACAACCTTCAATAGTTCGTCATTAAGGTTGAGGGCGATTAAAAAAACACAAGATGCCAGTCTTCGACGGCGACTACGTTCACCTTTTGGAAAACTGGACTGTTAGATAGAATTGGGTGAAACCAACAGGCGCAGTACCGCGGGATGGAGGCGGACGCAAAGCTCCGCTTAACAGAGACTGATTAGCGCGCGGGGAGCTCCATGTCGCCCTGTAAGCGAGAGCCGGATGTTGTTTGTCCATGTTTTAGTATCAGGCACAAAGACTGAGCGAGTAGAGACTGTGACTCGGATCAAAGAGAGGGATTATCCACGATCTGGCTGCTGAGGATGGGCAGCCACGCGAGACTTGCCTCATTGTGCCAATGATTGGCACTTCCCAGCTTGGCATTGGAGCTCCCCTGTTCTTTGCCTGTTCCAGTTCAGGGTATATGCAAATGATGCCATCAACTGACTCTGCCTTCGGCTGGCAATGGCAGCTGAAGGTCAGAGCGCTACCACGCCCTACAATGGGGGGCAACGGTCCAGAGATTGTCAATCTGCATTAACACCTACTTCTTCGAGAAGCCAGAGTAGACCGCCTCTTTGAGAATCTTTCCAATTGTGTCCAACGCCTTTGATGCCTCCCTCTGAGAGAAAGGCACAGTGGTTGAATGGGGAATAAACTTCGATCCATTGCCTGGGCATATGATCAGTGATATGGGGCTTCGTACAGCCGGAGATCGGCGGATCTATGACATGTCTCGGGGCCTGCTAATATGTGCTTGCAGGCACCCGCTGCCCTGCAAGGCACGGTCCAGGGTTCAGGCATGGGCGCCCTCTGTGCTGCAGATACTGTTGGTGTTGTCCTGTATGCTTAATGAGATTTGCAGGTATTAACACACAGTTCACAACATTGTGTGTTTAGAGGGGTTCTTGTTACCCCGCTTGTCACTCAACTTGGTCATCTGCTGACAGCATCCCGTCAATGTTGTGCACGGTCCTAGGACACCACCCCTCATCCTGATGAGCAGCGCGCGGGATGCATCCGCACTGAGCAATCTGCGGCCAGACTGGTGAAATGTTGGCATTTGCAGAGGGTCTGAGAGCCAAACATTTCTGCAAGTGCCATCACACCGGTGACATGGCGAGGAAGAAGTAATCCCGTGTTAGCGGCCTTTGCACGCTGATCGACCGTGCAAACTTGTCTTCGCTGTCCGAAGAAGTCCTGGAACAGGCCTGAGATGGGAAGGTCAAAGCGACACCAGCCGAATACCTCTACTCTGTAGTCTGCTTCAACCGGGCCGTATTTGCCAGGTTTAGATAGGCATTAGAAAAAATGATGGGGGGAACTGACAGGTCGGCGAGTCTTGACAGTTTGGGATAGCTATAATGCCCCTTATAAGGCATGCATGCAGTAGAATTGATTGAATCGCAATTCACGAGCATCTATTCTTCTCTCTCCGTGCATGACTAGTTAACCGCAGGATTGTCTCTTCTCGTTTGAAACAGGCTGAACTGTGACATCGAAGACAAAACGTGACTGTAAATCAAGCTGGCCAGGCCCCGCAAGCGGCGTGCAGTTTGATGTGTGCTTGTGTTCTAAATGAATCGCCCCCCTTAGGACGCACACAACGTGGATGGCCTGACTGGCGACGGCGCTTGTTATTGCTGCTGCTGCTGCCAAGGCGAAGCACATCCAAGACCCCTGAACCCACGTGCTTTACATAAATGAACTCAAGAGGTTGTGGATTGGCGTCTGGTAGACGCGGAACTGTCATTCCTGTCTCACCGGCTGCAAATCAATCAACTAATACAAGGGAGGTCGCTAAACTGGCCATATGCTGCAGCGTACCGACGATCCACGTGCGGTGCGGTGCCGAATCTGCGGCGCTGTTCCCACTAAGTTGAGTAATAAGGTCGAGGTAACAAGCCGAGGAAGAAAAAGATGCTTATTTCACGCGGAGCTGGTTGCTTGCGAAACGTGCCACTCCGGCCTGGCAGACTTTGTAATTTGACCACTTTTACAATTTGATATTTCCGCCAAGATGCAAAGTGAACGAAGCACGAACAATGGCACCATAGCCGCAAGCAACACCCTACTATTTTTCTGCACTGAAGGTGTTTTTCTTATTTACTTTATTAGTCTTTTGTTTTCTCAAATGTGCGGCAATTTTTCCATAGCCGCTCAACGAACCCCGATGTAGGATTCGAGATTGTGGGAAAGCCCTGAGAGCGAGTGGACGACCTGATGGCAACGCTCGTAGCTCTAGCAAGGCATCAACTTTTGGCCATCATGTTCCTCATTCATACCACCCTGACGGACAGTCAACCCCTGAAATATCAGAGACGATTAGGTAAATGAGCAGGTAGCAGTGACCAGTGTTACGTCTCATTCCCAAGCAAGTATTTTACACTCCGTCCGGAAGCCTGCGTTAGCTACCGCGGGAACGGGTGATGTCCGTGTCCAGTCGGCGTTTGTGCATTAAAATGGTGGCCACGGACCGGACTTTTTGCCAGTCTGCAGGGGCATCCATCAAACTTGTTTACGCTGTTAGAAACTTAGTACCAGAAGACATCCTAATGACTCGTCAACATCGAGCAAAACAGAGGTCCAAGGCAGCGGAAATAGACCCTCGTGAAGCCCCGGTTTCTAATCTTCTGGACTGTACTACGCTACTGGAGCCCCTTGCATATGCGCCTATGGTTAAGGCGGCGGCTTCGCCCCAAGGGCCCCTGTGAATTGCTGCTGTCATGTAAATCCAGCCTGATAAGTTGTTGGACAACAGCCACCTCCTTCAATCGTTCTTTTGGTTACATATGGGAGTTTCCATGCTTCGATGTGGTTCATCTACTCATTTCTATGGTTTGGTTTTTTTTTTTTTTTTTTTTCATCGACCGCTCTTTTTCATCTGATATGGATACACGTAAGATATTTCGAACTACTTGTATGTGATTTCTTTGCTTTAGCACCATAGATAAGCTCATCAATCACTGTTCTTCGCTTAAGGAGTCTCACTTGAAGGCCTGAAGACCACATTCCCACTTCTACTGCTATTGACGCACTTTGTTGTGTGTTACAGCAAGCCTACAATTATCATCAAAGGTATCAAACAGAACCTGACAGTGTGGGGTATCCCTGTCAACGATGCTTCAGAAAGCGGAATACGCCTCCGACATCGCAACAGCAGCCCGGCCGGCTGGCGCAATGGTAGCGCGTCAGCCTCCTAATCCGTCAGGAGGTCTTCACAGCTGAAGGTTCTGGGTTCGAGTCCCAGGTCGGTCGTAGAGTGAACAAGGCTTCGCAAGCGTTCTCTTTTTCTTGTCTGCATTGTAGAACCAAATCTTTTGCTGCCTGATACTTAATGGCGAATGACTAGAGCCGGAAGGAACAAAGATGTCGCGCTGTTTGCTGAGTCGGAGCATTACAAAAGTGACGCGGTGGCAGGGCCATGACGCTCTACACAAGCCCACTGTAAGCTAGACGATGTCCCGTAGCGCTTGTATAATGTAGGCGTCTGAAGGATGAATGCCCAGCAAGTATAATCTGCGGTGCAAGTTCGTTGTAACATGCGTCTTCACAAGTTGTCATCTGGAAACAGGAGTCAGTCCCCTAGGCACAAATAGGACTAGACTTTCATGAACAGCAAGTATTTAGCACATTGTCACGGGAGCTCATTTTCTCGTCATTCATTATATTCTTATTGTTTCAAACAGCAAATTTAAGGAAGAACAAAGCTACCAAGGTAGTCAGCCTTTCCGACCGGCACACCCTTCGCTCTGAGGATGGCATATCCCGCGTTAAGGTGAAAGAAGAAGTTGGGAATTCCATGGTTCAAGGACGCCGCCTTAGCTGAGAGCTTCAATGTCTTTCCACCGAAGATAGGCCTGTACATGAAGGTCAGAAATCGCCTTCTTGGAAACAGCTGGTCAGGTTACTTACAAGTCAACCTCATCATCGCCCTTGGCGTTTACGGTCGCTGCATCGACCTTGCTGAGCAGATCGAGCGTTTCTTGGATGCGCTTGTGGAGGTCCGCGACTGTCTTCTCCGTGTTCTCAGAAGGCTCCAGTTCCACACCGGTCAAACGGACAAGGTTGGTCTTGACTGTCTTGGTAGCGTTTTGAACCTGGAAGGTGAGTGGTAGCTGGTCTTCGATGATACGGGCCTCGGCGTAGGTGTTCACATCGACTCCATTGGCCTTGGCGTGTTCTTCGGCTTTGGTCAGGATATGGTCGAACGTCTTGAGACCCTTAATGAAGGTGGGAATGACTGCATCATAAACAGAGACCGAGGCCATTTTGGCGGTTATAGGTAGAGTAATGAGGATTTGAGACTTGGAAGGCTAGGCAACTTGGCAAGGGAGGTGGTGTATAAGAAACAAAGGTTTCAATGATTGTGAGCTGAAGTACTGAGATTTTATGGTAACAAAAAGATAAGTCAAACTGTCTTTATATATCGTGAGAAGTCATAATCTTGGACGATTTGTAAGATGCTCTCCACGATGGCGTGCTTGGTAAGCCTCACATCCAGCTATATGCGAGTCAATCGAAACTAGCGGTGACCATCAGGTACAGGCCGGATCTCGCGTATATCCCGCGTTTCGGCAAATCTCTAGAATGTCGCGAGAGTAAGGGGATGAGGGGAATCCCCTGGACCTTTCTCCATTTGGAAATTCAGCTCAGGACTGTCACCATCATGGCGTAAAGTCACGTTATCGGCTGACAGATGGCGTCATCGTGCTGCAGCGTGAACCCCGCGATATCGCTCCGACAGCCGTGATAAGTACAGTGTTGCAAATCAAGAGACAAATTAATAATTAACTGCTTAGATGACGTAAAAGTGAAAAAAGGAGCTACCTAAAATTGAGGGCTTGTGTCCTGACTTGACGACTGCGTCGTTCCCATATCTCACAACGAGACTATCAACTATTTCACCATGTGATCATGATGAATTAGTAACTTTGTAACAAAGAGATTCTGATTTGTATCGTAGGAATCTAGGGTTGCAATGAACGGTGTAAAGTGAAAACTAATAGCAGAATACCGGGCATCGCGCTTACCAATAGTAGTTACAAATGGGCGACCTACTGCTACACTCGTGCCCATTGGAATGCGTAATCGAGAAACTCGTTTTCTGCATGTATTAGAAGAAATGTATTTCAAAACTAAGGATTCCACGATAACATATTGTTCCGATGAATGAGAGTGCAAGTATTTACCCATGAGTATGATTCCCACAGGATGGCGACCCCCCCTTTCCATCGGAACCTACAGAAGCAAGTAGAATACACTGCCAGTCGCATGTTTCTTGTTATACTTGTTATTATCAAGATAAGTGAGATGTGACGGATCATAATCACGTAAGACTGTTTCCTAAACCTTCTCCTTTTTCCTCTCCATACCTAGGCTAGTTGAATAAATGGCCGCCTCTCAATATCGAGCACATTTAGAAAGAGTTTACCTATAATTCAAAAGAGCACTGCAAATTTTACAAAATGAACGGTTCATTAGCCTACACATAGCCTGCTCCAGGATCAAGGGAAATCATTCATTCACTTTTCGTTAGTCCTGTAACTTCGTGCAGAAATACCAGCTCAGCATGAGACGGGAGAAATAGTAGCTGGAAAGCTGTTGTTGAATAAACTTTGGCCACCTTAGACTGATTTGGAATGGCTAGTTAACTTGAATAGGAACCGGATTATGCATAATTATAACCGGGAGCCTATTGATCTCGGGGGAACTTCTGGGGAAAAGGACCAAAACAACCCCCGAACTAGAATAGAAAGGCAACGTTTGCGAAACGTAAGCCTTACGTCTGACACCCTAGCTAACAGCCTTGTAAGGCTTTACATTCTGCAGAGAACATGACCAGATGTCGCATCCAAAACCATGGCCGGAGAATACCGTCCTTGGTACACATTTCATGGACCCACTGGATTGGTTCTGAGCAAGTGATTAATGATGAATGGATTTCAATATGCACAAACTTCAAGGTTACCGGCGTCGTTACAGACCAGGAAGATACCAAGGATATCGAAAATTTTGTAACAGAGATTTGGTCGGTCAAGATTACCTCGCAATATACATGGTTTCGACCAGAGATGATGGTGACAGGGTGGCGAAATTTGAGGTTGATATAACTACTGAACCATCTCATGTTTGGTAGTATGCAGATAAATGTCATGTAAGACACAAATGCAATAATCCTTGAAAACCAAACCGGATATTGTTGAAGAGTACTTCTCCAATCCTTCACCTGTGAATTGTCACGAAAAAAGCCATGCATGGGGGTAAATAACGATATGGACAAGGAGCTTATGACTATAGGGCAAAATCACAACCGTCAAGGCTTCAAGGTTGTCAAGAAGCCATAAGCAGTGGAAAATTCATTTGTTAGATACTAAGATGATTCAATCAGGCTACCCCAGTACTTTCTCATTTATGATTGATGCTGTGATCCAAATTAGTGCAAACGCTATGCCAACCGTTCGAATTTCTAGAACCTGCCACAGTTTCAACTCACCCGGCGTTTGGTATCAAATTAGCACTTAAGAAATCGTGAATTCCATGCTAGACATCCTCTAGAATTAGAGAGGACTGAAATCCCTACAGATATAAACTCTGCCTTGAGCATTGTAAAACGGTCCCCTAGTTCAAGGGAGTCTTTGAACTTGGTAAGCATCTATTAGCCCTTAGTTCTAGATAATAACCATGTACAATTGCAATTAATTCTTTTTATTTTGAAGATAGTGTTTAAAAAACAAAGCTGAATATTAATAAAGCTGAATAGTGATATGAGCATTGATAGTCCTCTAAGGTAGCTGTAGGTTTTACAGGGGGTGAAACGGAATTCCGTTCGTTAATAACAAATAATAGTAAATTGGTTCTAATCGATGGTTTATGATAGTTGAAAGTGGTGTTGTTGACTAGAAGGTGGGGATATTCCCCCTTGGCCTGTCACGTGGGTCTGGGAGGCTTAGGCCTCTCAACCTGGCAGGCGTATAGCTGGAAGTGCTATACGACTCCGTATTCTAACTATCGCAATACTGGAAACTCTCTTTTTATAGTGTTGAAGCGGTTAGAATACGTTGTCCTTATATAGTTCCGTCTCCTCGTTAATTCGGCCTCCTATCCCTACTTTCTCCCGTAGTTACGGTCTTGTTACCTATCCTTCTATACGTATCGTTATTATATTGCTATTAACGAATCTCTCGAAGGCTTGATTTAGTTTGCTCTTCGTAAGGGTATTAGCAGGGTTGTCTTCGCTATTAATCTAACGAATTTCTTATAGTTCTCGTCTTTTATACGATTATCTTAACGCTATAATATCGATTATAAGTCGCTTTTCTTTAGTAATGCCTAGCTTTACGAGATACTCGTATAGCGAATAAGAATCGGTATAGATAACTATCTAAATCGTTAGTAGGTTAAGGTAGTTAGTAATTATCGCTAGGGTTATAGCGAAGGCGTAAGCTATATCGACGCTAGCGACTATCCCGTAGATCTCTAACGCTAATACGCTACGAGTAACTTATTTACTCTTCGTAAAGCTATAATAAACAAGGTTACCGTAAATCGTAAATTCTCTATTATTACTATTAGAGGAAGTATTGTTAGCTAGGATGATTAGAAACCCTAATTAGGAGGAGAGGTCGTAGTTATTAGCAAACGACTTATTAACGAAAACGAATAGCTTAGCTATTATAAGGTCGAGTAGGATAAACGTTATTCCTCGGTTAGGCGATTCTATTTACTATCGAATCCGTTGATTTAGTGCTTTTATCGCTTCTAGCAAAGGGTCTTAGTATTAGGTAGTAGTAGATAAATCGAAACAAGCCTCGGGTTAGCAAATTAACGCGATATACGCCTTTCTAGCGCGTTATTCGATATATTACTATTTTAGGTTAGGTTTAGTAGTCTTAATATATCGTAACTTCTTAGCTTATCCCTTTTGCTTTAAATTAATCGAATTATCGGTTAACAGCGCGATTATCCCTCTATTAAATTAGAAAGGTTTGTTAATTATAAGGATATTCTTCGCTTTTGTTATAAAAGCCGCTTTTTCTAACTATTCGTCTTCTAATTATAAGAACGCCTTGTCTAATAAACCGAGGGTATCGTCGGTTTATATGCCGATATAGCTAAAGTATAGATTTTCGGTAGATAAGATTAATAGGTATAGATCGTACGAAGAAGTAACTATCTAGAGATTCTCTCTATAATGCTTATAATACGTTGCCTACTAGTAGGTTCTAGCTTCTGCGATTCCGTACAGAGGCTTTACAACCTTTATAATAGTCCCTTTTGGGTACTAGTCTTGAATTTGCTTCGGTAGGTAGGCGAGAATAGTACGATTAAGCCTTATAGAGGATTAAACGTAGGCTTATATAATATCTCGAAGCTATAGTTATTTCCCTTCTCGTAGGAGTAATAAGGTAATTAATAGAATTAGCTATTAACTTGCTTGCTAAATCGTTAGCGATTAGGTTAATATAGCCTTCTTACTATCGTCGGCGTAACCTTGTATTATAAGTCTCGATTTCTCGTAGGGTTTGGTTGTTTTACTTTTGACTTTGTTAACGATACGAGATCGGAAGATTCGTACGTTCTAATACCTTCTCTTATTAAACTAGGTAAATTTAAATACTTTTCTAGCGATAAGGCTATTAATCTCTTATTTAGTTAACTATTTAAACGGTTTGCTTAGTATAGTAATAATACCTTCTCGTCGTAGTTTAATTACTAATTCTTCGTCTACTTGCTTTTTAATCGATAGGAATATTTATTAATAATCCGGGTTATTATTAAATTCCTTTATAAAGTAAGCGATTAGTAGTAGTCTCTTCTAGGGTCTGCCTGGGCGTCTTCTCGGTAGCTTTAATGCTTCTTGCGGTTCGTCCGGTTTACTACCTCCGCCGGCGACGATAATTTCGTCGCGTACTACTTCCTGCTACGGTATCTTAGCTTCAGGTTCTTCTTCTTCTAGCACGGCGATAGAATTAAGTAGTTGATCGGGATCTTCGTAGTATGGTTTGACTACGGTAGACCGGAAGGTCTTTAGACTATATAGCGTATCGATAGTATAGGTTTCGCTGTTTATAGCTGCTAAAGTAAACGGTCTAGTCTAGCCCTTCTTTTCACGCTATACTCGTACTTACGACCATAGTAGTAAATTAATAATTAGCCTTATATTAAGGCTATTATAGGTAGCAATAGCTTCTGCTACCTATCGCCTTATATAAAGTTCGCGTACTTCGCTTATCGCCTTCTTAATCGCTTTCGCCTGCCTTATAACTTC